CAAGGAGCAGTGGCAGGATCTTGAAGGTTTCGAGACGAAAATTGGTTCAAAGCTTCTAGTCGCCTACCCGCATTACATCGCCTCCACCAGGACCGTGGATCACCCCGCCAGCGCTTGTACGAGGATTGTGCACACCTTGTTCTCTACAGGATCCTCGGCACCACAGCCAAGGAAGGAAGAGCGACTGAGGATAAAGTGGCACACAGATGTTACAGGGATCGTGAGAAAGTTGGCCATCATGGGGACAGCCGGTCCAGCAATGCGATGCAAACGCTCAACAACCTCTCAATCTCGCTGAAACGGAGACGGGACTCATAGAGCTACAGGACGCGTCTGACAACGAAGCAGGTCTTAGTGTCACTAAAGACCCACTTGTGGTGAAGCCGAAGGGGCGTCCAGGAGCCAAACGTATCAAGAGCAGCAGTGAGATGTCGCGACCATCCAAAGAATTCCATCCTGCTGAAACAGACCTGGAACAATAAACGAGTGATTTTTTTTTTTTAAACGAGGCCCTACAGACTACCCCGTGAGAATATGGCGCTCACCTCCCCGTGAAAAAAAAAAGCTCGAATTATTCTTACCGGGGTGTAAGAATAACCCGCTTACACCCCTGTGAGATGACAAAACGGGGGATAATCTCACGGGGGGGTGTGAGAATAAAATCTTACGGGGGGGAGTGAGATTATATTCTTCCATCTACATATGGTAGGTAGGGGTCGGCAAATAAATAATTTGTATCCCAAAAGTAATGCATCCAACAGTAATAAAAAGGTTAAGCGCCCAACGTGGGGGTCGAACCCACAGCCTTCAGATTAAGAGTCTGACGCTCTACCGATTGAGCTAGCCGGGCTTTAAATACTGGCAGGCGAAGTATAAAATATCTTCCAAATATAAAAATATTAACATCACGTGATAATAACCTCAGCACGTTAGTTAAGGGGTGTTGAAAATTTCTTGGTCAGGGCACCTCCCTTGTAACGCGAAGGGACCAGGTTCGAGCCCTGGTTAAAGCACAGTAATATGTGCTACGCATAGAAATTTATTTGGAGCATGAGTCGGGCGTACTACCCCACTTCAGTTATGTGGGTTTCCTTTCCCCGGCGACCCCCACATTGAGTGGCACTACCCCATGTAATCGTTGTGGGTTTCCTTTCCCCTTCCTTAACGCTTGACAAAATGCTCAGAATAAATTTCGCCCTTGCGCTAGCCTCCGGACTTCGAGAGGCGCTGGTTCAGAACTTCCCAGCTATACACCAGGGTGTACAAGTTATTCCACTGCACTGGCAGCATGCGTCTTAGCTACCCCTGCCGGGGTTACAGGTATAAGTTCAAAAGTGAGTAGGCCCACTTTATAATAGGCTAATCTGAGCTCACATCCAGTGACCTCAGGTGGAGGAAAGACGGGACGAGGAGGAGGAGGAAATGTTACAATAGTAGAGGAGTCGGCTCGCAAGCCAGTAGAACGGATTCCGTGCTCTCAAGAAACCAAGACCATCTCCCAGATGTACAGGTTACAATTGGAGAGATGGTCTTGGCAGATTTGCAGGTGAGGAGCCTGCCAGCTAGCCGAGCGGATCGCAGGAGAAAGACCTCGGGACGCTTAGGGAGGTTACAGTGAAGTTGTTGGAGATGGTGCGACTGCCACACTAGAAGATTTAGGGCCAGATAGACACAGGTCTCAGAGACTATTCACTAGGAAACCAGCACTGATTGTTCTCTCTCGGAGGCCATGTTGAATAAAAAAAAAAAAGGTGTTGAAAAGTTCTGGATCTGCCCTGGCCCCGTACTCGACCCAGACGCTGCGGATCGGACGCTGCTGGACTGCCTACAGGGGAAAAGGCGGTTGAGAACCATGGAGGGGATGAGGAAGATACCCTTTTTGTAAGAAGGTGTTTTCAGCTTTCTAACACACTGATGGGATGTGGCAATTGTTGCACAGGCCCTTGGGGCAGGCCTGGGGAATGTGACCTGTCTTTTGGCGACTGTGGATCGGTTCTGCTTTGGTGGAGAGGACAACTGTGGAGTGCTCATGGGGATTTATGTTAATAAAAAAATAAAAAAATGGAGAGGACAACTATGGTAGATCGTTGCTAGTTAATCTGATAGATACGCAGTCAATTGACTCGAGAGACAAGTTGTTATAGAAAGGGCCTTGCAAACTTCTGGGATTGTTTCTTCTTGGAGGACTACAAATCCCATATCGTTGATGGCATATCCAAACAATAGATACACGCGAATAAGTATCCCAACGGATTTTTTGTTTTTTGCTTCTTTTCGTACTTGTCGCCACCTTTAATTGTTATAAAAAGAAAAGCACTTGTCGCCACCATTCCAGTGGAGGTCCTATTATATCCTTTTCTGATGAAACAATTGAAACAATTGCGCTTTCTTGCTTCTACCTGCACTTTTCTGATTGTAGACAGATAGATCAATCTCATGGTTACTTCACATAAAACGCGGTAGAGGGTGTATTTTAATGCGGACAAAGTCTAGTTAGGTTCTCTTGTTTTGAACAATAGTGTGGCAAAACTTGCATTTGACAGCCATTGTCTTTAGCAAAGGGAGGGGTATTAGCTTGTGACGAATATTTGCCGAAACTAAGTTTTATCACTCCAATCTAACATCCATGAAGATGGCTGACAAGAACGTCATTGCTGCCACAAGTATCCATTGACATACACCAGCAGCCATGACTAGCAACAGGAATGTAGCTATTATTCATTATGTGGGGGTCAAGTTCAGTCTTTCATTATCTTACAACGTAGAAATGAGGCTGGACGCTCGTTGTTGTCTCGCCTCATTTGGATACGGCCCTGTCGAGGAATACAAATATAACAATATTCGTTTCCTCGTCTTCCTTATTACCTTCATTTGCTCCGCTGCTGCTTAACTCTCCAAGCCAGTATTCATTCTTCATCTCTCCCGACCATACACGCATCGATACGCGCTGCGGTGTAAATCGCTTCCTATAACTTCAGCTGCACAAAAAAGAGAATGAAAGCTAGCTTCCACATCAGCAGCGTGCTGTTCGTCGCCCTTGCGGCGCTATCCTCGTCCTCGGCCCATATTGCTATTTCTAATCCACCAGGCCAGGCTGGTCCCTGGTCGAACAGTCCCTCAAATACTGTCCATGCGTGGATTGGCTTTGAGGGGAAGTCTCTTTCGCCTAGAGATACCAAACGAAATCAGATACGCACATAATTTAACTAATGTAATTCGATTGCGGATGATTTATATAGATGGCTACGCGGAGGGCCCCGTTACTACCTACCGTGCTGGCGAGATTATTCCTATTCGTTTCTGGAACTTTGAAATTAAGGACTATATGAAGTTCCCTCCGCCCAGAAGCCTGGCCCAGGCGCGCCATGGCGGTGGCGCCTGCGAGTTCTCACTTTCATATGATGGTGGCAAGACCTGGAAGGTCATTGGGCAATACACTAAGACCTGTCCTGCTATTTACTATGAATGGCCTATAATGATCCCTCCCAATGCGCCTTCATGCACTGACTTGAGCAAATGTCTCTTGCCATGTCCCGGATCGCCTATGCCACCAACCAAGTATGCAAGATATTTTATTTATGTTTATATTTTATTTATGTTTATATTTTATTATATATTTATTATATTTATCATATTTTTTTATCATGGATAGTTCTACCATCACTGCGCGAACATTATCGTCAACGGTGATAAAGACGGCCACTTGCCCGAGCTAGATATGACTGTGGTTAATGTTGCCCAGAGACATCGGAAGATAAACGTCCATGCCAAAGGCGATCAACGCTCTGATAGGTCCTCAGGTCCCAACCGTCGCGAGAGGATTCTTAACACCAATGGATTTTACGCCTATGGTGGCCAAGCTGGTAAGCATGGCATCGATCTCGGCCTGGTCGGCACTTAAAAAAGACCGAGCGCGTTAAGACTCCAATATTTTATACTGTCCATTGCTGATCTGGATGAAGCCCATAGTACTTCTATCTCTCGATTCACATCGCTGATGGCGTGGCTACAAAAAGACGTCAGAGGAGAGATTGTGACAATAAAGATCGAAAGAGCACTATGCTCCTTCTTGTGCTAAACGCGAGATGAATGTCCATGGCACCTGTTTATTTTCCTTTCCCCCCCCCCCCCCCCCTCCCCCAAGCCTTTTAGCCAGAGGAAGGCGTCTTAAAAAGGAGTAGTTACCAGGCTAAGGTAGCCGCGTTACAGATCATAGATGTTTAAGAAATATCTTAGCGCCTGCTTGCTCTTCTGACTCGTCATGCTTGCCTTCTATAGTTTATCGGGCATGGCGAACATCGCCCTTCATGAACTTAGTCATCCTATCGCATTTATCGTAAGTATTAAAGAGTCCTACCAGTCTTCCCTAAACGCTCTATACACTATATACGCAGTAGTGCTGCAAAGGTCATTATCTGGACCACACGCGTAATGAGAGATTAACCTTTATGTGTGGTATCTCCATTTGTCCGTCGCTGCGAAGCGACGCCTGCAATTTTGCTGCAAATGAGATCATCGCATAACAGTCAATCACACCTGTGCTTCTGTGATCCTTAGTTCAGCTTTCTTCGACGGCCAACACGGGGTTCATATCGGAGATATCATCTTGTGTTTATTTCGGTCGGAGAGAGGGGAGGAACGAGAAGGGAAAGAGCAATGATCACGATATCTGCCTGGCGGTCTATAAGTCCGTCTATTCCACATGGAGTTGGTGTAGGTTGTACAGATTGAGCTAGGTGCTGGAATTCGATGAAAGGTTATTGGTGCCTTTAGTGATGCTCGCCCTCAGCGCTGTGTCCGTGTCCGTGACCATGGCCATCCCAAGGATGACGGAGACCCTATCACAATTGCGAGCAAATGATGCAGTTGAACTGATATTAGATATGGGATGACAGAAAAAGCAGGGAATAAATTGTGCTTCCGTGCTTCCGTGCGTCTGTTCTTCCGTGCTTGTCCAGAAGCGAGGCAGCTGATTCAGCGTTCCATTCTACAATAGCCTGCTTTTCGCGGTCGCCGACGCGTGAAATAATCATCCAGTATCGGTTTTGCTGCGCATCCAACGTTCCTGTAAAACTACGAAATCCTCTGACTCGATGGCTGAATGCCTCTTCATACAAAGGCGCGATGCTACAACGCGCAGCCCGTCCAGGATGTATGAAGCTCAAACAGCACCAATACTTTGACGGTCCCGGATGGAAACAGTGTAGTGTACCGTCCAATAAGCCGTTTTTCAAAAGAACGGAACTGCTACTGATTTTTCCTGTCAATATCCTATTAATGTCCTATTAATATCCTGCTAATGCCCTGCTTTCTCTCAATAATTATCCCCGCTCCGCGTAGAGTCCAAGTGAGTAGAGAAACTGGTACTGGTGTTGGTGCCGAGATGAAGGATGACGTACAAGGACAACGGGGCCTTCTTCCTTGGCCTTGTACATGACCCAAAACCACATGGCGGCGCCAAGGGCCTTGGCAGTGACAGTATAGCGAGTAGCGGGCATATGGGGGTGGAAACCAGCCATGGTGATGTGTGCTTGACGATGGAGGAGGTGTTTGTGTGCAGAAAGATGAAGTGATTCGATTTCGAAATAAGATCCGAGTCGCACGGAGAGAGCGGCCAGTTCCTCAGGGTGTGCGATTACTTTAGACTTCGGTGATTTTATTTCACGTGATGGAACCGGAGACCAGGGTCACCAGAGCACAAGGCCTCAAGGAGCTTCTCGTTGGGAAAGCTATAGAGGAGATGAGGATTAGCGAGGGGACCCAGGCTCCCAAGACCCGGGAAGCCATCTTCATGATTGTTCTTGGAGAGCGAGTGTATAGGGTCCAACTAGGCAAGCTGCCTTGCAGCTCCACCAAAGGCTGGAAGGAAACAAACAGTTTCAGCAGTCCCTGAAAAAAAAAGAAAAAAAAAAAGACAAATAGGCTTTTGCCAAACATCTTTCTCCTCCTCTCCATCTTTCATTCCACTTACCAACGCCAACACTCATCGACAGACATACAGTAAATAACAATGGGACGACTTCGCCGCTCAAGAGTTCACAAGGGTATCCGCGATATCCAGCGCAAATACCGAACAAAGCGCTACATGCGTGATATCGACCAGATCCATGATGATATCCAGCCCGAGAATGTCGCTAAATTCGAGAAGCCCGAGCTGGACCCTGAACTTCCTGGTCTGGGTCAATTCTACTGCATCCCCTGCGCGTATGTGCAATACCATTGTCCTGATTTCAGGAACCAGAATTGGCGCTGCCAAGTCATCGTTATCGTCGCAAATGTGGGACTCTGTTCATATCGCAGTGCTAATATGGCTTTCATTGCATCTTATTCAACCCCCTAGTAAGCACCACATTAACAAGGAGTCGCTGCAGGAACATCAAAAGGGGAAGATCCACAAGAAGAGGTAGTTGCCGTATACCAATTCGACATGTGGCAGCGAAATGGCAACGTCAAGTTCAATACTAACTGTGCAAATCATATTTATCTCATATTTGACAGGGTCAAGCTGTTGAAGGAGGAGCCTTACTCTCAGGCCGAGGCGGACGCCGCCGCAGGACTTCAAAGAGCTGATACTAAAGTCAAGAAGACCAATACTGAAGCTATGGATGTGGCCGAAATCAACGCCCCGGTCGCATAAATTTTTGTCTTCACATTCACTTCTAAGGCTGTATCAAAGTATCTCAGCGCTACCAATTTCATTACTTTTTTCAAGCATAGATTTATTGTATTATAGTCACTAAAACTCATCTGCACATCTGCATAGCTGCACGTAAAACCATTGCTCAGTTGAGCGTGTTATGAGTATGACCGGGATGGTGAAATGCGACTGCGGCGAAGTTTACTGTGAAGATGACCAAGCTCGAGATTATGAAATCTCTAGTACCCCAATTCACGACCAAGCGCCCAGGTATACAGGCGGCTGTCCAAAACCAGTTTCGAATATCCGCCTACAGAGAATTGAAGTTCTACATTACAAAGGCACAGAGAAATATGAGATAATGAGCAATAGCAACAATATCGAGCAATACGTTCACGCATGATTGGTGCCGACTACCTTGCAGCGTCTTCAAGAGACCTTGGAGGGGTAGGATCGCAACCTGCAGACTCCATTCGTCTTCCTCGAGACTGGGGTTCCGCATGGAGTTGGGCCCAAATAGCTGCTCCTGCTCCATCACCACCTGGACATTTTTAATCGTTGGTCTATGAGTTGAAATGAAACAAAGACGATCCCTTTCCATTGGCTGATTCGAAGATGGATTTTTCAGCAACATACCTCAACGACTACAGCGCATGAACAGGAATTTGTTATCCCAGGCTCGTAAGCGATGGGATCGAATGTGTTGATGACCTTGACGGAATGGCCGTACTTTACGCTGAATCCAACCTCTTCCTCCAGCTCCCTAAGCGCTGCCTCAGATACGTGTTCTTCTGCATCCACCAAACCCGAGGGGAACTCAATGGTATATGTGCCCATGGCTGGGCGGTACTGGATAACGAGAGCGACGTGCGTGGCCTCTCCTCGACTGTTCTTGATGATCGTGATCACGTCGACAGCTTTAGCATGTCGAATCCATGTTGACCAAGAAACAGCAGCTGTTAGAATGTTCACGTACCAAGGTACATATTGTACACGCCAAGGAAATGCCTACCATCAATTGAAGGTCCAGAGTTGATTCTCCCTTCTTTAGAACCAGGTGAGATGCGACGACAGACCTCCCAGCCTCGTTCTGTTCCCGAGGGATCTGTAAACTTGACCTCGTGCAGGGACAGCCAGCGCCCGTTTCCGCGTTTCTCGTCGCTGATGATTTTCACATTGGCGAGTGGTTTCTCGAGCGCTGTCATGGCGTAGTTCCTTGTTTGGTGCACAGCTTGGTATTCACAAAAGTCGGGCTGCGGCTTCAGAAGACGAGACGGTCGACGAGGACAAAGACAAAAGGAAGAAGAATGGAGAACTTGGAGCACGAGGATTCGTTTTCTTCTTGCATATCACACGTGATGGCTACTAGGCACTTGCGCGCCCTTCTTGGTAACCATTTCCTCTCTCTCCCTCATTCCTCTTCCTTCATTCCTTTACTTTCGAAAAAACCTCTTCGCCTTCCATAAACTTCTTGAGTACGCGACGCTATATCACTCCCGACATAATGGATTTGGTTCCGTATATTTTTCATGAACAGGTCAGTCGCAAGTTCTCCGGTTTGACAACACGTTGCTACCAACATTGCTCTAAATGTCCGCTGTCTTGGTTTCTGTAGCAAGAAGGAAACCTCTGTGCTCAGCACTGCTTGAACGCGCTCTTGCAGGGGCCCTATTTCACCGCCATCGACCTAGCGGAACTGGCGCGTCAGTTAGATCAAAGAGAGCAGGATGCGCTTGGCAACTCTGGGTCTGGAGCACGGGAGGTCAAAAGCCAGAACATGGATGACTCGGGGTTCTTTTCAGTTCAGGTAAAGGATATTGTCAAGTACTGTAGTTTGCTCTGGCCAGTTCACACGTGTGAAACGCATCCTGAATCGGGAACTGATGTGCTTCTTGTCAATGGGTATGCAGGTCCTCAGTCACGCATTAGACATTTGGAACGTCCAGATTATCCCATGGGGAGCTAAGGAAGTGAGCGACTCCAAAACAGAGCCGGAGTATGTCGATAACAATGAGCGTACTTTCTATGATGAGATATTAGCGGCAAGACATACTAACCATATCTCTTTATTCTTTGTATTAGGCGAGAAATTGCGTTTATCTGCAACCTAGATCAGCATTGGTACACGTTACGTCGGTTTGGGCCGTCGACACAGCGGTGGTACGATCTCAACTCAATGCATTCTCAACCTAAGCACATGTCCGCGATCTATCTCGGAATGACACTCTCGCAATTGGAGATGGAAGGATATTCCATCTTCGTCGTACGGTCTCTCGAAAAACTCACCACTGACGAAGCTCCTGATGAGAAGGTTGAGTCCGCAGCAAAGCTTCCACCTGCACCAGAAGTACCAGCGACATTTGGATTCCTGAATGAAAGACAGGAGATGGAGAGGATCACAAGGCAGAGGATTAAAGAGCACGAGCGTGCACCCTCACAACAGAACGTAGCCTCATCAACAACAAGCTCAGATCCTGATACCAGCAACAACAACAAGCGGGCGCTTGTTGATCAAGCTGGAGATAAGCAGTGTAAGCGATTGTCAAAGGAAGTATTGGTTACCACGCCGTCGTTTTTACCTAGGTGTGAAGCCGATATCATGGCTGCGACGCTTCCTCAAGAGAACTTTCAAAGACCCGGGACAGAAGGGGCCAAGGACGCATTAAGCAGTACAGGTTATCGCCTTGGCGGGTTACCTGGTGCTGCAGCTGATACCTCGGCGCTTCCGCCAGGATTCTCGTGGGAGGATACGGATCTTGGTCAGTCCGAGGGCGATGGGGATGCAGAGTGGGAGATGATGCAGCAGGCCATTGCCATGTCGCTGCAAGGCAGCAAATAGTATACATTGCGCCCCTGGTCGCAAAATAAACATACAGAAAATTATAAGTGTAAAGTCTGCATTTATTGATGAAAGCGTATTGCAATGCAGCTGCAAGGAGGGATAATTATTTCATGGTATGTCACTCTAGAGAACGAGCGAGGCAGCAACGGCGGCGAGCGTCCAGAGGGCGACCGAGAGACCTGCTGCGTTCGACGAAGGCAATGCTCCTGAAACCTTCTTCACTGATTGCTGCGAGATACTTTCGCCACTCGAGACACTTTCGCCGCTCGAGATACTTTCGCCGTTCGAGATACTCTCATCGTTCGAGACACTTTCGTCGTTCGAGTCACTCTCGGAAAGCTCTGGAGGAGTAGTAGCCTTGTTGTCAGCGTTATCTGGAATAGGAGACGACTTTGGTGGCTCGTTCTTGCTGCTTGATAGTTCTTCTTGCGGCTTCTTGACCGACTCAAACTTAGGCTCTGGTTTCTTAGGTACAGCATTATATCCAACAGGATCGTTCAGGCACTGGGCAATGTCCATAGGCTTCATACCCTTGGCCAATCCCATATCGAGGAGCGTGCGGGCCATGGTGATCATTTTGGGGTCCCCGTCGTGCTCGAGGGTGATGACACCGTTCTTGCGCTTGGGCAGGGTTTGAAGATCGTTTTTGAAAATATTAACGATTTGCTTAGAAGAAATGGTGTTCTCTTCGAGCTGCCAGTCCTGGGTGTCCCACTCGTTAGACCAGATCACGGTCGTGAAGCCAAGCTGAGTGGCAATGGCGCGGACGCGGTTATCAACATCACCTAGTTGATGTACAATAAGTGGAGGGAGGATATTATTAGCAGTTGCTTATACTAGAAAAGGGAAACATGTATATGAATAGCAAATGCATGGCTCGTGTAACGGCTGTCTTTGGAATAAGGAATGGTGGACGTATCACAGGCAGCTTACCATATGGAGGACGGTAGTACTTGATCTTGTATCCGGTGTGGTCGTAGATGTACTTCTCCGTCCACTTCAGTTCTGCGACGATCTCTTCGTTTGTCAGCGTCGTCAGTCCTGAGTGCGACCATGCTATCGGTCATGAAATGAAATGAAAAGAACGTGCATCCAATCGTCAGTAAACTACACAATAGATCCGATCGCGGTATCCGGCATCTTGGGTTTAATTGCGACTTACTATGGCTCGCCAAATGGTGGCCCTGCTCGAGCGTGTCCTGCAGCAGCCATGGCGCCTTGGCGGACTTCATACCGGTAACAAAGAACGTTGCCGTCACGTTCTTCTCTTTCAACAACGCTAGCAAGCTCTCTGTCGTGCCTGGCTGAGGACCATCGTCAAATGTGAGTCCCCAGGCGTTCTTGCCGGGACAATCGACCACATCGTCCGGTGCATAGCAACCGGTGCAGGTCCACCAGCAATCACTTTTGGGAACATCGTGCTTGGGACACTCTGGTGCGTCCCCGGGGGACTTGACCTTGCGGATAGGCAATTTGGGAACCTTGGACCAGTCTACCAGCTTAGCCCAGGCCTTGACCTCGGGCGTATTGGCGTTGGGTTTCTCTCCGTACTTGGGCCAGGGACTCGTGCCCTTGGGATGTGAGTAGTCAGGCTTATGCGGTATTTTGTTAGGGAAAGCCTCTACCAGACCGAGGCTACCGGACGAGATCATGCTGGCGACCAGAGCCACGGAGCCAAGCATGGCTGCTGTGGTGGTCTTTTTCGAGGGTTTGAATAATGTCATTTGGGTGCTTGTGGTAGGTCTTTCTTTTCTTTTTCTTTTTTTCTTTTTTCTTGATACGAGGACAAAGGCAGATGTAAAAAGCGAGAAATGATAGAGGGAGGAAGGGACAAAGGGCGCTATGCAGGATGAGGGATTCATTCAGAAAGAGAAAGGGCTTCCTTTTATTGTGATCGAGAAGAACTAGGGTATCTTCGATAGTTCTGATCTGCTCCTACAGCATCCTCGTTCGAATTACAATTCCAGTTGTCCAGTCATACGCACACAGATGCAGATACCGCACACGAACATCTATGGAGTTTCGAACGCAACTATGCAGCCCACGAATGCACGCAGCCTTGCAGAACTGGAGAAAGGAGAGAGGAGAATGACAATGTCGCTGCGAGGTTGGTCCTTATCTTTCTGAACGCCATCTACTTCTTACATAAGACCGCGAGACAAATTAGTGTTAGTAGTTTAGAAAAAAATCTTTATTGAAATGATTATATGTCTCCACAAGCGCGAGCAAAAAAAATATAAAGGCGGTCGAGAATGAAATCCCATCATCAAGGCAAGGACATCACAACAACGCCATCTGTGTTCTGGTCTCGGCTCAACGGCCCTACTCCCTGTCCCTGCTCCTGTTGCTGCCGCACCGTTGCCTCATTCTGGAAGGCAGTGCCCGTTCCGCCCGTACCGCCTGGAGGCACTGTAATGCTAGCCACAGCCTGTAGATTGCCTGTCTGTCTAGCCGACACCATCTTCTCCTGCATCGCCATGATGCTCTTTTTCATCGCCAACCGATCCAAATAGAGCTGCTGGCGCTGCCTCTCCAGCTCTCTCTTCTCGATCTCCAGAACGCTCTCCAGTTCCTCAAACTGCTGCAGCTTCAGTTCCATCTTCTTCAGCTGTGCCTCCACGACCTGCGTGACCAGCTTCTTGACCTCACGCTCCTCATTATCCGCTAGCGTCTTGGCCTTCGCAGCAGCCGATCCGAGAGCAGCAGCCCCTGCCTCTTGCAGGGTCGAACGCGACACTTCCGCAACATCCAAGTCTGCCTTTGCGGCCGTTGCCTCTCCGTTCTGCCTCATCTCCGTGTCCTCATCACCCTGCACGCTGTTTGTCCTATCTAGATCCATCGTGTCCGAGCCTTGTGTTTCAACCTTAAGTGCATCGTCACTGCTCTCGGCTGTACCGGTCTCCTTGACCGTCTCTGGTTCTCTATCTTGTGTGCCCTCCTCGCCGCCTACGGCCTTCTTGACTTGCTCCAGCTCCCTCAGCGCGCTCTTGGCTGCTGCTGCTGCTACGCTGGGGTTTACAACACTAGCCAAGAATGCCACGACACTCATTACTGGATTGTCGGCCTGACTGAATGGAATGCGATGGTACTGAAGTGGTCCCAGTTCTCGCTGGGTTTGTCCTCCCAGATATGGATCCTCGATGGGCAGCTGCAAAAAATGGAGAATGCACTGCTCTCGACTGCGTGTTCCGACATGGTCTGCCACCTGGCTCCAATCCTCATCAAACATCTCGAGACCTTCCAGCAAAAGCAGCGTCTCTTGATCCGTCCATGGGTCGTCAGTTGCGTGCTTAAAGTGTTGAGCATTAAGTCTAATAAATTCGCCAGAGGACATGGTCGATGGGAAGCGTCCTTCAAGGTAGCAGTTTTGGCAAAGTTCGAAATTCTTGGTCTTGATGCTGTGGTAACGGATCTTGGTGCAGTCAGTGCCACATGTAAAGCAGTTGAATCGCTGCTTCTTTTCAAGACTATCCTCACCATCCTTGACCGCCAGTGCTGTTCCGTTGCTGAAGGCATTGCGTCTGAGCTCCATATTAGATTCCTGCTTGGCGTCTCCAACGGCCTTGAGCTCGCCATTCGCCTGTGCTGCAGTGGGGGCTGCCACACTTGGAAGGAAAGGCTGTAATCCTCTTGGAGTATCTGCTGTAACGCGAAAATGACCTGTAAAGGCAGGACCAACTGTCGAGGGGCGGGTTTCGGGATCAACCTTGATAAAGACAGGAGCAGAGAGCAGGAATGTGAGTAAAAAGCAAATCATTCCATCGGCGAGTTCCTGTTAATCAGATTGGTCATGTTCATACCTGATAGTTGATTAGACCCCATTGTTCTAAAAAGGAGTGAACGCGAATGATGGCGCAGACATCTCCAGCCAAGTTTCTCCTGCAAGCGGTGACGGTAAGATACTCAGAGGGGTTGAGGCGATAGGTGTTGATCATAAAGTCGCGATAATCCTTGTACACTGTCGGGGTCTTGCTGCGGTTCTTCAGGTTGAAAAACTCTGGCAGGGACTTGTGCTCGATCTCGTGAATCTTGGCGAGCGAGAACCATGCCGCATAGGAGGGAATGATCACCTCCTGTGTTTGGCGAGAGAGATATCGGCCTGCCTCCTCCTCGAGTTTGAACCGATCTGCCTCAGCTTGTGTCAAGGCTTCTTCGTTTTCCGGTGGAGCGCTTCCCCTGTTAGAGTCCTTATCGGCTACGCTTGTCTCCTTGGTCTCAATTCCCTTTAATGGTGATTCTCCCGCCTTGGTTTCCATGTCCGCTTCCTTAGAATCGACCTCCATTAAGTCTGTATCGGCTGGCAGAGTGTTGTCCAGCCCCAAAGTGTCGGAAGCAGAGACCTCCTTCATAGATGCGTCTTCTGTTGGGGGTGCGGCGCCTTCGCTTTCTATTGACCGTTGAATCTCGTCCGAGTCCATTGGCGTAGATGAAGCGCTGCGTTTGACTCTCTTTGGGTGCGACTCGATTTTCTCAGAGTTGTCTCGCTTGCTTCTATAGCGCTGACTGGACTGTGCTGATGACCCTAAGCCTGATCCTGATCGGTACGTGCTACTCCCGTAATCCTCTTCATTCATCCACTCGTTAAATCTGACACTATCCTTGACCCAGCGAGTCGAAACGGTCCATGCGCCAGTGTGCTGTGGTAGCGGCTCAGGCTCCGCATAATCGCCTGACGTCTCGGATACCCACCCGTCGTACGAGTCAGGATAATACCAGTAATGAACAAGTACTTTTCCATCTTTCTTCTCGAGCGTGCGAAGCCATTCCTCTCCATCGGCACTCTCCTGTTCCTCTGTAGAATGATGCACAATATGTGAAGCAGTCTGGGGATCCGAAACAAGCGTTCCTATAGCGACAGCAGAACCCTGGAGTAAGTAATAATGAAGCTAATGAGATGACAAGAGCCGAACTTGCAAAAAAACGTTCACAGGCGTACATACCTCCAAGTTTATGGATAGAGGCAGTAAGGCCTTCGCGATCCTCTACATTGACCGATTCTGCAAAGGCAATGGCTGGGTTCCTGAGCATTCCGCTGGAAACGAGTGCCTCTCGGATGTGGGCAATCATGGAGAGGTATTGGGTTTGCTTCAAGGGGTTGGAAAGATCCCATTCTAGCCAACCCTGTCGTTGGCGATATCTGTAAGCTGTTAGAAGGATTTTGTAGATAGGGGAGCTGGTCGTGATGGTCTTGCTCCTAAGAAGCTTGGCGGGGATCCTTGCTGAGGCAGATGGCAAATTGTGGGCGTTGTGGGCGCCGAGGATATCCTGCTGAAACTGCTGAAGGCCCTGGATGAACAGAGCAAGCTCTTCGCCCGAGGGTGAGATGATGGATCCCTCTTGGTCCGCCTTGAGATCTCGCGTCAGCTCATTGGCAATGTGGTGAAACTGAGCGATGGTATCTGGAGCCTGATAGTAGGCGAGGTCTGGACCTCCTGATTTGCGAGCCGTCATGGTGGAGCCGTGCTGATGGTCAAGCAAAGAGAAGGACGGATGATTAGAGAAGGAGGTGTTTTCAGGCGCGTTGATCATGGCGAGCGACCCAGGAGCGGTATGTCTTAAGGGTCGTCTATCAGGTGACACTTAACCTTTGGCAAACAGACACTTCATTTTCTTTCGTTCATCCACAACACCACTATCACTCCTCAGAGCTACCCACATAATAATGTCAGCATTGCCCCCACCTCCTCCCCCACTTCCTCCAGGTACCTGTCTGCTAAGATGAAAGAATCCAGCATGAGCAACGAACGCTGTTTAAATGGACATCAAGTGCCTAACCTATTGCTTCCATTGCTGACGCAGCCACCGAAGGAGGCGCCCCTCCCTCTGCGGCCAGCACCCACTCGACAGTCTACGTCGGCCATTTGAGCGCAAGGACTGAACGTCGCGACGTCGAGGAGTTGGTATGTTTCTTTTAGAGTGACGGAAGCTAATTCATAAAGCGACCCTTTAAGAATCTCACGCTCTTATGGTCTTTTTGTCCTCCACCTGTGCTTAGTTCGAGAAATATGGACGCCTTGTATCTGTTGAATTGAAGCACGGAGGATTCGCATTTGTCGAGTACGAGGTACGTTGCAGTTGCGTATTTGAAGGGTTTATTCATCGATGTTGGTAGGGGATGGGGCATGTCGTTCTGCCATTTATTCATAAACGCATGTTTTAACTTCGTTTAGGATCCCCGTGATGCCGATGATGCAGTGAGCAAGCTGAACGGTTACGAATTGGATGGGAATAAGATTTCTGTGGAATGGTCGAGACGCTCTGGCGGCCCAGGCAGTGGTTGCTTTCTTTGCAATCAAACTGGACATTGGGCAAGAGAGTGCCCTGAAGCAAGAGAGAAGGGCATGGATGTCAAATCTGGAAAGTGCTTTAAGTGCGGCGAGCCCGGCCATTTGGCCCGCTTTTGTCGGTATGTCATGCGGAACCGAGTTTGATACAGACCTCCCATCTGTACAGATAAACTATAGTCAAAAGGTCTGATCTCTTTGCATCTCCTCATTACTAGTGGCCAAGACATAAGACGCCAGGGCGGTGCCCCCTACAGTGATTTCCGTCGCGGACCTCCTCCTCCTCCCCGCTACGGCGGACGTGGTCGCTCTCCTGTACCCTATGGTCGAGACCCCTATGAATATGGGTATCGTGGACGAGGCTACTCCCGATCGCCTGAGCGTGGGTATGGAGGGCCCAGTGGTGGATACCGCCAGCGCTCGCCTTATCGCCCAAGTGGTTACCGTGGTCGCTCGCCTTCTCCGTACTATCGTGAATCCGGACGTGGTCGCTCCCCTAGCCCATATGGGTAAGCCGCAAACCCTCTTTGTTACTATGTCTGCCTTTTACTAGCTGAGATGTGCAGCTCTTTGGTTTTCGTTCTCTTTGTTACTTCCTGATCTGTTCATGTGGTTTTGCTGTCATCCGTCGCATTGATAACACATGCTGGTCGATATGTTTTGTTCTGTTTTCGAGTCGTTTGTTTATCCCATTTCTGGATGGAGGAAGGGCGGGCGTAATACTTAACAGGATGAAATGGCGATGCTATGGACAAAAGGAACTCAATGGGCGTTAGGGTGCATGATCATATCATCGATATTGGGCGGCTGGACGATTTGAGGCAATTGAACACGCACGAGCAGTGTCTGGAGCGACCATCTGGCTGAATGCTGGACTTTGAAGAAAACAGATGACCAACTCTAGGACGGATCTTTCTCGGGAACCGTTTCCTTTCGTTCTTTCCCTTCCAATTTCTTTCGATCAGACGAGGCGCCCCACCACCCCCACCACCCCAGAGACGCGTCTAAGCCTGCAGGAGCCAGCCAGGATTCAGGACCCAGGAGCCAATGCCAACGGAGCGGGACCCAGGATCCGTTGACAGCTTTAACCAATAAGGAGCCATGATTAAACTAAATAAAGGCTGTGAAACAACGTCACTTTCGCATTCTTGTTTTGCATCTCGATCGCCTTGCAACCCTCAGCTTCGCCTACAGTCATCGCTTGCCATGAGGACAACGTCAGATATATTAAAACCCATACTACTTTCTGGGCGAACACACGGAAGAGCAGCATTCCATGGAATGCGCTGTGGAAACATTCATCTTCACTCGAATCCATTTTCAGTCGCCACGAATACTGCCGGAACTCCGTCCCGGCTCCGTCTATCTAATGCACCTACAGCCTGCATAATACCACGCGGCAGCGAACCATTCCTGGCGCCTATCCAAGGCGGCTCCACTCTTTGGAGGCACCCACTACGCGCTGGCATGTCGTCTCTAAGGGGACTTATGACGCAATCGAATCGGCAGGCGCCTGTGCTGAAATACTCTGGAGAGAGTAACGATCATGTCTCTCCTCAAGAATACAAGATTCGCGTCGGGAAAGGTATGTATAGTGATAGCGAATCTTTGTCAGCCGCAATGGAGACGAAGGGCTTACACACCCATCTTTATTTCGGACCCTCATTACGATAGCCGTCAGAACATTGCGCGAGGAGCTTCCGCAGTTTTTCCAGTATGGTCTTTGTACGACGTCGATCTACGCTTCAAATATCCGGCTTATCGAGGCTAGCCATACAAACGCGACCATCCAGGGCAAGCCCATCTACTTTTTGCTCGCTGGAGCTGTTCGCTGGAGCTTCAAAATATGGTTCCGCGACCTCGAGTTCGAGATCCAGTCGATCCGCGTGAACGATCGTGGAGGCAGGGGTCTCAAGGGTATGGACTCTGGTGGGGACTATGCCAACGCAACAGCATCCATCTTAAAGTATCATTCGAGCGCAGGAACACAGCCGTCATCAGCTACGCGGCCTGGAACATTTGATCATTGCATGGTAGAATCTCCCCTCGACTTTACATACCGCCATTACCCAGAACGTGGCAGTCGTGCTTTCGAAATGGACTGCGTCGACAAACTTGATAGAACGGTAGGTCCGGCAGGAACAGAAGGAGCCAGCGAAGAAGGGCAGTCTTCACCCCTCACCACGACTGTCACCATACGATGGACGATGAAGGGAACGACGCGGCCGTCAGTGGTTCTAACGTCCTCTGGGCCCGCGCCGCCTCCGCCGTCGTCGTATGCGGGCGTTTTTGTGTATCAGTTTAATGAGAATGGGCTGGTTGATGAGCACCGAATCGAGAATATCATGCCGTCTCCTAGCCCTGAGGCAATCCAGCGTGCGTTCGCTTGGTGGGGATGGCTCTTGAGTCGGACGCGTCCAGCAGCAGCGGCAGCATCAGACGAGGCGGAAGCTCGAAAGCGACTGGGCCTTGGCTATCTTGCAAACAAATAAACAGGCGTTCCAGGCTGCCTTTCTACCCTTGTATGAAAGCATCTGATGTTCGATTTGTTCATCATGTTCCTGAAATCGTACAGGTCCCGTCACAATTTCTATCAGCACATGGCAATATTCATTGACGATATAAGAAAATATGATGAACGCACCATGAGGAGTGGACGATACTACTTAAGCGCAATCGACATGCGCATCTCTTCGTTAAAGCTGGAAAGGTGGTTTGACGAGTTCGTCATTGACCAATTACTCAGTTTGAAATCCTCCAACCTGCCTCTTGCTCTCCCGATATCGCTCTTGATTGTTTATTTCGCTACAGGTCGGTCTCAATCGCCATCCTTGTTCGCGTTTCTCTTACCGACTACGGCAATGTCAACCTCCACTGCCGCTAGGGACGCTACGAAAGTTGGGCTCTTAAAACTGTTCACGCGCTGTCGGCGTATCATCCTTCAGGATACAGCTGCTCATCTCCATTATGGCCGCAAAAACGCGTTATTGCTGGGATGGTGGCGATGGAACACGACCCTTCGCAACAGCTGTAAGATCTTATGCTTTATCTATCGGATGATTTCAGGGTATTGGGGAGCTAGGTCAATTGGTGACACGAGTAGCCCTTGCGCTGACAAGAACAGACCGACCGTAAACTGGAGAAGCGCTACAGCATCAATCAGTTGCAGCAACAGCAACAGTTTTTGATGTTTATGTTTCAAGATCAAGCAAGCTCCACTCTCAATTCAACTTCCTCTAGTCGGGCCACTACATCTGCACCACGTTCAGTCAAAGAGCACGGTGTCAGTGGCGCCTCCTACCCCGGACTAGCCTACTACAGCTACTTACTGAATATACTCAAAACAAAGCAGAAATGCAAGTAGAGGCACAAACCATTAAGTAAAGTCCCCCTGGTGCTTGCCATGAGGGAGCAAGGTCAAAAACCGGGAATAAGGATGATTCCGGCGTCAAATACACAAGCACAAGAGCATGAGTTTTCACCAGCAGGAAGCTCAACAACTGCTGCACAAACACCAATAGATCACTCACCATCAGCAGTACAGGCATCTGGACAGGCAGAGCATTTAGCAGCAACCGAACCAACACAAGGACGTAAACCATTACATGCGCTACGTCCAGTGCCGATTTCACAAGCAGAGGAGGCACAACCTATGTCGACATTACCCCTGCATCGATAGGTCTTACAGAAGAATCATCCACGCAGCTGCGTTTCCGCATTGGAAGTCCCAGGTTCGAGGCAATGGATATTTTGTCAGGTTCATAAAAAAAGCTTTAAATAAAAGGCCTTCTGTCAAATACTGTACGTACAGTCGAAACTCGTTTTTGCGGCCACTTCCCACTGCAAATCGGCTGCAGACCTTAAATTTTTGATTGAATTGAACCTCTGAAAAGACTATTCTAAAGACGAAAAATACAATCACATATTCAGTCACATGTTGCGCTGCAAGTCGCAGACCCAGAAACCTTTATTCACGTTCATTGCTACCTTTCAAGACATTCGTGTCCATTTTATTCTTTAACGCTGCACAAACATGCACCAGTTCCTTCATTATCCCTCGAATCTCCCGCCTCTCCTTCAAGTCCTACTCCGTAACCTGTCTGAGTTGTTTGATGCCTTCAACACTGAGTACATCGTGGTCTCCTGCCAGATACTTCAGTATTTCAGTGGTCACATCCAAGTCCACGTCTGCTAACGGTGAGCCTGCATTCCCGCCATTGCTTGTAGACCCGTCACAGCTAACTTCGCCTTCGGAATGGTCTCCGTCTCTTTCTTCCACTATATTCACGTGTTGTAGCGCTTCACTACTCGGAAATTCCAACTGTTCTCCATAGTAATCTCGGCGATCAGATGCTCGAAATATGCCCGCTCCTGCTCTTTATGTTGGTTGTGTCGGGAGTATTGAAGTGGTTGTTGCTGTCCAGCATGGGTTGGCAGTCATCGTCGGAGCTGCTCGCGCATTTCCGTCGGAAGGACTGGCGTTTTGGCGAAGCAGTTTCGCAGCGTTAGAGGCTTCATTCGACTCCATGCATAGGGATCAATGTCCAAGCGAGTTCGTCAGAGATACGTTTCTTTTTATCATAGCTACGAGCGAGATAGGTTTCATAGCTGAGCATCTCCAGGAAAGCTCGTTTGAAAACACTAATCACGCCCGCGTCGAGAGGCTGCGTTACTGATGTAGTGTTTGTCGGGAGCCGTCGTATGTGAAGATGCTTCCAAGGCGTGTTGGTTCGTGGATCACGCATGTCGATGTTGTTGTGTGCACCTGCGGAGTCAAGAAGGAGAAGGGTTGGCTGCGAGAGACCGTCATCAAACATTTGTAGCCATTTTACGAATAGGTCTCTGTTCATCCATCCCGAATTTGTTTCCCTTATGAGCATCCTTTTCGCCGAATCTTTTTCAAGATCCTTTAGAATGCTTTTGCCTAAAGTAAAGGGCATTATAGAGTCGTAAAGGTCAAGAACGGAAGTAAAAAACACGAATAAATAAGAGACGATTGCAATACAAATCATACACTAAACGTATTACCGATAACCAACGGCTTCAACGAATCCTTGGTGTCTGCCATGGCGAGAGAGGAGTCAGAAGCATTAATGCAAAACAGGGTGGAGACCCTGCAGCTCCTGTTGGCCTTGGCGCCCGACTTTGACCCTGAAGTTGTGTAAGACTTGTCGTCTAGCTCCTGCAAGTAAAAGCCGGTCTCGTCGCAATTGAATACGTTATCCGGAGTGTATTGGGCGCAAAGCTGGCGGATGTCGGTAAGCTCCAGTTCAATCGCCTCCAGGTCGACCGATCCTGCTTCTCCATGAAGCTAGCAATAGATTATCCCATAGCGTTTCTTGAAGTCATTAAACCACGAGGCTGAAAATGACGGTGGTGCCTCAGATACAGTATTGCCCGAACTGTCCTGAAGATCGACTAGAACCGTACATGTTTTCTTGATCATCTTGCCGTTGACAGGGACGTTCTGCTTCCGCTGGTCTTGCAGCCACCGGTAGAGGACCTCCTCAATCATTAAGTCCTTGCGATTGACAATGTAATGAGCGCCTGTGGGGTGCGTCCTGGCTGCAGCATGTAATTTGTCCTCTCGCTCGAGCATGCGTTCAAGGCTACCTTTCGGAAGATGGAGTCCTATCAAGCGCCCAAAGGATCTGTGAGAAAGCTTGATCGGGAGGTCCTCCTTCCGATCATCGAGATAATGAAATATGTCCAGTAATTCGACTTGCTGCTCCAGCGTGTGCGAGACCCTGATCATTGGAATCTTGAACTATTCGGCGGCAGGAAGCACAAGGAGTGAATACATATCTTTGCGCCTAGCACTATCTAAAAGGTAGTTGTATCTCTGCCGACGAGTGCGCTCGATATCCTCAAGTTCGCGCTTGGTGTATTTTTTGTCATCCTTGGCAGGAAGGTCTACAAGAGTTGGCTTTTGTTTTTTGGCTGTCGTCGTTGCCTGGGCTGAGAGCGACTCATAGTGTCTTTTTTGGGGAGGGTTTGTAGTCATGGTGTTGAGATGTATAGAATACAACATGAGAGACGTGTCCATGGGTCTGCGACTTGCAGCGCAACATGTGACTGAATATGTGATTGTATTTTTCGTCTTTAGAATAGGTTCAATTCAATCAAAAATTTAAGGTCTGCAGCCGATTTGCAGTGGGAAGTGGCCGCAAAAACGAGTTTCGACTGTAATTGGTGACGCTCGCCTCTGGACCTCGAATAAGAGGAAGACAGGACTCGATGTCCGAGATGGAGTCTGACCGGCCCGCTGGAATCAACTGCTTCTCGTCCTCAAGCCACCGTCTGTATCGGAACACAGGCTGCATCACCGCTTTTTGGTTGACAGCAAGATTATGGTGGTGGGCTTTCGTGAGCCCTATCATTGTTAGTGGCGTTGTGGTCGCTTGTTGTTCCAAAGTGAGTCTCTGCATAACATCCTGTGGCGTTGTTGTCGAGGAAGAGATAATAGGGAATGAGCCTTTGAAGGACGGAGGGGCTCCTTGCACTGGATCCTTATTTTTGCCCGATTGTGGAAGATGTGCGTATGCTCCGACGACAAAAGCTTGTCCTGCATCAAGGGTGAGGATCTTGATATCTTTAGGATCGACACCAGGCCAGAGTCTCGCCACATCGTCTTTGGTTCGGACAACGTTTCGGATCTCCGCCAAAAAATCACTGGTATCGTGAAGTGTTAAAGTCAATTGAGGAGGTAGGCGATCGCCGGGCAACCGTTTGTATTTGACTGACAGAAGTTCTCTGACTTTGGAACACAGGAGCTGCATAGTGAATCCGTCAGTTCGTAAGGACCCCCTGAGAAAATATCCTTTGCAGGCATAGGTCTCCGGTTTGAACTCTGGATCGTCCAGCATCTGCAAGTCGGTCTCGAGATCATCAAGGGATAACAACTTGATCGCAGTGCGGTGTCCAGCCTTGCCTCTCTTGCGACTGGTCAGGTCTTCGGGATCGATATCGACGATAAGGTGCTTGATGAGAAAGCCTGGTTCTTTTCCCCCTATCCACTCCTCAACATCCCGCATGGATGTGCAGACGGTACCGACCAGTTCCTGAACCCATGCCCTCAGTGCGCCTCCGCGGTTGAAAAAGAACATGGCCGGTTGTCGCTCCGTAAAACTGACAAAAGGTTGCTTCGCTGTCGACATGGGGATGATCCTACGAGGGTTTGGACTCAATTTGTTGATCGCGAGGTAGTTTTCGATAGCAGATGCATCCTCTTGGATCTCCACGTTAACATCGGATCTCAGCAGCCCCTTCTTTTTCCTTTCCTGGAGCTATAATTGAGAAGATAGAAAATAATAAATAAGAGGCATGATAGGTATCGGTTTGATGTACATTAAGATGACCAGTAGTGCCCTCAACTCATACCTTATTATGCAGCTCACAGGTCCCATTACGGTACATTTTTTTGAGTTCAACTTTGAGCTGCAACGCCACCGATAGGAGTAACTCTTTTGGTGAGAAGGGAGTTATCTCGTTGAGAGCGGCCCGAGGACGTGGTGGGGCGTACAGTCCGAGATCCTTGAGGCGATCAATGAAATCGTTGACCTTCTGACCGGTACCACTTTTTCGTGAGTAGTTCCCAGAGTAGAGGTATGACAGAAAGCTTTGGAAAAACAAGAACTGCTCAGAGCCTTTGCCATCCTTGGATTTCTGGTCCATGTCACCACCATCCTCATCGTCGTCCTCTGCAGCACAACCGTCATCCAGTTTTTTCGCGTTCTTCATGGAGACTCGAGGACAAAGAAAATTCATGAATCGACGATCGTTGGGGCCCGGTCCATGCTTGTTCACATACTCGACAAACTTTCCAATTACTCGTTGACCTTGTCATTTAATCCTGGCAGCCTCGCGCACAGCGTTTCGGATATAGAGGGCAACTTCCTGTTGAACGGTACCGTCGTTTGGCAGAGCTCGTCTGAGGTTAGCGGATAGAGTACCGACGTTCAAAGTAGATGTTGGGTGCTGGTATTGTAATAACTGTGTAATAGTGAGCTTGCGGGTGGCTGCACTCGAATCGGACAACGTTTTGAATTTGGGCTTGGGCTTGGGCTTGGGCTTGGGCTTGGGCTCGTCGCTGGAGGGCTCAAGCTCGTCTTTTGCTTCAGGCTCCTTGTAAGGCTTGAACTTGTAGAGCTTCATCTTGACTGGGGGTGGGGGGTTTGTTGCCCCTGTCCTCGTCTTGAATGAGTAACGATGGCGATTTCGTGGGAGCTGCGTCCTTGGAAGCGGTGGGTGACCGTTTGACTCCTGAGACGGTAATGTGGTCGGAGGGTTATCCTGCAGATTCGGTGCAGGTTGTTGTGGTTGTGCTAAGGATGGTTGCGGTGATGGCGGCTGTGGTAAGCGCGACCCAAGGCCAGGCTTCAACATAGCTGGAGACTCAACTGTCCTATATCGAATGGAAGAATGCAAGGAGCGGAGGCGGATGACCTGATCCTTGCGAGTACTATTGACATCAAAGCAATAAGTAAGGTGAGCTGTGAGACGATTGCCGATACCAAGTCCTAAATGCCGTGCGATATTGAACAGAAATATAGCATACCTTGGTTGCAGTTGTGCGCGAAAACCTTTGTTCTCCCGGTACATGGCACAAAGATCCTTGAGTCGTTTGTAAAGCTCACTGTAGGACGAGACGCTGGACAAAGGGCGAGGATTGCTGACAGGCGTCTGTTGGAGATCAACTAAGACTCTGAGTGCAAGTTCAAGTGTTCTGTTGTCTGTGTTCTTTGAAACGACCTTGGAGTCTTCCAAATATGCATTCACCGTCTGTCGCACATCTGCAAAAATAGGGTAAAAAAAAGTAGAAAAAAATATATATATTAGTTAGATGGTTCAGCCTCGCTCCTTAATACTTTGATCATTGATATTTACCTTGTTTCTTGATCGTCTTGATAATCGAAAGGTTGGTCGCCGGTCCAAGAGGGTAGATATTTTTTCCGTAGTCATTGTTGGAGGCAACAGCGAGGGCCGTGAGTTGGATCCTGGACACACCGAGAACCTCACAGATATCCGATATCTTGTAGATCAGAATCAAGTTCTTTGAAATCGGGCGCCACATGGTTGACACGGATGGGTACGCGAGCATATCGCTGTCCGCAGACACGACAATATCGTCAGATCTGCAGTCCCGAGCGATCACAACATTAGCTTCCGTCTCGCATCGCTGAATGTTCCACCCCTCGTCCTGCATATACTTGACAAATGCATTACGGATGGGCAGGGACCAATAGAAGGAGGACGCAAGGCTGGTCCAGGCATCGGCAAAGTGTCGCTTACGAACCTTGAGGTTGTTGTCGATCCGTCTTTGTAGTTCATCCACACTTTCTTTGCATTGCTTAATGGTCTTCTTCGAGCTTCTTGGCGGATCTGAGCAGTGAACTCCTTCTCCTCTGCCTGGACTCCGTCGACGTAGATAATGATGTTTTCCTTGGTCCCGAACCGCATGACATCCAGCTCTAGAATCGTATGGGCCATCTCGATGGAGTTTCGTGTATAAGCATTCCTGATGACTGAAAAGCGAGAGAGAAGGTCGACTCTTCTGGTGGCGGTGCTCGAGGTTGTTGACGCGGCTGATGGGTAAAGTACAGAGGGTTGGTAACCCTTCTTACGAAGAAAGGCGTACCAGCCTTTAAGACCCATCACTTTCTGTACGTCGAGTGGTACGATGAGAGAGCTGCTGTCGAATGTGTAGTGTTTAGCTGAAGTAATGTGATCGACTCAATGGAAAAGAGGTCGGATGTCGGAAATCTGCAAAGACGATGAGGTTATGAGGTTTAAAGTAAGTGCTGTAACGCGTGGGGAAGTTATCTATTTGACAACCCGGGTTGCCATGCATTATCTGCCAACCCCCCCTAATTGACTGCTACTACGAGACTTATTTTGGCCCGCCTGCTGAATCCACATACACTGCAGCGGCGATTGAGGCAGCGGTCAGGCCGGCTCTACTCAGTACAGCTGGATCCATGCTACGAGGATGTGGGCAGGCTAGTGTAATGATTTCTCAGCAGGGGTAAAGGAGGAGGAGGAGAGGAGTAGTGGAGCAGTGAGGAGGAGTGGCAAGAGCAAGCAGATGCGAGTTAGTGCAGCCTGCGGTGGGCAAGTGTACAGTGGGCAGCATCAGCGGTCAATTAGAGGGGTTGGCAAACAATGCATGGCAACCCGGGTTGTCAAATAGATAACTTCACGCGTGGATTCATGTCAGAGTTTAACTCTGATTGGTATTGTCATGTGACGCTAGACGCGTCTTAGATTGGATCAACGTCGCCCTCATCACAGAGAGCTCCATGATGTAAAGATGAGCAAAGGCAGCATCGAAGCGTCTAAAACCATGGATTACTAATCAGGACCTTTATTCGTCTGATGTATATAAAGAAGGACAGGCTATGTAGTTGAACCACAGTTCATATACTCACAACAGTCTAGCCAATAAACAATTGTCTTCACACATTCGTCTCTGTTCACTCACCTTGTTCACTCGTCTCCCCTTGTTTTCACCTCGTTGTTCCTCGCTCACCCACAAGTCTTACATATGACGTCCGTACAGACGAAGAATCCGCCATCATTGCTGCCTGTCGCTGCAACTATTATGCTCAACGTCAGGCGCCGTACAAACATACGTATTTAATCGCAAAGGTCTAGAAGGGTATGGAGATTTCTTATCAAGGAGAGCCTTACGAAGTTGACCACTTACAAGTACAGGCCGACCAGAAGGATTTTGACCCTTCACCTGATTCAACACTTCCACCGTCTTTGGAGCAAACCCTTCCATCATCAATCCTTCTTCTACTTCATAGGCAAAGGGCAGAAAAGGCGAAACAGAAAAGAATGGCCAGAGAAAAAGAACAAGAGCAGGAGCTTCAGGATCTTGAGGTCGATCTGAAAAACATGATACCGGAGATCGTCATTGCCGCTAGCTCAACAAAAGATGAAATGTACGCTCGAGTACTTTCAGACCACAACTGCAGGAGTAAGGAAGGCCTCGCTTGAGGTAAAGGGCCTCAATACTGTCCAGGCGGGACAAAGATGTCAGAAATAAATGTGCTGAAGCAGTTAGCCGTTGTCAAACAAGAAGATTGTTCCAAAATAGGATGGTCCTTTCCACCCTTAAGTCTGCGTCACTGATGACGTAGCTTTCGTCCCCCTCAATGTCCTCTCCTTCATCACCCCGCTTCCCTTCACCTCGCTTGTTCGCCTCTTCATCGCTCATTTTTCCCGCAAACCAGTCCTCATCCGCGACTTGTGCCTCCTGCTCCTTTTTCTCTTGACGAAGGTAATGTTCTATTGACTTCCATTCCGAAAGAGTCAGTTTGTTACATTGCTCCTACTGTGTCTATGAGGGTGGGATGCACAGCACTGACTGTACATCCATACGGGTGCGGACTTTCAGCCACTGTCCAGAAGGCCTCTGCGTCTGGTTATGCTCACTGTCGCTCATCTGATGCCTCACAGGTGCGGGCAGAGATGGAGCTCTTTCTTTCATTGGCCTTTGGCTTCGATTTATTCATTGCTCCTACTGTGTCTATGAGGGTGGGATGCACAGCACTGACTGTACATCCATACGGGTGCGGACTTTCAGCCACTGTCCAGAAGGCCTCTGCGTCTGGTTATGCTCACTGTCGCTCATCTGATGCCTCACAGGTGCGGGCAGAGATGGAGCTCTTTCTTTCATTGGCCTTTGGCTTCGATTTATTCATTGCTCCTACTGTGTCTATGAGGGTGGGATGCACAGCACTGACTGTACATCCATACGGGTGCGGACTTTCAGCCACTGTCCAGAAGGCCTCTGCGTCTGGTTATGCTCACTGTCGCTCATCTGATGCCTCACAGGTGCGGGCAGAGATGGAGCTCTTTCTTTCATTGGCCTTTGGCTTCGATTTATTCATTGCTCCTACTGTGTCTATGAGGGTGGGATGCACAGCACTGACTGTACATCCATACGGGTGCGGACTTTCAGCCACTGTCCAGAAGGCCTCTGCGTCTGGTTATGCTCACTGTCGCTCATCTGATGCCTCACAGGTGCGGGCAGAGATGGAGCTCTTTCTCTCATTGGCCTTTGGTTTTTGTTTCTCGACTTTTCTGTACCTCTATATACGCACAACTTAATGACTAACCCTGGTATACCCGAGACAACTTGTTAGGAATGAAGACATTTAAAGATTTCGTGCTTACCGACACCCATGACCACGGCACCTTTGAGAAGATATACTCTTGCTTTGTAGCATATGTTGGTCGGCAGCGTGGACGTGGAGACTCATCAGCAATTCAATACAGGCTTGACGCGGCTCAATGTCGGGAGGAGTACCACGATGTGTTGATACAGGGAAACATCAGTTACTCACATGTATCGGCCAGTACCGTCTTACAGACTTTCGTGCGACATCAGGTTGCCAGTAAGAACAGCTATTATCGTCTTGGTACTGGTTTTTTCATGCTTAAATGGGATCGATTGTAAACTGCATTTATTTTCCTTTGGATCTGATAGAGACCACCCAAGGCCTTCGTGGAAAATCAGACGACAGCAAGAGGCGGCTCACAACTACTTCGTCGGAGAGTTCGGTTCCCTCGAAAAGATCAGCTGCAGAAGTTGTCTCTGAGATTGGAGAGGAGGCTGAAGAGGCTGATGTGAGCGCTCCAAGTCCTGAACCACCCCATAAAAAAGTCACCTTCCTGGAAGTCGAGTTCCCTTCGGAATGTGGAAGCGATTACGCCGATTCCAATCCCTCTTCGACCAGATCATCTCTGAACTCCATTGACTTCCGCTTTATCGATCATTTAGTTGGACCAGGCACATCATCTTCACGACTGACTACAAACGCTCGCCTCATAATCGACCAACTTGATGTTTCCCAGCTACTGATGGACGCGCGAAGATCAATGATAAAAAAGCAAAGCGAGATCACGGATGTTTCGGATTTGTTGTAAGTGGTTGCTGTATGGCTTCTGAACTTTTTTTTTTTCAATAGTCTGACATCTCTCTTGTATCTTGTTTATAATGCATGCGTGCTTTAGAACGATTAATTTTATTTTTGACGCGAACTTCCTGAAGAAACACGTCCCGACGAACATCTTGACATCATTTTTATCGACACCACTACCCACACCACCTGATCGAGAAATGAAGTTACTTTTAGACTGCTCTGTGTTTGCGGCATCACATTCATTCCAGGAGACCAAAAGACACATTCGGAACAAAATCCAAACAGAAGGAGAGAGCCTTGTAACAGACATTCTTCGTCATTATACGGAAAGACCCTACCTCTGGCAGCACAGTACTTCATATCCCATCCCTCCGCCATCACTGACACAGAATGAAGACACTTACACGCAGGCCATTGTGAAAAATATTATCCTCGGCGTAGTCGGCGATCTGGAGCTGTCGGATCATTGGTAAGTCAAAATGAGTAGCCGATGGTTACATTTACAATACGAACAGCTCCTAAATTTCTCGTTTTCTGCTATGGTCCGTTTTAGGAGTCGAGACCCACTACCCACTCCCGCCGGTTTTGAGGAGGCGTATAACCCCGATTATTTCGCGGAATACGATGAATTTCCTCTTTTGATTGTTGAGATCAAGAAACCAGGGGCAAATGATAACGATTTGGAAGGGGACCAGCGGAAGCTCCCTTGCATGCAGAAACTGATGATAGATCACATGCTCGGTGCCGGGATTAAGGGCCCTATAGTAGTTGGATTCTTGATAAGACGTAAGTACTTTTGCGTTTAGCAACACCTCTTCTGCTTAATGATCACGGCACTGATTTGCATGACTTCTTAGGCTCTCGCTGCGAGATTTCCCTGATGTCGTTAGATCACGAAGCTCTATACGTTGTCAAATCAATAGGAGCCTTTGAGCTTCCGCGTAACAACCTCCAACTCAGTCTTCTTTGCCCTGGATTAGGTCTTTTGAAGTTAGTGCATGTAAGTGATTATTCTTTTATTGCTCTTTGGTGCCCAGGCGTCTGGCTGTCTGGCTGTCTGGCTGTTTCTTAAGCCATTTTATGCGTCAACTGTGGTAGGAGGTGGTATCGAAAACCCTCGCCGCAATCAAGGCACGCGATAGTAACCGTGGCATGAAGGGAAAATGGCGCCGCCCCTCCTATTACGTCAAGGGCAACCGAATACCAATTCCTAAAGTTGTGGTTGATGAATATGTGGACCCAACGGCATTGAAGGCCGCAGACAAGGACAAGGATGAAGAGAGGCCTCGTAGTTGCCTTACCAAATTGACTTGACATGGCGTCCCTTGCTCCCTATCAAATTGTTTGCATACTTGAACCTATCCAGTTGCAGTATAGTCGAAACTCGTTTTTATCCCATTTTCCGCGCGCAAACCTGCAATAAAACTTTGAATTGAACCTCTTTGAACGAGCTATTCTAAAGGCGAAAAATACAGCAGGCCAAAATAAGTCTCATAGCAGCAGTCAATTAGGGGAGGGGGGGGTTGGCAAATAATGCATGGCAACCCGGGTTGTCAAATAGATAACTTGCCCTCATGCGTGGAGCATTGCTAAGTACACCAGTAATGTCACGACCTGCGCGAAGACAAGTCGCCAAAGAAAAGGTTTTCGGCCAACAAGGATCCGTCGCTGGTAGATCTTCGGGACAGCCAGGGCAGACCTACAACATCTATTATGATCGGTGGAGTGGAGGCGGTCGGTCAAGAGAATCGGGTGGCAGCGGCAAGGAGAAGGCGGCCTATCGATGTGACCTAACCAAAGATTCAGGCAGGACCAAGGGAACATATAACCCGAATGCGTACTTTTGCGCGTTCTTCGCAAAGGGATGCTGCCCGAATGGGTACGAGACGAGAATGAATCAGGCATAAAGGTAGTAAACAGATCACAACGACTTGTTCGGATGCTAACCTGCGTTTCCCTTCATTACAGCGAGGACTGCGGCTGGCTTCACAGGATTCCTACGCGACAGGATCATGTGGACTCTGGAATGGATGTTTTTGGACGTGAGCGATTCGACGAGCATAGGGACGATCGCGGCGGCGTAGGGTCAATGCGGTCTGATAGTAGGACGCTTTATGTCGGCAGGATACAGCCGTCTCCCGACATCCAGGCTGTCGTCGAAAAACACTTCAGCGCATGGGGTGAAGTCGAACGACTCAAGGTATTGGCGGACAAAGGCGTCGCTTTTGTTACCTATCGAAGTCGATTGAATGCCGAGTTCGCGAAGGAGGCTATGGCGAACCAGTCCTTGGACCACACAGAGGTAAGCATGAATGCCGTAAAACATGCTGACTATCGAAGCCCCACCAGAAAGAAGGAGTCGCTGACTGCCTTGAAAATATTCTTTCTGTTTAAAGGTTTTGAATATCAGATGGGCTACTGAGGATCCGAACCCACGAGTGCAGGCAGTAAATAAGCGCAAGGCCGTCGAACTTACGCGAGAGGTAATAGAGTCCAAGCTGTCGGTTGACTTCAAGCAAGCACAGCACCTTCCTGGATCAGAAAAAGCTGAGATGCCCGGACCAGGGAAACGGCAAAAACAGGAATCTACTGCTGCTGAGAATGATACATCTAATGGAGCTCATGCTCAAGTGCCGCAGTTGTATCGTGGAGCTGATGGTCAATACTATTATGATTATGGCGACTACGGATATAACCATGAGACGCAGCAATACGATCCCATTCGTCTAGGGCACTATCAGGAGAGCGCAGGTAGCGGAAGCTCGGCTCAGGGTGATGTTGGCTCGGTACCCTCATTACAGGATCGCGTGAAGGCGTCGTTATCAACTGCAGCGCCCAATACCGCCTCACCTGCTTTCTTGTTGAAGCCATTGCCAGGATTACTCTCGGGAACAACAATCAAAGCGTCGGAGCCGAAGCAAGCACCATCCATGCCCAATACCTCTGCACTTAGTGCCCTTATTGCTTACGGGTCCGATGATTCAACGAGCGAGGATGGCGATTAATAAATCAGTTGCATCGTCAAAAAAACATAACAATATCCTTTATGTTGTTTATTTACAACAGCGCATACTACAAGAGAACATGGCAGTTAGTGATCATCTTCAGTAGGCCCAGGGCAATTCTCTGCCAGATCTTCAGGATCACTGTACTGAGCAGAACACCAGAAGCAATAGAGATGCTCATCCCGAAGATGTTGAACCACTTTTGCAAGTTTCTCAGGCATCTATGATCGAGGAAAAGGTAGTAGTTAATGTGAGTTCAAATGTATCAATCAATCCCAAGCAGTTTCAAGTCAATATACTATGGAATCATACCTCCAGCTGCGCAAAATCTGGTCTTTCGCCCCACTTTGGTGGTTCCTCGTCCTGCACGACATTGTCATAGACTTCAACAGTTCGCAAGGGGTCTAGTTTGATCCTTTTCTCCTTCTTGTGCTCCGGGCCACCATCCTCATCATCGCTGTGATCAAACGCGCCTATCGAAGCCTCCTCACCCCGTTCCAGTGCCAACCCGTCCTCTTGAACGACAACTTCGGCGCCAGGGCCCATCAATTTCGTGCCCAGAATTTCGTCCGGTACCGAATCTGCGATCCACCAAAACGAGTTGGATCTTCCTAAGTTTCTGAGTTGATTTGTCTCAGCTATTTCAGAATCAGCTTGAGCCTTCTTGGCATCCATGACCATGCAGATTCCTCTTGCTGCTCCCACTTGACGCGTCCGTTTCTCGAGCTCAAATTGATTGCGCTTCTGACCACGAAAGCCCTCATCAAAGACGCGATGGGCCTCACTCTCGTGTCTTTGTAATTCTTCCTCAGCTTGTCGTTTCCGTAAAGAATCCATACCCAGTCCACCGCGGCCCTGTTTGATCTGAATCTCGAGAGGTGCCCGCAGTGCATCCGAGCGACCGAGGGCTTTACCATCCTTGCTTATCGAATCGGGAGATGTTTTTGAAGGAGCGGACGCTTCTGCAATGCTGGTCTGTGGTTTTGATGCTCCTAGCGTTCCACCTTTTCTAAGAACACCATGACGCGTTGGAGGAAAGCCTTGATTAGTACTCACGAAGTCAAGTACTATGTCCTTGAAAGACTGGCCTTGCTTTCTTGATAAACATACTTGAATCCCATCTTGAGGAGCATAGCCATGCCCTTATTTTCCTCCCCAATCTCCTTGGTCAATCCTTTCTCTCGCGCCTCCTTTTCTCGGACATGCAGCGGCTTGGGAAGGTTGGCAAGGTGCTCAGTGTGCTTTTGTCGTCGCCGCTCTGAATATGTAATATTTTCTCTCCTCGTCTTGTCATTCGCGCTATCCTGGGCAAGGCTTTCCAAGAAGGCTTCAGACATGTAGTCCTCCTCCTCTTCCTCGTTCCCGACACTGCTCATGACTGTAAGTTGAATAGGATGTCGGGTTCATGGAAAAGTCGGATCAACTTGAGAAGCATGCTCGGTGGTGCTTTACATCGGACTGCTTTACTGGTATTGGCCGATTTTGAGGATCCCTGATCACTGTTGGGCCATCGCTTTTTTTCTGACCATTGCCATTCCCACAAGACAATTCACCAAAGCCAAGGAATACCTGGACAACGAGAGCAAGCCCTCGCATATATCACATTATGTTACACCCGAATATCGAGGATGATGATACGTTCGAGCCTATCAACTCAACTCCAGAGGACTTCAACCCCAGCGACACCGTCAGTTCTTTTCTTTCCAACACAGCATACGATCCTGCACGGCTCCACCCCCTGGCCGGCCTCAGTAGCGGCGGCGGTCTCGACTACATCAGCCTCGAGGACGATGCCGGTCCGATTCCCGGTGCACAGGGGGGAATCTTGCCGAGCAGAGGATGGTCGGACGATTTGACATATGGAACAGGTTTGACTTATATTACCGGTCTGAGCATGGGAGGAGCATTTGGTTTCTATGAAGGTCTTCGATCATCACCAAGCCCGGCAATCAAGATCCGCCTTAACACTGTTTTGAACTCGATGACTCGTCGAGGACCATTCATTGGAAACTCGGCGGGTGTCCTCGGTAAGCAATAATTGGTGTTTTGTTCTCTCTGTCTTTCAATGAACACACGTCTGTGCTGTTACTCAAGTATGGGGTTTGTCCCAATACCTCATGAACTCTGTTTAGCTCTGATGTATAACGGGGTCAATGGAGCTATTGGCAGAGCCCGCGGCACCTATGATCCTCTAAACTCTGTTGCCGCCGGGGCCTTGACCGGTGCCCTCTTCAAATCAACAGGTAGCTCACAGTGTTGAGCAGGGCACAATGCAATTGTTTATCTTATACGCAATTGATACCTGTAACAGGCTATTGAAATCTGTCTTTCTGCTTCTTATATCACTATTAATAGCGGGATTGCGTGCAGCTGGTTCCGCAGGAGGCGTGTGTGCAGCGTTGGCCGGCATCTGGGCGTTTGGCAAGGAAGCCGTTTTGTAAACTACATGTACCTCGTCACTGTTCATTAAAGTAAATCAGAATGACATGCAGAGTAACAAGGGTACCAGCCAGACGGAATTCATGACTAGCAGTATACTCAATATACTTTACATCCATAATGATTTGCTGTGCGCAACAGGTAGCCAGCAAACACGTGCCTGTATCCTCTGGTCAGTCGCAAGCAATGCATATCCTCATCCCACAGTGCTCCTTCCCGCACGCCAACATTATGCTCCCAAACCTGTTTGGGCTGCCTCCACGCTCCTCTGGCAAAGCCAATTAGACCCGGAGCCTGCTTGCCTCAAGCGGAATTGGAATTCCCTTGGGGGCATGGTAGCGGCCAAAAAGATACTCGTAGACAAAGAGCAAGATCGCCGTAGAGGAGCTTCGACGCGACTCGCAGGCACCATTGATGCGTTTTTGTGCTCTGCAGCGTTGTGATGATGCCAGCGATATTCCCCTGTATGTACCTTGCTGCACGTCGCGTCCCTTCCCCTCGTCTTTCTTCGTCGTCTCTCCCTCATCTGTCGTTTGCTTGTTCCTCGTTTCCACCGTCGAGGCCATTGAGGGCCTTCTTTCTTCTTCAGCGGGCTCTGATCATTCAGCAAAGGTAGACTATGTTGCACTGGTGTTTCTCTTCCATTTATTCTCGCAAGCAGCGACTGCGCCATGATGGACTCCTTTATTCTTCTTTTTCTGTCTTACAACACTTTCTTCTCTTGCAATCACTCTCCTCTTTTTCTCTCTCTCTCTCTCTGTCTTCTAGCCATCTGTTCTATCCGACTGATCAGTGACCGAAGGGGCGGATTACATCGAGGCACGGTTTTTCCAGCGTGGGCTCTTAGGTTTGCTCTGTTTCGGTTGCTCCCAAAGTGTCTGTGGGGGTGGGATTGGCAGCCGCCTTGGCTGCTGATCAATACGGATGCAGACTTTTAGCCACTGTCCAGGAGTTCATTTCTGCGTCTGGTTATGTTCACTGTCGCTCATCTGATGCCTCACTGGTGTGGGTAGAGAAGAGAATGTTTTTATTTTTATTTTTATTTTTTTTACACTTGACATATACGATCTTCTGGCAACTAACCCTTGGCATGACTCCGAGATAAATTGCCGTCTTAGAATGAAGCCGTTCAAGGATTTCGCCGTCGTCGGCACCCACGGCCATTCAACTTTGATAAGATATATAGCTGCTTTCTATCATATATTGGTCATCAACGCGGACAGGGGAACGAATTAGCGCAAAAGTACAAACCCGACGTGGACAAATGCTGGAGATTCAACACTCTGTTGATGCAAGGTCTTCCACACGTGGGTTTAAATCTTTGTGGCCTGGAGCGTCCCTTTGGATGCGTGACTGTTACACCAAAGCAGCATCCAAGCTTTGGAGCAGCCCTGTTCCTCGTTCGCGCGTCCTACATCCCTCTTCCATTCCTTCACTCATCCACACTTCATCGCTCTCCTACCCGCACACTTTTCGTATAACTAACGTTGAATATCAGTACAACATGCTGAAGAACTCCACCTGGAGTAAGTACCGTATTCGTTGTTGGCAAATACACGATATCTTCTTTCAAATCATCTAGGCATGTCCCTCATCGACCGCGTTATTGCCTTCACTAGAGCTCGAGGACACAAACTTGGCCGAGTTTGGAAGCGAGCTCGAGAAGCAGCACCGCCAGGAAGAGGGCGCGCTCGAGACCGCCTGGGGCAAGGACACTGGTGTCGGATCCAAGGCCGGTCTCTGGGTCTGGCGTATCGAGCAGTTCAAAGTCGTGCCCGTTCCCAAGAACCAAATTGGACAGTTCTACAGCGGAGACAGCTACATAATCCTCAATGTAACGTCGTCTTCCACTTTTCTCCGCAGATCTATTGGCTCATGACATCTTTCGGCCTATGCAATTGCTCGCTTTTTAACCCGCGCGAAAATTCCGCCACTCCTGCGGGCTACTTTTATCTATTGCATCTAGTCATATACGAAGAAGGATTCAGATGTGCTGTTGCACGACGTTCACTTTTGGCTGGGAGAGGAAACTACCCAGGATGAGGCCGGCACTGCAGCCTACAAGACCGTCGAGCTTGATGACTGTAATGACAACCCAGACCATCCCTTTGGCTGTGCGATAGAGCGAATTAAACTTGACAATTTCTCAATTTTTCTTGATATCCCACTTTTCTCGCACTAGACCTCGATGGCCGACCCGTCCAACACCGTGAAGTACAAGGTAGCGAATCCAGACAGCTTCTCTCGTGCTTCAAGTCCTTTACAACCCTCGGAGGCGGCGTTAAGTCTGGTTTCCACCACTGGACCGAGCCCGAGTACACGGTTCGTCTGCTGATGGTCAAGTCCGCACCTACTGTTCCTGGACGTCACAAGTCCTCAGTCGTTGTCAGGGAGGTTTCGAAGGATCAGATTAACACGGGCGATGTCTTCATTCTTGATACCGGCAAGGTCCTCTACCAATGGAATGGCAGGAAGAGCTCTGGCATTGAGAAGGTCAAGGCGGCAGAGTACGCGCACGGCATCGAGGCCGATCGCGCAGGGGATGTCAACGTCGAGACTTTTGGTAGGACATACGAGGATGCTATGGTGCACATACAATACTGTCGTGTATTCCTATTTGTTCACGATTGCTTGCTCACTACAATATTTTGCTATTCATCTTGCAGATGAGGGCGATCGTGACCAGAGACTGTTCTGGAGCGCACTGGGCGGTGAAGTCGAGGTCAAGCCAGCGGAGGCCGTTGCCGAGGAGCCCGAATACGTCAAGAAGCTGTACCGGTAAGAGCATGCTTTTTCTCTGCTGTCTTTTGCATCTGCTGAATTGCTCAACAGTGCTGATCGATATTGTTCTCGTCTCATATTATATCCTTTTAGCCTATCCAACGAAAGCGGCTCAATGACGTTCACGCTCGAGGCCTCTGGCCCCAAGGTCACCAAAGATCTTCTAGACTCGAACGATGTCTTTATCCTCGATGTTCACCACGAGGTCTTTGTCTGGGTCGGATCTGGGGCCAACAAGGAGGAGCATCGCATGGGCTTGCACTACGCTCAGGAATATCTCAAAAAGGAGGGTCACAGCAGCCACACTCCCATCGCCAAAGTCTTCGAGGACGGCGATCATACCATGTTTGACAATGCCCTGAACCGCTTTTAAAGCACACCTCCACTGCTAAAAATGCGGGACGAGGAATGTATTTATTTAAATAAAGTTGAACCGCTTCACAAAGGTTGATGCGTGTTGTATCTATTCAAGTCGCGACAGCACTTCTTGGACCGATGTGCGGATCAAAGGAGAGATGTCAGCTTTGCTCTTGACCTCTGTGAGCGTGTCCTTGATTCCAGACTCCCTCAAGAAGGCCAAGTAGGCGGAATCCTCGCCCTCACGCGCTCCAGAATCTAATGCGTTCCTTAAGAGCACGCAGACGTTCATACGAACTTCGTCGGGACACTTGCCGTCCTTGTTCTTGATTAGACTGAGTAGACTCTCCAGCAGAGTCAGTTGTTTGGCCTGGTCCAGAGGCTCTTCAGATATAGTGTTCTCTGGATCGGGGTGTTCATCTACGGCAATGGAAACAAGGGCGTCAAGAACAGCGTTTTTCTCTATTATTTTTCGATAAGTGGCGTGGCAAAAGTGTTATGAATCGTTAGGCTTATATCATTCCTGTGTGTATGCGTGCTCAATTATGCATCGAGTCCTCCTTCTTACCTCGAGCGGGACTTGTCACGAGAAGGGTTAGTGCAATGACTCCCTCATTTTGCAAGACGATATACTTGGGGTTCCTGGTCATGGCAGCAATCTGAAGAACCACCTCAGGCTTGTTTAGGGTCTGCTGCAAGGCTGTGACAGATACCGTATCGAACTCCTTCATACTCTCGCTTCCCCAGATGACCTTGATGAGATTGCACAGTGTCCTAGTTCCTTCACTCTTCAGTGGGAAGTCATCGGTTCTCCCAATGACATCCACCAGTGTCGAAAGTGGTGTCTCATTCTCACTCTCCGTGTGAGGCGTTGACGAGAGAGTCTCGAAGGGTTCGCGCCCAGAGATGACCCGGATGGTATTGTGGCTATTGCCGGTGCAGAGCCGTTTTAAGATCCCAACAACATTGGCTTGGAGAGGGAGCGCATTGTCCTTTTTGAGAAGAGGGAAACAGGCCTGGATGACACCTGCATCGCCCATGATTTCCCTGTTAATTTCTGGAAGCGCAAGATTTCGAAGCACCCCTGTTGCGGCATGGCTGGCCTTCAAGTCCGTTGCCTTCCTGACGACGTGGATCAATGGCTCAACAGCGTGATATTCATGGACCAATTTGACGCAGTGTTGGTCTAGAACGAGAATAAGCCGAGAAAAGAATGTGTTCGTCAGAGATATCCTTATCGACATAGCGGTAACCATAAAGACTGTACCGTATTTATACCTGATCGTGCTACATTGCCTAGACAGAGAGCTGCGCAGGCCTGCAGATCTTCTCGGTCGGCGAGGTTGAGCCATGCAAGAAACTTGTCCATAACCCCCTTGTCATTGAAGATGGGTACCATGTTGGCATCTATGATATGAATATCAAAGATCGTTAGAAACTGGATTTAAATACGTCCACTGTTGTCCCCACAAGGGGATCGCCAAGGAATTTGCACTAACCTGCAAGTGTCACTGAAACGACTACTTCCACTAAAGCGGCCTTGGTCTCTCCAAACTTCTTGTCATCCTCCTTCTTTTCTTCTTCACTCTTGCCCTCATCAGAAGTGCCAGCGTGCTCGAGGATATCGAGCAATGGTGGCAAGAGTCCCTCCTTTTGAATGACAGTTTGTGCAGATTCCTTGGACGTCACAGCACGCAAGATATCGGTTAAGGCATCCATAAGATCCATGTACGCCTCCACATCCTCGGCTGTCTTTTGCAAGAGCTGAACAATGGTCTTGATGCCGTTGAACTTGACCACAGATTGAGCTCCAGCATCTAGAGTGCATCAAGAAGATTCATGATCAATCATCTATTCATTCGGCACTCTTTGATTGTTTCACTTCAAGCTTCCTGATACATACCAAGTTCGCTGAGGTTGGCGATAACACGGGAAGCAATTGTCATGCTGATTTCGTTGTCGTCGATATTCTCCGATTGCAGGACCTTGAGCAATTGTTCGATTGCGTCCAATTCGATCGCCTTGTTCTGTGCTGGCTCTATATGCCAGTGATGTATCGCATTCCTGCGTCAGTATTTCCAACGCCTAGACCACCTAGATCAACTGTCCCTGCTGTTCATGACCTTGCACCATGATGCATCCCTTACCACATGCCATTGTCGTGTTCAAGAGTGCTCCGCAAGCTGTCTTGATCGCATCTGCGTGGGTCGTGTGTCTGAGAATCTCGATAATGGTCGTAAATGCGTTCTCCTCTAGGATCTTCTTTCTGTTTGCCTCTACACAATGATAAAATTTGGTGGTGTCAGATCAAAATTGAGTATTTCGCTTTTTTTTTTCCTCTAGTTCAACCCAAGGACGAACTCTTTGCTTTACCATGATCGACGCAGATGTTGGCGAAGGCGCGCATGGCCTGGATATCGACGTGGGCCAGGCGCTGCTTGTTCAGGGCTTCGAGACTGACAATCAATGCCACGGCTTTTGAATCTCCAATAGGGGTTCGTGCATTCTCTATGTAGCGATATAAGCAAGCGGGTGTGTCAGTTTCTCATTGCTCGACGTTTCCGGCTGGTGAATCGTGGCAAAGGTAGAGGCGCTATCCACCCTCATAACAACGATTAGACGCCTGATCATGTTGTGCAGCATGCGCACCTTCTTTGGCAGCATCGGCAAAGAACTGGAACGCGTTGGCAACAAGGTCCCAGGCCTCTTGTGAGTCGGCATCCTGCTCGAGCTGAGTCTTGGCGTCCTCGAGTTTCTGAACGTGGCGTGGGATCTGCGAATCGATTGCAGACGGATCTATTTTATGAGTTGGAAGAGGACGGGCGCAGGCACACGGATATGCATGCTTGCATGTCAGTAACGGTTCTCAATGCGCTTCAATCGCTTGGGCAAGGTGGCCATCAGAGCATCTGAAAGGGGGAATAGGAAGGAAGCAATTGCTCGTGTTTCGCGCGATATTGCAGTACTATTGGACGATAGCTTGATGTCCTGGACGAGGCTTGCGAAGGCAGCGTCGTCCTGGGGTGTTGCATCTAAGCTCAAAGACACATGCACATTGTCAATGGGATGCTCCCCTTTTGCAAAAGGATGATCTGCATCAGCAACGCACGGGAAGGGTGATGCGTTGTACCTGTGTTGTTGGTGTTGGCAGACATCGGGCAAGGTTCAGAGGAGGAGGAGTCGGTGGGTGGTAAGTGTCGAGGGTGTGGATGCAGACGAAGGGGGAATAGGGAAATTAGGAAGAAAGGAAGTAGGCCTGGCGCACGCACACATTCACATGCACCTTTTCGTTCTCCCCCCCCCCCATCTCCATCTTCGCCCTTTTCCTTCTCCGCCTCGTCACCTTTACATTCCCACGACAAACGACCGCCCCCGCCATGGCAACCCTCATCCGCGAGTTCTTCTCTTCTGCCGAGCAAAAGTTCGCCGTTGTCGGCGCCAGCACCAACCGCTCAAAGTTTGGCAACAAGGTCCTCCGCTGGTATTCTTGGCCTGCTCAAAATGACACGCGTCTGTTGTCATACGCGATCTACTGCTCTTTGGCTCTCTTATACGTGTTCTCACGACGACCAATTGTGCCACCATCCGTAGGTACATTGACCATGGATACACAGCTGTGCCCGTGAACCCACGCGAGACCGCCATCGAATCCCTCAGCTGCGTCCCGAACCTGTCTTCTCTCCCAGGCAACCCATCAGATTACCACCTCTCGATCATCACTCCTCCTGCTGCTACAAAGTCAGTGTTGGAGGAGGCACATAAGAACGGCATCCAACGCGTTTGGTTGCAGCCTGGTGCAGAATCACCTGAGGTCCTGGCATACGCAAACGAGGCTGGCATCAAGACTATTGCCGATGGCCCTTGCGTGCTCGTCAATGGGATCCCCAAGGAAGACGTCAAGCTGTAGTATCAAGCACAAAACAAAAGCAAAATAAACGGAATAGTAGTCTGAAGCAGCATCGTGCTTTATTCTTAGATATCCTGCCTGGACTCTTCGTCCTCGCCTAGCTCGCCCTGACCCTCCAATGCGTCCTCGTCCTCATCATCGTCATCACCATTAACGGTATAGAGGACACTCAGCTCTCGTCGCCTGGCTTCGCCCACACGCGCATTCAAAAAGCGCACAAACCTCATAGTACCCTCGTCTCGTAGAACCAAGGTCAATGTGTTGTGTTTCGGGTATAATGTCAATAGATTGACTTTGTCCGCGACATAGTGCGTGGCGCCTGCTCCCCAGCTCTCTTCCCACTCTGGCAACTTTGAAGACGAGGTTTGCTTTGAACTAGGTATGAACGGAAAACTAAAGACCACATCCAACCCGTTCCTTTCCAATGCATGGTCATGCAACAGCGTGTAGTCGCCCTTCTTGAACATGCGCAGCTCTGTATATGCCGAAAGAAACGAAAGATTGGCAATCTTTGTCATATACGTCTCAAACGCCTTGGACGAAAACAGCGCCTGCACACGCGCTAACGTCGGAGGAATCGTTGACTGATTTTTGGTTGAGACGCGCATGTAATTGCGGACGTGCCGAGGCCCCATCTGTTCGTCCCACAGTGGCCGTACCGCCTGTGCCCCTTTCTCTGCGTCCAGGGGCTCCAATTCATCCAGCAGGGCCTTGTAAATCTCGGGCTTCAGAAACTGCTGGAGCTCGATTGAACTCTGATCCGAAAAGACATTGCAGATGTTGTCGATAGAGCTCTTGCTCAGGTAATCAGGATTGAGCAATGCCTCGAGTGAGACCTCCGGCAGATCCACCAATGGTTCGAATGGCATGGATTTGGAGATGAGCCTAGTCTTGAGTGGACCGTGGAACCATCCAGATATGGAGATTCGGCTCTTGTCGCGGGTCAAGACCTCAGCTACTTGGTGATATGAGACCGATGACAGCTCAAAGAACGCCAATGTATTCCGTACCGGGACGAGCGATTGCACTACCTCGATCGGGTATCCTGCTTCGTTACTGAACTTGCAATGATATATTATTACGACGATGTTTTGTGCGACGCAGAATCATATAGAAAAAAAAAAAAAAAAAAAAAAAAAAGGCGACTCACCATTTGAAAAGATCCAAGGCTCCGCCGTCAGCAGCACTCCAGTCCTCGTCCACAAGATAAAGAATAAAGGCGATCCTGCGCCCTTCCTTCTCGTTCTTAATATCGTCATCATGGCACAGAAGGTAGCATCCTTCGTGATACTGGTTCCCATTGAGATCGATAATTGAGGGGTCCAGATCAATGCCTGTCAGCGAAGTCATCATTGCAAAAAACCCCTGCGAATAGATCGCATTCTTTAATGCAGCAATGTGGGGCTTCTTGGACAGGCGCAGATCCTCCGACTGATAGAATTCGTACAGATCGTTGGACTTGTGAAAGTAATCCTCCGTGAGCAGCTCCTCGCGCAGCGTCTTGAGATATGTGGTTGATCGAAGGAAATTAGGGAGACTGGCTGTTGGATATGGATATTCAATAAGCCTGGCACTGCTTTTGGGGTCCTCAAAGGGCTGGCTGTTGCGGAAAGCTTTGTTGAAGGCTGCTGTAAATTCTGGGTCGCTGTAGCGGCTGTTGAAGGCGGGTGGATCGACAGCAACTGGATCCTGAGGACGGACTTTAGAGCGCTTCTGGGACGCTTCAGAGTCTGGTGAAAGACCGCGCTTTGGCATGGCGAGTGGATGGAATGAGGGTGATCAGGACAATGTAGAGGGAAAGTGGAGGATAAGCATGTCAGCGACGAGGGGAAAAGGGCACAGTCGTGACTGTAATGTGCAATTGGAGCGTAAACAACTTTGAAGGCAACGTTCCTGGGAATACTCACACCGTTATCTTCCGTCGCCTCATTCACTCGCGTCTCTCACTCACGACATCATGTGGCGGGTCGTAGGGAGCCAACTGCAGCAACCCAGGGGGCTCGCAGGGAGCACCAGGCATAGGTTCTCATCACACAGTCGACAACTGGCTCAGACCAGCAGCAGCAATAACGCCAGGGTGCATGTTATTAAGCCGAAACGAGAGCTCGAGAAATACGACACAGTACGTGAACGAAGCCCTGATCAAAAACTAATCCATGGGATACGCCTATCAATCAACTGACACGGAATTACGCCAATGAACTAGGCTGCCGTGGAGTCCGGATGGTATGAATGGTGGGAAGCACAAGGTACAATTGATCGGTCTTATCGGCGATCGCTACGTGCTTCTTAGATATGAAGGATCTCGAAACTGACATGTCCTGGTATCTACCAGGCTTCTTTGCTCCGCGCTCAATCTCTACTTCAGGATCAACCGGTAGCCCCGACAGCTCTGGCTCCGACCCATCGTTGACTCGGTTCACCATGCTAACGCCACCACCCAATGTCACAGGATATCTCCACGTTGGACACGCCCTCACAGCTTCAATCCAGGACTCGATCGTACGATGGCGTCGCATGCGGGGTGAAAGCGTCTCGTGGATTCCGGGTATGGACCACGCCGGTATTAGCACCCAGACCGTCGTTGAGAAAAAGCTGATGCGGGAACAGAAGCTGACGCGACATGACTTAGGACGGGAAACCTTCGTTGAGCAGATCTGGGACTGGAAACATTTACATGGTGACAAGATCACGCAGCAGCTGAAACGGCTAGGGGCATCCATGAACTGGGACCAGAGTTTTTTCACTCTGGACGAGACACGCACGGAGGCCGTCAAGTCGGCGTTCATTCAACTGTTCCGCGACAGGCTCGTTTATCGCGACACGAGGCTTGTCAACTGGTGCTGTGCCCTCGAGACTGTAATATCGGATATCGAAGTTGAACACGAGGACATCGCTGGAAGGATCATGCTGAGCGTACCAGGGCGTTTGAAAAAGTAAGCACAGGTGGTACATGAAGGTTTCATCGGTGCTGCGGGAGAGTTGTTCTAAGCGCCAACACATCTTCTCCGGAACTATACTATGATAGAGTGGAATTCGGGGTGTTGCATGATTTTGCATACAGGGTTGACGGTGACGATACACAGGAACTGGTCGTTTCCACAACGCGTATCGAGACGATGCTCGGAGATGAGGCAGTCGCTATTCATCCAGATGATGTCAGATACAAGCATTTGTACGGCAAACATGTCGTCCATCCAATCTCAGGGAAGCGACTTCCCATCATTTGCGATCCAGAATTGGTGGATATAAACTTTGGGACAGGCGCTGTCAAGGTACTTTAAAGCGACTTTCTGCCAGGCTATTTATGATATCCTGCAAGAGGTGCCTGCTGCTAAATGGCGTCGCGTTTTTTTATGCCTATAGGTGACCCCTGCGCACGATCCTAGCGACTATGCATGCGGACGAAGACATGGCCTTCCTATTGTAAATATCTTGGAAAAGGACGGCACGTTTAATACGAACTGCGGATCAAAAACATATGAGGTAAGAGGATCTTCCAGGTTTTATACTTTACGGATTGATGAAATTGCTTACTAGCGCATCCAGTTCGATTTCAAAACTAAGTGAGTCTTTTTTCAGAAAATGAACCGATTTGACGCTCGAGATAGGATTGTACAGGATCTGAAGGAACTGGGCCTCTATAGAGGCAAGAATGAGAAGCATGCGATGCGGTTAGCGAGATGCTCAAGATCAGGGGATGTCATCGAACCCATGGTGATGCCTCAGTGGTAATGTCCGGTGCTTGACAAAACCGCAGCCCTGGAGAAATCGTTTAAGTTTTTTTTTTTTTGAAGTTAACACTATCTTGTTCCGATTGCCTAGGTACATAAAGTGCGACACGATGGCGCAACGTGCCTTGAAGGATGCTGAAAGTCAAAACCTTGTGTTTCATCCTGACTCGGCCATCAAAGACTGGAATCGTTGGCTGGGTAAGCTGGAAAACATGTGCCATTGGTGTCGTCCTTCTGGCCATGATATATCACAGGCTACTAACAGATCATTGCTCAACACTTAAAATAGAAAACATTCAGGACTGGTGCATATCACGTCAGCTGTGGTGGGGTCACCGTATTCCTGCCTATAGGCCCGTATTCGAAGAACCCAACAGTTGTCGGGCTGTGTGTGGCGCAGATGCGGGAGATGGACCGTGGTTTGTTGCAGAGTCCCAGGAACAGGCAGAGGAGAAAATCAGCCAGTTCGTTTCAGAAAGAAGCCTGCAGCATTTGAAGTACAGGGTTGTTCAGGACGAGGATGTTTTGGATACCTGGTTCTCGTCAGGCCTTTTGCCGTTATCTGCACTGGGCTGGACAGGAAAGATGCTTCCTTCAGGTAGGAGGATCCCAGAACGATACCCCACTACTATGATCGAAACGGGGACCGACATCATGTTCTTTTGGGTCGCAAGGATGGTCATGCTGTGCACACACCTTTCAGATCAAGTTCCATTCAAGGATATAATGTTCCATGCCATGGTGCGTGATGCCCAGGGACGAAAGATGAGCAAATCTGTCGGCAATGTCATTGATCCAACTCATGTGATCGAGGGCATATCTTTGAAAGACCTGAAGGCAACACTCGAAGGAGGAAACTTGGCAGCCAAGGAGGTGAAGCGCTCGCAGGCTCAGATGGAGAAGGACTTTCCCAAGGGCATCATGGCCAGCGGAGCCGATGCCCTTCGTTTCGCGCTTGTTTCATCTACGCAACACACACGGCAAATCAACCTCGATCTGTCAAATGTTACTTCGGCACAACACTTTGCGAACAAGTTATGGAACTTGTCTGTGTTCTACAAGACTCGACTGTACGATATAAACCATGTATCCTCTGTCACCTCGGAGGCTGTGCTTGCCCGTGGACTGGATGAATTCAAGGAAGGCGGCTCTCGGCAAGGTATGACTCTGGTGGAGCGTTTCATCATGTCGCGACTGTCGGACACGGTCGCGAGGGTCAACAGCGGCATGGAACAGTTGGAACCATCGGTTGCAACGGATACACTGCGCAGGTTTATTATTCAGGACCTGTGCGATGTCTATGTCGAATTCATCAAGCCAACATTATTCTCTGCGGATAAGATCTCTATTCAACAAAAGCCCCGGTTGTTCAAGGTCCTGCAGACGTGCTTTGATGCGTCTCTAAGGATGATGCACCCATTCATGCCTTTTGTCACAGAGGTAGGCGATCGTTTGAGCTTGTTCGTTCGAGTTAGAAAGGTCAAAGTGCTAATGCCGTAATAACGTTGTTTCGTCGTGTAGGAACTATGGCAAAGAATGCTACCAGAGACAGCTTCCTCGAATACATCCATCATGATTTCTTCGTTCCCTTCAAGTCAAGAGCTCGATTCATGGAGAGACGAGGCAGCAGAGAAGGATATGGAGATTGCCTTGGGTGTGATCCAGGCGTCACGATCCTTGCGTCAGAGCCACCAGGTGCCTATGTCTAAAGTACTACCCTTCACGATTTGGACAAGCGATGCATCCCTTTTAGCCGATGGCGGTGCTCTCCAGCAGAGTCGATCTTATCTCTCCCATTTCACTCGCGCTGAAGGGGATATCATTTATATTGATGGTGCCTCCGCAACCGATGGACGACAAGGCATGTCTGCGATTGAGCCGTTTTCAGCTGTTCACGTTGTCACGCCAGAGGTGAAGCTGTTCACACCACTGGCTGCCGTCCAGAAGGCCATTGCTTCTGCAGATGTATCATCGACTTCTCAGGGCACTGCTGTATCAACTGCTGGGGGTTCCGCGGATAGAGGTAGACAACAGCAAGAATTACAGCGTCTAGATCGGAAGCTGGATGCGGTGCGAGCTAGTCTGGATAAGCTAGCAGGTCGTGTAAGTAAGGCAGAGTATCTGGAGCGTGTGCCTGAACACGTGAGAGCGGTTGATGTGAAGCGTAAGCAGGAGCTGCTGGCGCAGGAGGAGCATTTGATTGCAACGACGAAGACGTTACGCGCTGCACTTGCATAGATGGGTCTTACAACTGATGGGATATCACAGAACAAATAGACAGCTGCATCAAGGATGAAATGTATCATAGAATATAAACCCAGAGTTAGAGCACATATGTTCTTCTTGAGGCCCGATTCTTCAAGGAACGCGTTGTCACGTTGACAGCGACAGGCCCTCGGCTCAGATAGTCCGTGCAAACAGATCACCTACGTTTGTCTGTTTAGATTCTGCAAACGGTTGCTTTGGCTGTAAGGACTATAAAATGAGCCGCCGTTGCTTTTCACGAGCGCTTTGCACCTATACGGATCTCTTTGTTGTATGCGTTGTGGATGGCTTACTAGCCCTTATTTATGAATATCAATCATGACGGGGCAAATGATCATCGCAGGCGATGCTAGGCCACAGGCACACGACGTGAATGGTTTGGTAGCTTTGGGGAAGAGACTTGAACTTTATCTGTGGTCGTGGTTACACATGAAGGACTGCAGTTCTTGCTTACTTTTTATCTGCTTCGCCCAGACAATCTCAGGAACACGACCCCAAGAAGATGACCTCAAGGACGCAAGCAATCGCCCAGGGCATACCACAGGTGCTTTCTCGTTCCTCAAAGCAAACAACCGGCCTCGGGCTGAAATCAACGCGGGTACTAACGCGAGTCTTCTCTGTATTTGTCGTTGTCTCATCTTTTTTCGAATATTCTACTTGGTAACGATCAACATGCCGCGACCTCAATGCCCATGACTCAAAGGGTCTCAGGCAATATGATCAAGAAAAATGTACCCAAAGAGACTGAAGCTAACACTTTGTTTAAAAGGGTGTTCTATTTCAGAGCTATTAGCAGTAAAGGAACGCGGGAGGCCTAGCAGTTGTACTGCCGTATGCTGTGAACCCTGTGTACGTATGATAGCACAGTAGAGACCCATAACAGCGCCCCAGCAGGGCAATGCGCCCCAAGGCACAGGTAGGCAAGACAAGAGATGTTTAGACTACCGCTCCAAGCGAGTCTTTCCATCCACCCTTACATCTCGCTCTCAACCAGGTGGGGGTTCTTTTTTTTAATAGCCAAGTCGGCTTGATATGATGGGCTCAAAGTAGAGGCAGAGCGGGTAGGGATAAGTTAGGGGTCGGCGCTGGCTGTGGCCGCCCAGTGGAGCTCTCACTTCGGCTGGGAGTGATTGTTTCTGAAAGCCTAGAGATTGCTGGTCGTGAGTTTGGCTCCTCTGCATTGGATGACTAATGTGTGCCAAGTATAAGAGGGAGAGGGCGAATGTGGACAATGAGGAAGAATGGTGAGGGGGGGCAGCAGAATGAGTGCGGGTGGTGTGCACTGGAGGGGATCCTGGAGGGGGTCCAAAAGGAGGAACAGGAGGGGCAAAGGAAGGAAAGTGCAGGGGGAGGTGCCAGTACCACAAGGCTCGAATCAGACCGTAACCGCAGCAAGGTAAGCATTATAACTCTGAATACGGATCCACTCATTGCATTGCGGATCTTGGTCTATCGTTCTGTTCTTTAATGACATTATTTCTATCGTGATGGACGCTAGACGGCCTGGCGCCAAGGCCTCAGCAAAAGTCGAACTAGTCGCCTTGTCAATCAGCTGGGTCATAGGCCAAGAGCCTTCCATTCGGTCGCTTCGAAAGCAGCATCAAGACACGACCATGTCAGCAGCCGGCCGCCCAGTCTATCAGCCAGGCACACCACTATAAATAAACATACGCGCTAAGAATGGCCACTACGGCGTAGTTAAGCAGTGTGGACAGCAGATTCTCGATTGGGACCATGGACAAAGAAGCAGATGCAGCCAAGCTGCAGTGTTCTCGCGCCCTTGGACGCGTGTCGGCGCGTATGGACGCAGGGGCCGAGGCGGCGACGATGGAGGATAGGGCGCAATTGGGGGGGACACCGTTTTGGTCACACCCGGAGGAGGCGCGCCCCCGCAGCGGTCTGCATCACATGGCCCGCATGGCCTTTTTTGAAGCCGGGTGAGACCACGGATGCAGGCTATCAGGTGCCCAGTGGCCCTGGCCTGGGCGGAGGACCCCCAAGCAGGTGCCTGCGCGCGGGGGTCAACCGCGATGGGTGCGGATGGGGATCCGCATCCATCCCTGTGGATGGAGATCCCCATCTGCTCAATCAGCCTTGTGCATGGGAACCTGATCCCTGGCGCTCTTTTTTCTTTTCTTTTTTTATTCGACGTCATATACATTTTGGTGGCCCATTCCCCTTTTGTCCTCTTTTTTTCCTTTTCTCCCTTGATCTAACCAACGATCATTTCCTTCCCGATCCCCGCCATGGTCTCCGACTCCACGAAAAAGACCCTCATCCTCTCTGTCTCGGCCATCGTCGGCCTCACCACCCTTTCAACCCTCGCCTACCTCCTCATCCAAGACGACCGACGCGCGAAGCACCGCAGAAAGATCCGCGCGCTCCAAAAGCAACTTTCCCACAAGCTCTCGAAAGTCGAGTCTTCCGTCGAAGCTCTCGTTGAGGGCGATATCCGTCTGGCCCAGGTCCGGACGCGTACCCTTCGCACCTATGCAATCTACACAGGCGACCCACATGTCCACCTCCCGAGCCTCGGCTTGATCAACCCCCAGGACAAGCTCGATCTTGGTTCCGATATCGAGGAGACCCAGGAGGAACTGATCCGGGAGCGCACGCAGGGGTATGGCGAAGATCCTCAGAAGGTCCGACAGGGCTATAAGCGTCTGGAGTTCTTGGTCAACTCCGTGAACGAGCAGCTGTTGCGCTTGCTTGAGTCCCTCGATGCGATCTCGCCTCGCGAATTGACGGATCTGGGCGATGGATCCGGAGGACTCGCGTCCGCGAACGGACCGGAGATGCAGGCATTCGAGAAGATCCGGAAGCGCAAGAGAACAGACATTGAAAAGATTCAAAAGCTGATGGCACAGATGGACAAGATTGGGGCCTCGTTCAAGGATCGATTGACCGCGGTCGAAGTGTTCGAGAAGAAGGCCGAGGAGGCCGAGGAGGCCAAGAAGGCTGCCGCTACTGAAGAGAAAAAGGCGGATATGGCCAAGGAGGCGCACGGTGCGGATGTCGATGTTCATGTGAAGGAGGGCTTCTCGTTCGCAGAGGTGGCCTCACGCAACATCCCCGAGCCTGAGATTTTGGAGCCAACGGAGGATCTGGAGAAGATGAAGGAGGGCGTGACCTTCGCGAATGTGGCCTCCCACAACATCGAGCACAAGCACCACGAGCACGCCAATGGCCTCCTGGCCACGACCACCTCCTCCACCAAGACCACGACGACCACAACGACGATCAGCAGTGGCAGCACTAGCAGCATTAGCAGCAGTAGCAGTGCAACAGTCGCGGTCGAGGAGACCAGCCATTTGGAAAAGGTTCAGGAGGGCATCTCGTTCGCTGAAGTGACCTCGCACAACCTTCCCGAAGAGAAACCCGACTCCGAGGTTAAAACTGACCAGGTTTTGGAGGAGACTGAAGATCTGGAAATGATGAAGGCCGGGATCACGTTTGCGGATGTGGTTGCCCAAAACACTGAGGAGGACAACTCGGCAGAAAAGAGCGAGGTCCTGGAGGAGACTGAGGATTTGGAAAAGATGAGGGCCGGCATTACTTTTGCGGACGTGGTCGCGGCGGAAGAAACGACTGAGACGACGACAGCAACGACAGCAGCGACGACGACAGAGATAGAGGGTGCTGTTGCCCACTAATTATGGTCTTCACCTTTGGATCTATCTGCTCATTTTTGTACCGACATATAAAGCTCTGTTACTTGAATGCTTGCATAGTTCGAAGATATGTGACCTGGCCCGCATAATTGATGCCGTTCCACCATCGCTGAGTTGTAAGAAGTTCGGGCTGCGAGATTGAGCAGCGGCAGGGAATATCTGTCCGACAGTGTTTTTGTAGGTATTAAGACGGGGAATCTGACTCCTGAGAAGAATAAGATGTTCTACGAACAAGGTCCCGGTACGTGGATGAGAGCTGCAGTTTCTGTAGTCGTGAAGCTGTGTTCAAGTGCATCAGGAGCTCCTCCCAGGGCACCTTCCATCTCGGGAAAGAGAGGGCTTCAATTCAGGTCAGCATGCATAGTCGCTCGACAATATTCCTCGGCCTCAACTCATTTCGGTGATGACACCTGGTCCAGAAGAAATGCTTCAGCCTTGGATACGCGTCGAGGGTCCTTGCTGAGAATGGGGATGGTACCAAGCCCTGAGCGAGGCTGTAGTAGCAGAGGACGAACCAGATGGCTGGAAGGGCGTGTCTGCGTCAGAAGTGCGTAAGGACCGAGGGGCCAGAGGAAAACGTACTGGAAGACCGGGGGAGAGGATTTCGGGCGTCAATGGTGCTGTGTGCAGGGGAACCAGTTCCTGGAGCATGATGTCAAGCATGTCGGGTACAGTCTAAAAAGCCGTAGGCTCATATCCAGGGACTGAAAATGAAGATGGAAATAGATGTAGAAACGCGCTTTATTTCCTGTCGCAGCTATGCCATAAAGAGATCAGGCATTGTTCAGCATCATCACCATCGCTACTTCAGGAACGCAGGATTAGAGAGGCACGCTGTGACAAAGCAAAACCCACCAGGATATACCAGGCTAGCCAGGAGACAGGAGACATCAGGAGACACCAGGAGACGCCAGGCACAGCAACAGAACACCATCACCCTCACGTAGGAGAAAAACGATGCAATCACCCGCGAGCAGCATCCAATCCCCTCGGCCCCAGGGGAGACCCCCCGCACAGCCGCAAGTGCCCTTCGACAAGGAACTGATGGCCTCACTTCACGTCCTCCTCAACCAGCTGAATGAGGTCGAGCGCCAGGGGCTCGTCATGTTCCACAAGATGTACGTCTCCTTCCTTTCTTCATTCTCGGTCTTGATCTGATCAACAAACAGACCAAAAACAAAAAAAAGTTTCGTCAGTATGTCCCGGGAACAGAACAGGATCCCAGAAAGCTCATATCGACGCTTTTCGCATCTCTCTCTTTTTTGTAGTGAGGAGTCCTTCAAGCACCCATATTCCCAGCATGAAGCCATCGGTAAGCAAGGACCCCCCTTCCACCTCCTCTTGTTAGTGGTTAGTGGGGAACAACATAACTATTAGGCACTCACTTTCCTCCTTATTACACTGTGGCATTTCGATGTAGCCGACACAGCAAACCTGTTGACACAACTCGACACCCTGGCGACCCAGGCAAAGACCACTGGCTTTGGCGCCCTGACCATGCTCCCAACCTCCCCAACCGTCGTCTCCACTCCCTCGGCCTCAACAACTTTCGTCGCCGGAACTCCCAAACCGTCCTTCATGTCCCCACGCATGCAAAACCATATTCACAGCAACCACCACCATAATACCGCCTCTTCCTCCAGCAATAACAATACCACTAACAATATTACAAATGTCGCCGCCGGATCGACAAATAGCTCGAACCTCGATATACAAATGCTATCCCCGGGAGCACCTACCAGTCTCGTCGCCACACCCGCGGGCTCCACGCCTCTACCTGTGCCTTCAATACCCTCCACAACTGCATCATTATCAAATACCAATACGATGTCATCCACAACCGCATTATCACCCATCCCGATCTTCGACACCCTTATGTCTTCTGACTCTTCTTCAGCAACAGCATTACCAGGAACGATAGGAGCAGGAGCGACCATCCCAGCCAGCACCGGTGCCCCTGCAGGCGATCCCGCATCATTACCAGCATCAGTATCCACACCCATGAACCCCGCCACACCCGCGACACCTTCGGCAACCATGTCCGTCATCCCAACCGTCGCCCTCGCTCAGATGATGGACGCGAGGCAAAAGGATGTCACAGCACTTTATGCCGAGAAACGGAGACTCAAGATCAACCTCAACATTGCTGCTCGTCAAAGCAAGCCCTAGTCCATATTTTTCTTTTTCACTCTTTCGATATCGTGATTATAATAAAAGGTGCTTTCTGAGATGACTTCTTGTATATATTCTGTCAGTACATCCACACAAACTCGTGTGTGCTAAAAGATGCAAATGATGATTATTACAATTACAGCAGCTATAGCTACAACAAAAAAAAAAAAAAAATACAAAAACAAGAACAAGAGCAAGAACATAATGAACATATACGAGTGATCGAGGATTGTAGATGGACGACTCATCCTTAGCGCGTGTATCGCACAGGTTTGTGAACGGTTTCTCTTCGTGGCCGCCCACCATCTTCAGCAGGCCGTCTCGTCGGCGACGACGCTCTTGACCTCGATCCGCCTCGACTTCTCTTTCCCTCCATCGTCTCACCCGCGCCCGAACCCATCCCTGCCGCCGCTGCTGCGTCCTGCGCTTGCAGACCCCACGATCGGTCTACCATCTCCCTTCCAAAAAACACCAACAACTCCTCGCCGGCCTTGATATCTCGATTCGTCGTACAGATCACTTGGTTCACAACACTACCCGTGATAAACGACACATTCCCATCCGGATCCTCGTTCATGAAATGGAACGGACAGTATACAGGTCCATTCGGGTCAGTGTACGGCTGTCCATCATCGTCCGTCGCATCGAGCACCGTCCGCCGGTACATTACCGAGTACTGCGAGGCCAATCCAACACCATCCTTAAGCGAGTCAAACTCATTTTCCGTCAACGGCACGCCAAAATAAAAGCCCAGAGGTGTTCCTGCCGGCAAATCTGTCTTCGCAAACAGCCCGTTGCCGGCATTTGGGATCATGGAGACATCAACTCGTACAATGTCCTCCAAGCAAGTCGGCACATTCTGAAGGTCGAGGTCCTCAAGACGGAATCTCTGCACCTTCGGACGCTCTTCCGACGGCTCGATCGCTGCTGCTGAATTAGTCGCTGTGGGTGTCGGAGGGCAAGATAACGACCCATCATAACTTCCTGCCGCTTTGATATCTAGCCGCTGCATACTATCCGCGACCTTCCGTTCTTCTCGGCTCTCGATCGATTCGTGCTTCAGTGTCTCGTTTTCATTCTCATCCTCGGTTCCAGTCTCGGCCTTGAGTTTCTTGCTATTTCCCAGTTTCGTCTCCTGCCCCTGCTCGCTCACATCCGCGCCACGCTTCCTGGATTCCGGTGAGGAGTATGCACGCTGCATCTCTGGTCGGCCCTCCTTGATGACTACTCGTTGAGAACCCGCCTGCTCCTCCATCTCCAGAGGCAGTGCATCTTTCTTGGGGACACCAAAGCAGAGTGGCCAATCTCTTCGAATCAACTGCTCCATCCAGTCATTGTACTCCTTCACGGCCGTGTCGAAATCTCCCGGTTCGTACGCAAGCTGAAAGTGTGTGCTCCTGCTGCCCTCCGGCTTGAAAGGTATAAAGTACTTGTCACCGTTGTTCGTTAGGCACGCCGAGGCCGAATTCATTGGCGTCTATATCATGAACAGACAAATCATAGAAAGTCAGTGCACTGTCAATAATGGTTTGGAAACAAGAAACAAAAAAAAAAAAAAAAAAAAAAAAAAAAAGCTGGAGACTTACTTTGCCAGTAAAGACACGTGGAAGACCCTTTTCCGCGCTAAACTTTTTGTCCAGCTCAACGGCCGCCATGATTAACTCTTGTCGTGCAGCTGTCCGGTCAGGCATAGCCCGCAGTGCCAGGAACATCATATAGGGCTGAGTGTGCCATCGCGGTTTGAAGTGTGTCCGCAGGGGTGTGTTGACTTTGGAACCAGGACGCGAAAACGTAGTCGAGGTTGGGGTTGAAGGTGCTGTGCCCTGTGCATTTGACGAGGAATAGCTGCTTCCTTTTGTCGGCGAAGTCGTTGCAGAGGCAGAGCCGAAATGGAATGGCAAATCCCGAATCAGATCCACTCCTGGCGAGACTGGTGGCGAGACTGGTGGTGTTGCAGTTGCAATCGCAGTCGCAGTCGTAGCCACAGGTACGGTTGCGGCAGCAGTATGAGATGACAGTGTTCGGCGGAATCGGCTCGTCGGAGAAGCATGAGCCTGAACAGAGACAAAGTTGTGGGTCAACGATTGGAGCTGAGCTTGAAAGGACAATGAGGAGGATGGCGAAGATGCAGGCGAGGCTGATGGCGGGAAGGGTGAGAAAAAGTAGTCGCCATGACCATCCCGCTGGTTACCCCTGCCTCGACCCCCACTGCCAACACCGCTGCTGTTGGGTTGATAGTCGCTTTGGCTGCGTTTTGGCGTCCGTGGGATCTTTGGTAGCTTTGGCGCCCTGGTCTGCTTAGGTGTTCGTGGCGTCCTTGCGCTGGTCGGTGTCTTTGGGGAGTCCTGGTCCTGATGTAGGACAGAGGCTGAGGTCGATATCGATGGTGGCAGCGGTGGCAACGGGAGCGAGGACTTATTCGAGGACCTTGTCTTGCCCTGAGGAGAGAGAGTGACCGGTGCCAACTTTGCATTCATATGCACAACACCAACGGACATGACTTCGTCCTCCTCCTCTTCCTCGTCTGCATGGACCTTGTTGTCCCGATCTCTCCTGTGTTTGACATCAGCATAGCCTCCTGGTATAAACCCGTCGGTGTTGCCACTGACCGAGGCCAAGGGCCCATCGATTGTTACACCAGCGGAGGACACGAGGGTTGAAGGTTGATGCCGGCCGAGCGAGTGAGCAGGCTCGTTGACTCCTAAAGAGGAGGGGGAATGCTCTCGCGTGGGACATGATCGATCCGGAACAAAGGCAGGATGTTTGCTCGCAGCAAGTAATGGACTTGAGGGTCTGGGCTCAATTTCCATATCGCTCGAGTGGTCCTGCTGCTGCTGCTGCTGCTGGTGACGGTGGTAGTGGTGGTGAGACCGATTCCGAGACAGAGACAGTGGAGGGAGATGCAAGGATGAAGCTGGAGCTGAAACGGTCTTTGACATGGCATGAAGACGGAAGGGTTCTGGCGCTGATGGAGAGTGCTGTCGCTGCTGGTGGGAATACGCAGTGTGAGGAGGATGCGAATGCTCAAGGGATCTGTAATGGGAATCGTGGCGATATGGGTGGCCATAGGACCCATTGTGGTGATGTTGGTGATAGGACCCCGTCCGCTTGTCTCCCTGGTCGGTCGCCAAAACGGAGCGAGCTGTTGCAGGATCCATGAAGGCAGCGGCGCTGAGCATTAGCAGAGTATCGGCAGCAGCTGAATCGATCGAGTATCGATGGCCCCGTCGGGCGTGGGCCTGATCGCTAATGGGTCGGTAGATGCTGCTTTCATGGTTGTAGTTGTTGCTGTCCGTGTCGCTGCGATGATGGTGATGGGCCTGCTGATAGGACTCTGAGTGATGGTGATAGTTCTGGTGGTTCTGAGAGTAGTAAGGGTGATGAGAAGAGTGTAGGGATGATGCAGGCTGTGGTGGGAGTGGTGGTGGGGGCGAGGAGGAGGAAGAAGAAGAGGAGTGGGAAAGAGAAGAGTAGGGGTCTAAAGGTTCGTCCTTTGTGGGTCGATCAGGATGAGGATGTGAATGTGAATGTGTGTGTGAATGTGCAGGCTGGGTGTGGTGCCAGTGAGGACCTTGGGATGGGTCTCTGGTGGGGTGTGATGAAGAAGACAGGGAAGAGAATGAAGAGGAAGAAGGAGGGGGGAAGCGGTAGGCTGCAGATGGGGGAGGAGGAGAAGGCGATGGCGACGAGGGGGAGGAAGAGGATGGGGGAGGAGCAGAGGGTTGTGCAGTCGGCATGGTGGTATGGGTGTGAATGAAAAGATGTATGGAGATGTATGGAGATGTATGTGTACAAGCGTGTGTCTGTGTGTGAGCGTGTGTGTGTGTGTGTGTAGATGTTTGATGAGAAGGAAGGGAAGGAAGGGAAGGAAGAGGGGTGGAAGTGATGGAGGTGATGGAGGTGATGGAAGGATGGGAGAGAAGGAAGTGATGGGAAGTGATGGGAAGGAGGAGTCTTTTTTTTTTTTTTTCTTCTTCTTATATGGATTCAGCCACACAACACACTCTCACATACACACACACACTGGCACTCACCCTCCCACACTTGCATCCACATTCGCATCATTCAAAGTGATGCATCAAAAACAAATGGATGCTAAATGGGGCTGCGGTGTGTGTGATCCGAATCGAAACGAGAGCAGGACTGAAGTGGAGGTGCAAGTACCAGAAGAAGAAGGGGAAGCCAAAAGAGCGGGGGAATCTCTCATCCCTTCAGTTCGATGGAAGAATGCCTTGTTGTTGACCATCATTGCTACTATGGGCCGGTTAGCTGGTCGTTCTTCGTCTGTGGTTGGTTTGCCACCAAAATGGAAAACAACAAAACTTTTTTTTTTTTTGCATGCAACACAAACCAGGGGAGGGGGTTATACATGCACACATGCACACATGTGTGCAGCCGTTGATTCAAATAGCCGGTTACCCTTGTCGAGTTAAAAAAAAAAAGCATAGCAATCGCAACCATGCTCCACTTCCCTCGATGATTCCCCAGCTCTTCATCATTCATCATCCTCTCATCCCTCTGCATTCCACCCATTTAATCAATCCGGAATCTGACTCCAGAATCTAGGGCCACGTGATGATAAACCTTATTGTCCCCTAACCCACCAAAGCTGGGACGCGTTTACTTTTTTACCGCCTTACCTCCCGCGCAAGCAATCTGTTCCTCGTCCAACAGCTGCATGGCATAGCGCAAAAGAATTTGATACAGTCAACTGGATGGTAGATTAGCCTCAATCATTGTTTTGGTCAACAGAGATAAGGATGCATTTTTTTTCTCCTTTTCCCCCTGATTGAGCTCCATCTTGTTTGTTTTCAAAGAGGATGCTCAGTGCTCAAAGTGACTTCACAAGCGTAAAGATCCTTAGCTCAAAAGGCAAAAAGAATAGCCCCACACAAGGAAAGAGATGGATTTGCACTACGTATATAAAGGAAACCCCGCTTTTCGGCCAGCACCAAACTTCAACCAACCAGCCCATCGCACGCATCTTCGCCGCATATCTCAGACCGACCCTCAAGCTCTAACAAAAAAAAAAAGAAAAAAAAAAGTATGTTTCCGCTTTGATGGATCTCAACTACCATTGTATTTGTTGTACTCAAAATTAGTTTCTCAATGATAGGTCGCGGTTCTTTAAGCAAACAACAACGATGGTAGTCAAATAAGAATATTATATATGGTGCACACATTGAACCCATTCAAGTATGATGGATAGAAAATAGAAAAATGACCTACATCTTTTTTTACTTCTTCTATTGCAGGGCATTTATCTTTACTCTCACTTCTGTGCTTATTGCCGCAGTTCAAGTCTGCGATACTGCCTGCTCCTCCGTTGGTGCGAAGGGAGGAAGATGCTTCTATTCGTGCACTAACAACGCCTGCCAAACAAGTGATGAATACCCACGCTGTGAAGCTCTTACAAAGCCTTAGAGCTCATGGCCATGACTGCAAGCGGGAGGGGGGGAACAGAACTCTGTCATGCTTACAAACCTCCCCAATTTTAGGGCTTGCTATGCGCACAGGTGGAATTGCGATGCAGGTTGTTAATGAGAAACCCTTGTTGCGAACCGGATCTATAGCACTCACGTCTGTGTAAACGGACTATTGACTGTGAAATTTGGGTCGATCGAGCTTTACACCTCATCAGTAGATAGGGCTTTTGCACAACTACAACTATAAGCGACTCGAGAGTCCACAACTTTGAGTCATGCTATCGCAGACCTGATGGTTTCTTTGATGCGGGGTTCTAATACAAGTAATGTAATATGCTACAAACGATTTCAAGCATGAATAATGTGACAGACAAGATGCGGAGAGAAAAGACAGAACGATAACAATTCAAGGGAGGAAAGGGGTGCCTCCTTATTTTACACTATACAATAAACAAGTTACTGGTCCTCAGCGGCCGCAACATCCACGGATCGACTAGATGCTTCCTCAGACTTCAAATCCGCTAGATCACTCTCCGCCGCTGCTGCTGCTGTTGTTGTTGCTGTTGCCAGCACCTCCTTCCTCCTTGGCCGCAGAGATGACCTCGCCCACTCACCGTACACTGTCATCCAAACCAGATTTGCGTCCTGTCAGCGGTAGCAATGGACCCTACTCCCGCCCAGACCAGACTCCTCCGTTCTTCGCAACAGACCCAGTCTCTTGAGTGAAGTCTATAGGCCAGTGTGGCTCTTTGATACCATACGTCGTCGCCAGAACCAAGGGCTCCTGCGGTTCCTCCGGAGCCATAGTAATCATAACCTCTTCATCCTCCACATGTAACATCTGAAGCTGACTCTCGTCTATCACAGATCCATTATCAGTATTGTCGAGAGACACGTAATTACTGCTCTCGTTCGTCTCACCCTCCCTTCCATCGTGTGCGTACTCGTACTCGCCCTCCATCTCATCCTCTGTATGCTCGACCAAAGCTGAAGATGACTTGATAGGCACAAGATGTGCACCCGGCCGGACTGCCGTCGATACCTGGTGCTCCGGGACCATACCCATAATACCCTCAGGACTCATCAACTTTGATTGCATCTCGAGCTCTTCATCATAATCATCCTCGTCTTCGTCCTTGAGCGCAATCAGAATGTCCGAGCCCTCGTCTCCATCCTCTCCATGTACTACAGTGCCAAGCTGTCCCTTTCCTGCTGTGTTGTGGCCGATCAGAGCCGAATCTCCCAGATTGGAGGTATCAACATGTTCATCGCTCGCATATGCACCAGTTGTAGACCGACCCTTCTTCCTCCCATAACCATCCAATTCTGTAGCACCGCCAAGGGCTGCGCCCACAGCGGCAGTGCCCGCAGCAGCAGCTCCAGTCTGATGTACAAGAACTTGAGATAACAGGCTTGGTTTCTTCGTAATATTACCCATCTGTTGCTGGTGGTGATGGTACTGCTGATGATAATAAGCCGAAGGATACTGCATCGGCACCTGGTTGAAGTAGTCGGGCTCAAATGAAGAAATCTCTTCCTGTGCTGGTACCCGAGGCTGTGGACTACCCAATCCACTCTGGACCGACTCTTGATGTCTCAACGAATGCACAGCGATGCGAGGACTATGGCATCCAGACGTACTCGTCAATGATCCTGGTGTTCCAATAGCGACAGACTCATCTCCATTGCCAGAGATGCGATTGTTCCTGTTTGAGTTTCGTGAGCTGCCACGAATCAAAAGTGCAGCGACCGATGTCGGCGCCGGCGGTACTGCAGACGAGTTAGGAGCGATCGCCTCAGACCCCTGATCGAGTCTGTTGGTCCTATTGAACGATTCGAGCGCATCCTGTGTCAACGATGCCACGACGCCATATCGATTCTTGTTGCGCGACCCTACTGACAGATCATCCTCCTCCATAGTATTCTCTGAGGCCGTCGTCGCACTGGAGATGTAACGCTGATGAAGATTGGGCGACGACAGCTTTTCCCGAAGGGTACTCGTCAATCGCTTGTGGCGCTCTGCATTCTCACGAAGATCATCATTTGGCTGCTGCTGTTTCCGCAGTTGTTGATTCTGAACCTTAATCGGGATGGAGCTCTGGTCCTGACCCAGACTTTGTTGACGCGTCGGGATAACACCACAAGTTGGGTTAGAAGCCAACGAGAACGTGGGAGCGGAAGTCATATTCGGGTTAGGGCTCAAGATCTCCTGCTCCAGCTGCTGCAACAAAAGCTGTTGCTTCAACTCTACGAGGTCGACCTTCTGAGCATAAGCAATGTAAAAGTTGTTGTACGAACGTATCTCCTTGATAGACGATCGCGCCGACACTGAATGCGATGCACTTGATGCCAACTGTGCGGCAGAGAGTGTGGCATCCTTGACGAGCTGCTGGATCAGATGGTGCCATGCCTTATGGGTGCAAAGTCTCTGGTCGAAACTGGTGATACGTTCGCGTGAGTGATCGCCACCGTCGGTACTCATTCTTCCAGTTGAGGCAGCAGAGGCTTCGGCGAGATACTGCATTTCATGCTGGCATTGGCGATGATATTGATCAATGACCAGGCCCGAGAGCGTTGCATCGACCATCATGGGCTCCAGGCCCTTCAAGAATGTCGTGAATGTTTTCTGCCAGAGCTCTCCGACTTGACCACCCCAAGGTCCGAAGGGCAATGAATACTTGGATACCTTAAGGTTCTTGAGTCCGTAGAGCTGCGAGGGCAGGATAAGCGAGGTCCGGTTCCTGTTCTGACCGTTTACAATTGGGGGGAGGACGGCTTTAGTGGTGTCCTCGCAGAACTCCTTGAGGAACCTAGGCAGGGTCTTGACCAGGTCTGGATCCATGTTACTGTGGATAAGACCCGTTTTGATCTAGGGGGGTATTTTTTTATAGGACGTAAGACACTCATGCCGTCAGCAAGACGCGCCTCTCTAGCATCCCCCCTAATCCCCTTTGCATGACAAAACATAGAAGAAATGTCTTACCCATTCGTTAATGCAGTTTCCGATCTCTGTTGCTTTGAGGATGCATGGATCCAAGTCCATGAACTCAACCCACCCCTCCTTCTTAGTTACGCGGATTAGCTCATTCAACAGATCAGGGAAGCAGTTCAAAGGATATCCCCAAAGAACGAGCCTCACATGGCAGTAGTCGAAGGTGTTGTCGGGAAAGGGCAAGCCAGCGGTTATGTCTGCGTTGTGGAAGTAGCAATTGCTCGGCAGAGAGTCCACCATCGGCAGTCCACAGGGGCTCGTGGAGGGGTGAGATGTGCCTGAGGAACTGTTATCTTGACGACTCGGACGCTGTGCAGCCCCCATATTGCCCGCAAACGTAGGGGATGAAGGAGATGACAAAGCCGACAGATTGTTGGCTCTGGGACGCCGACGACGGGTGGGAGCATTCACATCGACACCATGGATCTTCGCCAGAGGGAACTCGAGCGCCATATCCTTCATCCAAAGCCCTGATCCACAGCCAACTATAGTTCAGAAAGAAATGAACAGAGAACAGGGTTAGCATGAGCGTCATTGACCTGCATGAAAAAAAAGACACAAGTGCGGTCATTGGCCTTAATGCATACCATCGAGGACAGACACCAACTCCTGCTTGTTGAAAGGCGCATGGTAATTGCCCCTGAAGAAATACTTTAGCAGTGCATGCTGTTGCGCCTGCTGCTCCAGAAACTGCTGGCTCTGTTGCTCGGAACCCGGATTGGTTGGTGCGTTTTTGATCGAGGAACCAAAGTCGGTTGCAGTAGGCGAGTGAAAAAGCATCATCATAGACTCTCGGTTCAGGGAATCCTCAGCCCCATTGTCCTCTGTCTGATCATCCATCCATTGATAGTTCGCGGTGCTGATCGTAGATGTTGACTCGCGCGCTGAGGAGGGTGTGGTCCTGCTGTTGAAGGTGCGATGCTTGATTGTCGAATCTGAAAGTCCGTGCTCGCCAGTATCGGGCGGAGAACCCGTCCGAGGGTAACTCTGTTGTTGCTGTTGTTGCTGTTGTTGCTGTTGCTGTTGCTGCTGCTGCAGGTTCACTGGATACTGACGAGGGCTCGAGTACTGATTGTCGTAACGGGTGTTCTGAGTATTGACACCTACAAGGTTCGGACTCTCGCTACCTGCTGGAGTGCCTCTTCGTGCAGAGCCCGCGAGAGACAACTCTGATGCGTTTCTACTTGTCAGCGCGCTGGAAGTGCCCAATAAGCTGTCATCCTCGATGCTGATTCTTAAGCCTCCATCACGACCCATATACTTGGACCCTGGTAAGGAAATGGTCGAGGCGTTCTCGGAGTGCTCAAGCTGGTGCTGCTGCTGTTGCTGTTGCTGTTGCTGTAACTGGTGACGTTGACGCGATAGTCGAGATTCGCCCTCCGGGTGAACGACGTTAGTCTTGTTTGAACGCTGTCTGCTGACGCCAACGTTCATATGAGATGTATTAGAGGGCGAGGGCGAGAAGGTTGAGCTCGCAAATGTGGATCCAGAGACCGGCTTGTTCTTTCGGCACCTCCGTCCTGAGGATGAGTAGGCGGAGCTCGACTGACTAGTGCAACTGTTACTGCTGTTGGACCGTGTCGGACCCGACTCTGGCTTGCGACTCTCCGCAGTGGCCGCATTACGTAAACTCTCTCTCCATAGCCGCTGGGGCTCTTGCACAGATGACGATGTGGATCCGGGCGGTGCAGGAAATGAAGGGACGTCGCTGGGAGACAAGGGAGGGGTTGCGATCTGAGGTGGAGGTGGGAATGAGGTAGCCTGAGCAGCGATAGGCAGCGAGGGAACAGGCGCCTTGTAGGCACCGAAGGTGGGTCGTGGTGACTCGGTATAGGGGTTCCGTTGCTGGTCAAACCGATTTGTTTCTAAGGTTTGTCTGGTTCCGTATGGTCTCGAAAGCGGAGACTGTTCGCCGATGTGGTCTTTGCTGTAACTGCTGCTGGCACCGATGTAGTGGTTGTAGTGGCTGTTGTTATTGTTGGTGGTGTTGGCGATAGTGGTAGTGATAGGTTCGGAAACGGGTAAACTGATGCGGCGGACCTGCGGTAGGGGATCTGACTCGCGTTGGCTACTCTTGGGCCCACGGAATAATGAGGTGCTTGTGCGAGGCTGGGCGATATTGGCACTGGGGCCCTGGGACACGTCGTTACTGTATCTGTTTGTTTTCTTGGTGTCAATGCTTTGAGGGTTGTAGGATGCATTTGCAGTATTATTAGAGGTAGTAGCGCTGTGTTGCTGTTGCTGAGTCTGGTTGAAGGAGCTGCTCCACTGGGGCGGGTTCTGGAGGATGGAGGTGTCCGAGTTGGGATGGGCCATGTTCCCGAGGGCGGTGTTCTTTTTTGACTTTTTGGTTGTGGTCGTGGCGCCAACGGACGAGGTTGAATGCCGGTTCTTCTTCTTTGACTTTGAGATTGAAGAGCCCATGGTGCTTTATTCGAAGAAGAGGAAAAAAGAAGATGAAAAGGAAGGACGGACGGAAGGACGGACGGACTAAGGAGCGGTTGGGTGGGATGAGAGTGTTTAGAGGTACATAAGAAACGGAAGCGGAAAACGACAAAAGGGGGAGGTGGAGGAGAGGCTTGAAGGTGTGAGAAACGGCGAGAGAAGAAGGAAGTAAAAGAGAGAAAAAACTTGTTTCCTCCCCTAAATGACTCCATCTCTCTGCCGAGTCAGCCCCCCTCACCTGGGACCCACCTTAGTTGAGGACGAGATACTCTCGCTCGACTCGGCTTCAGTCGAACCCAGCCCACTCTTTATTGCACACGCCCACTCGCCCTCAACCACACGCAGACGCATACACACATACACGCATGGCACAGCATATATACGCCCTACACATCCTCGCCCTCAAGCCCGCCTCATCGCCCTCAAGCCCAGCTTCTCCACCCCGACTGCATGTCTTTTTTTGGCGGGAAAAAAAATCTTTATCGACCGCTCAGCCATTTCCAAAACACAGCCAACCACGGGTAGGATGCATACTACAGCAAGCTAGAAACCGCACCCACTCCCCAGCTGTCTACCCCACCCAATGCGCCGTACTACTCGCGCAACTGTCGGGTGCCCAGCGGATACATCCGCTTCATGTGCTCAGGCATCCCCGCCGGCCACTCTGTCGCATACCTAGCCTCCTCCTCCGCTCGCTTCACCGCCGTCGTCGAGGCCACATCGCGGATCCGCCCATCCAAGAACGGTCTGATCACCTTGACCTTCTTCACCATCTCCACCAACACCTGGTCCTGCTTCTCGTGCTGGATCGTTCCTGTCCGGTTCAGGCTCAAAAAGATATTATCGCCGCCCTTCAGCAGAAAGTCCGTCGTCACCACTGAATACGTTTTATGGGGCGAAATCTTGCGCCATTTCTTGTTGCGATCCCTGATCTCGACTTTCAACACATGCTTGCCGGTCGAATTACGCATGGTCGAGTCGTACCCGAAGCGGAGGCCGCTCACCTGGATGAACGAAGTAACAACCTTGCCGGTATCGTTGCGGCGCCCCGCAATCACAGCGTCCAAACTATCGAGTAACTCCTGACCCTCCATCGGGATCTGCAGAACATTGCTTCCAAAGGGCGCGACCGTGATGATCTGTTCAACAGTGACATTGCCCTTGGGAAGGCCAGCGCGGATACCGCCCGAGTTAACGATCGTAATATCAGCCCAGGGTTGGATGGATGGCTTTCCATGCTTGTTGTCGCGGCCAGGTTTAGTGACCTTGTTCCGGACGTAGTTGAGCATCGCGTCCGCCACAAAGTTACCCATCAAACAGTCGCGGGACCTGCAGCCCACCAGATCAAACGAGTCTGAGGCATGGCCGAGTACAGTCTGGGCCCAGGCCTCGAACTCGTTGCGCCAACCATCTACCTTCTTGGCCAGTGCAGGATCAGCAGCAACAGTGTTCTCGACCTGCACAGGAGCTCCGTTCCAGGCAACAATCTTGCCCTCAGCGTTAAAAGACACATCCAAGTTTCCAATAAACTGACCCCAGCAGTACGCCTACAGGAGTGGAACGAAAACGATAGCATGCTATAGCTAAGTCGCTTCAATACTCGTAGCGCTCATTTCTCATCTCGCAAGTTATTGTTGTTGTTGTTGTTGTTGTTGTTTTTTGTTTTTTTTTTGGCGGTAGCATACCTGAACAACCAAAGTATTGTCGCCGTCCAAATTCTTGATGACGGTGGGGTATGGTCCTTGGTAAAGTGGGTTCTTGGGATCACCCAGGTACGAATGAGAGTGGCCACCGACAATCAAATCGAGACCACGAGTCTTTGCAGCCAGCTCCATGTCGGGGGCATATCCATTATGGGACAGGGCCAGTATACGCTTGATGCCATTGGTCTGTAACTCATCAATGTACTTTTGAACAGCGACAATGGGATTTGTGAAAGAGACAGTCGGGCCGGGGCTGGAGATGTCTGCCGTCGTCTATAGTGGTTATCAAAGCAAAAAAAAAAAAAAAAAAAAAAAAAAAAAAAAAAGCGCGCTTGCAGGCTTAAGTACAAACAGAAGATATAGAAAGACATGTAACACCAAATTTTGGCACAAACATGAAGGTGTATGCCAAAAGGGAGCACAAACATACTGGAGTGATGTATCCAATGATGGCAACACCCAAGTCCTCAAAAATATGGTAGGGTTTGACCAGCTTGGCAAGTTCTGGATTCTTTGAAAAGTCAATGTTGGCGCAAACAACAGGCATCTTCAGATTGGCCCAGAAGCGTGCTGCGATGCTTGGGCCATCGTCCCACTCGTGGTTACCGACTGTCGTCAGATCGTATCCAATGTCATTCATCACTTCTGCGGTAACGTTTCCCTTGTAGTACGTATAGAAGAGCGTTCCCTACGCGAAAGCCCGTTGTAAAAATAAAAAAACTAGTTCACATCCTGCCTCTCGTCTGTAGCGAAAAGAATCTGGTGGTCGGCAACAACTTACCTGGAACTATTCAAGAAGGTAACAAGAACAGAATAAGCGTCGGTTTCGTGTGTGTGTGTGTGTGGGGGGGTACTCCTTTGAATCCCAATGGCATGTTCATTTAATACAAGATAGGCATTTGTGATCAATATCTGTACCTCATCACCACCGTCCAGGAGCAGCGAGTGCTGCTTGCCCTGACGGAGCTGCTGGATCAGGGTCTTGTGTCTTGCAGCACCACCGTAGCAGTTACCCTGGGCAATGTCATCTGCAGAGCAGGCCACACCAAGAGCATTGGCTGGATCCAACCGGGAGTGGACGTCGTTGGTGTGGATGACTGTCAGATTGAGCCAGCCATTGTCCGAAGACTGGGCCTGAGTCTGCAACAGGACGGCAACTGTTGCGGTCAGGATGAGAGGCACAAAGCGCGTGGGACGCATGGCATATCGGATCTTCATGACAGTACTGTTTTAAGAAGAGAACCGGCTGTGAAGGATGGATAGGGTCAGAAGAATGAGGATAAACGAAGAAGTGCTTACAAGGAAGTAAGCAAAGAGGGTGGGCAAAGAAGGAGGGGAGAAAATATTAAAAAAAAAAAAAAAAAAAAAAAAAACAAGGAAAAGGAAAAGGAAAAGAAAAGAGCACCCTTGACTACGGGCTACACATGCTCATGATATCATCCGTGACCGTGGGCGCCGGTGGAACTAGCGACGAACGGCGGAAGCAGTTCGAAGAGGAAGGAGAGCGTTTTTGGACATGAAATCGTGGGTGCATTTGATGCATCGGTGTCCTACGAGCGAGGAACGTGCATTGGGCACAGGACGACAGATACACTTTGATTGCTGATCGGATCTTGGCTTTATTTTATTTTCTGCTCTATATTATACATTCACCCCCGCACTTGTCCTCGCTTCGCTCTCCAATGTCAACACAACGCAGTGTCGTAGTATGTTCTGGAGTCACTCTACTTGCTCAGGCCATCGGCATACTGCAGCTGGCCGCTGTTCTCGTACTCGTACATGTCCAGCGCAACGATGCAACTCTCGCGAACAACACGCTCCTTGTCGTCACGGAACTTTTCAAGGATAGGGTAGCACTCGGGCGTAGCAATCGATCCCAGGGCCTCAGCTGCCTCATGGCGGACCATGTTGGTCTCGTCCAGCTTGGAGAGAACCTTCACCAACGAGGGCACCGCTGCAGGGTGCTGCATCTGACCAAAGACGTATGCAATCTCGTGTCGGAACAGCGCAGAGGGATCGTCGAATCCGTCAGCCAGAGCAAGGACCGACTCTGTCGTGCATTGGTTGCGGAGGGCAAACATGGCACGGTAACGCTCAAAGAGTGGCAGCTTCTGGTTCAAATAAATCGCCCGCAGCTGCTCTGTTGACTCTTCAGCAGTGGTTGGTGGGGCGGGATCGATCGAGGAATACGAGCTAGAGGTGGAATCGATTTAAAGTTTGGGCGCTCGTGTGAATGTCATTTTTCATACAACAATTCCTTCAGTATGCCAGCGGTTGCCACCAATACATTGATTCCATACCTCTGTGGGAGGGCCTCCTTTTCCTTGCGGTTGTCGTACTTGATCTTCTCAATGGCCAACTCGCATGTCTGAGAGACAACCACGGATTCATCCTTGAGGTATTCCTCCAAAATAGGGATCGAGTCTAATGACCCAATGGCTCCCAGGGCCTCCGCAGCCTCGTGGCGGACCATGGGATCCTCATCCATGGTCGACAAAACTTGCTTCAGGACAGCGTGAGCATGAGGGTTTTTCATCTGACCCAAGACATAGGCCAACTCGTGCTTGAGCAACGCAGACTCGTCCGCAAAAGCTATCAGCAAAATGAGAGTATTCAGGAACGGGGCAAAAGCAATAGTAATGAGTACGCCTTGAAACAAACGGCAGCCTGGTCAGGACGCCCACCTCTGATCAGCAATGACCAAAGAAACCATCCTGGTTAGCATTGGAGACAAGGGCGAGAAGTGATGGAGTTATACCTCGTCCAATAATATCGACACTCTCGTTGTCAGCAAGAGCCTTGAGGGTGAAGAGGGCACGGAAGCGCTCGTGCAAGGGAGCCTTTCCAGAGTGGTTGCAGAGGTCGGCTTCAAGAGCCCTATAGGTCTCAGCACTGGGCTTGGCGATCTGGACGTCCTCGAAGGCCATGGTTCGAGCAAATGCGGAAGAGAGATGAGAGGGTGAAGAGGAGGAGGCTAGACAAAGAAGACGAGAGTGAGAAGGAGCCCGGTATGGACGCAGCAGGAGCTCGAACTTTGAACGGTCCCTGACTGTAGTAGTAGGTGTGCACCAAGAAAAAAAAAATGGCACAGTGGCTTGGAAATAAACAAAAGTGTTGCCAATCTTATCTGATCGAAGGAGGGGAGGTTCTGCGCCCACGGACTGGTACTATGTTCTCTTATCAGATGCAATGTACCCTGTTCATCTCGTGTCGTGCTTTAAAAGGCCGACCAAGAAGACGACACTGAGTTGCTGCGCTGTTCCTCCAACACACTGCCATCTGAACAGCGAACGTGACCACTGCCTATAAGCAGAGGAGGTACTGCATGGGATGAGAGTACTCTTGAATGACCTGTTCATCAGGATATCCAGGAATGCTTGACCGGCGCCTTGCTCGTAGACGAGCATAGGTGCCGGGCAGCCAATATTATGACTATAGCAACCCTACTAATCGTTACTGTCAGCTAACGAACCCCTGCACGCGCTTCTACATGCGACAGCAAAAGACGCGTATTGTGCTTCCCCTTTCTCCTCCCCAACTCTCATCCCCTTCTTCGACATAAAGACAAGGTGTGCATCAGTGATGATTTCATAAGCTGCACCGCCTAAAGCGCATATGATAGGGGCTAAAAACTCATCTCAAAAACACATTTACAGAATAAGAGAAAGAAGCAAGGAGCCATGGCTACTTGATTATCATCTGCTATGATAATTACACAAAGCAACAAGCAAAGGTGCGCCTAATATCAGCTGTTTGTACAACAGCAATAGACCTTCAGGTAGCTATTCACCGTACAACTCAATTGTTGGAGCGTCTGTACCTACCCTTTCCTCCCACTTCTCCCCTCCCTTCCCTCCCCCTCCCCCCAAACAAAAAAAAAACGTGCACGAGTTTGAGCGATATCTGGAATAGCTCTCGCTCTTTTCCCGCTCCACGCACACAATCGCCCGCCCCGCCACTGGCACACTTGACCCTCCTACCTGAAAAGTTTTGGTTGGTCAGACTATCGAGAAGGAGCATTCCAGGAGGTCCTTGCTCTCGTTCCTGTTTGTTTTATGTTGGTGGACAGGAAACTCAGAGTCATAGTCCGCTATGGAGATGGATAGCATCATGCGCCCTTTTTTATTCGTGAATACAAAACGACGCCTAACTGAATAGTAGAGTATAAGCACGAGCATCGGGGATGGAGCAAGGACCACCTTTCGTTTTTTTTACTTCCCGCCGGCAAAATAAACACGTCTGAATAACTAGATTGAGCGCAGGGGGACTATTTCCCGGGTAGGTCAAGGCTGATCAATTTTGCTATGTGTATGTACTGTGGAAAGCCAGAGAGAGCAAGGAGAGGAGGAATGCGTTACAGGCGCCGACAGAGGATGGCCATGACGACAATACACATGTATATAAGTGTAGATGCATGCCACTGTACAATTACTGAATACCGATTTTGAACAAATAAAGCTGCTCTTCTTTCCTTCCGTTTTGTCTTCTCGGTTGCCATCGAATTGAGTTATGCCCTTTGCCACTCTGCTGTTCAAAAGGTTCATTGCAATATATATTTTTGTGTATGTGAGTGAGGATCATTGCTGTCGCTCGCGGAGATGCAATAAGTGGCTCTGCAGCGCAAGGGCTCTCAGATGGATTATGGCATCGTCGTACTTCAGCTCGCTGTAGCCACCTTTTCTTTTCATCCTCTCTTCCCTCCACTTCTAGAATGAATCCAAGTGCAGCTACTAGAATGTGTGTGTGTGCGGGTAAAGGGAAGGGGCCAGCATCGTCGATGGACTGAGCAGAGTCGTTTGCTCCGACGCGCAACCGATCCATTATTCCAGAGACAGTTCCAGAGACAGACACACAGCACTTGTGTCGTTAGTGTCGCACCCCATAGGAAGAAAAAAATAAAGTACAACCTTTAAGGCGATAAGACAGAGATGTTCTACTCCCCCTTCTTTTTTTTTTCCTGCTCTGTCCAATGATGCGGATGTATTTTAGATGGGTCATTTGAGTATGTACTGGTTGGGCTGAAAACAACAACAGCAAAGGCAAAGCGAGGTGTGTGAGGAGCGGGTTGAACAATTTTTTTTTTTAGATAGTAGATGCTGCATGCCGCCTTAAGCAGATCCCTCCCCTCCCGCCTTCTGTCTGCATCGATGGCAAGGCTTTGTGTCCAACACAATGAGGGGATGGTGCGCCCTAGTCCTCAACTAAGTCTCAACCGCAACCCGCTACTCGGTGAGGGTTGTGCGTGTGCCTGAGTTGTTTTTTTGATGGGGGTCCTCTGCTCTCCCTTCTCCATCCCCGTTCTTATTTGCTCTCACAAGTTTTACTTTTCTCGGATGTTTATTTCAACCCAGACAGGTCAAAGATTTATTTTGTTTAAAAACGATTAGATAGAATAGTATACGCAATAGAGAGCGATAAACAAACACGCAGGCACCACCGGACAAGCGGCTTCTTTTTCTTTTTCTCTAACGGGCCAAAAAGGGACGCAGACGATTTGATCATGAATAATGCTGGCATTTTGAGTGGACACCATGTCGAGTAGTGCGAAATAAAAACCGGGGAGAGGGGGAGAGAAAGGCCTGCTAGACTAACCCGAGTCAGGCATGTCCGTGGCTGTATGTGGTCTGCATTCATGTTCATGTCCAAGACAGGTCGTGGTGGACGGAGGGACAGAAGGCGGGAAACTACACAGTGTAGCACTTGAAGACAGACGGAGGCACATTTATTTGCTTTTTTTTTTGTCCGCTCGTATTTGCTGTTAGACTAGGTGTTTGAATGGTTGCTGGAAGTTGTTTATTGTGTGCGTGTGTGCGAGAGTGTACTTTTACGTGTTGTTTGTTGTGCGCTGTTTGTGACACTCTTGCGGTACTTCCTACAGCCAAACCAAGTCGTGTCAAAGCAAGACAAGGCAGGTCGAGTCATGGCAACATGCAGCAGTGATCGAATCTATTGGATAGAATAGCCGAGCACGAAATGGTAATCAGCCTAAGTCGAAGTCGAGTATCCTTTGAAGGACATAGGGGGAACACCGACCAACTGGCCAAGGGAACGAGCGCTCTCGGCCATTAACTACCCTCCAGAGGTACTGTATCCTCCCATCCTCTCCCCATAATCGCCACCATCATCATTCCTCGTCCTCGCCCTTCTCGTCATCATCCATCGTTCCTATTTATCAGACCACCAACAATTATGGGTCGACAGTCAGCAGGCCGAATTCGGAACTCTGCAGCTGTGTTTTTTTCTCTCGGTCGCTTAATGTAAAAACGGGTCAACAGCAGCGCCTATCGGCCGCGTGCGCTGAGAAACGAACCTAATGACTTACTAATAGACAATAGGGTACAGATTTAATGGAGGATACACGCCAGTAAACATTCTTTTTCCTCCTTTTCCCTTTTCCTTTTCTCTTTCCTCTTTCCTCACAGCGGCATTGTTGGCGCGTCTATTCCCCTCCCAAAAAGAGAAGTGAAAAGAGAAGAGAAGAAAAAACTTTTTCGCGGTGTGTCCCTTCGTTTTCTCGCCCTTTTCCCTTTTCACGCTCTCCCTCTCTCTCTTTCTCTCTTTTCCTCTTTCCTCTCGCTTTAGAACGGCTCCTCTTCCCACTTCCTCCCTCCCGCTCACACACTCTCTTCACCCGCACATCCATCGGCATCGACGCGTGTACTCCTCCAACACCGCCCATCTCCTGTCTCCATATACCCTATCCCAATCCTACCCTCCTACTCTTATTCCTACTCCTACTCCTACTCGCCACAGACTAATACTTCTTTCCTACACATATCATATGTTTGCCACGCAAACACACCCAGGCATGGTGCCCTCATATCCACAGGACGACACCATGTCCATCCGGAGTGGCACCAGCAACGGCAGTGGCAAGAGCATCGGCAGCGGCAATAGCTTCACTCGCTTCTTCAAACGCAAGGACTCCAAGGATTCCTCTTCAAACCACATCAACAACCAGACCATCAATACCAGTCAGCCCACCAAGCCCTCACATCATCCCCGGAGTGAGAGTATATCCGCCTTTTCCCCTGTTAGTCCCACTTCCCCAACCATGCAGCTCAATGGTCACCGTCCCAGCTACGAATATGGCTCCACCAGGGGAGGTAATCTCGGCTCGCTCTCTGAGGAGCTCAGAAACTACCAGCACTATCAGCAGCAGCTTCAGACTGAGCTTCAGTACCCAACCCCGGGGCTCGAGGGCTATAAGCAATGCATGCATTGGCTCCAGCAGACCTGTCGGCCCGTGCTCATGAAGGACCTTGAACAGCTGAACAACGTCCCCGTCCCCGTAACACCAGCCAATGCCAAACATCCTACCCAGATTGGTGGGGTGCAGGACGTCCAGGTCGCGACCTACAAGGGATCTCAGGTCCAGATTGTGCCAATGGAGAGGTGGGGCACCCCTCAGGAGGTTCTTGCGGAGGTAAGCAATTAAAGAAGCTTTCGATTCAATCAAAGACATCTGCATAGATTTTTCTAGGCATCCCTATCCTTGCTTGTGCACTATACTATTCTGCCCTTTCCCTTGCCCTACATTGGGTGGCACACGATAGTACAATCGGACGCTCGTACTACCAATCAGCACCCGCGCACCAACAGATACGTCTCTGTTTTGCCCGTGTCCCCCTTCTCTTTCCCATGGCGATTTCCATGCGGTGCGGTGCTGGTGCACAGCGAGGAACGTATTTGAGGAAAGGGGCGGCAGTATTGGCCAGGGCAACATGGCTCTCTTTAAAGAGCTGAAGCTCTCCACTATACATCCGCACACCCACGCACCACATACCACAGCACTACAGCATCACTGAATGAAAATACCACCTGTCTTTCCTCGACACATGCATTCATCCGTCCACTCATCCATCCACCGCTCATACATAGCCATTATCCACATTGATCATGCACACACACCCACGTACACACGTCCTTTTCAAACGCTTGTCCCTGTCTGGGGGCAATGCCGTCGTTTATTTTATTTGGCCATCGATGGCCGAGACCCGATGAAGCACATATCTTCTTCCCCTTCCCCTGGCCTTTTTTTTTTTTTTTTTTTTAGTTGGATCTAATTGCAGACGATCTGGAAATCATCTATTCCAGGGATGCCCTGCATAGACTTTCCTCATCTCCATTTGCACGTTCTGGATAATCATACAAACACAACAAAACACCCGTAAACATACACACACATTCTGATAAGGTCTCATACTTCCTTATTCGCGCAAAAAAAAATTATCAAGAGGAAAGGAAAGGGAGAAGCGGGAAGAGCCGTGTGACCATCACTTTTTTGTACGTTCTCACGCAATTGCTTCTGCAAGAAACCCCCCGAGCAATATTCAATTGTATATATCCCCTCGCACAAAGCGCCAGTACGATGCTGTTGATGCATATACAAATAGGCGCGCGATATTAATATTATTGTTGTTGTTGTTGAAGATTCTTATCCCGCCCATCGTCATGGTGTCATTTGGTACACAAAAAGAGGACCGATACAAAAGAAGAAAGATGAGACGATATAAAGAGCTGCGATCCATTGGCTGGGAGGCCCTTAGGACCCACCACACGTCTGGTAAACAGCCGTTGGATGCGATGGTGACACAGCGTAGCTGAATTCGCGCGGTAATGTCTTACTTCCTTGGTCTCTGTCACGAATACAAACTGCCTATACCGTACATCCAGTTACATGTGTGAGTGTGATTGAGAGTCTCTTCCCTTTCAGCGTTTCAATTGCAGTTGAATCTTTTGGTGCACTAAAGAAGAAATAAACAACAGAGCAAAGGGCCTGCAGGATGGTACAAGAGTACAAGAGCACAAGAGTGTAGGGGTGTAAGAGTGCGAGAGTGAGACCGACAGAGATTTTTGAGTTGCTGCAGATTACCTACTCAATGTTTGCAGCATTGTCGACAGTAAGAAAAACCCCGGCAACGGGAACGAGAACAGGGCTCTCCCTTTCTTTCTCTTTCACCTACTCCCATATCGACTGAGGTCGACATCGACGACTAGTCAGACGATGGGCACCCTTTTTTCTGTCTCCATATCCTATGTGGATGTGTGCGTGCATGCATTCATTCATTCATTGGCCTACCAATGGTGTTGCTTAAGAGAAAAAAATATCAAACAAGCATAGCATCGCGTGGCTCCTCGGAGGATTCTAGGCCAACGCGGCTCTCATCCAACCCTACTCCTTACAATTACTCATCACATCATGGGGCCATTATCCCCAACCTTCCACTAAGTTTTCGATGCTCATATCCTCCTCCCATGTCTATTTCGCCTATTATCCGCGACATAAACATAGATCCAAGCACTTCACAACCTACGCAGGTGTAGACAGGTCATCCAGCTGTTCGGCTACCTGCCAAGCGCAAACGTAGCCTCCGGTCAGTCCCCTGCCTTGCTCCTTCAGCAACCCGTTCATGGCTCCCTGCGCCAGTTCCTCAACCATCACTCTGAGTCCCTCCAATGGCCCGAGCGCTACAAGCTGGCCCTCGATATGGCTCAGGGTCTCCGATTCTTGACCGAACAAGGTGTCCCATGCACCATGAACTCGGGCAACATTTTGATTGACTACGAGGGTGTTGCCATCTTGACAGGCTTTGGTTCCCCTGGAGGCATGATCACGTCCGCACCCTGCCAGATGACCACCCAGCCATCCGGACCTTCCCTTATTGTCTACATGGCTCCAGAGAGAATCATGGGCAGGAGCAGTTATTCTCTCGAATGGTCTGTCTATTCCTTGGGAGTGTTGCTTTGGGAGCTCTCCTCGGGACGGATGCCCTTTGACGAGATCATTGCCCGCGCAGAGTCCGGTCCGAGACTGGCCAAGAACATGGAGCAGCTGTCCTCTGCGATTGTGAAGGGACTTCGCGAGGAAGCCGTTCCCAACACGCCCGATATTTATGAGCAGCTGTACAAGATGTGCTGGTCTGGTGATGCCGAGTCGAGACCTCCACTCGATGTTGCCGAGGAAACCTTGCAGATGTTGGTCGTTGTTGAGCCGATGGATATGTTGATGCTCCCTGGAGAGGAGATGAATATGCCTATTTCTACAGCTGGTAAGCCCGATTTCGCGCGTATTCTCTTTTGTAATACTAAAATATCGAGTGCTTGATACTAACCCTTCTCTTCGTGATTGTTTTCTCGTTCCAGTCTCGGAGAGTATCGATGGCGATGCTATCAGCGCGCATACCCTGACTCGCTCCAATAGCGTCCGCTCCGACTCACCTGGTCCGAGCCATGTTCGTAGCAGTGGCCATGCTAAGCCCGCGACGCTGCACGAGGCCATCACTGTTTCGAACGCAGACATGACAGAGTGGTATATTCTCGCGGGCCACGACCTCAACGGCTACGCGATCGTGCCAACGTATTCGTTGGAATGCGAGATCACGCCAATCCAGACGTGCCTTGCCCATTACCTGCCCTCGTCCCTGGTGATCTTCAAGGAACTGATGGAGCAGGACGTCGATGTCAAGCTGCTGGCGACGCGTTCCCTCCAGAACTGTTTGCACATCTTGATGGATCGATACATCCCCTTCAAGAACGACAAGGGATCGTCTCATCTCTTCGTGGCGGTGGATGCTCTCCTGGCCGCGGGCGTGGAAGTGAACGCGCTGGATGTTCAGGGACATACGCCATTGCATCTGTTGATGCGCAACGCCAGGGTTTCATCCGATGATGTAGCCGAGTGCTTGAAGCGAATGATCGCCCACGGTGCGGATACGTCGATTCATTCGCCCAAGGATGGTAATCTCTTGGCCTTGGCCTGCAAGTACCTCCATCTGGAGACAGCCAAGCTGATCTTGGCTACGGACATCCTGGCATCCGAGCCGGAATCGATTGACCGAGCAATTGAGGCCTGTATGACCATGACGGGTCGTGTGACGGACACGTTTGTGAACTTGCGGAGCAAGACGCGCGAGCTGCTGAAGCTCTGGACGGGCAAGGCCGCAATGCCCAGGCGAGAGAGACTGGTGATCAAGGTGCTGCAAGATGCGGGTCAGTTGGATCAGGGAGGCCTCCGAGTCTCGAAGGGCAAGATCGTCCGTCGGGCACCGGCACCTCAGCTGGCATGTGCGAATAAGTTCTATGACAAGAACGTCAAGAAGAAGCGCGAGAGGTTGCTGGACGATATCGGAGTGATCCCCGAGGGTGTTTGGTCGTAGTGCAACGTGTACAGGAAGTGTGGAAAAAGGCTACTCCCCCCCCCCTCCCCCTCTCTCTCTCTTTTTATCCTATCCACTGCTGTTGTGGCCTTACTCTCTATTATTTCTTTTTCACATGTGCGTATCTTTTATTTTTCTTCCTCTTCCATATTCCGTAATATGTAGCTAATTAGTTACACCCGCAAAAAAAAAAAAAGAAAAAGAAAATCAATACACAATTTTTTTTGCTAGACACAAACGCGAAAAGCGTAGAATCCAAAGGACGGATGGAAGGAGAACGCTTTTTGAGAGAATTATTGTACAGATTACTTTATTACAGTGAAGAAGGTATGAGAAGTAGAATCATATCTAGAGATCTCTCATATCGTACTTAGCCTGGAGAGCCATTTTGTCAGCACGCATGGTCTTATCGTAATCGTGGAAGAGATAATAAATGACGATGGAGATCAAGAAGGCAGCACAACCCAATCCGGTGTACATCCACAGCAGCAAAGGATCCTTGGTCATGGGCAAGAAGGCGAATCCCAAGAGGGCACCGACACAGTTCGTGAACAAGAAGATGGCCATGACGACGGACTTCATGGTCGCGGGCGCGTTCGTGAATGCAAACTCGAGACCGGTGATGGAGGCAAAGATCTCGGAAATGGCGATGAAGAAGTACGAGAGGATCTGCCAGGCAATCGAGACGTTGTTCGGGGTCTGGTCTGGGTCGCAAAGGGTGCAATCGTAATTGGGTCCGGTGATGTAGATCTTGTGTTGCACAATCGCAGTCCAGGCCATGGCCAGGGCCGAGAACAAGAAGCCGAGGGAGATACGGGTGATGGGCTTGAGCTCGAGACCCATTCTACGGAAGCCCGGGTAGATGACTTTGTCAAAAATGGGGATGAAAATGATCAAGACAATGGGATCGATATTGTTGACAACGTCGTTCGGGATTCCGTAGAGGAGCATGGTGCCGGCTTGGGAGGTCAGGTTGGTGGTGATCTGGTTGTAGATGACCCAGTACAGGGGAAAGAAGCAGAAGACGGAGCAGGCCTTGAGGGTCAGACGCAGCTCGTCAATGAAGATGTCGTCCCAGGTGACAGATTTCATGTCTGCATTGGGATTGGAGGTCCTCATCACCGTGGGCTTGGCAGCATCGAGGCTGCGACCGTTACGGAGGGCAATTCCAAAGACGCGGAAGCCCTCGAGAATGACAGAACCACGGGCAGAGGTCTTAACGACCTTATTGCGACCAACCCAGAGAGCAAAGATGGCACCGTTGAACATGATCAGGGGGATGAGGTAGGCGAGCCAGAAAGCGTAGTACTTTTCGGCGTTGGTCGTGATGATAGCGGAGAGAGAGCCGAGGTTAATGGCCCAGTAGAACCAGTTGAAGATCGATTGGACCGTGACCTGAGGATCGACAATGACCTTTTCGCCGGATTTGAGGGTCTTGACGGTAGCTTTGGTTCCCTGGTATTGTTCTGCGACCATGGGCGAGACGTTGGCCTTGATACCGCCGGTGCCAAGACCGATGACGATCATAGCGACGATTAGACCGGGAAGGGCGGCATTGGCAAGGATGGCGGGTGGGATGGAGGTGAGGACCAGGACGAGGACTCCGAGCATGTAGATACCGCAGAAGACGCAGATAGTCTTGTATTTGCCGAGGTACTATCAATCAAGCAAGCACAAGAAGAGGCAGATGGTTAGGGCTTTCTGGGAAAAGTTGCTGTGCAGTCAGTGAGCCACAATTGCACAACGGAGGAAGAGATTTCTTACCTGATCCGCTACGATGGCACCGAGAATGGGTGTGACATAGCAAAAGACTAAATCAAAAAAGCATTGGCATCCGCGTTAGATTTACAGAGCCAACGTATTAAAGAAAAAAGGCAAGACAAGACAAAGGGAAAGGCAAGACAAGAAAGACAAGATAGGCTAAAACAAGACGACGTTGTGTTGGTATGCCTTACACTGGAAAAAGGTGTTCAATGCCGTGGCGGTCTGCTGGCCCTTGCCAATGGCACCAGGGTGATCAGCTCCACGCTGATCTGTGTAAGGGTATTGGATGTAGTTCTGGAAGGGGCCCGAAAGACCATAGTACGTGAAGCGTTCACAGAACTCAACTACGACTACCAGCCAGGCCGAGGCTGGGATCGTATCGGCCACTCGGCGGAGTGTGCTCTCCTCATGTGCGGTGGGTTCGAGGCCATCACCATCGGCTTCCATGAGGTCCTCCCTTACGGGAATCTTGCTCTTATCAGTGTAGGATGAGGAGGTACTGATAACGTGGTGGTGAGGGTGGTCATTGAGGTCGCTCTTGACGGCGGCCATCATGGGATCGCTCCTGTAAGCGACTTCGGCAGCAGGGGGGGCTGCTGTGTCGTCATAATGCTCAGTCTTCATTTTCAAGGTGTATGCTTTCTATAGGAGGGACGCGCCTCAGGGGGAGGAAAGGGGATGAGCGGGGGAGCGGATAATGGATGGCGGGCTGGTCAATTGAAGAGTGAAGGAGTAGAGGAAGGAATAGAAAAGGAAGTGGTATCTAGAAATGGGTGAATGGAGACAGGGTTGAGGACGAGGGTATTAATAGAGACGATATTAAAGGGACTATGGATGACGATGATAAGACAGCACACTGCAGTGCGAGAGAGAGAGGAAAGAGTGCAGGGACGAGGGGAAGAAAGAAAAGAAGAGTGGCATGGGATCCTTTATATGTCCATTCGGGCCGGATGAACAGTTGAGTGTAGAGAAGACTTGGTACCGTTCGGGAAACCAAATGGCTCAGACGAGAGGGTGTATGGGATCGGTGGATCGATGGTCTGCCTTAGCCTCGTTTTCTACCTAAAAATGTTGCAGGCCGCTTTCGCACGCTCGAATAAAAAGAGGCACAAGGGCCGAAGGGACGTCCGCTGTCGTCATGTCATGAACGTTGATTCGTACTGCTCTTCAATTGAGTGTTACATAAAAATACAGATACATTTTAATGTAAATGTACGTCTGGTTGCCATGCAGGAACCGGTGCAGGTGTGGGCGTGGGTGTTGCCGTCTTTGGAAAGAGCAGGGACAAATGAGATATATAATGGGATATATAGTTGTATGCAGAAAAAATGAGTGCGCTAGACCCGATTCAGAAAGGCAGAGAGACCTGGACCAGAGAGCGTTCAGCGGAGAGTATTTCCGGAGCGGAAGAACATTGCTGCCATGGTCTACATCGACTCTCTCCTCATTGATAGCTCCACACCCGTTTTGCCCTTGCTGACTTTCGAAAGGACCCCTGGCCGTGCTCTTATAGGCTGCCGTCCCTCAACAGCGCAATTTTCGTCACTCCGACCAGGCTGTTTTCATTGGGGCGTGGAGCATTGCAATTGTCTGCTCGCGTGCCGTGCAAAGCCGTGTGTCCGGTCTCATTGGCGTTGCCTTTACATGAACATCGCTATAGAGTCGAATTGTTCTCATGACGACAGAAGGCATATGCATGAGGTGGATATACAGGCGAGTGCGCATGTCCTGCAAATTACCCTTTTCGAGTTTTTCCTCGAAGGTTGGTGACACCCTAACACTCTAAGCGTGGGTAAGTGGATGAAGCATCGATGATTTAAGAGCAATGAACTATGTCACTGATTAAAGTTTCCTCCGGTCCACAATTTTCAAACAAATGAGTAAGCAACCATCGAAGACACCAACGTAGACACGCATATACTATAAGGCCATATCCGGAAAAAATGGTCTATGTCATCTTGTGAGACACTCTGTCAAGTACTGGGCGGATAGCAGCAACAAAAAGACGTATAGCAAAAGAGGGGATATTATAAAAGTGTAAAGGTGAGGATGCAAAGATAAGGAATGTAGATCTGCTCAGATCTCTCCTATCTGGGGTTTGATCGGCGTGCAGCAGAAACAAAGACAGGCACAAGCACAGGCACCAGAAGACCCAACTGCCACAAGTACAGACTACGGCTACACTTCATTGCCTAGCATTTATGGACAGAGTGCTTGAGCTCTTAATGTGCGAAGATACAGAGATCTCTGCCAAGTTTGGATGGACCGGTAGTGGATTCCAGATAAATATTTTCCAGGAAATGCTTCTCTCAAGACCGCCAAGTAGACGGTGGTCCCTTCCCGGCATAAATTCCTATTGGCCATAATAATAAGAAATGAATCAACTGCATCCGCCAGAGCTGCTAAAGTATTCTCCGACGAGATAGATCGGATAAAATGCCAGCCATCAGGCTAGTCTCATTCCTCAGATACTGACAAGAGGATGAGTGTATTTGTGGTGCGTGTCTGGCTTGAGATCGCTCGGCGGCTTCTTCTGCATATCTCTGGTCTCTGTAGAAGAGAGTACCCCTTCGAAGTACGATCTCCAGATCTTTTAGACCAATTACCGGTTCAGGAGTCGAGGGGTTGATATGCCTTTCAGAGAGTTAAGGAAATGATGATGCCGGTTGTCTGTTCCACACAGCATTCAGCATCATTATTACATTTGTGTGTATGTTTCTTTGTGCACATGTGCCGAGTATATGGGTATATGGGTGGATGGGATGGGCAACCGCACAGCCACCGAAGTGCTCATGTTTACCAGGTGTTTATTGGGATGTTTTGTGTGGGCGCTCATACACCCACGCACGATCGCCAAAGAAAAGGGTCTGATCTCTGTGATGGGCTCCTTGCAGAGCGCTTCCGCATACGATCTACATCCTTGCTTCGCCACATGACGCTGACAACCCATTACATGTATTTACAGAGGCGTCTATCTGAGATCTGTCCGCATAAGATCTCGTCCCCCTCCATGGTCAATTCCTTATTCTCGTTTCGACCAAGGACTACACTCAACGTTGTGCATCGTACTCAGGATTCATTATCCGTTGTCTACAAAAGGAAAGATCTTCGACAGATCCGACGACTTGCAAACTCGCCCAGGCTGAAGGATGGTGACTTGACCGAAAAACGAACCCACAACCAACAACGGTATCCACCACCACTACCACCACCGCCCCACCCTCTCCTTCCCTGTCATCGTTCATTCCAGGCTATATGGCAAACTGGCACCACACATTAGCAACCATTATCATTATACCTTAGCCGTAACTCGTGCGCCGGACTATTTCCTTGCTCTTTCTCTTTCTCACTCTTGTCTATTTCATCTTTTTGATCCGCGCCCTCTCAGCATCCACCCTCTTTGGTTCAGGACTTTCAAATAGTCCATATTTTTCGCGCCCCATTTGTTGTATACCCCTTCTTCCTTGACACGACCCCTTCTTTGGCTGTTCACATTATTGTTTGTGCTTGCACAGAGTAGCACATCATTGCAATAACACAGCACAGCACAGCGCAGCACACGGGTTGCATTAGGTATTGACGACAAAGGTAAACAAATGTAAACAAACTTGGGCAAGGATTAGGGACGGAGTCGGCCTGTCCATCCATTGGGGCGAAGCATGTTGCGTTACCACGCAGCTGCTGTAACCCACGCACACACACAGCCCACCAGCACACGACCTTACAAGTTGCAGGTGTTTCCCGCCAATTTTCATTATGTCCACGAATGGAAATGCCTTTCGCTCCTCTGTCCCCGTTCAGAAGACGCGCATAATCGAAGTGGGGCGGATGGTCTCGCTCGCTGGTCCTCCTCGCGTTGATGTCGCGTCCTCTGTGGACTGTAGACTGAGAACTGCGGACTGTTTCTGAAGGGTTTACATAACGTCTGTTGCTGCACTTTCTATCCCCCCATCGGATTGTGGGTGTCCTTCTCCACTCTTCCTCTTTCTTCTTTTCTTCTCTCTCTCTCTCTCTCTCTCTCTCTCTCTCTCTCTCTCTCCCCACCCCCCTCACATTTCCTTATAAGCGCCCACCCACTGCTGTAATCTCCTTTTATATACTCTCCCCTCCCTTTTTTGTCGTCCTCCTTCCCTGCCCTGCCCAGCCCTTTCTTTCTTTTCTTTCTTTTCTTTCTTTTCTCTCTTTTCTCTCTTTTCTTTCTTTCCATCTTTCATCTTTCCCTTCTCTCTTGTCCCGTCATCTCCTCCCCTGCTCTGTCACTGCATACCACATACTTGCATCACTGTGTCATCCCCATCATTCCCGTTGTAACGGCTGACATCTAACGACCCCCCCTTCGTCTCCTTCGTCTCCTTCGTCTCCTCGCCCTCTTTATTCTCTTTATTCTCTTTATTTCCTTGCAGCTGCAGCTGGACCCTCTGCGCACTCCGACTGCCTGACTCGGATCCTGAACTCTGACTCGGACGCCAACTTTATTGTCCACAACAAAGACCCGCCAGCAGAGCAGCACAACGTGTCCATCCGATCCCCAACTCTATCGCACCGCATACTCTCTGCACCCTCCATCCTCGACTCGCTCCACCCTCGACCCTTGACTTCAACTCCCGTTACCGTTACCGACACCGACACCACCGATACCCGTCAGGAGTCAGGAAGTGGCCTCGATCGACTGATCTCTGGATCAGCCCCATATACCTCCTCCATCCCTCTCTTCTCTCCCTCGACAGAAACGCCCCGCGCCTGCTCGCCCGTCCGCTCGCTCGTCATGGCAGAGAACACAATCCTGTCGCTCTGCGTCCCCTGCCCCACGCCTGCTCAGGCCGGACCCGTCGACGAGACCCTGACCAACACTTTTCGCCAGCTCTGCGCAGAGACCAGCCGCAGTCATCACTGTCAGGTCATCCTCGATATTAGCCCTCACACCACCCAGGCCAAGAAGCGACTCTCGATCGAGAACCACCAATCAGTCTACAACATCGCCATCTCTGGTCCTTACCAGAATGTCATGGCCGCAAGAGGCGCACTCTTGCGCAACAGTCCTCTCAAGGTAACAATAGCTGGAATCAAATTAGATCTCTTTGTTCTTTCTTTCTTTTTTTTTTTTGGTCGATCAACAACAGGAACAATGGCATTTGTTTTTACCATTGCAACAGATCAGATCTCTGTTATTGTTGTTTTTCCCGTGTGCGACTTTGCCCCCCCCCCCCCCCACCCCCAGTTCTGCTGTTGGGACAGTCTATTTTTACCGGCTGCAATGGACGCTGAGGACACAAACACATAGACACAAGAACATACAAAAGAGGGGGATTGCAGATGCCTACACCGATCTGTTTTGCCTGCGCAACCTGGATTCATAACCAGATCTCTGGCTTGCTCCTCCTCCACGTGGTTGATCCATGATGGATCCAATCCATATCGGACATCCTGGTATCTTTGGGGGGGGGGGGGGGGAGTGTAATACCGGTGATCTTATGACTCTTTTTATTTATTTTTTATTTCAGTGTTTCGAGTGTGTCGTTGGGTGTTGGGTGTTGGGCATTGGGATTGTTTTCGTTGTTGACGTCTGCGTTTTTGCTAAACAGCGGTCAGCGGAGCGAGAAAAGCGGAGCGGGCGAGAGTATCCAGAAATACTCGGGGAGGGGGTGAATGGGGGAAGAGGGAGAGGGGCAAGACATTCTTATCCGCTGACATCTCATCATACCTCGCTGTTCGTATCTTGTCTTGGTCGAATCGTGTGCTGCATACTGCACATATGCACAATGCAATCATACCGCAGTAGCTAACCGTCGTCTACCTCCGATCTCTGGATGTGCTCCATCCCCTATAGCCCAAGCTGTCGGTCAAGATCAGCAAGGCGTGTATCTCCGCAGACGCATTCCCGGAAGCCACATCGCCTGTCACAGGATTAAAGGCCAATGGCGCGGAAGCAGCAGGAACAGCACCAGAAACAGCACCAGAAACAGCACCAGAGACAGTACCAGAAACAGTATCAGAAACAGCACCAGCGACAGCTCCGGAAACACCAGTGACAGCAGACACAACAGAAACGGACGCCACCGCCTCCGAGAATACCAGCGCCACCAACACCACCCAGGCTCGCTCCTCAGTCACTCCCTCCACTGCACCTCCTGCGCCATCTGCAGCGGCCGACCCAGCCGATCCAGCAGCATCCTTGTCGCCATCTGTGTCAGCCCCTATACCAGCAGTATCAGCAACCGCATCCTTCTCCACATACTTCACTGTGCTGCCCCAGTTCAAGGTCCGGGTCGACCAAATCTCAGCCTCCACAAAGACATCGATCGCACTCGTCTCAAGCCAGTTTCATGCCCTTCCCTCTGCAAAATCCATCGTCGCTGCTCGTGCAAGGCAGGAAATTGTCGAGTTACTCGTCTCCGGATCATGGGAGAGCGCAGAGACTGCAAGACTTCTCCTCCTGGTGGCAATTGACACGCTCCAGCCTGGAATCGCACAAGAGAAACTTCAGGTGGAACTCAAATATCAAAACATGATTGGTGGTCGAAAGCGCGATGACCTGCAGAGCCTGATGGCCAAGACGAGGACAAATATCTACATGGCATCACCCTTTGTACAGACCGCCAATAAGGGCGGAAATCCAGTGGATTCCAGATACAACGAGGTTTATATCACGGGTGAACCTGCCAAAGTCCAGATCGCCAAGGATATCCTTTCGCGCGCCTATGCTCGTGCCCAGTCAGCCGCACCAGCCTACACTCGCCAAGTGAACATTGCCTGCCGCAAGCTGGATTGGATGCTTTTGAATCATCGAGACAAGCTGCGCTCGATCATGATTGATAATGCGTCCTTTATCGCCTTTCCTCCGCTTGGCGCCGGTCATCCTATTATCTTTGTTTATGCCGAATCAAGAGTGAATGTCGAGCGAACTATCCGAACAGTGATGCAGATGGTAAGCATCTAACCACTGCTATTTTTGTTGCCGTTACAGTTGTATTATCAATTCTTTTGTTGCCATTGGATACTAACCAAGGTACCTGTCTGATAGTCCGCGCAATTCCACTCTGGATCAATCAATATTCTCTCACCTATCCACGAGAACCTTCTGGTGATCCCACAAAGCCCTCCGAATGCGCTGTCGCCTATCGCCAATATTTCAAAGCTTGTTTCCCAGGCCTCTGGAGCGGAAGTGGAATTCCGCAACAACGGGTTTTTTATCTTTGGAAACGAGATCCAGTCAAGGATTGCGGTCCAGTACCTGGCCGACGTCGACTTTGTAAAGACGATGCACCATGAAGTCAAGTTTTCGGTCGAACTAGCGAACGAGCACCGCGAGTTCATCTCTGGCAAGAAGAACGGCAAGATCAACCGTATCATGAAGGCAACCGGGGCCAAGATCAAGTTCGACCCATGCAACGAATACAATTTTTACGTCGATCTGAGCTCAACCATCTCTGTGAAGGCTGTGGAAGCCCTAGCTCTGCTTCAGGAGGAACTGCCGGCGGAGATTTCGTTCTATGTACCGGAGACATATCACAAGCGGATTATCGGCGTGGGTGGCAAAAACATTCAGCGCATCATGAAGAAGTTTGGGGTCTACGTCAAGTTTTCGAATTCAGAGGAATTTGCCAACCTTGGCGGCTACTTTGACAACCTAGACAATGTCGTGGCGAGGACACCCTCTAAGAACGCCATCAATCTGGAGAATCTGAAGCATGCCGTGATGGAGCTAGTCAACCCAAAGGACAAGGACTTTGTACAACATTCCATTATCATACCCAAGCAGTACCATCTCTCGCTTCTATCTGATCACGCCCGAGAGTTGAGCGAACTCCAGAGCGCCACCAATGCTATGATTAGATTTCCTGAAAAGGAGACCGGGAGCGACGTTGTCTGGATTTCAGGACCAGAGTCCCTTGTCCATCAAGCGACATCGATGCTGCTCTCTCTGGTGGACGAACAATATGTGTACCCGGTCCCGTTTTCGGAGGCGATGTTTAGAGTTTTGGCCAAACCAGAGTTCAAGACCGAGGTGCTGGATAAGATGAAGAACGAATGGAACATGACTCTTGTTCCTCCTCTCCCTGTGGAGACCGCTGCTTGCATCAACAAGCAGAACGAATCCGCAGCCGGAATCAACGTTGGACCTAAGGCACCATCTACTACAGAACACAAGAAGCAGCACTCAGTTGACCATGAAGCATCGGAGACAGGACTGCAGCGGGAGGGCCACGTCAGCGAAAACGACGAAAAGCTGGCCAGATCTCTCAGCAGCTTGACCGACAGCGATGATGAGGGCGAGGAAAGTGAGGAGGAGGACCATTTGTTCGTATTCAAGTACAGTCGCAACAACGAGGATTATCTGCAGAACGCTAAAGAGTTGCTGGTGCAATTTCTGATCGACAATCAGATCGAGGTCTATGACGACGAGATTCGGGTACGGCGTCCTAGGTCAGACTCTTTTGCCGAGGCATTTCCGCATTTCAATAGCAAGATCCTGTCTTCTGTGACCAGTGGAGGTAAGGACAAAAGTGGTATTATGAATGGCGCGTGTTGCATGAAAAGGGTCTGAAATTGCGTGGAGCTAATTTGGGGCCTTTGATGTATGTCTCTTTAGAACTTTCGACCCCTGCCCCTGCCCCTGCCCCTACATTCTTGAACTATTCTCTGTTTGAGAATACAGGTAATGCCTTCGAGACTTTGAATCGCTCCTCAGCAACCGGAGGAGGCGGACAAACATCCAGCTCGATGGTTGCACCAGATATTCGGGCTCTCTTTTCGCACGGACCCAACTCTGGGCTGCCTCCTGTGGCCTCTTCACCTCCTCCTTGGCCCGAACAGAGCAACCGGCAGCTGTCCTTGTTGCCAGGATCAGGATCCTCCACGACTGCACCTGCCACGGCCGCATCAGGACCTTCGTTTTCGCTAAGTCAGGCTCCTGGAATGCATCAGTACAACCAGTCGTCTTCATTTAACCGACTAACATCGCTGCCCGTCGACCCATGGGCAAGCCCTGGGAAGCAGAACCAGCAGCAGCAGCAACACTTGCCAAACACACCAGGCTTCCCTGGTGCCATTGGACAGTTTCGTACTCCGCCCCCTGGGATGAACAGCGTTGGCAACAGTGGATTTTACACACCTGGTGGTCAAGGCCAACAAACACAGCTGTTCTCACCGGAAGGGCCATATGTCGGTGCGATGGGATACCAGACCCCAGGCTCTGTTCCTTCCAATCATTTGTACTCAAACAACAGCTCGCCTGTCCAAGGCGCATCAAGCGATATCGCAAATTATTCAAAGTCAATGGGACAGCAGTCGCCGCAGCAACAACACCATCCTCAGCAGCACCACCAACCATCTCCTCGACGACCCATGTCCGGATCATTTGTTTCACGCGACAGCATGCAGTTCTACGAAGACAAGATGGTATCAATGCCGTCTTTTGGACCAGGTTATGGGCCTGCCCTCAATAGTGGCAACAACCGATCACATCAGCAGCAGATGTTATACCAGCAGCAGCAGCAGCAGCAACCAGGTCAAGCATACCCACCCCAATCTACATTTGGCCAATCTATTCAATACCCACAGCAGCGCCAGCGGCACTCTAGCCACAACAGCACGGCCAGTCATCACACCATGTTCCTGGGGCCTATTGGAGGAGGCCTTGGATCAGCTGGAGGAAGTGTCAATAGCGACGATATCTCTACTGAAGACGATAGTGACGAGCCTTTCGATGACATGCGGAACCGATACCGATCATATCAGTTCCAGCACCAGGGTATCCAAGGAGGGAGTGGAGGGCTTGTTCCTCAGACCCCACCCTCATCGATGCTTGCGAACCGCCGAGGCTCGGTTCCGTCGATGGGATCAACATATAGTAACCAGCAGCTGTATGATTCGACACATGCCGGTGTACCTCTGCCGAATGTGGTGCGATTGAGCAACAGCAGCTCTGACCTCTATGGTCGCAAATCGCTGGTGAACTCGATGAACAGACTCTCGCTGGGTCAGCAGCCAGACAACAGCTTTGGATCTCCTCGATCTCTTGGGGGACTCGGGGGGAGCGCTGGTGATGGATCGCCATTGAACATGGCGAACTTTTCGTCGGGGTCAACATTCAGTGGCAGCGGTGAACGGGATCTGTTCTCGAGTGGGCTCGGTGGCATCATTGGCGGAGCCACAATCAGCCACGGTGGCGCTTACAATACCCATACTCATATCCATACCCAGAGCAACAATGGATCCAACCAGGCCGGAGGTAATAATGGCAATGTGAACGAGGTCCAAAAGGAAGGCCGTATCGGTTCGACGTTGTCCCACTCAGCGCTCCCGTTCCTTACAAATTCGCAACTGGATCAGTCGGGACATCACAGTATGGTTGGAGGCTGGGACCGCTGAAGACCCAGCTGTTGATCTTGCTGGCTCTATTTTATTTTCTTTTTCCTTGTTCATACTTTTACAGCTCGTTTCGTTTTGTATTTCTGTTGTTGGTTTCCATTGTACAACAACAATGTGTTCTATTCTCTCATTGTCTTTCCTCGTGTTGTTTGTCTTTGTCCTTTATTCCTGTTGTGTTTCTTTTGTTTGGTATTCAACTCATTACTTGACGCCTATGCTATTCTATGCTATGCATGGCTTGATATCCGTTGCCAACAATCCTAATAACCATGAAGCTAATAAAAAAATATATATAAATATAAAAAAAAGCGAAATCTGCATCTCGACTTTTACGGCATTTTCATGATCGACACGGCAAACTTGTTTGAATATGAATGAGTTGTTTGGGACAGAAATTTTTATTATGGCTGTTGAGGGGCGCCTCGATCACAGGCCTTGACGCGCTCATTCATCTCATCAATAACATCCAAGAGCCGCTGTGTTTCCTTGACGGCCTCTCTCCTAGTTGCACGGGCGACCTCAAAGTCCGGTTTACAGACGACGCCATCAAAGATCAGGAGAGACTGGAGCAGGTTCTCGGAAAGAAGACCATGGGCGTCCTGGAGACCTTTTCGAGCGGGTAGAAGGGGTATTTGGGAAAGATTAACGGGGCCCGAATTGGATTGGATGTAGTCCTGGACGGCTTGTTCATAGCGGGGAACATGTTGCGCGACGAGGTCGAGGGTCTTTTGGAGAGAAGACTGGATCTTGATAATGAGGGCATACTCTTCTGGATCGCCGTTGGTTGTCAGCGTGCGGATGTCTGTTTTCTGTGGTGTGGAGGTGTGGAAGATAGGGGATGGGGGGGGGGGAAGGGTTAGGATGGTGGACATGGTATAGAACAGGACAGAACACAATCTACAGGGGCAGACAGGAGAAGATGAAAGGACGGGAGGCAACGTACTGTGGGACGGGTGCCCATCATGGTGATCTGGCCGTTGGGTTTGATGCCGAAGCAGGAGAGCGGGGCCTTGTCGTCCTTCATGGTTGCGCCCGCAGAGATCAGGGTCAATCCACCGAGGGGGACTCCTGACCAGTCGTGACACCGTTGACGGAGCTCACCCAGGGGGATATCGGCGAGTGAACGGTCCTTGAACTCGAAGGCTGTTTTCTCACGGCCCCATTTTATGCTAAGAACTGTCATGGTTGTGTATAAGTGTGTATGGGATGGGTAATGATTGGTGATAGGTAGGCAGAAAAAGGAAAGGGCGCAGGCAATTGGACGGGAAGTGGTAGTTCTGGTGCCTGAAAAGAAGTCTGTAAAGAAAGGCAGGACAATTGCCTTGGGAGGAGGTAAAGGGAAGAGAGAAAAAAAAGAGGTTGGAAAGAAAGTCAAGGCGTGGAAATGAGAGAAGAGGCGAATGGGTGAGAGAGGGTGAGGGTGAGAAAGAGAAAGAGCGAAAGAAAAGGGAAGGCTGTGTGAATTGGAGGATACCACTAACAGAAAAAAAAAGAGGGTCACAAACTACAACCCCCACACTCTATTTGAATCTGAGTGACCCACGCACAGAAGGCGCAAACCATTGGACGGTCCCAAGGTCCGAGATAGCCGGCGCAGTATCCAAGGCATATGCATCGCTGCTGCGATGGCCCACAACCAACTACAGGTACAGGGGATTTCATGGCCATGAGGAAATAAAAGTCCAATTGCTTCAATTGCCCTCCCAGCTGCCTCAACTCAAACATGTAAATACCACCGCGCAATAAACAACGCCCTGGACACTTCGCAATCATAATCAGTCTTTTCTCTCTCTTCGCCTGCATGTCGATAAGTAATTGTGCTCCATGGGGGACGCTGTACCCAGAAATGGGGCTTCCTTTATTGCTTGACTTGAATGTTGTACTTCTTCTGAAATGCCATGAACTCGTCCTCCTTGCTCTTGTACTTTTGCACCAGCTGCATCGTAACATTCTTGATCTATTTGAAAGTAGCCAGCGTAGGAGGATATTCTTAGTAACACATCAAAAGCCAATTGACCATGTTGACTATGTTGATCAAGCGATAAAATAAATCCCTACGCCTTCCTGGTTGGTCTTCAATGCTGGCAAGACCTCCTTGACGGTACGTTCTACGAGTACTCCTCCAACCAAACGGAAGCACTTCCTCTCGGGGTCCAGAGGCGAGATCGTGTCGACGACGAGACTACCAAGGAAAAAAACAAACAAAACCAGATCATTGTATGATATTAACATCTTTGTTCTCATCCTGTATCGTACCGCCTATTCGCTCTTCCATGTGCAAAGATGGAGAGAACCGAAATATCTTCAAGAAGCAAAAAAGAAGCATAGGTGTGGCATGTGTCGTATGGCATTTACGTGTGTTCATCCGATTCAGTCTCAAGTTCGCCGATCTTCTGCGCCAGCTGGTTGAGCTCAGACTTCATGGTGTTGTAGGTCTGAGTCAGTTCCTGATCACTCGGGCGAGGCTGCTTGCTCGATGCTCCCGCGCTGCTACTGCTGGCACTGCTTGACATTGTGTTGCTGTTTTTGTCTTTCCTTGATGTCGTGTCGTGTCGTGTCGTGTTGTTTTCGCGAGGAAAGAGCTGGTCAGCTTTGATGGGGTGTTCTGCAGACGATCTTTGATCATCTCAACTAAATCGTCCTATTCGATCACGTGCACTATCGCCGCCAGCCGAGCAAGCATTTCTCTTTCAAATGCACGCCCCGAACGGAAGGAGGAAGCACGTCCGCTCGCTTCGCCTTTTCCCCTTTCTACTCTCCGCTCTTGAACACATTTCCCCTCCTTTCGGCATCAAAAAACGACCAACCGCAACCATGGAGTTCATGTCCAATCTCGGAGGAGGGTCGCAGGCAGACCGGCCTTCACTGTTTGAGCTGATCGCCCAGGACAAGATGCGAGAGATGCTCGAACCGGCCCTGCGCTATGTTATCGCTGTAAGGGAACCCGCCTTGACAGAGCGCCAAACAATTATTTATGACACGATCGAATATGGAACAGCGCTAGGCAACCGCCATCGTCTCTCCATGGGACGACTTATGGAGATACCCTGACATGTCTATTCTCCTTTTTTGTCTTTTTTTTTTTTTTTTTGGCCGCGGATCGGCTACATTCTAGGTGTACGCACAACGGTATCCCCGATATCTCATTTGGATCGTGAACCGATACGAAGAGTTTTATGCGATCCTTATGTTCTTTATCGAACGGCACTATCTCCGCGAATATGGTAAAGACATCTTTCTTTCTTTCTTTCTTTTTCCAGAAGACAAGAGCACGATCAAGTTTTCTTCAATTCGGCCGGACATTTTACATTTAAACTGACACTCTGCTTTTACTATCTTGTCATGTCGGGAACTCTTCAGGCGCCTCGTTTGCAGAAAACTTTTACGGATTAAAGCGAGTTAGGGCGCCTCGGGTAGTGAAGCAATCTAAAGTTAATATCGATGACGATTCAGTAGCAACTACAGCAGCGGCAGCAGCGGCAGCAGCGGCAACATCCTCAATGCCAGGATCCAACAAGTTACGGGAACGGGATATTCGAAAATCGCTTCTTTTCCTGGTAAGGATCTCTCTCGAAGTGCCTGATGTCGCTTTAATAGATATGTATGCGTCCCTGCCCTGCAGATCTCTCTCGGACTAACTGACACTATGTACGCCTGGCGGGATTTTTAAATATATTTTTTTATATAGATTGGATTGCCATATGTGAAGTGCAAATTAGACGAGTACTACGAAAAAATTTCTGGAGGCGAGGCTGCTCGACTCTTTGGCGATGAGTTTGCACAGGAAGAAGAAGACTTGACGGGGGTAATGCAAAAAGACCTTTTCTTTTTTTTCCTTCTTCTTTTGACTCCAACATTGATTCGAACATATTTTGGGTTCGCGAACCATCGATATATCAATTGACCTTATGCATTTCCCATCCATGACATATAGCAACCGTTTACGGTCAGGTCCAAGGCGATGGCGATCAAGATTTTCAAGAAGGGGTACCCATATGTGAATGCCCTTTACCAGCTCTCAATCCTCGCACATTACATTGGTTATCTTTACAACAAAACTCCCTTCTACTCACCATGGCTTCGTCTGATCGGGATCGAAGTCAAACGCATGAGCGCTACGGATTATGTATGTTGATCCCCAGTGCTACCGATTTTTATTTTTTGGTCCGTTGTAAAAAAAAAAAAACCTAACCATTCAAACTTCTCTCTGTTTAAAAAAAAATCAGCGCGAGATCCAACAAAAAGCCAAGCACGCGCCCAGACCTCAAGCCAATTCATTGATAGAATCGATCCAGAACAACGTCCTTGGACTCCTATCCGGTTCCCTCGATTTCCTCAAAGTCCTACTCCCAATGTCGATCTTCTTTTTCAAGTTCCTGGAATGGTGGTACCAGTCTGATTACTACCGCAAGGCCTCGACGGCCGGTGATACCGCGGAAGTGCCACCACCTGAGCGAGTCAAGCCCCATCCTGAAGGCCTGCCTCTCCCAAGAGCCGCAAACATCTGCCCCATCTGCCTAAAGACGATCACGAATCCGACGGCGCTGTCTTCAGGATATGTGTACTGCTACCCATGTGCGTACAAGCAAGTGGAAGACCATGGCAGATGTCCTGTCACCCTAATGCGATGTGGAACGGATGATCTCCGAAAATTGTATAACGACGCTGGCATGTAGAGTTGTGCTAAAGACCGTGGCGCCCAAGAATGACGATTAATAATAATATACATAAAAAAAAAGCCCTGAGCCCTGCGGACCAAATTCTTTATAGCTCTAATTTTGTTGTTTTCTATGATATGCAGGCAATTAGGGGAGAAAAAAAAAAAAAAAAAAAAAAAAAAAAAGCAAGGGGGGAGAGCCATTTGGGAGATGCGACTTTTCATTTATTTTTTTAGTATTTGCCTGATTGATCTGATGCAAAAAGCGTGGTCTCGCTACATGGTTTTCTTCTTGTTTATGGATTCACAGACTTCAAAACAGGACATCGGCATCCCGTGTGTCCTGCCTTGTCCTGCAATCATGTCATCCTGCAGTCCTGTAATCCTGTAAGCCTGAAAAAGAGAAGCCGTTCTTTAAAGAAATCTAATGCAACGCGGCCTCTACCGCGACCTGACCATTGCCTCCAGCGGCCGCTGCTGCCTCTTGTCGTTCTGTCAGAAAAGAATGCAGCTCGTCATACAAAGCGAAATGCATCTTCTGGAGGTGCTTAATATCGGCGTATACTATTTTTGTCAGATGCGGATGAAAACAAACGACGGCCGTTAGTTTGCATCCCTTCAGTTATTTGACCTTTTTCTGCCAATTTTTTTTTTTTTTCTCGTGGGAAATCACTCCACCGCAAAAACGCACCTGCATCGGTGTATGGGGTATCTTTCATGTACACTCTCTGTAAAAAGTCCATCATGGCACCCGTAGCAACGACACATTCCTCCAGCGGCAGCGCCTCAAAGTACGCGTGACTAATCCGGAACGGATTGATAGGCGATGGTGACAGTGTCAGCGTGATAATTTCCGCCATGATATCCCAAAGCCGGATATCTAGTAAAAATGAATCAAAGACCTAATGTAAGTTTTTGACGCCGTCAGCTTTTATCCATCTTCCACGTTTTTTTTTTTTTTTTTTTTTTTTTTTGTTCCTGCCCGAACGTACCATCTGTGCGCCATGCAGAAATGGTGGTCAGCTTCAGGGGGTCGTTCGCCTCCGCCTTCTGGTCGTTGTTATTCTGAATAAGTCGTTTGTGATTTGACCGAAGCTGTATTCGTTCCAGCCGTACGGTTTGTGGTAATTGTTAATCAGTTAGTATGCGTGCTTCAGAGAGAAAGAATCCCTCTTTACTACCCGTCACCCAATGCCGTCATGAGATAGTCCTTACCCAGACGTAAGGACATTTGTACCGGGGATATCCTGCAATTAAGAATGTGGCGCGCGACTCGTCCTTCTCCAGCTCCGTATCAATTGGGCTTAGTGGAGGTGGCGTTGGTTTCGGAGAGCTCAGTTTTAGTCTAGGGCATGAAAGAAAGAAGAGAATGCATGCCTATCAGTTCTAAAGGACTCCATGGTATTGTCCGAAAAAAAAAGAATACAGATATGAAGAAACAACCATGCACACTTACGACCGTAACGTTCTCGTGGAAAGGATGTTGGTGGGCCTATGAACATGCTCTTTCTCATTAGTCAGGCACATGATGTGTGATTTGTTCGCGCGCCCTTTTCCTGTGCAGATCACTGTTCGACTCGTGCGTTGTCTCTTTTTTATTCTTTTTTACCTTGACTTTGCAAGAGAGAGGGAATTTGGTTGAGTGAAGCTGCTGGGACCATCCGACGGCGGTTTAATGTCGTTATATACATGAAGAAGTAGCTCCTCCCGTCCTCGTAGATACACCTCAAAATAGTAAAAACCCTGGAGGAGATGGAAAAGAGAAAGAGAAGAGCGTGAGTCTTTGAGGATTGAACAGACAACGCGCTATATGACCATGGAGATCTGGTCAGTCAGTCACACATGACTAGGGCGTTGTATCCTTTGTACGAGGCATTGTCTGTCAATAACATGCGTACTGATGTTGTTTATTGCCACATCTTTCCCCCCTGTTCATCTCCGCAAGGCGCCGACAGTGACATCAATGGTTTAAGAAAGAGTGTTCTGGAAATCCTCAGCGACTCCCTTATGTTGTTAACGGGCTGCGTGCGGTTATCATCCGGCTATACATCCATGAGGCCAGTGAGAGACAGAGAGCAATTAAAGGTTGTTTTCTCCTTTGTCGATGCCCTTGCGAGACTGGGGCGCCGATGCGTCGATTGCATCGAGTAGTATGCTGTGCATGTTCCTACATCAATCTCTGGTTTCTCCTTGTATTGTATCGTATCGGTATACGTGCACCCCCTGTGCTTTGCACACTCCAGAGCTAGGAAGATAAAGTCGTACCTTAAGTGTGCCTACAAGAAGACACTCTGAAAGGAACGTCGATAGCCGTGCGGTTTCTGATTGAGTCAGAGATTCCCGGCCCTAGCGTGGAGTGCAGACATGAAGGAAAGAAACCATGGATGAGGACGATGGTTTGTGTCGAGGCTGTTGTGTGAAAACAATTACAAAAAAAAGGCCTGGAAGGACAGGATTACTTTGTATGCGGTAGCCATGAGCTGAGGAGCGAGGACTGTAAGCGAGAAAGAGAGGCGAGGATGAGAGAGAGAGAGAGGGAGGGGAAGGGAGATTGGATGGATGCAGCGTTCGATGGGTGGGGAAGTGAATGAGAGGATTGAAGAGATGGAAAGGGAGTCGAACCGCCACAGCTTGAAGGAGAAGGCGCGTTGCTCTCGCTTCCTTGTGTCCAGTGCCGTTATGTAAAATGTCGCATATCATCCACCCACAACCATCCTATCTGTGTGCATGGGCCAGGTCAGCCAATCCCTTTCCTGTTTGGCATAGCATACCCCTTCTTCTGCTTGGAGCCTTGAGGTTCTGACGCTTTTTTTTTTTTTTTTCTCGTCCGGTAGCCCCTCAGATACCCCATACATCCTCTCGTACCAACAGACCGAGACCTTGTTATTGGCTCAGATCGGGATGATATGGTAATGCTCAATCGACATAATCGGTTGAGCGTCTTTCTCGTGCAGTACATACATGATCAAAATGCTGGTTCTCGGGTGCTCCTCTATTGGATACCTCCTACTGCCGGTTCCTGAGGAGGTCTTTTGAAGTGCTTATTGTTACTATTACTTACTACTATTACTATTACTATTACTATTACTATTACTATTACTATTACTATTACTATTACTATTACTATTACTATTACTATTATTTTTCCTACGCGCGTCTGAGACTCAGTGCTCTTCTGTGTCCCCAATGGACGCGTTCCATTGGCTCTACCTGGTCCTTCCTGTGCACACAAACACAAGGAGGATCCTCCATCGTCCGCTATTTCCCTAACCTGGACCCACCGCTCTGTGAGCATGATACGCCTCGCCGGTTACTGGTTAACGAAAGTGACAAGGACAATATAAAAAAAAAAAGACAGGCTACTTCATATGCATAGCGGTTTCTGTTCTATCTCATCTCCCCTTGAATCGCTCTTTTTTAAAGAAAAAATGCCTCTCTCCTTTTACAGCTGCTCAATGCACGTTGTGAGAAGGTGTACATGGTCCTTCTACATCCTTCATAGTACACGCGAATAACAGACCTTCCATTATGAGATACCTTGTACCTGTTTGTGGTTGTTCAAGCCTGGTAAGCGTTCAGCTAGCATCATCATCACCACCACTATCTCCTCCCTTTTTTCATCTTCCGACAACTACACCTACTCCTAGCATCCCCTAAACGTCTTATAGTACAGCTACTAATGCTGAATTGAGCGGATTCAGCGAATGATGACGAGGTGATTCATGTTTCATATCTAGGCAACGTAGTGGGTAGTTGTGTCGTCGGACGCGTGAATGTGTAGTGCAGCATTCCCCTGACCATTTGGGTCAAATTGGTTCCCATAGCGACTGCAGCATAGAGTATTCTCAGTAAGCGAAATTGGTCTAGTATGCCATTATACATGAATGGATGCCTTATTATATCGAACAGGAGAAGAACCCATCGGCGGAACAAAATGCTCTCATACGGTGTGGCCAGAATGGCGTAATCGATGACGGTTGCACGAGTCCCAGACTAATTGCTTCGGGGTCAAGGAAACAGCAGCGGATGGAGGCGGTTCGAAACCATGTCTATAAATGATAGGCCGCTTGGGCAAACAAGGCCTGAAATTAGGTCGTACGAGCTAATAGCACTGCATAGATGTTTACTGCGAGAAATCGGCATTTCCAGAAGGATATCGGGCAAACGCTCAATAGATATTGAGATGTTGCGCTCGGTTCTGGCTCTGTTGTGGTGTACGCTAGTCCACCTTTGGTTCATAGCCTATACCCTAGGTTCAACCACAATTCGAGGACGCTGCTACTTCAGCCATCATAAATCACTTCTCTCGAGAGGAGCCTCAGCAGAACGGCACAAACTGTATTGTTCATTCTTCTGAGTGTGAACATTGGTCTTTTGTGCAACTGTTATCTATCTCTTCCTTTCCAGCGCTCTGTTCCCGTTCTCAATCCCGCGCCACTGCAGACCTCGAGAAGCAGATAGTCTATGCAGCGATGCAGCATGTATGACCCGTTAGACGGACCAAAAGAAGGTTGAGGATCTACTCCGCCTTACCCCAATAATGTTTACTGTGCTTCCTTCAGCCCAGGCCAAAGAAAAGTAAGCAAATCAGAGAATCATAAGCGGAAAGAGGAAAATCCAAGGATATCACAACGAGGGCATTTCCCTTCTTTTACTCCAAGTTATGGTTTGCGGAAAAAAACAAATGAATTCGAGGGGAAGCACCGGTACCCTGATTCGTGCCATTCCCCGTCCCGTGGAAATGGATCGAAGGCATTGAGCAAGGGTCCATAACCCTTGGGCGTACAAGGAAAACAATCGACATAACAGATATCTCAGGCCAAATATTTTATGCATTGAAGTAGTCCCTGCCCCTGCATCCATGTACGCGTTGTATGTAAACTTACAACCCCATCTATTTTTTTTTTTTTTTTTTTTGTTTTTTGTTTTTGGGTTTTGTTGTTGTTGATGGTGTTGGGTTGTTGTTGTTATTGTTGTTAAATTGCAATTGCAGCTCGTCCATCGATCTTTGCTGTAATAATGGAAGCGAGAGCAGGTGTTTTTGGTCGCGGAAACGAGCTATGAAAACCCGGCACGGGTTCCTTCGTTTGAGTAACGCGTTTTACGATAAGCTGGGACATTCAGAGAGCAAATATATTTCAATTAAGTTCCATGCGGGATTTGTCCTCCGCCCCTGATGCTCGGTTTCTTCATGGCACGACACGACACACAGACATCTCTCTAGTGCGTGCATGTTAAAGTAGAGGTGAGACATGCAGAGCACGAACACGGGTGATGATGTGAAGGAGCATGTGCACCGACGTCTGGATGCACTACTGCAGCAGAGTGCTGTACTACACAAACATACATGGAGCTGTTGCCAAATCAGCGGCGAGAATATTCACCTGTGACAAAATAAATGCAATTATAGAATCGGGCCACATTCCTAGGAAACAGTGGTGCACATGTACCCTCGTACAGTACCTGTGCTGACTGCAGAGTACATGCACCCTAGTAGTAATTAGTCATGGATATTCACTAGTCTACTCTAACAGCAAACAATGCGTCTACTGGCTCAGACTTTGCAAAGGATAGAGAAAACGCGAAAAAAGATGACAGATTCGATTGAGAACGTGAACTGCATGTTGATATGCACAAGGCCTTGGTTTGAATGTCGTTGAAGTATGGCGCACACACAGGGGCACAAGAACAGATGTAGGACTCCTCTAGTTGCTGTTGACCGCGGCTTACGAAGTGAGTGTGTGAAGAAAGCTACCCATGTACCCCTTCGGAGACAGACTTTGCATTTCCGCCATCGCTCGTCGGTGATTTGTCCAGGGCAGATTAGACCTCCTTTTTCTTCAGTGGCCGCACGCATCGTTTACGCGGAACTAAATTCAAGGTTCAAGCACCTTCCTTGACCCGTGCTTTTTTCCTTGCATGCCTTCCTGCTCTATTGCTTTGTCTCGAGGAGATGTAGTGGGAGACCTGGTGGTTTTGAGCAAGCGTTGACTCATCAAATGAGCAGCCTTGACCACCGCATAGGCTGCCAGTACTCTAGACGAAAGAGCATTTGGGTCCGTGTTGTCGTTTAGTTGAGTCCACTGCCTTAGTGAACACAGAAAGCGATGAAATAAAAATAAATGATCACATAAGACAGAAGTGCTCATACTTAACCCTTTGGGCAGCTGAGAGGAGAGCCGGAGGAAAATCAGGGTAGGGGAAATGAAGATAGGACTTGGCTCAGGGTTCAAGAAGAGCATGGTTCTACACTTAACTCCAAACTAATGAGCAGCCGACTAAAATCTATATGTATCCTTCCTTATGCACGCAGCATCGCAGTGTTTGAAGTAACGGAGTAATCGTCGAACTATTGTAGACTTTATCTATGTAGAGTCTACTTACTGACATCGCGTGAAAAAAAATAAAATAAATGAAAAGAGCCGTTTTGACACAGAAAAATAATGAATGGGTGGACAAACGAACGAACGAATGTGATTTTTCTGCACTCGAGCCGGTACTCTTTCCTCATACCTCGGCACAGAAGGAAGCAACACAAGCGCAGGACTGCACGAAGCGAACAAACAGGGACCAAAAAATGGAGCTGGTGAGCTGTTGGCGAAAGCCCGGCTCGAATTTGTTTGCGCGGGATAGAGCAAGCAGTACTTTGTGGTCGACATGTACCTTTCGTGCGATGTCCAATACGATTACTATTCTATTCTACGGCACATGATTCAATACATTTCCAAAGAAGCCCTTTTGCGCTTCCTTCAGGAGTCCACAGCGATGTTGGCACCGACAGCTCCCAACATCTCGCACTTTTTCCCTTATAAGCACCTCCACAGCCATTCGTGGTTCTCAATTGGTATCGAACTTCACTCTCCTCTCTTTTCGCTCATTCGCATTCGTTTCTTCATTCATTCTGATTCCTACCCCTTCATTCTCTGAACACCCCCTCGCCTCTCTTACTCACACACACTCTCATTCACCCTCTCCACTCTCCAGCCTACTTTTCCCCTCTCTCTCACACCTCAATTGACACTGACTCCCCCCCTAATTCGCCACGTCTTGCTCGCAGGTAGGATAGGGTTGTAGTCAAAGCATCATACGCTTTCGAGATTAGGCCCTTCAACGCGTGTCTTTAGGAGTCAATGCTCTTCTTAAACATATACTCTTCTTTTTTGGCGGGCGAAAAGAAAAGAAAAAAAGTACCCTCCTGGACATTGTTGCACATTCACGCGTACACCCACTCCACACGTCGTTCCACACTGATCGCCATCTACCCCTGTCTTTCTCCATTTGGGCCTGCCCTGAGCACCCAAAACAATGGAGCATCTGATAGTCTATCCACTGCTCTATTGTAAAATCAATACCAATGACATATGCCAACCCAACTGTATACGACACACAATCACGATGCAGCGCATTACACAATCGACTTGTTGTGGAAATGAGAAAGAACGAGAGCAGAGATTTGATTGTCCAAGGAGCATGACATGGCATAGACATGGGCATGGGTCCATAGCCTCGGCACATGCACATGCAACGGGTATATGCGAGAGCTTGATAATCCTAACCCATCACAAAAGAAATAAGATAGATCTTCGTAACAAGCACGCTGGAACACTTTCTCCCAATGTGCCCATCGCTTCCTTCTCTCCCGCCCTTTTATCTCACTTTTCATTCATTGGGTGTTTGCGAAGGGTGCGTGAGTGTGTGGGGTTGCACGCTTTAATCGCTTTCCTCTTGTTCTCGCGCAACCTCGTTGTTGGTGAGGTCAGGTGCAACACCAGAGTCTACAGCGTTTCAAAGACATAACACGTACACGCACACATCCGATGCAACCAGGGGGGGTTTTCTTCCTCTTCTTTTGGTCCCCTATGATCCATGAAGAAAAACCGCTGCTTCTTTTCCCACTTCTCCATGACATTTCCTTCGGCTTCAGTTTTCTCTTCACTCCCCTCTCAGCACCCAATCTCAAAGATATCCGATATCTGAGTCTGACGTTCTTCATTCATCTTCCTTTCTCCCGCACACAGATACACAGCAGCCGCAGTTCATCCAATTACCTTCCATCTCCACGTCCATCGATCTCGATCTAATTCATTTCTCCATCTCCCATCGGAAATTACATCCGCAAGCGATCGAGGTAAGAATATCTCCAGAGCACTCCCTTCCTCCCTCGGCGATCTGAACATTTCTCTCGCACCTATGGCTCTTTATTATTTTCTCGGGGGGTTTAATCGCCACTGGGCTCCACCTGTTGCATTTGTGTCTTCCCTATGCCAATCTTTGCCAATCACCACTGCTCAATCGTGAGGCCACCGCACGTTTATGAACATCAGCATGAAACAGTGCCAAACGGTCCGTGAGGTCGTACCTGAGAATAGTCAACTTATAGTTTCCCCAACTTTTGGTGCTTGGAACATTCCCTTGATTTCCACTTGTGTTGTTTGTTTCCTCATCTTCCCTGAGCATGGTCCTTTGGAAAGATACATCTCCCTCCAATTTGAATTGCTGAATAACCGTAATTGATCAGAATGGCAGCTTCTCATGCACGCCAAAGTATCTTTCATCCTTCGTCATCAGAGCCAGCGCTGTCGAACAACAATCAAAACAAACAATCAACAAGCAACAGAATATCCCATCCAAACAATACAACAGACCATTGAACATAGTAACTGACGCGGACGAACGTCAAAAGAAGTTTTAAGAAGGTGGAAAGAGGAATTGTTCTTTTACAATGGCCATATCATATCGCATCGCATCGCATCGCTCGATCTCCTTATCCTACCTTTACGTTACGCTTTTCAATTCCCCTGCAGTTATTTGTGATTGACCAATTGTTCAGTAGTCCATCTGCTCATTTGTTCATCTTCAGATCCTGGTGTGCCTCTATCGTCCATGTGTCACACAGAGTTCCCACTATCTCTTCTTGTTTCTGCATCTGGTATTCGCTATCACATTCAGCTCTCCCCTCCCTCTCCCCCTCCCCCTCCCCTCCTCGGCAAACCTACCATTGCTCTACGTTATGGTCTGTGAATTTTTCGATAGACTAGGGTTAAGGTTGTTCATTTGATCGGTATTTTTTATATTTATTTTGGGTGTGTGCACCATAATTCCCAGGGACACCTGATGGTTGCTGCTCATCATTCTATGACTCTAATTCAGTTCAATTGCGGCGTCTTTGTCTTCGGAAGCATGAGCGGAATGGCTGCGTCGGGCGTGTTTGTTTACTGCATTTGTACATGTTCCTCCTCTTGTGTAGCAGCAATGTATGCATGACCACCCACTTTGTTGCTGTTTTCCTTTGTCGCACAATCGTGAAGCGAAATAATCATTGGGAGCGTGCACACACTTCATCCATCACAGCATCAGACGTCAACAACCACAACTTGGTGTCGTCCCTGGTTGACACACGGCTCATCTTAAGCGCGAGCTCAATCGCAAACATCTGCTCTCCGACCCTAGCCCCTTATCCAACTTATCCATTTGGCCACTTTTTTTTTTTTCTTTTTTTTTGGCGCGTCGGCTGCTATTAATTTTTTCTCCCCTGCGATATTTGCTCGGGTAGTCAGTTACCTTGTGTATCGACATGTTACTGACCTGAGAGTAGATATTTGTTCCCTATTACTGAACCACCATCGGCAGGTTCCTGCATACAACTGTAAGAGCACCAAAAATACAATCCTTCGGCTGGGGCGAGGTCCCATCGGTGCACATCACTGGCGCATGTTCAGAAACATGTTCTTTCCTTTGTCTTTGTCTTTTCTCCTTCAGGGAAAAGATATGCAATCAACATTGGGTGCATCTGCAATGTCTTCGTTAATTATTTCGATTTATCAAAAGGGATTGTGCACAAAGAAAAAAAAAGTGGATTGGATGGATGGGTTATGCGTGGCGCGTGAGAAGGGTCGGCTGCACTTTGTTTATTTATTTATCGGATGACTAACTAACTAACCCTCAATATCACGCTTATGTGTTCTCTTCTTCTTTCCCTCCATTCCTCATCCACATCCATGTCTACTCCTGGTCGATTCATCCCTACGCCACTGTATATATTCGACAACACCAACCAACCCAAAACAGAGCAACCAAACAAAAAACATAACGCGTCTTTTTTCAACTGAATTCAACCGCGTTTAAACTATTCTATAAAATTTCTTTTTCTTTTTCTTCTCTCGCACGGATCCCATCGCACTTGGGAGGCGGTCAACCTTTATCCTTTTATCCCCCCTCACCATTTCAATTCTTTTTATGGATCATTCGCCTTTCGGCCCCCTCTCAGCATCGACCCCACTCTCCCCTCCAGTTTCGCCCCTGCGTTCTCCCCACTCACGACGGCTATCCGAGCCATCATCGTTGCCATCGCCGGCGCCGTCCACCTCCCCGACCGTAGCTTACGCGCCAACCCTAACCTTAAATCTAGCCACTCTTGCTGCAGTTGCCACTGCATCGACGGTCTGCCTCCTTGGTACACCCGACACCTTCTCTTCCTCTGCCGGCACGTTCGCTTCTTCATCAACACCGCCCATCGCCGCCATGACCGTCCCGACTCTATCACAGGACGAGAATAGTACCGAGTCTGACCGCGCGAAGAGTCATCTTCGCCGCGATCAAGGTTGCGATAACGATCGCTCATCGCTATCAGATGCACGTACACCCTCGCACTCGTATCAGCCGCCTAATAGCAACAGTGAAGACGATAGCACCCCACCGATCCATCGTCGATCTAGCTCACCAGGACGCAGAGCACTTCCAGGGACACCAAACCCCTTCAATCACAGAGCCGATAACCACAACCACATTGACAATAACACTAGCAGCGTTCACGACGACAATGCTAATGTTGCTGTTGGCGGCAGTCAGCGGTGCCGTAGCGGGAGTTTTGACGGGAAAGAACACTCAGCAGCCTTCAATGGCCGTCGTTGGGATGCGGAACGTGCACCAGTAAGGCCTAACATGTATCTCCGATCCGACCGATCGTCTATCGAGGACTACGAGGCACAGTGCCCGCGCGAAGGGAGCGAAGGGAGTCTTGGCGGTGATGGAGAGGAGTCAAGTCGGTTACAGAATGAGCAAGGTATTCAAAACTCTAGTCCTTCCAGAAGCGACACTGGAGATGAGGGAGACGTGCAGGACGACCTGATGTATGACGAGGACAATATACAGGATGACGATGAATCTGAAGAGAACGAGGACGGCACAGAGTCCAGAGATGACAGCGCCTCGACAAAGAATGAGGATGGGTCCGACCCGACTGCTCGCTCTGCAGGCGGCTCGCGCAAGCCGGTCAAAGTCCGCAGCATGTTTGTCGATAAATTGTACAGGTAAGTAACCTTGCTCATGGTTGATGTGATCGTGATATAGCGGTCGTGGCACTAACATGCTACATCACTGTCATACTCTGTTCACTGAATAGGATGGTGGAAGATCCTTCGATCCAACATCTTATCTCTTGGGCCCAGGAGGGGGACATGTTCTACGTATACAACTGCATCAAATTGTCGGATACCATCCTGCCAAAGTTTTTCAAGCACAACAACTGGCAGAGTTTTGTCCGCCAGTTGAACAGTAAGTAGAACCTCTCTTCGAAGCATTCGCATCGAACTGGCATTACTAAGCGGAGTCTAACCAACCAACCATACAACCAACCTTCTGCAACTAATTTTTTTTTAGTGTATGGATTTCACAAAAGTAAGCTCACGCATCTGTGCTAGGGATTCAGTTTCAAAAAAAAAAAAAAAAAAAAAAAAAAAAAAAAAAAACACGCTAGTTTGCTAACTATGCTCATTTTTCGATAAAACTTATAAGTCTACCGCTATGATAGAGGTAAATTCAGTCGGAAGTGGATTGCTTTAAATAACTACAGCTGCATCCTTGCACATCAGACAATATTGCAAAGTCTAACATTGGGAATGTACACCCATAGAAGAATCGAACATGAACAGGAAGAATCCCGAGACACAACGCTGGCAGTTCTATCACCCCCATTTTCAGCGCGACTTTCCTCATCTGCGCAAGAACATCAAGCGTAAATCTGCAAGATCGATGAACACAGCCCCAGCAACATCAAGGGTGGTATTCGAGCACGGAAAGGGATACTTTCTTCAAAGGAACGACAGGTCCAGGTCTAACAGTGGTGAAGGTGGTCAACATTCAGGTCTCGCTTACAAGTCAAGCTTGCCACCACACCATCACCAGCACCATCCGCAAGCGCCCCCAAGTCGCCATCTCGGTCAACCATCCCCTACAATGCGTCCTACTACCGGAGGCCGCCATCCTTCACTCACCAATAGCCTAAGAGAGCCCGAGGTTCGGGACTCAACTTTGGTATGAAGAATTCTCATCACCCCTGTTTAAAAGAACGCGCGATTATTTTCCTAACATGTGAACCTATTGTGGGCCCTTTTCGTCAATAGATGCGAGATTCAACACACCAGCCACACGAGCCTCGATCGCAATATCCTTTCCCACGCCACCAACAGGATGTGCGCAGGCCGGGCTTGCAACAGCGACACCAGGTCTACCCCAACGTTCATTCACCAGAGCGCCCGTATGCCCTCCAACATGTCTCGGAATCACCAAGAAGCTCTCAAGACCCACAGCACCATCCAAGACCGCCTCCTCCACCATCCTACTATTCTGGAGGGTCTGGGACACAAGCATATCGTCCAATGAAGCCTCACTTGATGGGTAGGGATCACAGCGAAGGCGAAGCAGCTCTAGGAGGAGCAACTGGAGTTTCTGAGAACTTCCGCAACCATAGCGTGCCAGGAGTCGATCATAGAAAGGGTAGTCTACCGGGTCAGGAACCTGATAAGAATCATCCTGGCGCAGGGGTTCACTCAGAGGGCCCTCCCTCGCAGAGTGGGAATAGTACATATTCCGCAGGACCATCCCATCAGCCGCCGAGGACACACGGTTCCATTGGAGATGCCCCACGGGGCGCCATGTCGCCAAGAGTACAGCAACCCTTGGAATCCCCAGAAGATGCGTCGTCAGTGAATCCAACTCATCGACACCCAGGCGACTTGAGTGATGGAGACGAGCGTTACGCTGCTAAGCGTGGCAGCATTGCTACTGATAGTGCTCACTCCTCAAATGCTACGCACCCTGGCCAATCATACGGGTCACCTCAGCGTCATCACCCCCACCCACCATATCACGACTTCCAACGACCAGATCGATTGCACTCTATGGGAGGAAACAAGGCGCATAAGGATTCGCCACAGTCGACTCCCTCACTGCCCTCTGGTAACAAGTATAATACCCTTCCCCCTCCAACATCACATGTTGGCGCGGCGCCCATCCAGGCCATGCCCTCGCCTGCAATCCCTCCCCCAATCTCTGCTGCTGCTGGCCCTGCATTCACCTCGGCTACTCAACACCATCAGCAACAGTCGTCATTTTCGTTAACGGGCCATCGACTCCCCGGATCTCCGACCAGTCCACGTACTACAGAGGAATTGGAGAACCGGCTGCATTATGTGGAGGATGTGTGCATGTCACTGAAGCAGCACACACAGAAACTGGAGCAGCTGCAAGCATCACAGGAGCGAACGATTCAATGGATGCGAGAGCGAATCGAGCAAATGACGGATACTGCTCTAGCGCGTCGAGGTATGTCTTTTGCTGATGGATCATTACGCACTATTCATACGAACAAAAAACAACCTGTATTGATTATGCTTCGCTCTGTTAATATTGGTATAGACTCGGTTACGTCGCCACTGACGCCTCAGTCTGGGGTGATGGTGATGGCCAACAAGAGAAAAGCAGAGTCTATCCCGGACGACACTCGGAACCGGGCGCGGTACGAGTCGTTTGGGATCGATGGCCTAGATCAGCACCATCATCATATTCATGGGCATGGACATGGTCACAGCGGTCCAACGGGGCCGGTGCCTGGAGGCCCTGGGTTTGAAGGCCCTACACGTGGAGGATATCACGAGCAGGGATCTGCTCCGAGCGCAGAGGTCCAGCGTTACCAGCAACAACAGCAACACACACATTATCAGGACCAGCATCGCCAGCATACAATGATTCCGCAGATGCACCACCAACATCAACAGCAACACCAGCAGCAACAGGGCAATCACGGGCCACAGCATCGTGCTCATCGTCCTGCTCCTGCAGCCCCAGGAAAACTTTACCTATGAATATCTACTCTAATCTTTTCGCGATTCATCATTTCACATATCTTGCTTTTTCCGTTTCTTTGCTGTTTCGTTCATTTGTTTGTTTGTTTGTTTGTTTGTTTATTTGCAGCCTTTAGTGTAATCCCAATGTAAGAAATACTAGCATACCCACTAATATATGAAAAGCTGAAAAGCTGGAAAGATAATATCCCAGTTGTTGCGAGTACAGTCCTTGAGTTGGGTTGTGGTATCTGTGATATACGCCGTCTATATGATATGTAGATGCCATGTGCCTGCACAGTGGCCAGCAAAAAAAAAAAAACTAGAAAATGCAGAGCGATGTGGAGGTGAAACTGTAATCCAAAAAAGGCAATCACGGTGGATCGACAGCAGAGTTGCACGGCATAATTCTCAAAAAGCGAACCAACAGACTGGAGATGGATGATGATGGCGTTTTGTCAAGGCGGCTGGCGCGGGCCTCAATGCAAAGTGGTGTAGTCCCAATAGATTGGAAGAAATCTTGGTGTCCAGTCAAGGATTTTTTTGATAGCTATTTAGAGTGTAGACTGCAACCTACGATTGTGTGGATGAAGTGGGATATTGTCCGTATATTGTTTTCACAATTGGTGTGATTGCAGCTGTAATGTCGTTTGTTTTTATTCAGACAACAGAAGGTCGCGTATTTGCAGTTTACTAAGAATAAAATAACCTCCTTCGAGGCCTGGCAATGATAGACGGAAGATAGAACTTGGATTGATTCCCCGCTCACCGTGACAAGACGGGGATGCCAGCGATTTTGGTTTTCGGCATCGTTCTGTCCTTTCAGGAACAAGGCCGACAAAAAAGTGGGGTCCGCTAGCTTTAGTGCATTCTAATTCGAGGGTAATGAACATGAGAAAAGATAAGTGCTCTACCTTGGTTGACCGGCGGAGGCGGAGAGAAGCAGGCGTCTAGAGGAGGTCCTTGCCCCAACAGTACTTCATAGCCAACAGAAAGTGAACCGTGCTAGACAAAAAAAAAAAAAAAAAATCGATGGGGACGCATGTGTCCACAATGATGCATGGATGGACTGAGCCCCCAAGGGATCACTCTCAACGTTGAGAGCGACAAGGAGAATAGTCGTGGAAGTACACTGCCGTCGATGTTGTTGCCGGGAGCGTTTAGATAAGACCAGACAAAGCGGGGCTGTTCTTGGATGTGATTCGATGCCGGTCTCCGACAGCGGTTACTCCGGAGACCGGACGCAGCCAGTTCTCGCGTGGACCGAGGACCGAGGGTCCTTCTATATTTGAGTATGAGTGGCTACTTATCTTCCTTGCCTCTTTCTTCTGTTCTCTCTCATTCCACTCTTCTCATTCATTCCCTCCATTCTCATTCTCATTGCAAAGAACACCATGGAGCTCCTCAAGAACCTCGGCACGAAATACCTAGACCTCAACTTTGACAAGTCCGATAAGGGCCGCCACATCTTCCACAATACTGCCGACTGGGCGATTGCCCCACAACCCCAAGGAATCCTCTACCCAGAGTATTACGATTTCTTTGTCAATTGGCGCACACCTGTCACCGTTGCGGCACTCTATGTGCTCGCAGTCGTGCTCCTGAACCCCAAGCAGGGTAAGGTCTCGCGTGTCGTTGCCGCGGACACGGCGGCCAAGCAAGGACAGGGACAGGGACAGGGACAGGGCAAGAAGAAGCAACAGCAGGACTTGTCAGAGTCGAGTCCATTCATGACCGCGTTGGTCTTTGTTCACAACACGATCTTGTGTGTCTACTCCGCCTGGACGTTCTATGGCATGTTCTTCGCATGGAAGAAAGCACTCGCGACTCACAACTTTATGGACGCTGTAAGTGAGCGTTCTCTTTTTTTTTTTTTTTTTTTTATATTTATTTGGGGCAACTGTGTTCCTATCGATCTGACCATACTTAAAAACACGATTTCATTGATGCGGCGACAGGTCTGCGACACCAACGGCACCTTCTGGGAGAGTCTCGGCTACTACTCGTACTACTTCTACCTCTCCAAATACTGTAAGTAGCCAGCTGGAAAGAACAGGACTTAGGCACCAGGCCGGAAGCGAGAATCCGCGAAAAAGCACGATCCGCTAACCCCACTGTTTCTTGTCTCCAACGATACCAATGTAGACGAGATTGTGGATACAATCATCATCTTGCTCAAGGGCCGTCGCTCGTCCCTATTGCAGACATATCACCACGCCGGCGCCATTATCACCATGTACCTTGGCTACAACTACCGCGCCCACCCCATCTGGGTCTTCACCACCTTCAACTCCTTCGTCCACACGATCATGTATGCTTACTATGGTAAGTGCACGCGGCCAACCCTCACTATTCGCAGCTACTCATCACGCGCTTCTTATCGAACTCATTATGTCTAACCTGGTTTTTTTGTGTGATCCAGCTGCCACCTCGGTGGGTCTGAAGCCTCCTGGCAAAAAGTACATCACCTCGATGCAGATCACTCAGTTCTGGACTGGTATTGCCTTGGCAATTTGGTATGAGCTCGGTGCCCCCAAGGGATGCTTCAGTAACCCCGGATCGCGTTTCGCTATCTGGAGCGTCTTGGTTTATGTTGTGCCCCTGATTTACTTGTTTACGGCCTTTGCCAGAAAGACCTATGGTGATCGTGTCAAGAGGAGCAAAGCTGCAGCTGCAGCTGCTCAGGTCAAGAAGGAAGAGTGAAGAAAAAACTCATTCTCGTCCGACGCATCGTATCTATTTCTCCCGTGCATTCCCTCCATCGCTTCGCTTGTAGAACATCCTTAAGTAATAAACTTTAAGAAGAAGACTCGATTATTTATCGTGGGAAGATTGGTTAGGCTTAAAAATAGTATGGGGAAGCGTTACAAGAATGTATAATGGATTTATTCTCTATTACATTCCGATACCAGCTCCACCATTAACGTTGCCTCTTCCAGCTCCACTGCTGTTCACGCTCGCTGCGTCCTGGTTCAATGAAGTCATGGGCTGGTACCATCCTGTGATACCGTTCGTCAAACCCAGCTTGATACGTTTCTCGCGCTCAAATTCACACCATCTCTTCATGACAATCTGGCTCGAATCAAACTCTCCCTCTTTACCGCCATGGACCTCAGCCTTGCCGTCATCCTCACCCTGAACCTTGCGAGTCTGGCCCCAGGTAAAGTCATCAAAGTGCCAGAATGCATAGGTCGGCAGCACAAAGTTCCAGATTGGCAGTGATAGCAGATACATGCACATCCATCCCACATAGACAATCTTGCGGGTCGTCATCAGGATCAGGATTGCGGGGAGTCCCAGAATGGCGGCAAGAAGCATCAGTGGGATGATGGGCACGGGTGTGATGAGGAACGAGACGATGATCAGGTACAGGGTGAACGAAATAGCGGCTGGCAGGACGACCGTTCCAACGAGCTCCATAAAGATTACAAATTGCATCGAGAAGCAGAAAGTGCCACAGAGGTCTCGAATCAGGACCAACTCCATTAGGTTGTGGATTGTCGAGTTGATCCAGCGACGACGTTGAGAAAGCAAGACGGCAAAGGATGTCGGCACCTGGGTCTTGCATACGGCTTGTGGAACAAACATCATCTTGCGTTTGGGGAATGTGCGGAGCATGAGCGTGGTCAGGTATCGATCCTCGCCCAGGAGCAATAGGTTCTTCTTATGAAGAGTATCGACAACGTTCTCGGAGTAGTGTTCAACAATATCTGGGTTAGCCAGGACGGGTACCCAGTGGCGGCTGGGGCCCTTAGGGGCCTTGATGCGGTACATGCAAAAGCATCCGGGGAGACAAGTGACACCACCAAAGATCGACTCAAACGCCTTGGATAAGTGATGCGATATATAGTACTCAAAGACTGTATTAATAAAAAAAAAAAAAGAACAGGCAATGATTAGTATTTGCACAGATCATAGGGCGATGGATGACAGACGAAGTTGGGCAACGTGGCCTGTACCTTGAATCATGGCGACCCAAGACTCTTTCTTGTTGGCAATTTTGGTCTCACCACAGAGACCCATCACAGTCGGATCTTGGGCCATGCAAGCAACCATCCTCGTCAATGAATCCGGATAGACCTTGGTGTCCGCATCGACCATCAGCACGAGCTCGTAAAAATCGGGTGTCACCTTAGTGACATTCCAGAACGCATTGAAGAACTCATACTCCAGTGGTGTCATACGTTCGTCAAACATAACCTTCTGCAAGAACGACATCAGGATGATCTGCGAGTCCCGCTTGCCTCGGTTACCGGGCTTCTTGTCATGGGCTTCCGCGGGTGCCCCACACTTGACGATCACGACCATCGGCACCTTCTGACGTTCCTCCATAGGCATCTCACAATCATCCGCATACTTGTAATAGCCAGCATAGATCTTGGCCATGTTATGGCGCTTGCTTCCGTCAGCGATGGCGATGTAAGAGTGGGGTTCGACATCTTCACGAGGCACAATAAAATCCGTCATCATGTCCAAACAGACATCCGGGGTCGTGCGGTCCTCATTCTCACCACGAATGATACCGTCAGCAATGATCAGCAGCAGCTTGTGGCTCGAAGGGTAGCTGGTGTTCGCCAAAGAGTCGCAGGTGGCGCGGAGACCATCCATGCCCTCAGAGTAACAGGTTACCAGCATCAGCGTGTGCAATAATGGGCACTGCAAAGCCTCGCCTTTGAATTTGGAAATTGAGGCGTTGAGACCTGCACGGCTAAGTCGGGATGTACTGGCGGGCTTCATCGATTCGGAGCGCTTTTGACCTGGACGTGGCATAGATGGTCCAACAAGTGAAGAACTGGATTGCGATAGCTTGGGACTCGAAGGAAGACTATTCCAGCGACTTGGTGGAGGCGGAAGACCGAGGGGGAAGGGGATCTCGGTCGCGGCAGAGACATGCGAACCGTTGGGCGTCGCAGCACCAGATTCACTGACCGAGAATCGAGAACTCGAGGGCATGACATTGGCGCGAATACGCTCGGCGCGACTAGAAAGGTGCGAAGAATGCAGCATAGTTAGGCGACTAGGATGAATAACAGCAATATTGAGAAGAAGAAAAAAGGTAGGCTGCCCTTACCGATGGGTCTCCGAGTTTGGGCTGTCGACGTAGGGCGAAGTGTTGCCGTCGACCCAAGCTTCGATGAGCTCCTGACGCCTCAGCTTCTCTGCAAACGTCTTTTCGTCAAACGACCCCAGTCTCCAGCTCAACACCCATCCAAACATGACAGCCAAACAGAATCTCAGCAAGACTACACCTAAAATGACAATCAGGGAAACGTATAGGACGATATCCGCAATCACGCAACCCAGCGACATCTGGTCGATGACTCCAACTTTGACAATCTCGACCAGACACTTGCTGATCATTGTACGTTCCTTAGAATAGGACATACTCAAGCTGATATCCTTTCCTGCAAAGCTACCATTCATGAAAGGTCCGAACGAAGGGGGCACAATTATGTTGTCCTCCAGCCAGTGCAGCCTGTTGAGATCCAGAACATGTCCGTTATAAACCACATAGTTGGTACCCATTTCTTTGATGTCCTCCCAGCTGAAATAGACCTCACCAATGAATCGCAGCTGTTTGATGACCTGACGCGCCTTGAGCGACTGCGGGCTGACGTGACATCCCTGTCTGCCTAAATTACTGGTAGGCTTGGTGCCTTGTCCATCATTCGTCATGACACAAGGGAAGTAGTTCCAGACATTTCCATTCTGATCGTGCTGCTTGGCACCCAGTACGTCCTTGCATGAACGGTTGATGTTCTGGAACATGAACGACATATCCCTCCCTCCAGCATCAGGGAACGGTTTTGATAGCAGATTACTGGTCTCTTGTGACATGCCGGGTACGATAGGGTGGTTAAAGTCCTTGAGTAGGTAAGCGCGACCAAGAAGAACAGATGATTGTTCTCCAACATGGCCGTGACGGATGCGCATCGGATCCTTGCCACAGAGGACGACGTTGAAGCCAAAAGTAAGAAAACCAACTGTGAAGCAGAGCATAAAGATGATGAATACGAGCGCGACCTTCTCGCGCCAAGCCTGCTGCACCTCCTTTGTACCCTTGCCTATTTTTTTTTAGAGGGAATGCCAATTGGTAATACCAGCATATGAGTAAATTGATCAAATATTATGAAAGTATTCAAGTACTTTTCATTCTCATAGCCATTTGTAAGGCAGGGATACATACCAAGAAGTACGAGTAGAGGAGGAGGTACACAGCAGGTCACCATCCTTGAAAAGACAACCCATACAGATGGGCACTTCTTGTGCTCCTCCTTTTCGCTGACTGATCTCCTATGCTTCTTACGCTTCTCCATCCTCGCCGCTTTGGCCTTGTCTAGATCCCGCTGCTGCAACTGGTCCGGTCGACGATTCCTGATCGAGTGGCTGTCGCCGCTTCCGTGTTTCTCGTTGTACTGTAGTCCTCCTGCTTCTCCTTCATCATCAAAGCGGTGTTCAGAATCATAAACTTGTTCATGCCGATGCCCGTCGTTGTAGTAGTTTTGCCCGTAATCATTATAGCTGTGTTGGTTCATGTCAAATGGCTGGGTGACGATACTAAGTCCTCCTCCGTTTCTAGGACCATGAGGGTGTTGCTGTTGCTGTTGTTGTTGTTGCTGTTGTTGTTGTTGTTGTTGTTGTTGTGAATAAGCATTACCCTGGGACAGGTTGACATTCACCCCAAGGGTCTGCGAGAGTTCTGAATAGAGCTCATCGCTATTGCCATTCTCCAGGTCAAACTCCTTTCCTTTCATCTACCAAAGCAGCAAAGGCAATACAGGTACGACAAGAACACGTGTGAGCACTAGAGAGTAGAGTTGGCCCGTGCTTTGAATTGTTGACGCGTGCTCGTGTATCAAAGTGTTGTGTGACGTGCACCGTAAGACAATTACTGCAAGTTACCTGTGTTTACAGATGCAAATGTATCATGCACCCGGGTGGAACGTTGAGGCGCGATGAATGGTATCACAGGCAAGTAGGAGCAATAACAGAAGAAGGGTATTGGATAGGAGAGGAAAGAGGGAGGTTGACCGTGCAGCGAAAAAAAGAGGGCGGGTGAAAGAAAGAGCAGGTAAGGTGAGAGCAAAAAGGGAATCAAGGCAAGAAGGCGAAAGAGGCGGTAGAACAAGGAGAGGAAGAAAACGTGTAGACGGCGCTGTTTTGAACCGTGTCCTTCATTGCATGTTGTATTGTTGACCAGCGTACTCGCTCTGGAAGAGTAATTGGTACAATCAGTAGAGAGGGGCTTTGGATTGCAGGGCGGAGTAAAGACTCAGGGAGGAAATACAATCGATTGTGTGCTTGCTCATTGGCATCGATGGGCGTATTGTATGCAGCAGTTGCTTCTTTGTTTCTGTGCATCGCTTTGTGCGTCAGTTGTGCATCCAATCCCCATGTGCACCGTGCATATTCCATTCTCCACGACAGCGTTAATCAGACGTGCATGCAGCTTTATCCGCTCTTCACCGCATTGGAATGGAGTGGACCGTTCACAGTTGCCATTCAACTATTCCTATTTGCTCCATGCACATGATATCACTTCGCATGTCTTCGTTCTTTATTTTATTTTTGTAATGCAAGAATTACTGCTTTTGAGGACGTTGGCAGCATTAATCTGTCATCATCGCATCGTCTCCATCTGTGACCCTGGAAGCATGCACAAACGACCTGGCAAGATTCCTAACTAGGGATAGGCGTACAACGCCCAATTGCTCCTCCCTCTCCTCCACCGTCGATACCGCAGAAGACACGCTCTTTGGCAGCGGGTGCAGATATTCCGCCTTGTGCTGTGGTCCAACAACCTCCTCCAGACATCGCAACATAGCGTATGTGTCCTTTGAATCAAATACCAGCCGTTCCTTATTCTCCAGCAGTGGAAGCGCGTTAAACAGAAGCATGGCCCAGTACTTCTTGGGTGCCTTGCCCGAGAGCAGTTGGACCAAGGTACGTCCTGCGCTGCGATAGTCGCCATTCTATGAGAAGCAATTTTCGATGAGAGGGAGCATATAGTAACAATGAGACATTAAAAAGGATGAGAGAGCATCGCGCGCGAAAGGTACCTTATAGTCTCGATGGAATTTGGCGTAGGAGCGAAGAAAGTCGACATAGTCATTAGCAGGTAACTGCGGAATGGGCGCCAACACTTCCTCTAGATCCAATTCGTCGCTCTGCAAGTAGTCCAGCATCAAGCTGTCGGTCACCTTAGCGACACGGTCATTGTCTTTTGAAGAAATAAAATGCTGGATTGCGAGGGCGTACTGTCCGCGGGTCTCCTCATCTACGGCCATGACCTGGATAATTTTGAAATAATTAGTAGTCAAGATCGTTCATTTGGAAGCTTGGAATGTATTCTTAACAATGATATAAAGCCTACCCTGTAAATGGATCTCAGTGAATCTGTAAGACTATTGTTTTCGCAAAATTGAAGCACTCTATGGGCTTTCTCTGAGGACCCCAGCGGCACATGGCAGATCCACTACAGATAGACATTATCACCAAAATCAAATAAGTGCACGGTCGTATATCCTACAGGTTTCTTATTCTCAAATTTTTGTCATAGCCACTTACCTCGGACAACATTGCCTTCCCAGTATGGCCACAGTTCAGCAAATATCCAGCAATGACTTCCCAGAGATCCAGATTTGACATTAGACTCTGCGCATAGCTCGTGATGAAGAAGTCGCGAACGTCCGAGTCCCATCCCAGATCTGCAATATCTTGAAGTTCAAGATCGGATATATCCAAGTACCCATATTGTTGTAAGACATCCGCCAAATGGGCCACGAGCCACGGATGGAAGTTTCCACAGTGACGAATTGTCTAATATATTCATATAACGTCAAGCGGTCTGATTAGCATTTTGTTATGAAAAAGGAATCCAACGTTTTAATGAGCGGTCATTACCTTGATGGCATCAATCTCCAGGATGGCGATCTTGATTTTATCGAAGAGAGATACCTTGGTATCTTCCATATATCTTGAAATGCAAATCTTCAATATTGGCCTAAGTCGAAAAGGTGTTATCGAGATGACTTTAGACACTCTGTCCATCAACTTCAACCGCAATAACTGGGTTTCGACCCTGCAGCTTACGTAAGGTCCTGCCTTGAGCAGTTAGGGTTGGTATAGAGCAGAATGGCCGAGAATGCCTCCTCCCAGGACTCAGTACTGTCGAGAATCGCCTCAATGTCGCCAGTCAATATGCTAACTGCTTTTTTCGCATCCACCCCGAGGTGAGATAGCTGTGGTGATTTCGCGAATTTCCTAATCACAAACACGTCTGCATTAGTACAGGTCTCCACGTCTATTCGTACAAATTGTATATGTAGTCAAGTTCACTCACTTGCAATCTTCCTGCCATTTTCTATGTCTTTCGTATGATTTTCCATCTAGCAGGATTGTTTCTGGCGATGGAATTCCCTTAAGGATTCTTAGAAAGCCATCCAAAGCATCCGCTACATCCTCGTCTGGCTCATCATTCAACGTTTGCTCTATCATAAATACGACCGACTCTCTCATGCCTCGCAGCAGACACCTAAGGTAAACAAGAATGAATCACGTCAGTATGTGTTACACATACGACGAATGTCTATTTCCAAGGGCCTTGGCATACTTACTGATGGATATAGGGCCAGAACCGAGAGTCTGATAATCTGCCCGAAGACGCAAGTAGTAACTTGCCGACCTCCAAATCAAGTCCTAAAAATGCCAAATTTGCATCGGTCTTTGAGACAAATGTTTATAACCTCGTTCCATGCGCTTCCAATTCAATCGTATGCTATCCCGTACCTGTATCGTGCACCGACAACCATTCGCTGTATAAAAATGCTATGGGTTTGCTGTCGTCGGCTGTTAGAAACATATACTCCGCCAGCCTCCAGATCGCGCTAAATGCCTCCATAAGCTCGAGTTCCTGAGCATCCTGAACTGCCTCTTCTGTCTCCATGTCGTTTTTCGATTGCTAATATGAATGATGCCATCAGTCTGATGTTAATGTCGCGCTCTGTCGTTGCTCATGTCACCGATAATTTTGCTTCCGATATTCCCAAAAAAAAAAAGTCCCTCCTTACGTAGAGCTGGAGCAGATATCGCTGAATGCCTTTGTAATACTGCTCATAATGGTGCCTGTAGTCCTCAGATCCGTATGGATCCAGAGTAGTCGTGTTGAGAAATGCATCGGACATTTCTTTGATGAACTATCAATGGAAGGTATTCCCGTCAAACGTATCGATGTGAGTGCCATTGCATCTGGCTGCTTTTGTAGTAGCAGTATCCGGTCGTCCAGTCCTGGATCAGGTACATACCGGAATCCGACTCTCAGGGATCGATGCCTGGCAAAGGAACACTGTGTTGTCCTTGGCAGAGCTGTGCTGTCTGATTGGGAACTGTTGTATCAGTAAATAGTCAAGCGATGCGTTAGTCTTCTAGATAGCGTCTCGCCACTGTTCCACGTATATCAAATGGTGGCAAAACAGAGGCGCGTTACCTCCTCAGCAGCCTTCTTCCCTGCTACAAAGACCGCAATCTCGTTCGTGCTGGGGCGGAAAACCGCTTCGATCGTTCTATTGTTTCTTGTCCATGACTGCACAGAGATGTCTTTGCCAATAGGGCTGGGAATCAGATACATGGTTGAGACATAGTCTTCCTCGTTATCCTGCTCATTCAGCAGATCCTGCTCTGTGATCCTGTCATGAAGGTCGACAGTAGGCGTGCTGAAAATGGATCGCTTTGTCGTGCTTGCCCCAAATCTCGCTGCCGAACTTGATGGCTGGATCAGAGGGATGGCCGCCATAGTCTAGGGTTGATTAAAGTAGGTAGGCTGCCTTCATGGAGGCATACACGCTTGATCAGGGCGGGTCCCAGCTCGTTCTGGATGTGACTGTTTGTCGCGTCTTATTCTTGGGAGCTGTGACCGGATCAATTGGGGTTGGCCGCATGACCATGGTCCAATGGCAAGTCTGCGCCTCCTGGTGGTGCTTAAGGATGACCGCATTTATATCGCCTGCTTTCCCGTCGCCTCCTCTCCTCTTCTCTCTTCATTCCTTCCCGTCTCTCCCTTGTCCACACATCCACACCACACATTCAAACTCCTTTGACCTTCCCACTCTCGAATTTGCCCAACCATGCAGATTTTCGTCAAGACCCTTACCGGCAAGACCATCACCCTCGAGGTCGAGTCTTCTGATACCATCGATAATGTGAAGCAGAAGATCCAAGATAAGGAAGGTATCCCCCCAGACCAGCAGCGCCTCATTTTCGCCGGCAAGCAGCTTGAAGACGGCCGCACCCTGTCTGACTACAACATCCAGAAGGAGTCAACCCTCCACTTGGTTCTTCGTCTCCGTGGTGGTATGCAAATCTTCGTCAAGACTCTCACCGGCAAGACCATTACTCTCGAGGTCGAGTCCTCTGATACCATCGATAACGTCAAGCAGAAGATCCAAGACAAGGAAGGTATTCCTCCAGACCAGCAGCGCCTCATTTTCGCCGGCAAGCAGCTCGAAGACGGCCGTACTCTTTCCGACTATAACATCCAGAAGGAGTCGACCCTTCACTTGGTTCTTCGTCTCCGTGGTGGTATGCAAATCTTCGTCAAGACCCTCACCGGCAAGACCATTACTCTCGAGGTCGAGTCCTCTGATACCATCGATAACGTCAAGCAGAAGATCCAAGACAAGGAAGGTATTCCTCCAGACCAGCAGCGCCTCATTTTCGCCGGCAAGCAGCTTGAAGACGGCCGCACCCTGTCCGACTACAACATTCAGAAGGAATCGACCCTCCACTTGGTTCTTCGTCTCCGTGGTGGCCAGTAAAGAGGCGGCGCAGTCATTGCCCCTCCCCCTCAAATGCCCATGCCGCTCGTTCTGGTTGTTTGTACGCATGCGTGTTGTCAATAGCAAAATTTGTTGATTCGTTTCGACACGGAAGGAAAAGACTTTCTTCAATAAAGCGAATTTAAATATCGATATAATCTGTAAACTGTATGGTGGTGCCAAGAGAGACATGGCAGGCATGATTTACGTTTTTTGAAAATAGGGTTCAGCTTCTTTGATGGCGACGTGATGCATCATCTTTGCTCGTTCATCGGTCTTCAGCCTTCAACCTTCAGCCTTATCTCTTTTTGCACCCCAGTACCCTAACCACAGCCCTATTTCGCTTTCCCCGCTCTTGTGAGTCTTTAATCCTCTCCTGCAACCCATTGCATCTCCTCAACACAAAGCACGCTCTTCGGAATGACGACAATCGGATACCCATACACGCTACCGACGACAGCAAACATGTCCTTCCACGAGTTCGTGGTACCAGTAAGCAACGATACTCAATATCAGCGCCCGCTCTCAGATGCGACTGCCTTCCGTGGCCGATTGCGAACTGCACTCAAGGAACATAAGCATTCGGACCGGCATGACTTTTTAAACATTCAAAAGGTTAGAGCCGCAGTCTATCATTTTTTATTTCATTTTTATCGAGGAATAGGGCAAATAACTGAATTGTGGAGGCCCTGTTGTGCTTCTGCGCCTGATGGCCTATGAAATATAAATAGGCACTCGAGGATTATATCCCATTGCTGTTTGGCGTGGTAGCCGGGATCGAGAACACCGAGCTGCGCTTAACGAACGAAGTCGGTCAGTGACCAATTCGTTCTCTTCGCAACGTGTGTATCCTGGCCATTAGAGGTCTCACTCACAATATAATCTACTGCGACTTCTGGTATTCAACAACAGAGACAGTGTGGCGTTGCACCATGTCCAGCGTCTCGCTGTCATCCAAGCAACCTCGCGTGAAGCACAAGTCGATTCACTATGAAGCCATCTTCACACTTCTCACCCTGGGCTACGTGCTCATGGACCGCGCCAACGAGTACTCGCACACAGTCCAGAAGAAGATCCTCGTCGCCATCGGAGATATCTCCAGTTACGCTGGCGGATACGGCGATGGATCGTCTATGGTAGGGAGCCATATCCATCACAGTGGGATAGCAGGCGGATCTGGTTCAGGAATAGGAGGAGGTGCTGGCTCTGGATTAGGATCAGGAAGCGGAAGCGGAGGAGGGGCCAGCAGTGGTGGTTCGCATGGTGTCGGAGCAGCAACATCCCGTCTCTTCAAAAAGGGTACCTCTTCCACACCATCGCCCTTCAAATCTACCAAGAATACAAATACCATTGGCGAATTTACGGATTACTTAAACGACGGGGATCTGGCAGCAATTGATCATCAATTGACGCAGGCTGCGGATCTGTATTGCAAGGCGGCCGGTGTCTTTGAATATGTAGTTCAAAGCATAATCCCCAGGTGGAACAAATCTCTGGTAGCCGATTTTATGCAGGATACTACTGGAGATGTTGGCAGTACGAGTGGGACATTGGATCTTGGTAAGACCTCATCATCATTGTCCTCAGTAACAGCAGCCAACGCCAAGAAGGTGCTCTCAGAAAGTTCTCGTCCAGTCGACGTGCAATCTGCCGTGGTCTCTGCCCATATCAAGTAAGCCAATAATGAATATAATTGCCGCTTGTCATGCAAACGAGCGGACTGTACAGCTGATTTGCCCGATCCTATGTGTATCTAATGCATGCTAGGCTAGCTCTTGCAGAGGCACATGCCTGCACTGTACGGAAAGCATCGATCAAGGCTACTAGGGCATCTGCGAACAAAACATCCGCGCCCACTTTCTCAAAATCCGGAGCCGGAGTAAGCGTAGCAGGTGCAGGAATATCCAAGACCTCCTATGTTCTTTTGGCAAAGCTCACCATTGGCGTCAAAGAAGAGTATGAACGCGCCTATGGGCTGCTGAAGTCTGTCAAGGATTTGAACGAGATCGCGAGCGAGTTCAGGGCTCACGTCAAGGATGCTAAGCTGTATTATGAAGCTTTGGCCCAGACCTTCCTTGGGATGGATGCCTATGAAGCACAGTACGTTTCAGGCTCGCTTTGTTAAGAAATATGGATGCGGAGGAAATTGTATCTGAATCAATTTGCTGACCAGATGTCAACCAATTTCTGTTTATTTGACACCACATAGACAATATGGCAAAGCAATTGGGTTCATGTCGGTCGCCCGCGCCACATTCTTGTCACTCACGAAATCAAGTAAGGCCCACACGATCGCACAAGCTGCCTCGTTTGAGTATCGCCTCGCGAACGAAAAGGTGGTTGCGTTTCAGAAAATCAACGACTCGGTTACGTTTGAACAAGTACCCACTCAGACACAGTTGCTTGGCGTTATGCCCAGTGGCCGCGATCTGCTCTCGCCAAAGAAATATATTGCTCCAAGACCCTGCTTTGGAAGCGCGGCTACGGCGACCGAAGGGGCTCATGGCGGTGCTGGCGACAGCATCAATAAATTATCGTATGCGATGCAGGGTGCTTATTTTTGAAGCTAAATACTCGAGCAGCATTCAATAAACGTTTTGACAGTAGAATATTCAGTTGATATAATATCCTACAGTCCTTTTTGTGAAATAGCCGAACTTTCATAGTAAAAGTTGGGCTATTTCGACTGAAATGAAATATATACACGAGGCTATTCATTTTTTTGCAAGAATTTAAGAGGTCACATGATGAGTTTATTTCTACGAATCAAGTACCGTGCTGTTTTTCGGTAGCTCGCGTTCTCATCTCCAAGCAAAGTGAGAGTGAGAATGACACGCGTTTTGATGTAGTCATGAGCGTAAAGATTGCAGGGAAATAACGTATTTCAGCCATCACAAAAAATGAATAGCCTCGTGTATGTATTTCAATTCAGTCGAAATAGCCCAACTTTTACTATGAAAGTTCGGCTATTTCACAAAAAGGACTGTAGGCAACCTACAAGCACGTGTTGCATGGCTTTACACGGCTTTACACGGCTTTTTTTTTGCCCATTGATTGCTTTGATATCTCTTCACCCTTCTTTCACCCTTCTTCTCGCGTTCCCTACGTACAGATTAGAGCCAGCATTTGCTCAATAGAAAAATAAGCATTCACAATGTACCGTTACATTTGAGACCATAGCTGCTAAAGAGATGAAGGCAGCAGAACCTTTCAATCGGTCACAAACAGTCCATTAACTAGCACCTCACTGAAAGAACGGCCTTCCCAAATGTAACGAATACCTCAGAGGCATCAGTCTGCAGATCCCCGCCTCCTGCCACGACTTTGATCTCCCAAGAAAGATATTGCACACTCGAGCCCACGGGGTGGTCTATTCCAAACAGTTGGTGTTTCGTAGATGAGACCGGCAAGGATGGATGGGCTGCTCTGCATCGGTACGCTCGGTGGGCCCAAGGGACCCCTGCTAGGATCGGCATTAGCTATCTTTAATTATAACGGCTTCATCCCGTAAGAGCATAGGAGCAAAACTTCAGGACGTTTACTCGTATTTCGTCCCATGAGGCGTTCGTGAAAAAAATAATTTTACCCCATCCTCGCCCTTGGCCTCTTCCATGCAGAAACGCAACTTGACCTGGATATTATCTGAACTTTCGCAAATGGTACTAGGATGTCTCGGCTGAGCTGATCAGCTACCATCGGAGTGACAGGTGAAGAAGTCGCGCGCGAGAAATAGAAATTGCTGAATTGAGTAAAAAGCTCAGTAAGGGTTGAAGATGATTTATTAAGAAGATGGGAAGTAGTTTTTGAGAGTGAATAGTGACGCTTTTACAATAATGGGTGTGGATAGAATGAGATCATTCTACATGCAACATATCACGAAATAAAGCGCGAACAGTTGTGAACAGTTGAACAACAATCCACGAAAAGAATGCATACATAAGGACTACAGAAAACTAAGTTAATACATTACAAAAAACAAAGAAAGAGCAGGAGATGTTCAAACGGAATTGATCGCCATTTCCCAAGGGAAAGAGCCCTTTCACACCATTCCACTGTCCTCTGAAGAGGAAGGACTGGCGGTCATGAGCGTCATTTGCATGCACTCTCGTCGGAAGGTAGTGATATTCTGGGTAAAACGGTCGCGGTTGAGGCTAGTCAAGTTGCATTCAATGCCCTCCATGAGCTATACAAACAAATAAAAGAACCATGAGAAAAACGCGTTCAGGAACAAAAAATAAAGTATATCGTAAGCGCGCAGTGCATTAATGGAAACCTACCGCGTTGACAGCCGTCTGAACCTGTTCCTGACGATCGGGGAGCTGGCTTTGTACAAAGTTGTTGGTGTATTCCACATAGAAATCGCGATTCAACAGGACCAGCCCCAACAGTGGTCGGCTCAAACTCCAGTAGTTGCTTCTGTTCTCGAAGGCAACCACTTGGAAGATGATCTGGAACAGATAGCTCAGAACATTTTTGTTCGACATCAAATACTCAACCAGCCAGTGTGTCTCTTGCTGCTGTTGTTGCTGCTGTTGACGACGCCTCGACACCGGTCGGCCGTTCGAGTTAGGTGGTCCTCGTGAAATATCAACACTACTTCGTTGGCTGTTGCTACCGCTGCCAGCAGAGTTAAGGCGTGCACGTCCACCTGGGTCGGGTGATCCGTTGCTAATGGGCTCATCCTGATCCTCATCCTTCCTGATCTTGTCCTTGAGCATCCAATTCAAGACAAACGTGCAGACCTTGTCGATAGCTGAGCATGCCATGGTGCAGCAGAGCGTATCAGGTGTTTCAGGCAGAATGATCTCTCCAAAGGTCCGGAACATGTAGTCCAGAACAGGTTGAGGCATCATAGGTAAACCGGTCATATGTTCACTCGCAAAGACATCAATCACGCTGTAGTAAGCATGTGCAAGCTTTGGGAAGGACTATCACCATACAACGACAGAAGGCCTGGTTAGGAACCAGATTTTTTTACAAATAACTCTGAATGAACAAAGACGACCGCGCTTCTTACAATCATGTCCCCGACCGGGATGGCCAGCATTAACGAGAAGAACACTTCCAGGGCTTGATCCAATGCCTTGTCACCATAGAGTTTAAACACGCCAAAGTTGGCATACTTTCCAGAAAGGGAAGCGGAGAGAACATTGAAATACAGCATGATACCCTTATACCTATTGTTCGCAGAGTGAACTTCATGTTCAGCACAGAACTTCGACTGCGAAAAATACCATAGCCATATAATAAGATAATTAGCTTACTTTTCAGACCATCGGGCGTCCGAGTTGGACAATGGCCGGTTCAAAAGGTTTTGACCATATGTGTAAAGGATATTACTATTCATCAGAAAGTCAGGCAGTGGTTAGTGTGTTATGGTGCAACTTTTTTTTTGGCATAAAACGATACCACAATGATGGCGTTTGTACCTCGTCACTCGGAAGAGCAAGATGCCATTGGGGCTGCTGCTTTCGAACGCGACACGGCTGCTCTTGTTGCTTGCAAACTCGTTCCAGAACCGCATAATTGCAATGCCAAGCTCATTATGAGGCCATATCTCAATAGCACGTACAACGATCGGCGTGTACGCTGGATAGAACCAATCGAAGAATAGGTTGTATTGTTTCCGGTTCGTAATACTCGAGACGAATCCTCGCAAGTCTCTAAATATTCCGAGTAGGATGAGCTGTAGCCGAAATATAAATGAAAATTAGGCAACTCGTTTTGGTCAACATCATGTCGCATGAAGCGAAATCAATTTGCTCCGACCATACTTACCCGAATATCCTCTTCGCCAAGCTCACTGCTGCCCTCAAACGCCAAGGTCACTTGATCCAGCGTGAGCTCCCATGGTTTGACAAACCGCCAAAAGTCCGCTTCCACATTGTCTTCCGCAAACAGTACCCTGGATAGCATGGTATAATAGTCCATTCGACAGCGTGCCAGTGTTTTGTCTGAGGCTTTGGTTGTTGGATCCAAGAACCTGAAATCGCTCGAGGTATGGTTCTTAAGCAGTGCCTTCATGGTATCCAGTTTGCGGATATGCTTCACGGAACTATACCTATTGTCAGCATTCAGAGACGAGTTAGTTCACGTCTTGCGGCCAAGGATGAACCCCTCATTGCCATCGTCTGACCATCAATGCCCTCACACATACCCTGAGGCGAGCTGTGTATATAGACGAAGCGTGCGTACGACTAGCCGATCCTCTTGTTTTCTCCACTCTGGATCACCGCTTGAACGTAGGTTGCCAAGCGACGAGTTCATGATCACATCCAGCACCTGGTTTGGACTATTGAGTCCCCATCGCTCGCCCAAGAGGGTGTATACCTTGACTGACTTGGAAGCCTCCTCGCCAATGTATGAGCTGCGGAACTGGGTGTAAAAGTATATGATCGCGGATTGCACATAAAGGTGTGCATCTGGAGAGGCGATGAACAAGGGGCGTTGGGAGGACCATACTTGAAGATGGTGAATAAATCCAAGCACCTCACTCGCCATCTCTCCATCCATCTGATCCTGCTCTGACGTGCTTTGGTAAGACTAGCATCGATAGCCATTTTTTTTTTTTTGCCAACAAGAAAATGATAAACGGTGCGCGTTAGCGTATTGTCGCCAGCGGTTACTTTGATATAAAGCATAGGCGAAGATATAACACTTACAATCCTGCCGCCGATAAGAGCGGCGATGATGTATATCATCCACGTCAGCTGCATTTCCACGACCAGTAGTTGCTCTTTAATCTCGCTCGAGCCAAGAGATGGAGATGTAGTGACTGCAGAGGCCCTCTGAATTAACTCTCGGTGCTTCTTAGTCAGGTCCTTAAACTCGACTACGACATACTGTCCAGACTCGATGTATTTGGACCTTGCTACAGTTGCATACGTCTCCAGCGTTGACACCAATTCCTCCTCGGACTCTAGAGGATCTATCTCATGCACAAAGGATGTGTACGATGTCAATATTCTAAGGTAATTCTATACAAGTCCTAAGTCCCAATCAGGTCAGCGTGTTTTTTTTTCCTTTGGTTTACCATCGACTTCGCCATCTATGGCAGCTTGAGCACACTCCAGACGGCTCTTCAGGTAGGCGCGCGAAAGATCCACTGTGATTCGTTGGATATACTCTTGCGTTGCCTGCTTCGTAGAGGTCAGGGATGATACCATCTTACTCCAGAAAGTCAATAAGTACGGGACACTGTTTGGTGACCACTAAAAATGTAAATGTATGTGCAGACGAGATTCAGTATTCACTCGCTCCCTGCGTTGACCATGCTGAGTTGATTATTCCACTCGTCAGCAACGAAGGTATCCCGATAGCCCAGCATACCTTCCACGAATGAAACCCGCGCGACGTAAACTCTCCAACCAGCGTGATCCACTGCTCAAAGTCCTTGTACTCACAGATTTCCGATAGTTGAAAGGTGCTCCTGAATTTTGACAGCATTCTGCAAAACTCATTGAAGTTGCCGATGTCCTGTAGTTTGTTCTGTCCAGCGCCTGTCTTTAATGTAAAGACCGTCTCGCGCATGATGTGGTGAATATAGGTATTGCGGGCGTCATCGTTAGAAAACAATGACCGGCGAATCGAAGCAGCCTGTGAGAGCGATTCCATCACAAGGACCGAGTTTTGACCGGAAAACTTTTTCCAGCACTCCCACAGGACATCCAAATATCCTGACTCCTCAAAGATAGATCTCCATGTTGTTGGCGCTTGAATGCTTCCGACATCGTCTGAAGATTCGTCTGGAGAAGTGCCGATAAAGTCGAACATGAGGCACGTTCTCATCAACACCAATATTGATTCTGTAAACTTTGCTGCATTGGGATCTATTTCTCCAGAGAACAATCAGCGCACAGTATCAGAGGAGGTCACAGAGGAAGCTGTTTTACATAGACCTAAAATGAGTGATGATGGCTTGTATACCTGACATCTGCATGGCAGTCTGCAGCATTGAAAATGCAAACTGGAAGATTGGGAGCAGCTGTACGTCCCGAAAGTTGACTGCGATCTTGCGGTACTTTGCCGCGTGCCGACTGCTGGGTGTATTCATCTCGGTCACAACAGCATTCAAGAGTCCCATACCAATGGCGCGGTAGATGATGGTAGCCCCAGGCTATGTATAAATAAGATGCTCGTTAGTTGATTGCCATGGACACATAGTTGCACCTGTGCCCATATTCCTCGCCATTCAACATCGTTTGCCACCAAAAATTGCGCGCATTGTTGCATACCTGAAAAAACACCTGGATTTGGTCAACAAGCGCACGGAACTCTTCATTCTCGATCCAGCCGAGCTTTGTAATGATAGCGAAAAGTTGTGCTTGTGCCGTGATGATGAACGACGGTGCATTCGGGTTCTGGTAGATGTAGCGGAGAACAAATGTGCCTATGCAAATCAATGCCGCAAAGCATAAGAAGGAATAAGAAGGACAAGGAGCACAGATTAGACCATCACATGTGCCAAACGCCCGCGTTCATGTGCCTCATCAGGCAAGATTCTCCTTTGATTATCACTCCTCCGCTGTTGCTTTTTGCCGAATGTGTCCTGAATGATAACAGAGTCAGGTCCTGGGAGCAAATCCCTCTCGTTCGTCAGTGCCAGAGCGTCAGGTAGTCCACCGATCCTACCGCTTCCTTTGCGCGTCCCTTGTTTGGACTCATATTCTGAGGTCGATAACTGTGTCCCATGATTGAAGTGTTTTGCTGAGATAGTCGATAGTCGATAATCGATAGTCGCATTCTGCTACTCGACCGCATATTGTGCTCTGGCCAAGGACCGATGATTCAAAAACAGACAGGACAACGAAGCAAATAGCGGGAACATCATGGGTACATACGGAGTCCAAGCTGTTCGGGAGTTGTGAATGTGGTGAAGTGATCCTCGACCAGGTTCTTCAATCGTGTGGTCGCAAACCTATTTCAGACCGAAACAGGCCACGCACGGAGCGACCAAAAAAAGATGCACAGGAGATAATTTTTGGCATGTTAGTCAGTGCCGAAGAGGACAAACGCCCAGTTTTTTTTTTCTTTTTCTTGAACAAACACTCCTTCCCATTCCCCCCTCTTCGCCTCTGGCTTCCAGAGATGGCCCGATGACACGTGGACCCACAGCTCCCCTGTAGGATCTTCCTGAACAAAACGGCATCCCTCCCTGATATGATTAATTTTCAGGCAAGTCAAATGACCCCTCCGTCCTCCAAGGACTTGCAGTCCTCTGTTTACCGCAGATCCTTTTTGTCCTCCCAAAAAGAAAGACAAGCGGGAAAGCTTGAAAAAAAAAAAAAAAAAAAAAAGGGAGCACAGGTGACAGTGATCTCCCCATTCTTCAGAAAAGAGGACTCCATCTGCATAGCTGCGTAGCTGCATGTTGCATAGTACATGCCCGATATCGCACAGCCAGGCAATATGCCATCAACGACCTATTTAAAAACGTGAAAAAGCGAGGAGCAGGGCTCTCGCCACCCTCTCATAAGCTCGAGAGGAGGTCATCCTGCCATCCACCCGGACCATGATTTGTTCTCCATAAAATTGACTTGAAACTTTAAAAACAAGGTCGTCTTTGGGTCCCACCCCCACCACCCCAATTACTAACAGTCGATTCTCTTTAAAAAAAAACGAAGAAAGATGAAGCGCAAGAAAAATAAAAAGTGTGAAAATGTGAAGGGAGTAGTAAAAGTATCACTTGCATGAGGGCATATGGATTCTTGGTGCTTTCGAGCAATCCTCGACAAAAAAGTGCGGACTCGATCGGGGTATTGATAGACGGGCTGTGGCCCTTGGCGAGTGCGTCATCATCGGCCCCGGATAATGCGGCTGTGGCAGCTGTAGAGGTCGTGAGAGACGAGAAGGTGGGGAAATGGTAGTTGAGGAGCGATTCGACCTGGATGCGACTGGCCTGACTCGTGGGATTGTACAGAGTCTCGCAGTATTGCTCCAGCGAGTGGAGGTCGAGTGTAGCGGCCATCATTTTGTGTCGTCTTGTTTATATAAACAGATATCTATGAAGCGATAGCTACGGTAGAAAATCAAAGGATACGATAATACACTGAATGTTGGATGAGTAACACTACAAAGGAGGGGAAGAAGCGTGGAAGGAGGGAAGCAAAGAAGTAAGGAAGAAAGGAATGAGCGGAGCTTTTTTAGCGATGAGGATGAGCGATTCCTCTCCCGGCCTCGTCCTCCTGCCCTCGTCCTCCTTGTTTGCTCGCTCTTTTGTGCGACCACCCAAGGTTTTTTAGGCCCTCCAGCTCATTCTCGCTGGCAATTTGTCCTGTGGTCACTTGAGATGTCAGGGGAATGTTTCCTTTTACTTGCACTGCTTGACTCCAAGCATCCAGCCTCCACGAGCATGGATATGACGTCACGCGTCGCGAGTTTATTTGGTCCGCAATGGATCATCCTCCGATAGCTGCTGGCTTGCTACAGACACCATTCCTGACTCTGTTACTGACGATCCAGACCCACTGCGTTTGCTAACGGCGCCTGCAAGAGGATCAATCTTCATGCGCGACTTTGAAGATGAGGGTAAAAAGATATCTACTGAAGGTCGCGATCCCGAACCACCCCCGCCAACAGCACCTGCTTCAGATCCGGCTCCTGGCTTGTTTATGGACGATAAGGACGACGATGACGAAGAATGTATTCCTCCTACTGCTGACGCCCCGGTCGCTGAACTAATACCGCCATCATCATTCAGCATCCAGCTAAACTGAGAGTTTGCTAACGAGGATCGCGGTGACTTCACCTTGGACGTCGATGTAGATGAACCTGTTCCCCTTGAGTCCGATAATGATGGTGATGACGATCTTGCTGGCTTCGTCTTCGTGTCCTCGATGAGATCGTCAAAGGAGAACGGCTTTGGTGTGGGTATACGCGGTACCGGGGTGGGCACATACGGCTCAGAGATTGGAGGCGTTACTGAAGACGTATGGATATCGACGCCGTATTCATGACCGCTATGTCCTTGAACCTCACTGGTCTGACTCGATGCTCGAGACTGTGCTCGTCCCTCATTTGTGCCATCATGGGTGGACCGTACAGGACTTCCTATCCTGACTGGGCTTGGGGAATTGCTCTTAGTTGTCGCTATCGTAGCATTGGGTGGTTTCCGCTGCGGCGGTGTTCCTGCATTCTGTGGATCCAGCGATGGTTTAGGTGCAAAATGAGCTGGTTTTGCTGTAGATTGAGTTGTATCCCGAGTTCCAGCATCGCTGCTGACTTGACCAGACTTCTCCAACATTCCAGACTCAATAACGAGAGGGTCGAGATCCTTGGAGAGACCTAGCAGAATATCACGAACGTGTTCCAGGCCCGAAAATGCAGCCGATGCCGCTTTGGAAGGCGATTTGCCGTTGCTAGACATGTGCTCCTTGCTTTTGCTGGAATCGTTGTTGTTTGATGGCGAGATGTACTCAGACTCCAAAATGACCAGTGCTTTAGCTACAATCTGGCCCAATTGTAACTGGACTTGTTTGTCGGGATCAATGGCCGTGTTGTTACTGCTCTGGTTCTTGTGAGTAACAGGCGCTGGCTGAGTTGACGCAACCACCCTGCTACTGGATGAGATCGCTTGATCAAACATAGGTGGGAAGTTGGCAGCCAATGGTGGTGGAGTAGGAGTATTGGCTTTCCTGATATATGACTGAGTATTTTTCTACATCAAATAAAAATAAAATATAAAAAACACACACTTCGCAAAGGATTGCTCTTTCTTTCATTTAACAGAATCAAGAAGAGTTCAGCCACTCCCGTCCGTCGCTTACCTTCATGTCATGGATCGCCTTATTCAAAGCGGCCCCTCCTTTGCTCTCCAAAACATTCTTCGTTACATGCACAAACCCCTCCGCGACAGGCTTTATTGCGTCCAATGCAGCTGGTGGCAGATGCTGACTGAGGACACCATTGCTTGAGAATCCCAGAATTTGATTTTTTGTCCGATCATACTGCTGACCCTGTTGACTATACTGCTGCTGTCGCGAGTATGGCGAGGGCGATCCGTCGCGAGGATGCTGTTGCGACTGGTTCTGATATTGCGTGCCGTGCTCTGCTTCTGATCCCGGCGATGGCAGCGGTGGAAGCGGTTTTCCTGAAAGTGCACTGTTCTGCCTGATGATCTCAAGACCTCCGGAAGAATTTGGGTCCTTTTGAAGGGTCACCGCCTGAGGAATGAATAGCTGCACGTCCTTGACGGGCGGATATCTCATCAGCTTGTGCAAGCACACAGCGAAATCTTCCTCCTCCAGCAGCTCGTCGCGGATCCTCAGCAGCATCGCCAACCCAATAAAGATGCAAATTTTGAGACTGGGATCCTTTGCAAAAATACCATCCCACAGGCTTAAGGCGTCATCCATAGGAAACTCTCTTCCAAAGAGCAACCGGAACCAGCGGCTATAAAATAAAATAGAACATTGCCGGTCAAAAATTTGCTCCCTCCTGTGGGCCTATTACGCGAGTAGCGCATCTCACTTACATTCCAAATAGCTGCGGCTGGATGTCAAGGCTCTTCAAGTGGAGGTATAGCTGATTGTCGACTCTTTCCAGGTATCGAAATATATTCATCGACCATTCAATGACAGGCGTCTGCTTTCCTGGTGGAGGCTGAGGTCAATAGCGAAAGCAGGCCATGTTAATATTCGTAGAAGCCCTGTATATTGAGATTGTTTAGACACGCTTTGTAGTTCCCATTGCCTACCTCTGGTGTTTCTTGCTTGCCAAAGGGCTGGGTGTGACTGGCTGAAGTAGGCTGTTTCGTGGAAGCAGCAAAACATAAATGTTACACAATGGAATGGTACTAAATAGGAAGCTGTGAACAGATGCCTTCAGTCGTAATGCACGAACAACGAACCTTGGGTCTTCTGCTGGACGTTCTTTCATCGCTGAATTCATACCAAGGCTTCGCATGACGCATCAAACTTGAGAATAGAGCAAACGTATCGTGCTCAATATAACTCGAGTCCAAAACGCTTTTCATGACGTCCAATGTCGAGTCCCTATACAGGTCAAGTTGTCAGCCAAGTGTCTTGCCACTTGCATTCAAAGCACTCGTTCAATAGGCTACAACCCTTGAGCACTTACGAAGAAACACCCGGCTCAGCATTGACGTCCAAACTCTCAGAGGAAACTACCCAAAGAATATGGGCCACCAATTCATGCATCCCCTGGCGATAAGAAACGTCGTGGTTGATCTTGCAGTAGATGAATAAAATGTCGTTCAGTTGCTCCTGCACCTTTTCTGATCGAAAGTAGTCATTGTCCGGGAGTCTATCAAGTCGCGATACATGAGATATCGCAGAGTTAATATAAACGAGCTGCTACTATGCATATCTTCGGATGATAATCCCAGCTGAATGCTTGATTAGCAACATACGTTCTCTCTACGTCCTGTTTTATGATTTTTCGTAGCTCCGAATCGACAAAGAACTGTTGCCAGGGACTGTCCTCAGCCAGACTGAGTGGGTTGTTGACTTCCAGGTCTGGCTCAGGTCCATTGTCGCTCCCAACTGCTCGGATATATTTCTTTCTCAGTTCCACGTATCGCTCGCGTTCTTTGGTCATGGCAAATGGCCAAGTTGAGATCTCTACCGAGGGTAAGCATGACAGATACACCTATAACGGATAGATGAAATTAGGACGTTGTTACGCGACAGTACGCGCAAGATAGGAACGAGAGAAGTTTGATGCGCTGTAATTTACCTTCCAGCATACAGACCGGATACCATCAATGCCTAGGTTTGAGTGTTGCGAGACAGCCCTAGCTTTCAATGACTCTAAAGTGAGGTTCGGATCCTCAAACACCTCAGTCCACTTTAGCCTAGCGAGACAGGAACAGGGTCGTGTGAAGTAACTGGCAATGAGTACAGGGGTCTTGACACTAGCAGGTACTTGGACCCAGGCACGAATGTGGAGTGTGACAGTGTAGCGTACCGGGCTCCTTTGATGGTATTCATTGGACGTGTTCCTTCAGAGTCGGGTCGTAAAAATGAAAAGTGATGGAGAGGCGAAAATGGGGAGGAATGGGAATGGTCGTCAAGGCAATGGGAGAAAAAGTTTAAAGCGTAAGAGCTGGGCTGGAAGGGGAGACAGGGGAGATTCGATCCTTGAGCCAAATGGACGTCACGGGCAGGCCGGCGCACATCGTCGTGCGAAAGTAGGTTTGTAAAGATCTCGCCTACCGGTGTTTAATCGTGTCCATCGAAATTACCCTGGAAAATAGGTGATATTCAATGGCGATTTAAAAAGACATAAGGAATGTACTATGGAATGAACAATACCGTTTGGAACGCAGTCGATCTGTCGTTAAAGCTGATATACATTGCCGCTCAATTGCTCGCATTTGAAGTGTGATCACTCTACATCCCACATCCCCCCATAAAATCCAAGCATTGGCAACATCTGCAATTGAGCTCTACCTCGAACCACGTGGAAATGCAGCTGTGCTAATCCGTTAAAGGATATCCAAGAGGCGGTAGAGCGATAAGTAGAAGAAGCGAGAGTATGGTCGATAACTTTAATGTGGAGGAGGTATTAGTGTAAAGGTTATATATACAATCGGTAGTCTGGGAGGAAGGTCCCAGCTAGGAATAAAATAAGGAGCTATATACAATGTCATGTCCTCAATGGCGGTGTGAAGGCATGTTCGGGATCAGCCTTGCCGTCCGAACCCTCTAGTCTCGTTCTGGTGTTTGTGCTTGTGCTTGTGCTTGTGCTTGTGCTGCCAATGGCATTAACCCGTCGTGACGCTTCATCGAATTCCACTCTGCCCAATACCTGACCATATGATATCTGGTAGCACTCGGCGTCGTCGTCATTCCTGCTTGCGGACGTCCAACTGCAGAAGGTTCAGGGGATGTCTCTGCCGAGGACTCATGATCTATTTTCAAATGCATGTATCATGCGCCATTAGAACGCGTTGTCTTCCCTTTTCTTAATGCTTAAAACAAGTCAGTCAGAGAAACTTACCATCGAGGTGCCAATAGGCCAATAGGGCTACACCAATGCTCTTACAAGGCAGGGTGACCATATACATGCAGAAACCAACAACGTTCTTTAAAATCGTGCGGCGTCCCAAGCAGACGCCCAGAATCGGCTGTAGTAGCGTCGCTGAGAGCATGAACGCAAGCGCCAAAACCGTCGGTAGAGAATAGAGCGCGCCCACATTCGTCACAGCTCCAATTACCACGATCACCAAGGTTGCACACGTCAGGATAGCCATCGCTGGCCCTAAGACCAACTTCAGCCATTTCTTCATCGCCAGACAGTTAATCGAGCAGCAAAAGACGCCCCGAAGGCGTGGTGACCACATCTGGACCCAATAGGTATGGAAGGAGCTGGTCAAGAGCAACCGCTGCTGCAGGAGGTAAGCGGAGAGGTCAGCTGTGACAGTGAAGCCATAGGTGGCATAAGGTTGGTACACGATTCGGCGGTCAGGGAAGGCGCTGTGCAAGAGGCCTGTCAGATATCGATCCTCGCCACCGTCCAGGACCAGGCTGCGGTCGTGTAGGGTATGCGTCCTATGGTCAACGTACGATGATACCACGTCTGGATGGACTAATACGGGGATAGCGTACTCGACTCTATCCTGATCCTTCTCTATGCGGTGCCTGGCAACGATCTCGGCGGTGCCGCGGTTACAGGTGTCGTGTTCCTCGTTCTCATGGCCGTCCTTCACATCATCCGTGGCTGATACGATCGAATCATGATCGGAGTGGCGCTTTGAGGTCTTGGGACCTGGTCCGATGTATTTGTCAGACAACTTGACCTTGATCCTGACAAGCGAAAATCGACTAGGGAGGCACTGCACCGCCCCCGTTGTGGACTCAAACGCATTGGTGAACTGCAAAGACAGGTGGTGCTCATAGTCTTGGGTCCATGTCAGCCAATTCTGGGAGCTATTTTCGACCATGCCTTGGCCAGAAGCACCTATGACCCGCTCATTGTTCTCCAGGGTGTCCACCAGCCGCGTTACGCTATGACGATCGCATACACTGCCAACCTCGGTCATAAGCAGCATCTCAAAAATCCCTGGACCGTGGTGGTTGAGATCTCGAACTCTTTCGAATAAGTCGTACTCCAGAGCCGATATGGGCTGGTTAAAGCAAACGCGGTGTAGCCATCGGACCACCAACTTCTTCTTTTCCCAGTTCCCGTGGTGCGGTTGCGATAGATGATCACGCGGAGGCCGAATGACTAGGATGTAAGGGACTCTTCGAGCGTCAATCACATAGTGACCGGAATGCACCACTGACGCGTCATCGATTACTCCGCCGCTATCAGATTGAATGTCATCGAGCGCAATGGAGTCAACCTCCCGTTCCGGCCCCAAGCCTCCACGTACGGCGTTTTCGTTGTCCGAACTATTCATGAAGGATGTATCCATGAGTCCCAAACAAGAACTCGATGCCTGGCAAGGTTCCCCATCACTACTAGTGGCATCGACGATAACAAGCAACATCTTGCGGCTGTCCTCATGATCGGTCAACACGAGTGAATTGAGCGTGGCCTTGATACGGTCCTCAGTCTCGCCTGTCGGGCAAATTACCAGCATCAAAACGTGGTTCTGGTCTTTTGTTCCGACTTCTGTAGCCACATTGGACCTGCCATTATTGAGCAAAGGTTGAGAAAAAATCCACCGATAAATGAGTGCCGACGCCAATCGCATTATGGTGATCAACAAGAGCATTGCTAGTGCTAAAATGTTGATCACGATCGACGCTATGCATCCGCTGGGTTGTCCAGACAAAACCCCGATTCTAAAGAACCCCTCAAAACACTTGGAGATCTCTTTGTGGTCAGGTTGCCTCTGGACCATGAGCGTAGCATCTCTGCCCACGAGGCTACGGATCCAATCCATCCTTACTCGTTCCTCTATCATTATAGAGGAGTTAAATTGGGCCAAATAGTCCGTCGCATCAAACACAGAACCGTCGTATACAAATGTGGCACGTCCTCGAGCAATCTGATCTTGAATATCCGCCCAATTGTAAATCACCCGGATGTCGTCGCGTAAAACGCCCCGTAGTAAATCTCTCGACGCCTGAGACTGGTGACAATGATTAATGCTCGCACTGCCCGCAGGCGAACATTTTCCGAAACTGGTGGCGGCACCAAAGTAATGGCACGTCTGGACCAGATCCGCGGGTGGGAACAGAAATGAAATGTCGGTGTCGTAGTGCGTGGACAAGAACGAGCTGAAGGTCGCTTGAGTAATGTTGCTACCAGCAGCGAGGGGGTGATGCCCATCCGAAAAAATCTTGCCGATGTCGTAGATCCGGCCGCGTATCGCCGCAAATCTCCCCGATTCTACTGCTCTACTAGAGTTCCCATAGCGCCCATTGAAGTCGAGCATGGAAATGTCCTGAATCAAGTGGGGCCTGCAAGTTAGCAGGGCGAAGCCGAACGCCAAGAAGCCGAACAAGACCGACAATCCTGTCATCAAGACGCCTAGGGCCACTTTCTCGCGCCAATCCTGACGTCTGCTCTTGCTCCATGCCTTTGGAAGAACTCTAGCGGGACAGCACATAGTTATGGCCATTGCTAATGCTACCCAACTCGAATTCCTGGATCTTTCTACCATTTGATGGCGTCGTAGTAGTCGTTGGTTGAGCTCGTTCTCCATGTCCTTTTCCTTGACACGCTCCGAATGGCTGTGATTGGAAAGTCGATGAGGCCGAAAACGCTGCTGGATCAATGTACTGGGGTTTGCCGGCACTGGAATTGCTACCTCAGGCTGGACCTCGGGCTGGTTTTCGGAGAAATAGAGAAGGCGCCTAGAACCATATCGAGGAATGAGGCCGTGTCTGTAGATGCTGTATATCAGAGTTGGCATCCAAGTCTGGGACGGCATTGTTCTGTGTTCGAGTTTCTCTGCCTCGGCAGCAGCGGATGTGGGCGCTACAGTTGAAAGTATTTCGGGCATGCTTCGCTCCTGCGTCAAAGATGCAAATGCAGATGACGTCCCGTCCAGACTGGGTTCCGCGAAGGAGTTTTCGCGAGGGGCGTTAAACATATCTACGAGGTGGCTCGACGCCATGGCGGTTGGTATAGGCGAGACTGGCTCCTCGTCGGCCCTTGGTGGCGCAGGGGGGATCAATAGTGGATGTGGACGGCGGGAGTGGCGGCGCGAGGATAGTATGGACTGATGAGAGATGGTGCTGTTCTGTATGGAAAAGGACGAGCGTTGAGTGCCGCAGGTGATGTCTTCGTGTCCTTCCTCAGGAACAGAGGGCAAGGAGGGTGCTGGTGAGTGTGTCCTCCTGGAAGGTGACCTCGGTGCTGTAGGGGATATTTGCTGGATCAGGCCCCGGGAGCTCATACTCGGCCCTTGTCCTGAAGAGGATGCGGGGACGTTGCTGCGTCGGGATAAAAATTTGGATATGTACACTGCGATGGACTTGTGGCCTGCATCCCAGGAGAGACTGCGTGCATCCTTGCCGTTGGCGGTCTTGATGTATGGGTCGGCATTATGTGCCAGCAGCAGCTTGCAAGCCTCTAATTTGCCTGCATAGGCTGCCAGCATGAGGGCTGACCATCCGTATTGGTCCAGGGTGTTCAGGGACGCGCCATGGTCCAGCAACTCGGCCATGACATCCACGTGGCCAGCATAAGATGCAAGGAGCAGTGCGGACTTTTGAGTGTTGTCTTGCTGGTTCACATCAGCATGGCCAATTGAGATGAGTAGGCGGCAGATCGAGACGAAACCGTTGTACGAGGCGATAATCAAGGGTGTGATCGCTTCCTGTGGGATGTTTGGTATGGGACATTCATGTAAGAGAGCAAATGAGGACACGATAAAAAAACAAGGTTGGATGTGCATTTAGCATTTAGCATTTAGGGGGGAAAGACAATAACCGATTTACGTATGATGAGTACTCGAGAGATCATGCAGACAGACAACACAAGCAAACAAGCAGTAAGGTATGAAGGGGAATAGATGGGAAGGAAGATCTAGCCGCCGGGAACAACAAAACGTGCCAGCTCATAATTCATTTCCCGTTGGCCTTACCTCGTTTCCTCGACTAGCGGACGCACCAGCCAACAGCAGTAACTGCACGCACTCGGTCGAGCCAGCAGCTGCGGCTTGATATAGTGCGGTTTCGCCCTCATCGTCTGCGCAGGTATAAAAAGCAAAAGAGAAAAAGGAGGCCGGAATATGATGGAGTGTGGATGATTAATATATTTACAGGCAAGCCCTGAGAGGTGTCAATTGACTAGACGCACTTTTACGACGGATGATGCCAAATAGTAATGAACAACGGGTTTACCTTGCAGATTCGCATTGATGTTGGGTAGAGCCAAGAGATATCTCAACACGCGGTGCTTATTTTCAGTCGCAGCAACCATTAACATGGTCTTTCCTTCTCTGTCCCGGACTTTGTTAGGATCCAGTGAGAGACTGGTGAGGACGTGATCGAGGTGTTCTGTGTCCTGTACGAGGACTGCGTGAAAGATGGAGCGTATCACGCCTGCGACCGAGTATCGACGAGTGGACGCGGGTATGGTCGTGCTGGAGCTGGAGGTTTCGTGGAAGGGGGAGTCGTCCGGATCGGATACAGCCGCACTGGGCTGCTGTCCGTGGAAACCACCAGTCTCCATGGCAGCGACAGCCGTTCGTCGGTGCGACGTGGAATCGGTCAGTGTTCTGAAAGGATATTTGGTGGAAATTCGAGGTTGCGATTTGGGTGTGGGGCGTGAGGTGTGAAGTGCGAGAGAAAAATGTGGGCTACAGGGCCGGGGTCAGGGCAGAATCAGGGACCACAAACAGGATCCGGGACAAAGTATTGGTCTAGTAAGTCTCAGTCTTGCTCGTCTCAATATTATCTGTCAAACAGGAGGTTTGGTTGAAGTGTCAAGGCGAAAGCGATGATGATCAGCAGGAGGAAGAGGAGGGCGGAGAAGAGCAGTAATGGGGATGGTGATGACGGACATGGATTTGTAATTGCCTGAGTTGGAGGACAAGAACGAGAAGGGGAAGAGAAAGGAGAAAGGTGGCAAAACAGATATCCTGAGGAATCGGGGCACTGACTGTTGTATACAAAACATGGAGAGCTGTGGAGCCAGCTGTAACAGCACCAACATTACCAACAGTCTAAAGACAACCAACAGCTGCAGTTTAAAGCACCGGAAGGGGCGCCAATGGAGCACAGAACCATAAAAAACAGTTAGCGAAACGCTATACGTATTCCATATCATAAACTATATTCTACCAATACTTGAGCTCTGCCCTAAAAAGACGGGAGGACCTAAGGACGAGAACAGAGAGACATATACAACAGACTGCCATGGATGACAGAATCTATGGATCCGCAGAGTAACGCTACACACCCAACAACAACAACAACAACAACAACAAGCAGCAAACAAACATGCATGCAAACAAATATCCATCCTTGCTGAAAACAGCAGCGTGCACTCCGTCGCAGTACAATGAATGAAGCACAAAGAAAAAAGAAGCGTCGACCAACTCTAGACTAGAATAGCTTCCATATAAATCAAGGGACAAAGACCAGGTTGAAGACATTGACTGACTGGCTGACTGACTGACTGGCCTTGCAATTGTTGGTTGGCAATGGATAGAACTGGATAAATGAGAAAGTGTATCAGGGTCGACTGCCTTGTATAGAGAAGTCGATTCATGAGTTCACTGCAGCTCTGTCCCTCATTTTCGCACTGTCGGGCAAAATAACATTGTCGCCTGTCATGCGCCATGCGTCTATCTGTTCATCGGTCAATTTGCGATTTGTTCCTGAAAACAAAAAAACAAAAAAACGCATACATCCTCATCCTCATACACTTCTTGCTGCAGCAACTGCTGTAGCTCCTTACTCTCTACTTTTCTTGCCCCCTTCTCTCGTGTAGCGATAGATGTCCACTGTGCCATAGTCCGCATGTGTTAGTCTATGTAACAAAGACCCTATCGACCATTGCAAGAGAAAAAAAACCAATAATGTATCGCCTCTCAGATCACTCCTTTTTTTTTTACATCATATGCTCAGTAGCTCATGCTTGTATGTTACAAAATATACAAACGCCGATGGAGCGAGTTAGCTTGCTGCGAGCGACCAGAGGACAAACGCTGTAGGTGTACAAGGATGCCCTTATGCGTTTTTTTAATTGAATATTTATTCTATTCTTGCGGTACGCCCGTCCCCAGATGCGGCTATTTTTTTTCTTTGTTTTCTGACCCTTTCTCTATGGATCGGTGGATAGGGGGAAGTTCGCAAAACTGGCCATTTTCAACGCATGAACATACACAAATTGTGTAACTATGTTACCAAGGAGCTACGCTTCTAGCTGGCATGACTCCACAACCACAGCCGCAACATCATAAGCCGAACTGGGCTGCAAATGAGGTGCTCATGCGGCCTACACACTCACTTTACAGTGGGTCATTTGACCATGAGTTGACCACAGAGGCTGAAAAAGGAACCATTCCTTGCTCAGCAGTCTAATGTGCCAATACGTCTCAGTGTAACACTTTATTATCGGGAGGGTGAACAAAAGAAGCCAATCGTACGAAAATGCACTATTCTGCTGCAGCTATCGCAGGCGCAACTCGGTATCGATTGTCTAACTGCCGCCGTAGTTGAATACCCGTAGCATAGGTTGTATGGCGATGGCTACTGCTTGCTTCTGTCCTTAATTTGTTCCGACAAGGACACCGCATGGTCCCAACTTTGCTTCGTCAATGTCTGCTCGCCCTTACTCAATGCCACGAGCCTTGGGACAACGAAATGTACAAAAGGAAAAGGAAAAGCCAGTAAGGGTCAGCTTAGTACGGCACATAAACAACATATATCGATCGTGTAAATGACCAGGTGAGTTTATCATTTTTCGCATTTCCCCGGAAGGATAAAAAAGACGCGGGAAAAAAAAAACACAGGAGAAACAAGGGAGGCACTGTTTACCTTGCAAGGGAGATCCTGAACGCGAGCTCATTGGGCGTTATAAGGCTGGTCCCAGCTGCTGTCGCGGCTTTGCGCTGTTCCATAAACTCCGTCTCGATTTCCTATTTCGAGTGCGAAGAGAAAAGCGCGGGAAAACGGGAAATAAAAATGATATATGTTAGCTGACAATCCCAAACACTGGAATCCGTAAAATAAATACACATGCATATTGACAATCTCAGCGATACCTTGGCCATCTCCTCTGGAAGCGTGTATTCCGTGAGGCGGAAGATGCTGATGTATTTGCGGAACGATGCGAACTGCTCCTGAGTGAGCTCTGTCAGCAGCTCGACCGAAGACTCGGATTTCAGTGTGACAGCACAATCCACCTAACCACAAGTTATTCTGTTAGTGTTACCGCATGTTTACAGCTCAGGCACTTTTCCCGCCAAAAAAAAAAAAAAAAAAAAAAAAAAAAAAAAAAAAAAAGAGGCAGGGTTGGATTACTGGGACAAGTGAGTTGCCATGTGAGACAATCAATAGGGAAATATCAGTCTGGAACTCCAGGACGTTGAACGGGAAAACGTAGTTTAGCGTTTGGTACAAGCTGACGTCCGATACTGCCTTCAAGTTCTTTAAACCTACGATTGGAAACAAGGCACGTACGATGAGAATTCATGAATGGAAATAGCGAATGTAGACTTCAGCACGGTAGTCTTGCATGAGTGCATACCCTTATCAAGTAATGTGCCTTCTTCCATGACAGTCTCATCTAGGATCATGGCCGTTCCTCGTGTCACTTGAAGGACTCCTGAAAGGAGTTGCTCATCGCCTCGAGGGAAGAAGAAACTGTTGTTCAGGTTCTCAAGGTTCATCGGTATAGCATGGACTTTGGGCAGGATGTTCTTCATGATTCGGGCAAGATCTTGAAAAACCGAAGGATTGGCAGAGGAAGTCCTGAGATTCAAGCTGAACTTTCCAAGAACGGTTCCACTCGGCCTCGAATACCTATGAAATACAGGATGATGGCGGATTAGATCAATATGACAAACGCTACACCTTCGTCGAATTCGCGTTCAGGAGGAAAGATGGCATATGTTTTTGAGTGATACGTACACTCTGGCCAAAAAGTGAAGGAGGACCAGCTCAGCGGCTAGTTGATCTCCATGAACGGCTGAGGCGATATATTGGATCAGATCCTTTCTGATGCTTTCCGCTTCCTTGACATAATGCTGTAAGTCACTCGCTTCAGGATGACCAGTCAGACTAAGCTCTGGGTGTCCATGATCCTCGACCTTACGCATGAGAATGGCGTGAACAGTCGGGATACTGGGGGCGCGGGACGACTCAAATAAATCAAAGGAATCTCCATACAACCTGGAGGAGGACACACAAAGATGTTAACAGCGTTTCTAGTGCTCATTCATCATAATACACGGTTGAGTATTGACCTTACAGGTTATCGCTAGCGCCCAGAACGCCAATAACCTCCACCGTGTCTGTTACGCCGACGGATATATCAGACGAGTGAGTTTTGACGACTACAGCGAAGTGATCGATGCCCTGAAATGGGTAACGTTCTGGAACATTTCCAGACGATGTGGAATCTTCAAGGTCCATATCTGTCAATATGCAATTCAAAGTGTTGATATTAGTGTAGGTTTAGCGTCGAAAGTCATCCATCACCTTCAAAGGGTGTCTCACCGTACCTTGAAGTGCTACATCTAAGGCACTGTCCCTTGATCGGTCATAATCCTTGACCCATTGTGATTCCCCTGGGATTGAGACGCAGTAGTAGCTATTCCTGATGTCCATTATGCTCTGAGTAGGATCCATAATCCGGGTCTATGCATCGAAAGCAATATAAAATCAGCACCATGTCCTTTGATCCCAGCCTGTCTCCTTGTACATGTCCCTATACTATTGTGCTTAACATGACATACATCTTCCTTCTTAGGTCCATCTGAATATCTAAAGCAAACCAGTTTCTGTGAAAGTAAACGTGGTATGTCAGTCAGGGGAACAATATCGATAATCTAACTGCCAAAAAGTCGGGTCCTACCTCTTCGCCGTTAGGAAGAGAAATTGCACATGTGGCAAACAAAGCAACTTCCTGCAAAAGCTCAGTATCCTGGATCATACAGCGAAATCTCACGAGAGAGTTGAGAGGCAGGGTCCTGATCGACTCGGCATTAAGCAACGGGATCTATAGCATACGGAATGGATGAATGCCGTTTCTAATGAGCAATGATACTCAATTCTTATCACAGGCCTTCCTTGCAATGATCTTAAGGGAGCTTTCTTTGCCATTGTGCCATTGTACCTTCAACAGTTTTTCCCGGGTGTCAAAAAGGTCCTGAAAGTGCTCTGTTACCCCAAATTCATTCTTCTCGGTCAACTGCCCCTTTTTCCAGTTCTTGTCTATTTCGTTGACGGGGTGAAGTGTTCGATACGCAGTCAGCAAAAGATCTTGCAATTCCGTAACTGTTTGCGGTCCAGGACAACAGAAGGCATACTGAACAGATCCTGAATCGTCTCGAGAGGGTGGCGAATAATGTCCATGGAGATGAGTTTTGGTAGCGATGAGAAGAGTGAAAAGAGGATTAAGGCCGAACCAAAACTCTGTTGTACCAAATTTGGTGGCGCAGATTTGCTCATTTTATTTGAACAGAGAAAAAGTTTAGAACGTCTTTGTGTGAACCACACTGGGACCGCTCTCGTTGTAGTCGACCTTGTTGATGTAGTTTCGAGGGTCCGGGAAGATCAACTATATTATTCATGTTCAAGTGTCCAAGGAAGGAATACGCCCATATTAGTACTGTGTCAATATCAATGTGGAGCTGAAGAAAGCGGTGACTTTGGGAGCCCACATTACCTTGGCAACGATCTCCGATCCAAGGAATCCAGCATGGACAATTGAGTCCTTGAGTTCTGGGAAATAATCAGGGATCTTCAAGAACTTGACTTCCCGAACCTGAAACTCCCCAAAGTTCTCAGATACTGTCAATGACTCCTCAATCTCAGCCTGGACACGCGCTTGTAAACCTATATGGGCAATGTTTCACCACATTAGATACACAACAAATTTGCATATCACTCACGACATTTTATCCTTTGAACCACAGACGCACCTTTAATCTGGCATGATCCTCCAGTAAGAATGATTGCCTCCCATAATGACTGACGCTTCTCTGCCTTACATCCAAGCTGAGCAGCGTGGATTGCCTCGATGATGTTGAGTACACGCTTCCCAATCAAATCTGGATTGAACAATGGGTCATATGCCTTGTACCGTGCGGATCCAACAGTAAACTAAACGATCAAACAAGAGTACGATCAACGACCAAGACTAACCAGAACACGCATATAATGGTGTCCCTTTATAAAGGTAACGGTATATTACCTTCTTTCCGTTATATTCAGCCTGAGCCCTATTCTTGCTCTCCTTCTCGTCTCTGCCTAGAACCTGGCACACACCCGACTCTTTCAAATGTCTAGCGAACTCCGAGTCCAAGGGTTCGCCATATTCTCGCACCAGTTGGCTGTCTGCTTTGAGAAGCTGCAAAAAGTACGCATCGAAATCCGCGCCTGCCAATGGGATGGTCTGGATAGCGTTGTGTTGGATCTGAGTGTCTAGAATAGGTGTAATTTCTATGAGGGAATGTGGAATTGACATATTGATTAGAAGCCCGGTATAGAATAGCAATATCACGTCGATGATATCGAGCCCATTACCTGTGCTGTTGTGCCCAATGTCAATGACCAGACCTGTGACAGCCGCACATCCATAAAGTGTCATCAACGGTGCCTCCGCAAGATAAAGTCCAGGCACATTGAAGTTCTCGAAAAAGATCTGTGTGATCCGCTCGTGCTCCTCTTTGGTCCAGTCTGTGGGAACCACCATCAGCACTGGCGACGCATTCCTTGAGCGCTTGATTCCCAGTTCCCTGAACAATACATGGCGCCTATCAATAAACAAGGATCGATTCAACCTGCAGTTAGCCGATCATGATGACATGCTCAATGCGATCTCTTTTCCTCCGACAACGAAGACGAGATTATATCTCCAGGACATACCAGAGGGCTTCCATAGCGGCCCAATCCTTGACGATGCCATCTTGGATCGGTGAAGAGACCGAGAGCTCTGCTTCTGGGTATTGCTGAATGGCCTCAGTCAAGGCGCTACCACAGTAATAAGTCGTTTGTGGCTTGCTGCTCTCCTGCTCCTTTGTCTGCTCCTGAGTCTCCGCAGCCCGCTCGTCCTCCTCATCCGCCTTCTCGACTTTGATTTCTGCACCTTCCGCACTCTCCACACTCTCGGCATTTGCCACGACTGCCTTTTCTGTCCCAGTCTCAGTCGCCTTTGATGTCAGTTCTACTTCGGCTAAGTCGCTAGGATCTGGCATCACGGTCCTGACTCCAACCGAGGAACGTATCGTCTATCAATTTCGAGAGTTCAATTCATCAGCTGAGTGAGTTCCTTTTCTTTTCTGTTAAGGCATTCACGCGCACCTCCAGCACGAGGCGTAGAAAATGCCATACCACGATCGGCAGCTTATTGGTGTCCACGACATTGATTCCTGCCGTTGTATTCCATGATCCAGAATGAAGGACGACGAAGTTTTCTTCCCTGAGCGCCATCTTTATCGTGTCAGGGGTGTGTTGAGTGCTGTTGTCGCGAACAAGAATAGAGAGCAGACGATGGCAAGGTGCCTTGGTCAAGGCAACATCATCACAAAAACAAGACGTTCCTCAGTTCACGTGATATCTCCCAGATCCCCCCAGGCCACAGGCGCGCTGTGGGCGTCAATAAAAAAATATATATCTGGGTCACTGAAGCTCTGCCACAGTCAGCCAATCGTTCGGTAGTGTCTATCGATGCGTCGGCAGCTCGTTCCAGACGACTATCTGTGGTACAACGACGGACTAGGCACCATCCACCAAGGCAGAGCTGGTGGGTCTGCTCTCTACAATTCTGTGCTGTCCCCCGGATCGCAATGCCATTACTCATATCGACAATAGAGCAGTGGTCCAACAGTTTGCGGCGTTAGTCAAGAATTGACATACAGCTACTCCACGATGGCGGCTGAGAGCAGCATATGTCAACTGGTGGACCGTGATCTACGAGGCGTACGTGCAGCAGGGCAGCAAAGTAGAGGTTCAGTGGATTAAAGGACACAGTGGCGATACTGGAAATGAGACCGCTGACGATCTGGCGGACAAGGCACACAACAGCGGGCGACGGCCATGGCAACTGAACGCGCAGTATTTCACGAGCATGAAGACACATGCGACCTTCTGTGGTCAGCCGGCAGAGGACGACATACGTCAACTGATCAAGCACCAGTCTGCAGCCAGAAAACATCATGCATAGACTTGTCAACGAACGAAACAATTTATTCAGCAATGGGAAGAAGTGGAGTGGCGATCCAGTCTTGCTATTATACATGAGAAAATCTGCCAGGGGGTTTTTTCACCAGCCTTACAGATTGCAACCATCGGTCCTACAGGAACAAGAAAATCCATGGCATGCTGCCAACCACGCAGTACATGCACAGGTGGAAGCCGAATCTGTATACCACTGACAGATGCCAAGTGTGCCTTACCATGGTGACGAGGACAGAGAGAATGTCCACGAGGAGGAGGGAGAAGGAGTGGGCAGTCAAGAAAACGTACAGCAGGCAGCACCACCTGCCAGGCTCTGGACAACGACGGACATATATCACGGACTCGTATCAAAGTCCCTAACAACGGATTGAACGCTGCTCTTGAAGACGTCGAAGAGTATTGCGGCTTACCTGGTTGAACGTTTTGTAGAACGAATTGTGGCTTTTGGCCGAGAGGAGCTATGGAAAGAGCGATGTAGTGCCACAGTGGCATGGGAAAAGTCCAAGGGCATATGCGCGAGGATGAAGAAAGCCGGGGTCCAGGTAGAAGGTGAGGTCCAGGGCTTTGTGAGACAGCAGCCCCAAGAGGAGGTTACGACGGTGGCGCGGAGGAGAGCAGACAGCCGCCTGGTGGACCATCTCCAGGGAAAGGTGGTGTTGAACGAGAGGGAGAGAGGGAGGAGGATATAATTCATATTGGCCCTGATCTTGACTAGAAGAGGACCCATCGGGTAGCGGTTTTGGGCCCTAGCTCAAGTATTAGAAGCCATGCGACTCAGAAAGTGCATCATAGGTATTTGGTTCCTCATTTTACATTAATTTAATAGGGGGCCTTTTGCTAGCTATCTTTAGGAAACTATCGGCCGGCTGACAGTCCAAGCCGAGGCTTGGACAATGCAGCCTGTGGCATGCCTGCATTGCCAAAAAGTATCTGGGGCGCTGAATCCAATTCGGCCTCCCCTCCCTGTGTAGATTATCGCACCTTGGCAAGGAGCCCTCTCGATATAGCATCCAAGCAACGCCTGCTGGTGTCATGGTGCGTAGACGCGCCTTTTTTTCCTTTTTCGTAGTCGTGTCCCAATGCTTTGGTGTCTGGCAAGACATCTGCAGCACCGTCGCACAAGCGCGATTGCTTGTAGACAACCGAGCGTTCGACCTCGTCATCTTTGCCACAGAAAACAATGATCGAAGATTGAAAGGGCGGGTTTACGTATTTCCCGAGTATAAAGTATAAAGTATAAAGTATAAAGGGCGCTTTAGCCTCGATCGAAAATGAGTAAGGGTCCCTTGCTTTACTGACCTTTTAGCGCAATTGCGAAAATGTTCAAGAGGACTCCTCCGCCCGCGTTGTTCGCATTCCTTTCCTCATTTCGCTCTCATTCCTCTCATTCTCCTTTGTTCACAAAGTTGCCTCCAACCTCGCTTCCACTACTCACACACAGCCAACATTTACACTCGCTTGAAAAGCAATCTCAATCCACTATCATGGCAACTACTGAAGGATCTGCAGCTGGTAACCCCCATGCTGCAGGCGTAATATATGTTGACGGCGTCCCTACCAAAGAGACGAGGCTGACCTTAGGAGGCGCCATCTCAGTATCTCCAATGGCTATTGGCACCTGGGCATGGGGCGTAAGTGATCAACTGCTAAAAACTCTCATCCGCTGTATCGGATCTGCCTGCAGCTGCAGGTCATACATGGCCTTGGGTTGCACACACGGAAATAATTGACATAATTACTTGTTCAACATAGGACTCCACATGGGGTTACAAACCCGAGATGTTTGACGACCTAGCGGCTACATGGGACGCTCTTCAAGATGATTCGGGGATCAATTTTTTTGACACCGCCGAGGTCTATGGCAGGGGCGAGTCTGAAAGGATCATTGGCCGTCTGCTAAAGAAATCTTCTGCCGAGGGCAAGCCTATCCCTATTGTTGCCACGAAGTTCATGCCATTTCCTTGGAGACTGAGGTAAGGAACTGAAAAAAGAGTCATTGGGAAGTGGGCATAGCTGTCTTGTTTCGTCATGATTCCTTATCGCTTCTGCAATAAAACGAACGCAGATACCCCACCTCGCTGCTGAATGCGCTCAAGAACTCGATGGAACGGTTAGGTGTCGATGTCGTGGACTTGCTTCAGATTCACGGGCCCGTCTCTCTGAGGGGAATTGAAATCCTTGGTAAGATCTGCCGCGGAATCTTGGGATCAGATGCCTACTGCACCGGAGTGACTCTCATCCTTACGTCGTTTTTTAATGATGTAATAAACAACAGGGGATGCGCTCGCCGAGTCCGTCAAGCTGGGACTGGTAAAGTCCGTTGGTGTCTCAAATTACTCGATTGACGAGATGGTTCGTATGCATGCCGCACTGGCCAAGCACGGTATCCAGCTCGCCTCAAATCAGGTCGAGTTCTCGCTGCTGAGACGCCATCCCGAAACCTCGGGTCTGATTGCGAAGTGCCACGAGCTTGGGGTTGCTGTCTTGGCCTACTCTCCACTAGGCATGGGACGTCTGAGCGGGAAATACTCTGCTGAAAACCCTCCACCCTCAGGACGAAGGTTCTCGAATTATCCGATGACGGAGCTCGTTCCCCTGTTGTCCGTTATGGAAAAGATCGCCAAGGCGCATGACAAACCTATGACAGCTGGTACGTCTTATTTTACGCTATGCAATACATGGCCTGTGAGTGAAAGGATGGACAGCTAAAAAGAACTGTTTAATTTCTAGTGGCTCTCAACTACACGATCTGCAAAGGCACCATCCCACTAGGGGGTGCAAGAAATCCCGAACAGGCGCGACAGAACGCCATGGCCCTTGGCTGGCGTCTTTCGGATGACGAAATGGCAGAGCTAGACAAGGTGGCCATGATTGGAAGCACTGGCTTCTTCTGGCAGCATGCTTAAGTTAGCACCTTCTAGACCGGCATCGACTTTTTTGTACAGAACATCTTTTATCTAATACACAGATTGCTATTTGAACAAGAAAGAGCGAGCCTCTGGCTATTTGAAAAAGTTGGATCACAGGTTTTGAGCGGCTGGCTGCGCTCCGTCGTAAAGTGCGCGTCGCAGTCCTTCATGCTATTCCGTACTTTATTACACAGTATACAGGTTGGTCGATCTGATCAAGGACTTCATAGGAGGACCTTTTCAGCGTAGGAAGTCGAGACAATCGCTTGTAGATCCACGAAGGCGGGCGACGCGTGCAGTGGATGAGTGAGATCTAAGGTATATTTTTTCCAGTTTACAAGGTGATGTTACCAAACTCGCTGCTGGCGAGTGCCGATATGGGGCGATGGTCGATGCTTTGTAAACGTCAAAGCATGCGCAGCGTATAATATAGAGGTCGATTTTGTCTGTTTGTTTGTTTGCCTACTGAAAATACTTGGCGCAATAAGGTTAATCCATTGCATCGTGGTCGGTCCTTCTGGAGTTTCGACCAAGCGGAGATTTGCACCAAATGGAAATAGGAATGGGTCGGTTCAGGTACATGTACAACGTTCGGCATTTTTGTTGTTGTAAAGCAGCATGCACACCCTTGGCAATAGCCTAGGGGGAGTAATGTTCCTGCATACTCGAGGTCGAACAGAATTGTAGCCACGTACGTTATACCGGGTTAAATGGGGGGTTATCGTTGCCTGTAGATTGTTCTTTTGGGCAACAATGGCGTATGTAGACTGGAAAGACACATCGATGTTCCTTGGGCCCTTGAGCTCATATTCTGCGACAAGGAAATTGCGAATTGGAGAGGAAATGCGTGTTGCGTGTTTGTGTGATCGCGCGCAAGCGAGAGTGAGCGAGAGGAGACAAAGCCCAGGTATCGCTCAACAGGACAAACAAGTTTTTTGTCAGGCCCAACCTTCTTTTTTCATTTATTTGATTCATTTGTCTATCTTCTACGCTCCTCTTCGCTCCTCCTCTCCTCTCATCCTCACCTTTCTATCCTCATTCTCATTCTCATTCTCATTCTCACTCTCATTCTCACTCTCACTCTCATCCCTCACACTCTCCCTTCCCTCTTCTTGCGGACCATAGCCATCTTTAACTGTCTACTCTTTCCTCTTTGAGTCCCCTTGCTTGGTTCGGCCCATGACGGACGCCACCAAGGGCCACAGCAGCCCCTCCGCCATTGCCCAAGACGAAGGTGCTTGCCTACAATACTGTGAGGCCAACGCATCTGTCCTTCGTGGCCAGAATGCGTCAGCTAACTCACTAGTGCTCATTAATGCATGGATATGATCGACTCGGGCAGCAATTCAGGAACAATTGCAGTTTGCTGATACTATCCTATCCAATCCAATCCAATCCTTCTCTTTCTCACGCACGATCGGTCGCCTCTTCCTTATCCGGCAACAGTCAGCAGCAGCAGTAGCAACCAGGGCGCCGTCTATAATGTCACGAACCAGAATTTAGAACACTCTCCAAAAACTGGACGCAAGTCCTTCCAATACCGAGCCTTGGTAAGCTAAAAATTATTACTTTCTACGCGAGCAATACCTCAATGGTCTGTAGAACAATAAGCACTAATTCAGCTCGACTTCCCTTTGGTCAAATGTGATATATAGGGAAGGAAAACGCTGTCATACCAGCGTCGCCAAGTGTTCGTCAATGTCTGCTGCATTGGTCTGTGCCCAATCCTGATGGTCGTGATCGCCGGTGCCATGGGCATTGTCATTACCAGTCTGATCAACAACCTCAGTAACCCTTCAGGTATGTTGTCCCGAGCGTCCGATGCATTTTAAATTTCAAGTGTCCCTGCCACCAAATTATCCAATGTTTCCAGTCATGTACCACCAGCTTTTAACCCTGTATCCTTTTTACAGATTACTTGCTGTGCTCGGATGTCGATGCCATGACGCCTCGCGGCTTCCCTCTCGTCCCTCAGTTCTCGAAAGAGGAAGTCAATTTCCCCACCTCACCCGGCTCATCTATTCCCAACGCTAAATCGGATGCAATAATCAAGCATGTCAATTGGTATGTTATCACAGGACAGCTTGGCTTCGGATCATCGCCAACGATCACTGCAGACAGCTGTGTCTGGTGGTTCGAGAAGGACTACCCTTTCTCCAGCCCGTATTCCAAGGATCCGAACATCTCTACGCCAAGCGCCAATCAAGACAGCACCTACAAACCTCAACCACAAGGAGGATGGCTCGGTCCTCAGGAGCTCATGGCGCCTGTCGAGCTCACAACTCAGCAAATGTACCCATGGCTACTCGTAGCGGACGAAACTGGTGGTCTTGCAGGAACGCGTCCTCAGCAGCCGCAAATCGATGCAAAATCTGGGAATCTGACTGGACAGCCCTTTGGTACTGGACTTCTTGGCGCCATGGACACACACTACTATGCCAATATCACGACCAATTCCGACACTGGAATCCCCTCGATAACTGGATTCCAAGCCGTGCCGTATTACCAGCAGGCTGCCGGATCTGGATCCGCCTATGACGTCGATGATGCCTTGACAAACAAAATCAGAACCCTGGTCGAGGGACTGTCGCTTGTGAACAAGACTGCGCTCCGTGCCGAAAATCCTACACCTCAGCAACTGATCCAGTACTATGCTCAGATCGGCGCTCTGATCCAGAACCTGCCCACCGGTGCGCTAATCTTCCACGCTATCGATGCGGTTGCCAGGAAATTCGACTATACTCTGCAGATTGGCACGGATGTCCGTCTGCTGCGCGCAGCCAACTACCCTATGCGCGGCTTGCGTCTGATGCAGCAACACACGGCCCTTGTAGACGCCATTAGTAAGTATTTATCTGTCTCCCTTTTATTGTTTATGTTGATAGCGTTGACTAACCATTTTCTGTACGGAACTAGTGAAAACGTCGCCAACCACCAACTCAACCAAAATTACCCATGGCTTCCGTGGCATGCCCCAGCTATTCTCGTCAAAGGCGGAACTTCCTATTGCCTCACTTGTCGGAAGAATTCTGTATCCATTCGGTGTCTCGTTCCTGCTGCCTATTTTCGTGATTACCCTAGTCAAGGAAAAGGAGGACCGTATTCTCGTCATGATGAAGATGGTATTTTTTTTTTTTTTTTTTTTTTTTTTTTCATCAATCATGCTTTCATTTTCTCCAGTTTACTCACCACTCTGTGTTTAACATTTGTGCGTTTATAGAGCGGACTCAGGTCGATTACGTACTATGTTGCCCATTACATTCACTTCTATATCCTGCACATCTTATCTTCGCTGATGTTTATCATTGCCGGAGTTGCTTTCAGGATGCCTTTTTTCACTAAGGTTCAGCCTGGCGTTTTCATCCTCCTTTTCTTTTTCTGGGGCCACGTCCAGATCGCACTTGCCTTTTTCCTGTCATGCTTCTTCAGCAAGTCTCGCACGGCACTGGTGATCGTGTTCTTGCTCGTCCTTTGTGGAGTGATTGTCTCGATTGCGACTGAGACTATCTTTGACACCAACCAGGCACCCATTGGCTACTTTGTCTGGCCTGCATTCGCATTCTACAGAGCCCTGTCGGTCATCAACCGCTCGAGTTACGATAGCACTTATCAGCCCTACAGGATGTCGGATCTCAAGCCGTCGGATGAGGTGTTTCAGGTCATTATTGCAATGATTATCGAGACGCTTGTCTTCTTGTTACTCGCCTTTTACTTGACTGAGGTCTTCCCAACGGAGTTCGGTGTCCGTCAGCCTTGGCATTTTATTGTATCTGGACCCTACAAGTGGCTGTTTGGCAAGAGAAAGGGACAAGATGACATCGAAGGCCAGGTTCGTAAAGACAACACTGGATCAATGCGCGAAAGGGTCCAAGGTGAAATTCCTCTCGATCCTGAGGAAGTCCAGTTTGAGGACGAAGATGTGAAGCAGGAACGAGCACGCGTTTTGCACGACGAGTTTTCACCGGAGTGTCCTCTCGTGATGAAGAACATGCGCAAAATTTACCCTACCAACAAGAAGTTAGCCGTCAAGAATGTCACCTTTGCTGTAGACAAGGATACCATCTTTGGCTTGCTTGGACCGAACGGTGCTGGAAAGACGTCGTTGATCCACATCTTAACTGGGCTGTACGAACCTACTCAAGGATGGGCCCGACTTGCAGGTTACGAACTCGACACGCAGATCAAGGATGTGTATCGAAACATCGGTGTCTGCCCTCAGCACGACATTCTCTGGGACGATTTGGTAAGCCGTGGCAATCTTCTTGAGCCATGACCAATGTGGGAGACAGCCGACTTAAGGCCTCTAACATTTTGCATGTCCTGTTCTTTGTTACTCCCAGACTGTAGGAGAGCATCTTTATTTCTACGCGCGCCTCAAGGGCGTCATTGCTGCTGATGAAAGTGCCGCGGTATTGGCCTCCATGAATGCAGTCTCGCTCGTTCCTTTCGAGAACCGTTTGACTAAGGGACTCAGTGGAGGAGAGAAGCGCCGTCTGTCAATCGCCATTGCTCTGGTTGGAAACCCTGGCATCGTGTTCTTGGATGAGCCTACGACAGGCCTTGACATTTCAGTCCGGCGTCTTATCTGGGACATCATCTTCAACGCGAAGCAAGGCCGTACCATCGTTCTGACAACTCATTCCATGGAGGAGGCTGAGGTGCTGTGCGCCAGGATTGGAATCATGGCCAAGGGTACGTTGCGCTGTATTGGAAACCAGATCCGACTCAAGGACCTGTACGGCAGGGGATTCAAGATTACATTTGCAAGCAAGCCCGAAAACACAGAACGAGCCTCTCGTTATATTGCCTCGCTTCTTCCCGTAAATGCCAAGAGGTTAGATTCGTTTGTCACGTCCGAGTCCTGGGAGTTTGAGACGACACCGGGTTTGATCCAGCGGCTGTTTGAGGAGATTGAGATGCACAAGCACGAGTATGGCATTGACGACTGGGGTCTCAGCCAGACGACATTGGAGGAGGTATTCCTGCGAATTATTCAAGACGAGGATGCGGATGCCTAGGGGCCAAAATAGACCTGGATAGCTACGACTTCCGAACACCAGGATACCCCTTCACTCATCAAAATGACAAATAAAGCACATGCGATAAGAATATGGAGAGAGCCTTGCAATGAACACCTAATAGTCAAAACGCAAGCATGTTCTCTGATGTGTTCTTGTTTTTCATAGGGTCGCATGGACGCTATGCATACAAGCGCGCTTCATCTCATTCAACTAGTGCTAATCCGCCTTTCCCTTCCTTCTCCTCGCGACATTGTTGGCACCACTTCAGTTATCACATCTGCTAGAATGAACATTGTCCTTACTGGCTTTATTGCTTTTGATCGATCCTCGTTCTCCATCAACTTGCCCTGTCGTTGCTACTGTTACCACCATCGCTGCCTCTGTTGTTGACCTTTATTATCGTCTCCTTGCTGCTTTCTTCTTGATATTAATGTTGTTCTTCTTGATATTATTCTTACTGCTCCTGTTGCTCCTTTTGTCTCCCGCGCTCAAACAGATAATGATTCTCCAAAGCTGCAGTGGATCAGACCAGAGGTAACGATGCTGATTCCGTGTCAGAGCGCTGCATAGAACGGGATCGCCAGGATGTCTTTCTTCAGAACGCAAGGGGGGATGGGGATCAGAAAAAAAAATACCATCCCTTCCTCCAAAATTTTATGGTTCGTTGTAGAATTTCACTAGAATAGTATCCTATTGTTTGCATCGAGTAACTCGAGCGAAAATGACAAGGAGCCGGCCTCTGTTCCTGTTTCTGCCCTTTAGGTTCCATGCATAACTTGTTTTTGAGCCTAGGCCGCTACAAACTGCATTAAAACGCTCTAGTAAAAGCAGAATAAATCCATGAGGATGGAAGCAATTCCAGAACCACGTTGGGAAATATCTTTCTTTGCCTAATCAATGAACACAGTGAACATCCAGCCTTCCAGTCGTTACAAGGTGCCGAGATTGAAGCCGTGTATGGGGCCCGAAGTTTGTGCTGAACACAGCAAACCTCAGCTGTTTGCAGATCAACAGAGTTGCACGAAGTGTATGTATCCCAAATATTTGCCTGAGGTTTATACCCGTCTTTGCCGTACATGGGATATTCACGTTCAAGTGAGTCCGAGGCATACGTGTATTTCAAGGAACCGAAAGTCCTTTCCTTTCCTTTCCTTTCCTTTCCTTTCCTTCACTCATTCATTCCTCTTTCAACCTAGAACCAGAGCCAGCTCGTGTTTTATGCTGCGCGTGTTGTCTGCACCTTTCTGTTAGCTGCATGCGCCAACCTTGATGTCGCTGCTGCGTAGATCGGGACAATGTGGGATCCTAAAACATGGCAAATATCGAGCGCTCCTATATACCGGATCAGACCCGTCCAGAGTCGCTCTGCCGGCCACGGCCATCTCGCCTCGCATCCACCAACCCTCAATAGCTGTGTGTCCGAACTCGCAGTGCCCAAAAAATTAGGTCGTCGGAGCAAGGGATACTGCTGTCAATATAGATGAAGGATAGATACTGTGCAATAATACTTTGTATTGACATACAATTTACACATCGCCGAAGAAGAGTGCTTGCAGTGATTCGCGAAGCGTGTCCCTGAATCTCCTGGCGCGATACGCGCCTCTGGTCGAGCAGCACAGCCTCTCCTTTTTGGCATGTTTGATTACCCCTGCCCTCTCCAATTCAAAATTGTTATTCTATATTCAGATGCGTTCATGGAACAATATTCATAATGTCATTGTACTATATAGTACAGTAAAGATGGCGGAATCTTCCTGCAACAGACTCGCCTCGAATGGAATGGATCAAGAGATCGAGGCTCAAGCAAAAGAGTTTCTTGCATTTCTAGAGCAATGCAGTCAACACACGTACGTTCCGGTACCTATGGATGGATGACACTCTTGCGATGCGATGCGAATGCCACGAAAAGATCACTGACTAGGAATGAAACGACGTTTGAACGCTCTGGCTGTACAATATAGGCGCGCCTCTGCTACGGCGGATATCACCTTGTGCTTGGCCCAGCTGCGCATATTTCTGGAACGGATCCAACCCATTATCGAGTCTGCAGCAACCGATGCCAGCATCGACACCGCTACCTCTGGGGTCGTGCGAGTTGAAGGCGTGATTCTAGATGCGTCGACGCTATACCATACACTTGAGCCTCTTCTCTCACGCCTTTGCGGAAACCCTGTTGCACTGGCCAACGAGGCGATCGCAGACTTGATAGCAAAATCCGTGCTCAAGTATTCAAAACTGACAGCGGACTTATGGAACGATGGTTGGTCAACGCACGGTAGAGGCAGACAGGCATCGGAAATGGAAACCTTCAAGGCTAGACTGCAGTTAAAGTGGCGCGTTGCCCGAATGCGAGACATGTTCCAGATTCCTCGACGGTGGTGTCCTAGTGAGTTGAAAAGAAATGATTTCGGGAAGGAGCACGCAGTTGGATATGTAGATCGGAATGTGGAGACCAGGGGCAGGAGCAAGGATCAGTCGAAGGGGGTCTTCGAAGATCTCTTCCAGGTCACGGAGCAGGAGATACGGCAACAAAGGCTTGAGGAAACGATAGGGAACTTGTCAAAGACATTGAGAGATTTTGAGGATATAGTATTGTCATTGAGCGAGCCACTTATGGAGACGGATCTGTTGTCCATGGTAGGGCACCCATCATTTTATTTGGTTCTATTTTTTACTGCACCTGTGGAATGGAATAGTGTAATATTCACCTTTACTTTCCTACTGCACTTCATGCAGGTTCAATGGAACCGTCAATTGTCCGGATTATACGCCCCTCTCGTCTCAAAGCCCACCACAACTGCACTCACTGAGAGGATCATCGATGTGGCATATACCATAAAGACGAGATTGATCCATGTCAACGGCACAAGCAGTCTGTCGCCGCCTGTGCTCCTGGACAATGCATTCGTAGAACAAGTCATGCTGCTCTCGGGAAACTATGGACCGACACTACAATCGCTGCGCGGTCATCGAGCCCTGCTCCGGTAAGAGAAGGGGCCTATAAAGACGGATTTATGATAGAGTAACATACTCCCAAGCCTTACTGATGCTCTCTCTATGAAATTGTTTAAATAGGCTCAGCAATGTGTCGTCTATCGCGCGCCAGCGACATGTTGTTCAACTAGTGGACAGTGTCATAGTAGCGAGTGTACAGCACCCTGAATTCTCACTATCACGCGAGGACATTCTCGCGGGGCACCTTTCATCGCCTTCGTCGCTTTTCTCTATCATGTCTTCCAACAGACACCTTGCAGAATCGCAAGAGCTTGTGCAGCCAGTTCTGGAGGACCTTGCAAGAGTGGCGGGCGAAATATCTGATTGGCGATTCGTCCGGATCTGCATCCTCCTGACCGAATGGGTATTAAGTCGAAGGCAACACTACCGCCACCATCAGGAAGACATGGATGTTGATCACACAAACTTTGTGGGAAGCGACCTGAGGGCCGCCCCAGATACAGATACTTCAACAGCAATTTTTTTCTCTATCATGGTGTCGAGTGCTTGTTCGCTTTTGGAAAACCACCCGACTAAAAGCAGCACTAGCAATCTATCAAACAAAGACCATACGCAATCGGGGGAGATGAGCCAGTGGATGAGCGCGCAGAAGAGCTATATCTTTTGCTCCGCAGGGCCCCACCAGCTGCCTGTACGTAGAAGTCTCGTGTTCCTTATCGGCATGGCGATCGCTCAGCGCAATAACTTTTTGGTCCAAAAGATCAGGAATCATTTTGAGGCTCTAGAGAAGCCACAGCAGTACCAGGGACTCTCAGACGTTGCAAACCCTCTCACACTGTTCATAGCTGGATTGGTTCTGGCATTCGGACCGGAATCGTCGCTGGAAACAGCCGTGCACGAGACACTTGGGAAGATGCTAAGAGAGATCCAGAAAGTATGCGCTACGTGCGGTCATAATTCTTGGACAGAAGAGGGCATGTCGGTCGTGCCATTGGGGGACACACTGAGAAAGTACCAGTCTCTCCTGCGGATCAATGTGATAATATTGGCGGATTTAATCTGTGCAATAGGCGTTTATATGGATTGGAAAGACGCGACTTCCTGGCGCGCTATAGTAAGCACGCGCTTGATCCTTCGCGTTCCTTTGAATCCTTGACCAGACACATGTATACTGATATGATATTCTTTATCCAACATGCTAATATTTTTAGATCAAAGTTGCTCTTTCCATAATACTGGAGCCAAGGACACAATTCCAGATAATTTCAATGCCCCTCTTCGCACGGTTACATGATATTGCTGAGAGCGCCGATATCGCTGGACTCAACGATGCGTTACGTGTCGCCAGTAACGTTTTATATTTTAACCAAAAAAAAGACTGAATAAAGAGCATGACATCCACTGTTTAAAATCATAACGTTTAGATTAGCTTAAAGACTCAAATGGAGACTGAAAGAGGAAGAGAAGTGAAGCCAGTCCCATGCTTTCTAAAATAAACAAAAAGGAGATAGTACTAGGAGGGAAGGAAAATGCGAAAGAAAATCTAAAATGCCAAGTTCTTTAAAAGACTGGGACGCCACCAACGACATCTGAGGGCTTCCTGGCCTCGCCAGTGAGAGCCTCGGCCAAGAAAGCGTACTCCTCGGCCAAGTGGACCTTCTTGTTACCGGTGGCGACCGAAGCGGAGGGTTCACGACCAGCATACCGAACCTCCTTGTCGGTGTGGTTGGCAGTCTCGCGGAGGGAAGTGCGGATACGAGGAGCAACATGGCCCCAGGCACCCATATTCAAGGGCTCCTCTTGGCACCAGACAGTCTCGGCGTTGGGATACCGGTCGGCATATTCCTTGACTCTGTCATAGGGGAAGGGATTCAACTGCTCCACACGCGAGATCGCAACATCATCGATCTTGTTCTGCTCGCGGGCTTTGACCAATGCATAGTAGACCTGACCAGAGCAGAGGATATGCTTCTTAATCTTGTCAGCGCTGACTAGCTTGTCTTCCTCGACCTCAGGAATGAAGCGCCTGAAGGTGGTGTTGCCAGACATCTCCTCCAAAGTCGAGCGAGCCATGGGGTGGCGCAACAACAGCTTAGAGTTGAACGCGATCAAGGGCTTGCGGTAGTCGCGGTGGATTTGGCGACGAAGGACGTGGAAGTAGTTGGCAGGGGTCGAGCAGTACACAACCTGCATGTTGCAGTCCTGGTGCTGGCGAGAGAGCTTCTCCTCCGAGGGGAAGTAATTGGGGTGATCGTCACACATCTGGAGGTAACGCTCAATACGGGCGCTCGAGTGCTCAGGACCCTGTCCGTCGTAACCATGGGGCAACAACATGGTCAAGCCAGTGCGCTGAAGCCACTTGGTTTCTCCCGAAGCAATAAACTGATCAATGATGCACTGGGCATTGTTGGCGAAATCTCCAAATTGGGCCTCCCAAAGAATGAGCGAGTTGGGGTTGACAAGCGAGTAGCCGAGCTCGAATCCAAGGGCACCAAACTCTGAGAGCGAAGAGTTGCTGACAGAAAACGCAGCCTGTCCATGTCCCAAGTTCTTCAAAGGAACATAGAGCTTGTCGGTCTCCTGGTCGTGGAGCACAGCGTGGCGGTGCGAGAAGGTACCACGCTCAACATCCTGACCGGCCAAACGGATGTGTTTACCTTCAGAGAGCAAGGTACCAAAAGCTAGGCCCTCAGCGGTGGCCCAGTCAATGTTAGATCCGGTCTCAATGGTCTTGGAACGGGTCTTCATGATACGAGCCAAGTTGGAGTGGATCTTGAAGCCGGGGGGAGTAGAGCTGATGGTGTTTCCAATGTGCTTCAGGGTCTCAATAGGAGCACCGGTGGGGAAGGTGGGGAGGATCTCAGTGGCCAACTCAGCAGGCGACTTGAATCCGTGCCACGAGCTGGTCATCCACTCCTTGGGCTTGGCCTTGTAGTCCTTGCTCTTAGCATAGTTCTCCTCAAGAATGTTCCAGACACGCTTCTTCATCTCCTCGATCTCCTCAGTCTTGAAGCTGCCCTCCTTGACGAGCTGGTCGATGTATTTTTGCAAGGCAGGAGTCTGGTGCTCAATGGCCTTGTACATGATGGGCTGAGTGAAGCTGGGCTGATCAGTCTCGTTGTGTCCATGACGTCTGTAGCAAACAAGATCGATCACAACGTCGGTGTGGAACTCCTTGCGCCAGTCAGCAGCCAACTGGTGGACATAGTTGACAGCCTCGACATCATCAGCATTAACGTGGAAGATAGGGGCGTTGATGGACTTGGCAATGTCGGTACAGTAAGCCGTCGAGCGGGCAAAGCGGGGGTCGGTCGTGAAACCAATCTGGTTGTTGACGACGATATGAACAGTACCACCAGTTGAGTATGCGGGCAGATCCATGAATCCAAGAGTCTCGTAGACGACGCCCTGTCCGGCAAAGGCGGCATCACCGTGCATGAGGACAGCGAGTGAGCGAGTTCTCTCCTTGTCATCCATGTAGTGCTGAATGGCGTGGGTCTTTCCGAGGACGACACCGTCAGCGGCCTCCAAATGGGATGGGTTGGCGACCAAGGAAAGGTGGACGGGCTTACCGGAGGGAGTAGGGCGCTCATAGTTCATTCCCAAATGGTACTTGACATCTCCAGAGAAGCCATCCTGGGCAGAGTTACCGCTGAATTCGGAGAAAATAGACTCGTGGGGCTTGCGAACGACGTTCGACAAGACGTTGAGACGACCACGATGGGGCATACCCATAACAATGGACTCGACACCGTGCTCAACCGAGCGGTCGATCTGGTTTAGATCAAAAACAGAGGGTTAGCTGGAAATGCTTGATCGGAGAACCGCATTATTTGGTTCCTGTCGTCAGTTTAGAAACACGCTTCACATACCAAGGCCTTCATTCCGGGAATCAAACTCTCGCCTCCCTCAAGGCCGAAACGTTTTTCACTGGGGTACTTGGAGGCGACGAACCGCTCGAATGAGTCGGACCAGATCATGCGGTCGAGGATCATGGCCTTTTCCTCGGTCGAATACTTGTAAGGACGAGGGACCTCAACGCGCTGTCGGATCCAGTCGCAACGATCGCGGTCAGGAATGTGAATGTACTCCACACCAATGGAGCCGCCTAAGAGCGAGCACAAGTGGCAATTGTTCGGGTCACCGTCAGTATTTTTTGATCATGATAAAAGCAATGATGGTGGTATTGGTGCTGGTTTGTCTGGCATCCAGCACAACCCGCCTAGCTGTGTAAAATGTCGTTGATTGAATAAAAGGATAATCGCGCTATGACCCATGTTCAGCCGGTATCAATCCATGTATTTTTTCTTTCTCCATTCGTAAGGAATATGATCTCATAGTACAGTTTGTCGAGCACGTATGTTGGGTATCCGTCGTGGAATAGAGTTCAGCTTAGCGCCATTACAAGATAGCACAAGATAATGGTACTTACAGTAAATGGTCTTTAGGTGATCAATGATCTCGCGAAGGGTCTGTTTGCTGCCAGTGTCAAGGAAACCGGGTAGAATACCGGGTCCGAGGGAAAAGGTGCGGTCGAGATCCTTCTCTGAGAAGCCGTAGTGGGAAATGTCGAGCTCGCGGGGAGAGACAGTAGCCAGATCAGCCTGATTGAGACCAAGGGGGTCGAGACGGGCAACGTGGTGGCCACGAACCTGGTATGCACGGACCAAAAGCTGGATCTTGAGATGATCAATGACATCGGACGATCCAGCCTGGGAGCCAGGGACCAATGAGGGGATGCCACCGCTGGTAGGGATGGTAGGTGCAGCCTGGAAGGACTGGGAGGCGGACATGCCCTGAGATTGATTCCTGAAGTAAATCTGCCACGAGAGATGGACGGAGGTGGGGTCCTTGAGCCAGGCAGAATACATCTCTTCAAGGTAGCTGGCCGAGTTGCCCTGCAAGAAGGCGTCCTTGGCAGCAGGAAGGTCGTCCTTAGTGGCGGCGCTGGACGAAGCCTTGCGGATCGACATGAATGTAGCAACAGGTGCGGTGGTACGAGCTAGGGAGGAGCGCATCAGCAAAGTCGACTGACGTGCCATGGGTCCGGTGGCGGCACGGGCAAGGGAAGTCAGGGGGAAAGGCATGGTTGCGGGTGATTTAAAACGTGTGTGTATTAAGAAGAAGGAAGGGAAGGAGGATGGCGGTGTTTACAAGCAGGGGTGCATGAAGGTTGCTTGAGAACAAGATAAATCGGAGGAGGAGATGGGATTTCCTGTTCCTCTTCCTGGTGGGTCGGATGGATGGAAAGGGGAGAGAAGGAGTTGAAAAAGGCAATGGCGATCACAACGGACAGCCGTTATTTATTCGGTCGCCGATATGACACAACCTGCTTGTTGTCCCTGCAGGAGAATCCCTCACCCAGGCTGCTGACCAAGCCACCCTTTCTAATTGACCGCACGGCCATGGCCATGGTCAAGAACTTGTTCAGTTGCCGGTATCCAGAATGATTCACGGCACAATGCGACAGAGGGCTACCGTCTACTACTGCGCTAGTCCACACTACACATACATACGTATTGTGGGCTGTTTATGGTCATCCTAGGTCGCCTGGTCACTTAGGCAGATAAACAAAAAAGACGACAGATGCAATATGTAGAGGTCGATTCTCCACTCCTTCGGCTTCGACTTGTATGGCAGCTGATAGAAGAGTGGCGTCAAGGGGGATAAATGGTGCGATACGAAATAATGTACGATCACGTCAATGTTTTTTTTACCAAGAACTTCAGAACGACTAATTTGCAATCACCACATATTGTCTTTCAAAAGCTGTGCTCGCTGTCAGGATCGATGACCGCCTTGAAGATGTCGTTCTTGAGTGCACTCCCTCCCAGCAATTGACCAGTGCCTCGAGGATAACCTTCTTGGAATTGCCGTTCCGCGTTCCTGCAAGGGCCTGCATCAATTGGTTCAGTCCTACAACCCTTAGTTGAAATGTTAGTAGAATAAAATACCAGGGCACTGAAACAACCTTTCCATATCCGTCTTCATCTTACCATAGTCCCCATTTCACTTTGGGAGCCCTCCTGGCATCGTTCTTGGATGTCGATAGCTTGAAGATGATTCCAATGCTTGCTGGCTGGCGGTGATAGTGGTGCTGACAGTACTAGGGTGGGGAATAGCTTAGAAAAAAAGTGCGAGCTGGGCGTGCTGGGTGTGCTAGGCCTATTGAGCCAGGGCCTGTAGGACATTCAGGGCTTTCGTATGCCACCCAAGGTCAGGGATAAAAGTTATGTTTTGCATTGAAGCATGGTTATGTGCCTTGATAGATGCGTGATTAATTGTCTGATATATGTATCTCCGTCTATGATTGAGGCACAGAAAAATAGACCCTGCGGAACAATATTATCTTCTGAATCGAGAGAGACTAACAAAAGGATGGATCGCTCAAATAGTCATCCTCTTTCGACTGCCAATCGGTCCATCTAAGAGAACACAATAGGTTCAAGTCTGGAAGCGTGGTGTTGCAAAAGTTAAAGAGAGTGTTCAGTGATGAAGGTATATAAGGTGTGCTTTATTGGGTAGAGACTTTGGTTCAAACAGGGGAGGCGCGTGTCTTGAATGCTAATAATTTCAATAGTTCTGTTCAATACAACATCTCTGACATTGTTCCAAAGGGCCGGCTATCGAAGCAGCTTTGCCATTTTCTCTCCCTGTTTTGCAACACTCTTAGCGATATGGAATGGCTCGACGCCCCTCTTTTGTCAGCTTTCTCCCTTTAATCCGCTTGTGCTTGTTAATACGAATGTGCGTACTGTCGACAGGGCGAAGATCCTGCAACTTCTTGATTCGAGCCCGTAACGAGGCAACAGGAACAGTATTTAACCTAAAACGCTTTCTCTCTCAGTTCCGTCGCCTATTGATGTGGAAATGCCTTGGCCACTTGAAGGTCTGATTGTTACACAGAACGTGTCGTTGTACGTAGTCGCGACTATCCTTGGTAGGTCTTTACATTTTGAGCCCCCTTTTCTGGCTGGCACATCTCATCTCTGAGCACATCACATCTCCATTAATCTTTCTTCTCAGCAGCAATGCCGATTCACAATTCGCTACGTCTGTATGTCGAGGAGCGAGGCTGAAATGCACGTTATAACACGTTGCCGAGCACCGAGTCTTCACACCTGTCGGTCATCGTGAAGCCACTATACCTACACATGAGAGTAATCAGGATCCTTGGTCTCTGTCGTTTAATAGATATATCAGCAACGATACGTTCACGCTCGAGCCAGTCTACAATGATCCTTCGATCGTTACAGAGAACATCGTTATTCAACGGTCCACAGGACAGGTCCAGTTGAACGGTACGGCCGAAGAGCGCTACTGCTCTTATCACGCACTCAGGCTTTGCGCTCATTTATACTAACCTCAGACCTATTCATGTCTGCGAACAACAACCAGCTCCTGCAGGAAGAGTCCCATCGAATGAGGAGGTCATGATGATCTATGGCGTCCTTGGGTTCATTCGTCTGTTGGCTGGTAAGGTCGACTGCACGGAATCAAAGCTTGGGCAAATGGGTTATTTCCAGAAGCCAGCACTCACCAGTTGCGTCATGTATCGATCGTCTAGGCGAGTACATGATCGTCATTATGGATAGACATAGAGTTGGACGCATAGGTGAACATGATATTTTTAAGCTGAAGGATTACAGGATCATTCCATTCTCACGCAATAATCTGGCACTTACTGAGGCACAGGTACGTGTTCACTGCTTAATTGCTCGTCAACGATAGAGGAACATGGATGTCTCAACCACTGCGATAGGACCAACCCATGGTTACATGTGAACTGTATAGACTGGCGAGGAAGCATCATATATCTCCCTGTTGCATTCCCATTTACAGTCGGGCCAGTTCCATTTTTCGTATGGATATGAACTGACCCATACAGTCCAGCGCCAGTCCGAGTTGAGAGGCAACACACTCCCCGTTTGGGAACGCGTAAGTGATACAGGACGGCACGATCCACGTTTCAATATACAGTCTTGCTGAGCCATTTGATACTGATCGCTACACATTTATAACCCACGGCCTCTACATAGGCAGATGAACGGTTTTTTTGGAACTATCACCTTCAGTCAAAGTTCATCGAACACACAAGGAATCGTAAAGACCAGGACGTATGTATACATTTTATTTATTTCTCTTGGCTCATCACCGCAATGATACGATCGTACAGAGCAACTAATGGTTGGTCATCATCTGTTCTCTGATGGCTATAGTTGAGCAACTTCATTCTGCCTCTCGTTAATGGTTTCGTAGAGATTAAGGCGACGGAGATCAACAGGAAACCCTTCACTTTCGCACTTATCTCTCGTCGATCGCGTCACCGCGCGGGTACTCGCTATTTCTCTCGTGGCGTGGATGCACAAGGAAACGTCTCCAACTTTAACGAAACTGAGCAGATCGTAATCGTGGACTCTACTGCGCAAGGAACAATGCCATCTATTCTAGGGAAGCATGTCATTCTTGCACACGTTCAAACCCGCGGGTCGATTCCTATTTTCTGGGCCCAGATCAACAACATCAAGTACACACCGAGATTGCAGATTTTTGACAATCCACAGACTGTAAGGAGTGTTGCGTCATTCTTCGTGTATGTACCCCTACATGTGTGGCGGCTAATATTTCCACTTAATATTTGCCTATTCATCCAGGAGAATGCCTTCCGAAAACACTTTGAGGCTCAAAAGAAATACTATGGACCACAACTGGCGGTTAATCTCATCAATAAGAAGGGCTATGAGGAACCAATGGGCTCCGCATTCTCGAAGCAAATCGATATCCTCGGCGATCCGGACGTTAAGTACTACCATTTCGATTTCCACCACGAATGCGGTAAAATGAGATGGCATCGCGTGTCCCTCTTACTGGACCACTTGCATAACGAACTTGTCTCTCAAGGGTAAGAACCAACTGCGTCGCGCTCATTTGAAGGCAATGTTGTGGTATTTTGGATTATGTCTCTGTACTAACCAGCCGGTTCAATAATGATACACAGGTATTTCAAGGCGGAAGTGACCGAGGGTATTATTCAGCAGGTGTATCAAAGACAATCGTCAGTTGTCCGCACCAACTGTATGGATTGCTTGGATAGAACAAATGTTGTGCAATCTGTTATCTCCCGATGGGTATTAAATCGCCAACTCCAGGAGTTGGGCATATTGGCCCCTAATGAAAAGTTCGAGTCTTCAGAACAGTTTGAATTTCTGTTTCGTAATGGTAAGAGCATTTGTACTCTTCGCGTAGTCATACTAAAGCCGGATCGCTAACTAATATTCGTGCCATTATAGTGTGGGCCGATAATGCGGATGTTGTCAGCTGTGCGTACTCGGGCACTGGAGCACTAAAGACCGACTTTACAAGGTCCGTGCGAGAACTTTTAGAGACCAAAGAGTGGTATGGGATTGGTCAAGTGAACTAACCGTCTTCTCTACTCAATCGTGTAGGACTGGATCCCGCACAAAGGTTGGCGCCCTTCACGATCTTGAAAACTCGATCATTCGTTATGTCAAGAATAACTTTTTAGACGGAACGAGACAAGTATGAGGCGGCTCTCATGTGTATTTTGGATGTGTCTTTCATCGCACAACTTCTAATTATTACTGTTATTGTCTCTTCTATTCTTTATACTAAGGATGCATACGACCTCTTTCTTCTGTACGACGTGCATGATGCAGAATCATATCCACTTATCGATAACCGCCCCTTGCACCTCAAACTGATGCCTCTCGGGGTTGTTGTTGGACCTGCCATGCTGATAGCATGCGCCATCCTCCCAGAGAGTAAGTTGCATGAACACTATTCCGAAAATACCGTGAGCCGCCTTTTGCTTGGTCTAACACACGTTTCATCTGTATGGGGATCATAGGTATCTTCAGTTCTCATGTTATTTTATTCGCGTCCTTCTGGGTCGCGGTAGTGGTCTATACCATGCACTTCATTGTTACAAATGGCGTCCACTATGTCAACTGGCCGAGGCTGGTTCCATTGAACTACGATCTTCAGGCTAGTCAGTTCCCTGGGATCCAATCGGAACCAACTTTGGGCACTGCTGAAGTTGAACTCGGCTGGAAGAATGAGTGATACGCAATAAAGTACCAGACCAACAGCCACAATCATCTCATAAGCCTGGTTCTGGTGTATCGGACACAACACCAGTATATCAATATGCTGTCTGGAAGGAGACAATTTAGTAGAACCTCTCATCTTGACACTCTTGCTTCGAGTCCATCGAGGTGAGCACGGACCGTCTATGACAGGCGAGTTTGTCGGCATATGCGCTGCTCAGCTTGATTTATTGTTCACTTTTCACATCTTACTCAATCTTCTACGTCCCAGTAATGCCTGCTTGCCTTTCACCATCGCATTCATATTAAACTATGACAAGGATACCAGTACGCTTATTGTGTGCGTGGTTGGCGCCTTCCATCACTCTCTCCTATGAATGCACATGCATATCTCAGAAGAACAATTATCAGGCGAGTGCCTGTAAGTAGTTGTAGCAAGCTTTCAAACAGGTGATTAATGCTCGTTTTCTCGCTTTTATTGTGCCAGATTCATATTAGCATACAGGGTTCACAAATTGGAGATGGAGGGGTTGAAGTCCAATACCAGCTGTCTTTATATCCTGACGCCAATGAGGCGTCTGGTATGCTGGATGCATAGGATCACTTTTAGGAACTACTCATGTACGAAATCACTCCCAACAACACCAAGTCGTCTCGCAGTAAAAGAAGCGAACCTGCCCTCTCTGTTGGACAGTCTGTTGCTCTGAAAGAGTTAATGCTAATGAGAACTCTGACAGCAGTAAGAGGCTTGAGCGAGGATCTAGAGGAGCCGAGGTCTTGCCTGTGGCAAAGGCGATTTCTTTGACGACCCAAGATACCAACAGGCGGATATTTCGCGGCAGTATCTCAAATGTTGGTAGCACATCCGCACGCAGGATATCAATTACTAAGGCGACCTGACCTATTATATGGGTGCTTTCTGGACTGCAGTTTCATTGTAAACAAAGTGCTCCTGCTGAGGTGGCGTGGTTGGCATTTTTTATGGCGACGGCTAATGCGCTAATGCGTACTTTGTATGTTGTTAGAGAAAATTAGGTATGTGTCTCTGCGCAGACTTTCTGGTGACGAAGAGGTAGCTTGTTGCGCTCACTCCAATCAACCCCTATTCGCTGCCTTGCTTCAGCCCTTACGTCTACCACCGTTCATCTTGTTCGGTTCTCGCGTCTTGTCTGGACTCACCCACCCTTTTTCACCACTCCGGCGCTTTTTTTTATCTGTTTAGTCTCTGTTTCTTTGCACCTTGCTCTTTGAAGTTCATTCACTTAAGCCCTGATTTTTTTGGGTCCCAATATTTTGGTGGCAAAGGCTGTCCCGCGTGGACTTTTGCTGTAGGTTTGAACTTTATTTTCGAAGTGGTTACACATGTAGAACTGCAGCTCATGCTCTCTTTATCTGCTTCATCCAGACAATCTCAGGAACACGACCCCAAGAATATGAGCTCAAGGACACAAGCAGCCGCCCGAGACATGCCACGGGTACTTTCTCGCTCCTCAAGACATTGTTATCAGCTCAAGGCTGGTTGTTTGCGGGCACTAACGCGAGTCTTCTCTGTATTTGTCATTGTCTCATCTTTTTTCGAATATTCTACTTGGTAACGATCAACATGCCGCGACCTCAATGCTCATGACTCAAAGGGTCTCAGGCAATATGATCAAGAAAAATGTACCCAAAGAGACTGAAGCTAACACTTTGTTTAAAAGGGTGTTCTATTTCAGAGCTATTAGCAGTAAAGGAACGCGGGAGGCCTAGCAGTTGTACTGCCGTATGCTGTGAACCCTGTGTACGCATGATAGCACAGTAGAGACCCATAACAGCGCCCCAGCAGGGCAATGCGCCCCAAGGCACAGGTAGGCAAGACAAGAGATGTTTAGACTACCGCTCCAAGCGAGTCTTTCCATCCACCCTTACATCTCGCTCTCAACCAGGTGGGGGTTCTTTTTTTTAATAGTCAAGTCGGCTTGATATGATGGGCTCAAAGTAGAGGCGGAGCGGGTAGGGGTAAGTCAGGGATCGGCGCTGGCTGTGGCCGCCCAGTGGAGCTCTCACTTCGACTGGGAGTGATTGTTTCTGAAAGCCTGGAGATTGTTGGTCGTGAGTTGACTCCTCTGCATTGGGTGACTAATGTGTGTCAAGTATAAGAGGGAGAGGGCGAATGTGGACAATGAGGAAGAATGGTGAGGGGGACAGCAGAATGAGTGCGGGTGGTGTGCACTGGAGGGGATCCTGGAGGGGGTCCAAAAGGAGGAACAGGAGGGGCAAAGGAAGGAAAGTGCAGGGGGAGGTGCCAGTACCACAAGGCTCGAATCAGACCGTAACCGCAGCAAGGTAAGCATTATAACTCTGAATACGGATCCACTCATTGCATTGCGGATCTTGGTCTATCGTTCTGTTCTTTAATGACATTATTTCTATCGTGATGGACGCTAGACGGCCTGGCGCCAAGGCCTCAGCAAAAGTCGAACTAGTCGCCTTGTCAATCAGCTGGGTCATAGGCCAAGAGCCTTCCATTCGGTCGCTTCGAAAGCAGCATCAAGACACGACCATGTCAGCAGCCGGCCGCCCAGTCTATCAGCCAGGCACACCACTATAAATAAACATACGCGCTAAGAATGGCCACTACGGCGTAGATAAGCAGTGTGGACAGCGAAGTGAACCACAGCGACTATCAAGCAGCGGCGATAATAACGGCGTCAGGGATTTGACCATCAAGTATAGCACAGCGGCGTCTCCGTTCAAGTACCCCGATGCAACACAACTTGAGTGGGACAACTTGGAGCGCAAAAATAAATTTGGTGGCGTAGATTGTACCTGAGCCGAAATTGTTTTCTCGTTGATCGACCTCTTTGACAAGGCCTCTCCTCCATTCATCTCATCTTCACCATGTCAGCCTCGGCCTCGTTGCAGCGCCTCCCAAGAATATGGAGTACTCGCCTCTTGTCTTCATACTCCACTGCGAGCAGAAGGAACTTGTTTCAAATTAACTTGACCAGGAAAGGTATTACCGCACCACTCAGTTTCGCTCGACAGAGTCAGCAGCACTCCACCGTTACCTCACAATCATGGATATTGAAGCCGGAAGCACGGCTTGAGGAACTGAGCCACCTCGGAATCACGCCTTATCCCAGGTACCAGCCGCCGAAAGTGCCTCTTGTTCAGGTTCGGGATGTCATTGCAGAATACCAAGATGCACTCGAGAACGGAACCAAAGATGAATCAAAAAAGGTTTCCATAAGTGGTATGCTGCGAAGTGAAGATGTTACAGGACTCCGCCGATGTTTCGCAAATTGCAACAGAGGTGGTCGAATCTAACGCTGCTTGAAAATCCAATACAGGACGTATCTATTCAAAACGTGATTCAAGCTCAAAGCTGGCGTGGTTTGATCTTGTTCAGGATGGTCATTCGATCCAGGCGGTATTCAACCGCAGGATCTATGCTGGAAGTGACCAGGACTTCGAGTTGGCATTCAAGAATTTTCACCGCGGCGATATCGTTCGTAAGACCTCTTTTTTAATTGTGCATTGTATCGGCAAGTGGGCTGACAAAGCGACGCGCGTTCTCACTCGTTTTCTTTCGTCCACAGAGCTCACAGGACATGTAGGGAAGACCAAGACAGGGCAATTGAGTGTCTTTATTACCGATGCATTTGAGCTTCTTTCACCGTGCCTGCATTCCATTCCTACCCGCTCCGGGCTCAAAGATCCAGACAAGCGGTTCAGGAACAGACATTTGGACTTTTTGGTTAATCGGGATGCACTCGAAATTTTAAAAAAAAGGCGCGATGTAAGTCATACCGAAGAGTCATTGTCAGGATTCAATTGAGGTACATATTGCTAATCACTTATGTTCACAACTAGATGATTGCGTTCATCAGGCGCTTTTTCGACAGCCGCGGCTTTTTGGAAGTCGAGACACCCATTTTGTCCACTCAGGCTGGAGGAGCAAATGCAAAGCCGTTTATAACTCATGCTAATGCGCTCGATATGGAGATGCACATGCGTGTAGCTCCGGAACTGTATTTGAAGGTACTGTCTTCACCATTGAGGTCATCTGCTTTAACGCTATACGGCAAGAATAACAGCCATTTTTTGACGAACATTCTTACTTGATTTCGACTTAGCAACTTGTTATCGGAGGTGTAGATCGAGTGTACGAGCTAGGAAAACAGTTCCGAAACGAGGGTATTGACGCAGATCATAACCCAGAATTCACTACCTGTGAGTTCTATCAAGCATACACTAATCTCGAAGGATTATTCGACATGACTGAAGTCATGCTTCAAGGTTGGTAGCTATGACACTCTTGTTAATTTTGAGTCTGCAGCTTTCTCTTAGGCGTTGCGACTGATATTATTGCCATGGATATCTTTTAGAGATGGCTGAAAGCGTTACAGGGTCGACCAAAGTCTCAACTAAACTTACAAAGGATGAAACTGTTGAGGTGTCGTTTGAGAGGCCCTTCCGACGGATAAACATTATGGAGTTTTTGGAGGAGAAGCTGGAGATCACTTTCCCTGATCTCGACAGTAAGCACACCTGTTATGCTTTACCTGAGCTTGCTTGAGATTTGGGCAATTCGCTCATGCGTTGCTCGTAAAAATGTATAGACAATCCAGTGGCCGAGCTACTTGAGATATGCAAGAACAACCGAGTGTTTGTCCCGGAACCGCACACCGTCCCTCGCATCATGGATAGGATTATCTCGCAATTCATCGAACCAGAGTGCATTCAGCCAACGTTTTTATGGGGTCATCCCGTTATCATGAGCCCACTCGCTAAAGACATCAAACTGGACTCTGTAAGTCCAGGATATTTCAGGATACGAAGGGAGCTGATAATGGCACACGCTGTGGTAGTCGTTCCCTAGCGTTATTAATTTTTTCCGCATCTTCTTGATATTTAGGGACGAACTGTAGCAGGGCGCTTTGAGTTGTTTGTTGCCGGAAAAGAGATCGTGAACGCGTATGAAGAGCTGAACGACCCGGTCCAGCAAAGAGATCGATTCACGAAGCAACAGCAAGACAAAGACAGTGGAGACGAAGAGGCCCAGCCTATGGATCAGGCGTTTTGCGGGGCGCTTGAATACGGACTTCCGCCGACAGGAGGATGGGGTATGGGCGTTGACCGCGTCTGCCAGATCTTGACGGGTTCCAGCCATATCCGCGACGTACTTGCCTTCCCTACCATGCGCACACTGAAGCCGGCAGCGTTGGATGTCGAGTGTCCTGTAGTTTAAGAATAGAAACGCGATGTGCTCCCTAAGTGCAATCAGTGACGGGACCCTTAAGCAATGCGTCATAAGTGAGTGAATGGGTCTGTTCGTGCAAGGGAAAAAAATCGACTTGTTTTTTTTACGCATCCCCTCTGGTTCTGGCAAAGAGGTCGTCATCATCATCTCTAAGCAAGTGCCCTGGTCTGACAGCACTTCCATCTCAATCCCTGTTTTTTCTCTTTTTTACGAATCAATAATTACTCATCATCATCTCCCCAATATTCTTCAGAAGAAACATACTGCATAGAGCTGGTAAGAAATGGTCATCTTGCACTACGGCGCAGTGGGTGCCCCACAGATGTCTTGGCATCTGTTCATCATATGCGATTAGTATTTTATGGCACCCTCTCCCATCTGCTGCAGTCCATCACCTTTCTTTTTGCCCTCTGCTGACTGTCTGACAGTAAGCTTGACCCACTGTATGCGGCCTATTTTTTTTGTCCTTATCGTCTGCGCAACTCCCTCTTCCGTTCCCTTTTTCTCCCGCTTATTTTTCTGTTTTGGGCATTGATAAATTTTTTTGTCATCCCTTTTTTCCGCCGTTCTTTAACTTGCAAGCTCATGCATTAACGAGCATAAGAGTGAGACGCGTATTGCTTGACCTTAGCATATCGTATCAGCTATACTGACCTCGATCCCTGTCCTTGAATCTGTAAAGAAGGTCAACCCTATCCTCGCCCCCTCCATACTACGTGTGTCTATCTACGAAACCTCAGATACTGAGCATCTGAGCAACAACTACAAGCAAAGGACATCAGGAACCTCCACTTGAACGTGTGAGCGTACCTGATTGTTGGACCTACCAGAGAGAACGAGTTCCCTCAACATGGCAGAGGTGAACAAGACTGTAAGGCATTCTCTTTTTTCATCGATTGTCTGTATCACTCCTACTTTTGTAATCGTTATCCACCGCTTTTTCTCTTCTCGCCTCAATAGCATAGTGTCTGATTGAACCTCCTTTCGTCTTATTTCTATCTGGCGCCTTTATCTAGTTGCCTGAAATCCTCAAGATGCGGCTGCAGTCCGAAAAGGCACATCAAGAACAGATTGAGTATGTTCTTTCCTCAGTTTTGTGGAGGAACTGTCATTAGAAACGCGCTTTTCCTTGGTTGCTTCAAGATCACTAATTCTCAACTTATTGTTCTCTGCCATTCGCATCTAGTGAAATCCTTGTCCGACGCGGTTTTCTCCTTAAACAGTTCTTTTATATGAAACAGCTTGCCGGCACTGAAGCGAGTTTGGAACCCGAACAAGATTTCACCAAAATAGATATTGACAAATTAAAGGCCTTTCAGGAGGAGCACCAGCTGTCCGAGTAAGAAAACATGGCATTGATATAGCAATGTCTATTGTTTATGTTTAGCTGTCTTTGTGGCCCTTAAACTAACCTATTTGCTTGATATCAACCATTGATAGATTAAACCCCACGTCGGGAGTTCTCGAGAGAGATCTGGAAGACATCACCATGGAGGAACCAGAGCTTATGGTCAAGCAGGAGAGTACTACACCTACAGTCATGACTCCCTCGGAGAGCGCCGTTGTGGTACCTGACTTATCATCGGGGTCGCCCATGGAGATTATTGAGACAGAACACATGGAAGAGAAGGACACAAATCAGAAGGAGAGCACAGTCAAAATGGAGTCCACACCATCAATACCCGGCCTCGGCAGTGCTAAACCCTCCGTCCACGACGATAATAACCCTCCTTCGCCAAAATCCCGCGCTGGTTCCCCTGAAAGCAATTCTGCTGCTCAAAACGACCGGCAGATGACACCAGAGCCCAGGACGCCTGGTAGCACACCCGGAAGCACGCCTGGCGCTCAGAGTAATTCTGGTGAGACGTCTCCTTCCCGCAAAATAAAACGCGTCCTGCCACCCCCAGAGCGCATGGTTACTCGAGGCGTGAGTGGAGCCATTCGACACAGGAGCGTCGATGAGATTCTGGGAACAGCTTCAGAGCGGTCACCCACTACACAGGCCCCGCGTCATCCTTATCAAGACAGATCTTCGCCTGTTGCAACATCGCCTGGTGGATCCTCAGGTGCTGTCGTAACCACCTTATCGACTTCATCTACAAATGGCTCTCTGAACGTGACCACCGGCGACTTCGCTGCAGCAACACCAGGAACCGTCAGCATCTCATCCGCACCCAGTAAACCGCCAGCTCTGATGCTTCAGTCGACAAAGAAACATGCTCAGCCAACGACTGCACCACCTGCGATGAAGCGCTCAGAATCGCGGCACGGATTATCACGCTACGACTTCATAGATGGTACCCCGACACGGTCTTCCAAGGAGCGGCATGCAGATCTGTACGCCTGGCAACTCAGGGCCCAATCTCAACCCATATACAAGTCACTGCAAACGGCGAGTAAGGCGCTGACAACGAAGGACTGGAAGGTGGCGCGCGAGGAGCTCAAACTGATGCGAGCGATGCAGAGGATAGAGGCTCTCAAAGCAGGCAATCGATGGAGCTTTAAACAGATCAAGAAACATCGCGGGCCTGCGAGGACAAAAACCCACTGGGACCACCTTTTGGACGAAATGCGGTGGATGCAGGCAGATTTCAGGGAAGAGAGACGATGGAAGATTGTTACAGCCTACGAAGTTTCAAGATGGGTCATGGCATGGCATGAAACGGATAACAAGTCACTTGTCTGTGTTCCTGTAAGTCCTTGTAAATGTATGTCATGCAGCCCTTCTTGGTTCCCGAATCACGAAGCTGACGTTAGCCTCTGCTATCTATTGCTATCTAGCGCCGTAAAGTTATTGAGGTTCAGAAGGATCAGTCGCCTTTGCCACCAGAATCGTCATCGGAAGCAATGGAGGAGGCGATCAAGATGGAAGACCTTGTACATGAGAGTATGATGGATGCTTCGGAACCTGCACAGGAGGAGTCTTTAGCACCTGCTGCAGAGAATTCCACGAAGCAGGACAAGGACGACTTGACAGCTGATACGATCAAGATTGAAGTTGAGGATACGATCATGACCTTGCCTGCCGAAGCAGAGGAAAACTCCAGTATCACAGCAAGCAAACCCACCACATCCGAGATGATGTCAACCACAGGGGAGTCCGCAGCTGTAGACAGCAAGATGCTTGTCCCAGCGCTGAAGGAGAATGCGAAAGACGATGTTATTATGCCTCCCCCCATCGCTCCAGCCCTACTACAAAAGACCAAGTCGTTATTGTTGGAGCTTGACCCGAGCGCCATTTTCTTTCCCTTCGAGCCCCTTGAGTCGCTCATGGAAGGACTTCATATCGAATCGCTGGACGTCGACACCCTGTTCCAGGACTTTCCGCTCTATGGACCACCCGACCCGGATGATAAGGATGCATATGTGGATGAAGCAGAGCACGGAAGAGTCACGATGATCAGCAGATTAATGAGCTCCAAGGCCCCCGTTAGTCTCGAGTTCGGCCCGCTAGCGTCACAAATCGTCTTTGTAAAACGCAAGAGAGAGCCAATTACGGAAATGGACGATTTTGATGAGGAGGATGCAAGAGTCCCCAAGATTGAGGGCAAGATCTCAACTGCCATCCCAGGAACAGAACCACCCAGGACTGTTCCTGTGCTGTTCCAGACAAAGAAGAATAAGGATCCGCCCATGACCCCTATCCGCCGACCTGCGCCACCAGGGCCACTTGCCCCCAAGACACCTGTTGTTTGGACGAGCGAGGAGGACGATCTTCTGACGACCTTGATCAAGCCATACCAGTACAACTGGGACCTTGTCTCGGACTTGTTCAATTCCATGCGTGGCCCCATTGCTCCGTCGGAGCGAAGGACTCCTTGGGATTGCTATGAAAGGTGGGCCAAGAAAGAAGGGCCTCTGTCTATCGGAAACGGCACTGGAGGGGATACTGCTTCCGGACTTATCCCGATCGGCAATCTCCCTGCAGGTTCTGCGTCGACACCGCCATCGCCCAAGGCCAGGAAGGACAAGGACGGCAAGAGGATGTCAATCAACACCAAGACCGAGCCCTCGCGGAAGAGGCCGCTTGCCTTTTCGTTGACATTGTTAGAAACCATGAAGAAAGCAAGCAAGAAGAGGGAGATTGCTCTGAATCGCGTCAACGCTGGTAGGTGTCTTTTTTAAGTATTTGCGGAAGTGCCTGGCGCTGCTCGGTGTATTGTATTCCATTTGTTCTTGACGCTTGAAAACTCGATCTTCCCTTGTATAGCACCAGTTGTTGCCGCTGCCGCTGCCACCAAGAAAGCAGCTATCCAAGAGGGCCAGAGTCCAAAGATTGGAGGAAGCACCGTCCCATTGACGCCAGCAGACCTGAGCAAGTTCAAGTCTGAGCGCGACCGTCATCTGAACCAAGTTATGAATGAGCAACGGCAAATGCAGGCTGCGTCGCTAGCCCTTGGGAGGGTGAGTATTACATATTATTTATTTCTTGATAGCATTCCTCGGATTTTGGAAAGACAAGTGATTCTAATGATGTTCTCTATTCTTATTGCTTCTATCTTTTGTGTATCAGCCTGTCGTCCGCCCCCCCTTGCCCAACGCCGCCGGCACCCCGCTCGACGCAGCCCAGCAGCTGGTTCGTCCAGCAGTTGCTCAGGTTACTGCTCAACAGCGTGGACCTATGTCGCCACAGATTAAGGCTGGGGTAAGACCACTGAACGCACAGCAGGTGCAAGCCCAGGTTCAGGCGCAAGCCCAAGCGCAGGCACAAGCACAAGCACAAGCACAAGCACAAGCACAGGCTCAAGCGCAGGTTCAGGCGCAGGTTCAGGCACAAACGCAGGCGCAACAGGTCCAACAGGCGCAGGCACAGGTCCAGCTTCAACTTCAGCAGCATCAGCAACAGCAGCTTCAACAGCAGCAACAGTTGCAACTTCAGCAACTTCAGCAGCAGCAACAACTTCAACTTCAGCAGCAGCAGCTCCAGCAGCAGCAAGCTCAGGCTCAGGCTCAGGCTCAAGCACAAGCGCAGGCCCAGTCGCTGCCGCAACAATCACAGGCACAGCTCCCTCAGCAGATTTCTCTTCCGGCCGGCTTGACCCCACAGGCAATCCAGTTCATTCGTTCCAATCCAAGTCTGTCACTGCAGAGTCCTCAGATCCAGGCAATCATTCGTCAGCAGCAGCTCCAGGCACTGCAACAGCAACAGGCTCAGGTCCAAAATCAAGCCCAGGTCCAGGCGTTGGCACAGGCACAGCAGCAACTTCAGCAGCAGCAACTTCAGCAGCAACAGCTTCAGCAGCAGCAACTTCAGCAACAACAGCAGCAGGCGTCTTCTTCCCCTCTCGTGCGGCCCATGACGTCCCCCATGCCCGGATTTGCGAGCCCGACTCTTCAGGCGCATCACTTGCAACAAGCGCAGGTCCAGGCTCAACAGCAGCAGCAGTTGCTGGCTCAACAGTTGCAACTTCAACAGCAGCAGCAACAGCAGGCTCAGCAATTGCAGGCCCAGCAACTGCATGCCCAGAAGCAGCACCAGCAGCTACAGCAACAGCAGCAATTGCAACAGCTCCATCAGCAGCAGCAGCAGCTCCAGTTGCAGGTCCAGCGGCAAGCGCAAGCCCAAGCGTTGCAACAACAGCAGCTCCAGCAGCAGGCATTGCAACAAAAACAACAGCAGCAAGTCACACAATTGCAGCAGATCAAGACGCCCACTGGATCGCCGCGCCAAGCATCAACTGCGCAGATGGGCGGATTGACTCCGACACTTCCGAGTGGGCCTAGTACACCAGGAGAGTCGATCAATCATGTAGGAGCCAATGCGAGCCGTCCGAATGGCTCTGGCAACGGATCTGCCAATTCTTCTGGGGCTGCCACGCCCTCGACACCCGTTTTAGCTGGAAGCACGCTCAACAACGCTGCTGGTGCCATGGGACACACCAATAATAACATCGGCAATGTCAATAAGCAGCAGCCCCAGCAAGCAATGAATGCCATCGGCGGAGGTAAGGGAGGCAGCACGCCTGTCCTGGCTGCCGGAGTTGTGAATAGTCCGACCATGTTCCATTCGGCCACTGCAACACCTTCAGCAGGAGCGACACCGACCGCAGTACAAACGCCTATCATGGGCAATGCTCAGCCTCAGCAGCTCCAGCAGCAGCAGGCGGCCCTTCAGCAGCAGCAACAGTTGCAGAAGCAGCAGCAGTTACAGCAACAACAGAATGCGGGTGTTCAGGCGATATCGACACCGCCCATGGCCCCAGTGCCGTCCATGCCAACTGTTCCAACCCCACAAATGATTGCTCAGCTCGCCCAGCATTATCCCAATCTGCCTCGTGTTCAAGCTGAGGCGCAAGCACGCCAGCAGCTTTTGCGGTTCTTCGAAAGCCAGCACCAAGCAGCTCAGGCTATCTCTGCAGCTCAGCGCCAGCAGCAACAGCAAGCGCAGCAGCAGCAGCAGCAGCAACAACAACAACAGCAGTTACTTTTATTACAACAGCAGCAACAACAGCAGGCGAATGGACAGCAGCTGAACGGTCAGAACACGCAGGCTCTTCCTCAACAGCAGGCATCTCCGCAGTTAGCACAGCAGCAAGTTGGACAGGCGGGCGCGATCGTGAATGGGCAGGCATTGACGCCTGCGCAGTTGGCACAGCAGAAGCAACTACTTCAGCAGCAGCAGCAGCAGCACCTACTCCAACAGCAAAAGCTGCAGCAGCAAAAGCAAATTCAGCTGCAACAGCAACTGGTTCAGCAGCGACAGCTTCAGCAGCAGGCTCAGCAGGCTCAGCAGCTCGCTTTGCAACAGCAGCAGCAACAACAGCAACAAGTGCTTGCTTTACAGCAGCAACAGCTCCAGCTTCAACAACAACAGCAGCAGCAGCAGGGCAAAAAGTGAACTTATTGGACGCCTCATCTTTTTTTTTTTACAACTATTTCTTTTCTTTTCTTTTCTTTTTTCCTTTTTCTTTTTTTTTTTCTATTCATATGCGCTAATCCTGTCTGTAACATTGTACGATAGTATTCTTCACTCCGTTTCCTGTTTTACTTCGCACATTGTCCATCCTCCGGACGCGATAAAAAGAAGTCGTGTCGCTCGCTCTGCCGTTAAATAATTTGATTGTATTTATACATAAAAAATCCATTGTACATTTCTTTTTCTCTTTTTGTGCCTGCGGCAAGATACAAAACATTCAAAATAAAGCTCCTGGTTCTATTGCCAGCCGTGTGTGTCGAGAAGTGCGTGTTCGCTAGAAAGAGGTCGTTCGCGTTTGCGAAACAGCATCACTAAGGATATCTTCTGGTGAATGGTCTGGAGCAAGCGTTTGATGGTCGCGTTTTTGTCTTCAAGCAAGATATGCAAGAGTAAAGCAATTACATCGACCCTGGATAAATTTTTGCCGTTCGTTCATGGTTGGCAGCAGTGATCGAGGCTGTGCGACGCAGAAAGGTAATATTCATCTCCGAGGCGTCGATTGACTTTTTTTTTATTTTCTCCACAGCGACAACAAATCAACGGCGCCGAGAGAGTGTCACTTTGTCACTTTCAGGCGCAAAGGTCCCTCCTGTCTATGTTTCTGGTGTCGCGAGCTGATGCCAGACGCGGATGAATTTCTTGCCGCTGAGGACATCACACCAATATAAAAAGAAACGACATCAACTAATAATCTCCCTCCTCCAATGCAGTCTCCTTACCGTTTACAAAAGAAATGACTGTTCACAGCAAAGAATCCATCGTCCACCCGATAAGAACCAAATCGGTTGGTACCTCTGCGATCGCGTCTGACATCAAGGTCCGAACCAAGGAGCGCGCCCAGGGACATCCACATCCATATCTCCATGGCAACTTTTACCCAGTCTTTGAAGAGACAGTTGGAGACGAGGGTATCGGGTGCGAGGTCATTGGTGTCATTCCCGAGTCTCTGAGAGGGTCACAGTATATCCGTACAGGACCCAACTCGCTGAATGTGCCCAAAGACGGTGCTCCCCACCATTTCTTCAGCGGTGAAGGTGCGATGATAACAAGAGCTTGTATTATAATAATGAGTGACATGTATAAAAAAAAAGTACAAGAGCGCCAACTCATCTATTTATTTCAATACTTTACGTACTCTGAAAGGAATGCTCCACGGCGTGTACTTTGAACCGGGCACTGGCGACGAGACTGAGCCAATTCGTGCACGCTACATGAACCGATATGTCCGAAGCGAGGTCTTCCAGAAGGCCAATGCACACGGTCAAATGGGCACGTCTCTTGGGCGCCTCATGACTAGTGCAAATGGAGCTTGGAGTATAATCTTCAGCTTGATTTGGTACCGCATCAAGAGCGCTTTTTACGGCTTGAAGGGCCATGGAAATGGAAACACGGCCCTAGCGTTCTTCAAGTCAAGGCTCCTAGCACTCCAGGAGGCAGGAAAACCGATGGAGACCAGTGTCCCCAGTCTGAACACGACGGGCGAGTATTACTTTGAGGAGGATGATATTGGCGAGAGTGAGCGCAACAAGAAACAGGGCCCCACAAGTGAGATATGCACGGCGCACCCTAAGGTAGGCAATCAGTCGCCTCTTCTTTTCTTGGCTGTTATGCGCATCCGTCTAAACGGACCTTTTGATCCTTGATGGGTTACATAATAGGTCGATCCAAAAACGGGGGAGCTTATATTTTTTTCATGGAGAATGTCGCACCCGTTTATGTACTACTCGGTCATATCCGCTGAAGGGAAGCGACTCGTGTGGGAGGAGCCCATTCCTGGCTTGAAAAAGTCTGCCATGATGCACGACTTCGCCACCACTCCTTCATACTCTGTGTATGTATGCAGTGTTCATGCAGCGTGCGATCGTATTTTCTCTTCCGCTCTAACGCCGGCAACTGTACTGTGTCCTTTCATTCATGTAGTATTATGAACGTGCCATATTTCATTGACGCACCAAAGCACATGAAGGAGGGCAAACCTATCATCGCCTTCGACCCGAGCTCGCCCTCGCACTTCGGCATCATCCCTCGCTACTTTGACTCCTCTAAGGACGAGGTCATCTGGTTCGAGTCACGCGCATGCCATATTTTCCATACCGCCAATGCTTGGGAGGAGAAGGACGCGAACGGCAACGTCGTTGCTGTTTGCATGACCGCCTGTCGGTCTGAACGCTTCATTGCAGATATCAATCTCTGGCAACCTACTGGTACCGACGGCTACGGCGGCGGCAAGACTCAAGCAGAGTATGAGAAACAGTATAGCCTCCCCGGATCGGGCGACTATGCAAATCAAGATCCCGATGCAACCTATATGACTCTGATTCGGTTCGATCTCAAGACTAGGCAAACACAGCTGACGACACTCTCAACCGTCAGCTCAGAATTCCCTGTCATCAACTGGGATCGATATATGCAGCCTACATTGCGGTATGTGTACGGAGCCACCATCGAAGAGCCTGCGCCAGGTATCGGGCTCAAGTTCAATGGGATCGTCAAGACGGACATCCAAGCTGCGATTAAGCGAAAGGAGGAATTAATGGAGTCCGGGGAGATCAAGAATGTTGGCAGTGAAGGACAGTGGGAGTTGGGTGCGGAGGAGCTGCAGAAGGTTGAGGAGAAGACGGGTGGGAAGTACAGGTTCGGTCCACATATCTTTGGCAGCGAGGCATTGTTTGTGCCCAATTCCCCCAGCAAAGATGGCAAAGAGCTAGATGAGGATGATGGTCACTTGCTGGTGTATGTGTATGATGAGCGCCAGATGGAGGACGGGGTGACCAAGTCCAAGAACCAGGTGACGGAGCTGTGGATTTTTGATGCGAAAAAGATTGGACAGGAGTATGAGCCAGTGGCGAAGGTTAAGATCCCGAGACGCGTGCCTTATGGGTTCCATGGCCTACATGTGAGCCGGGAGCAGATCCAGGCCAATAAGGAACTGCTCAGTCGTCGCGTTCGGGCGTAGGCCACGCACCGCACAAAGCACAGCCTCTTATGATTCTCCTCGAAACGTGACAACAAATGCCGAATAGTCACAGCAGAAGAAAATAAACACACACACAAAAAAAAAAAAAAAACTTGTTGGCAGTCAGTACCCTTGATAGCATTCATCACTCACTCATAGCACCATACCATTCATCACACATGTCTGATTCCGACAGCGAGCAAGAACAAAGACTGACCCTCGAGGACCTGGAGGGCTCCGATACCGAAATGCTCTCCGGCGACGAGGACGGTCCTATGGACATCCTGACCGAGCAGCGTGTTACCGTCAACAACGAGGTACCGTCCTGCTCCAGCAACGACAGAAGCGAAAGAGCAACTGAAGCTGGATCCATCGCCCTTTTATATAATCTTTTCAATAGCATGTGTCACTTCAGCCAGTCAAATGCTCCACCCATCATTCCTCACGATACTAACGCTCCTCTTTATCTCCTTCGACGCTTTCTCATTCTCTAGCCGGCATTGAAGCGTCTCCGTGAGCAGATTGCCCTCCCCACCAATATCCCTTGGTCTGAAACCCAGTCTATTACCTCGACTCAGTCTATCAATGTGTCAGACCCGGACGACGATCTGAACCGTGAGGTTGCCTTCTACAACCAGGCTTTGGAAGCCGCAGTACTTGGGCGGGAACGGATAAGGAAGGAAGGGGGCGTTTTTGAGCGCCCTGGCGACTACTTTGCAGAGATGATCAAGTCGGATGAACATATGGCCAAGATCCGTCAGAGATTGTTGGACGAAAATGCGTCGATCCAGGCTAGCGAGCGGGCCAAGGCGCAGAGAGAGCTCAAGAAGTTTGGAAAGAAGGTTCAGACAGAGAAGAGGCTTGAGAGAGAGAAGTCAAAGGCGGACGCATTAGACAAGATCAGTGCGCTTAAGAAGAGTATGCTCAATCTGTTATTGAGGAGATTCATGCACCGGAATGATCATCACGAGTGTTTGCGAGTTGTTAACCTATGCCTTCTGACTTTCCTCTTTCGACTGTTTTAATAGAGCGCCAGGGTAACGACAACTCTACAAATGCAGATGACGACTTTGATGTGGCATTGGCAAGTGACGACGACGAGATGAAGGCATATAAGTCTTCAGGATCTAACAGCGCTAACCGGGGCAAGAAGCGCTCAGCCGATTCAACACCAGAATCAAGAGGCAAGCGACACAAGAAAGATCAAAAGTTTGGATTCGGAGGCAAAAAGAGGCACGCAAAGAGTAACACCGCAGAAAGCTCAGCAGATGTTTCAGGGTTCAATGTGAAGCGCAACAAGTCATCGTCCTTCAAAGCTGGACACAAGGCTGCAAAGCCTGGTGGCGTCAAGAAACGCTTAGGGAAGTCTCGTCGTCAGAATGGCGGAGGAAAATAATAAAGAATGGGCACGACTCAGTATTTTGTTGTTCAAGGACGACAGGTAACCACAATAAAAACCCGCATTTTTTTATTTTTATATTTTTTATTGCTTTACATGAAGACACTCTCGTCCACGAATACGAGTATATTGCGGATAGACTATGGAATTTATGAGACTCCGAGAGATTGAAGACGGCCTGCAATTGATTCTGCCGTTGCACTGGCTGGTGGCGGAGTAGACGAAGCTCTTGATAAGGTAGGCGAGGCGGCGTTTGAAGAATTTGCAAGGCGTGATCCAATACGCCTTACTTCGCCAGTGGGACCGATTAATAGACACTGTGACAACCCTAGCGGCGCTACGCCCGCTTGTGAGGTAGCAGGCAATAGCGATGGCGAGCTGAAGGAGTCCAAGACCGCAGGATTATTGATGATTGACTGTCCTGTGGCCCGATCCAAAAGAATAGGCTTGCCTATGGGGCTCGTAAATGTAGTGCAGATCTTCCATCCCAGTCCGACCTGCAGTACTCCAACACGCTTACCCTGCCGAGCTGGATATATTTCAACTGTTCCCCGCTTTGGTGCATAAATCACCAAGTACAGGACCAGATGTCTCTTTATAGTCGCCTCGTCGGAAGTATTGTCTGCTCCGCTGGCGGACTTAACGAGCCTTTCCTCTTGGATCCAACCACATCTTGCGCCTCGAAGTCCCTTCCACATCCGAATAATCTCGCACTCTTCCAGATCCACTAGGAGTACGCGACCCAGTGAATCTGTCATGGCCGCCAACTTGGACGGGTAATGATAATAGGACCCTCGAGGAGGCGCCGGCGCCAAGGACAAATGTCGAATGCATCTCTGAGAATCGCTCAGCCAAAGCACGGCAGGCACCTCTGTTGCGGGTGCCAGGGCAGAAGAGTAGATATTGCCATAGGGACCAGTAGTTCCGTCCTGCACGCCTTGTCCCGACAGCCGCTTCTGATCTGGGCTGGCTCTCCCGCTTACGTTTCCCAATGCCGGCGAACCGGGCCTTGGAGAAGGTGATGACCCCCATATTGACTTTGCAAAACCAAACACGGCGCTCGTAACCCTAGCGGCCATTTGAGTTGCTAGAGACGTAGCTGAAAACAACGGGCGACCGGAACTGCTGGAGGCATAGAACGCCATCATAGGCTTGGAACCGACAGAAACAAATCGCTCTGTAGCCTGAGATGTATACATTGAAGAGCTGGAGGAAGAGGAGAACCCATTTGAGAGCGTGGGCCTGTGTCGCGCCGGACCTAAGAGTATAAAAAGCCAGGGCAATGTTTAGGTTGTGGTTTGAATCCAATAAGCATATGCGTAATGCGCTGGTGTATAGCGCATAATACGTACCACAACTGACAACATCCACCATTAGATCTTGATTCTGCAGACTCCATTTTTTGTATGCGAACGTCGGTGCCTGGCTTGCTTGGATCGACTTGCTCTCTCCTATGTCGTTAAACTCCTGAATCTCAGCGTACTGATGATACCCAGATAAGGCGCTTCATAAACATGATGATTAAAACAAAATCTGTTGTCGTACCTACGGAGCGACTTGATCCGCTGGAGAGTCGAAGAACGACCCAAAGACTTTCACCCTCGATGCAAACGACTTTCCCTCCTTCGTGCAAAATTGTCATCTCATCCTCATCCTCGCCTGGGACTTTCCCAGCACCGATCCGGGCTTTGATGGACATGACAGGAGTGTGGTGAAGCTGTTGCAGAACCACCAGGTGGCCGGACTAAAATCACGGTGCATCAGAATACGCAATAAATAGTATCAGAAACGGGTGGTTCATCTTCGCAGGGATCGACTGCAGACAAGTCATTGTCGACAGTACCTCATTGAAGATCCTTAGCATTCCGGATTTGTAGCCTATAACCACGTATATTTGACTGGAGCGGGTACGGGTTAGGCCTATACGTCTCGCCGCCATCAAAATGTTATCATAACGAATGTATTTGGAACTTGCCTCTGGTTTGATCGCGGTACGTAGAGCGGTAGGCATAGTATTGCCGTGATTGTATCCCTACATCAAAAATAAGGGAGAGAATGCTCATTTTTAGTCCAATTCCCGTGCAGTAAAGATGATTGTCAACTCGGCCATGACCTATCTGTTCTTACTGTGGGGTATCCAATCCTGCTCCTTGTCCTACGAGGACCCATTCATGGATAGGCCTAGGCGAACTTTGTCCTTGATCCATATTTAACGCAGGCAACTGCGATGCCGACGTATGAGTCTGTCGCTGGAGGATAGCAAACATTTTCTTGCTTGCACAGGCGATGTAACGGCCACTGTCGCATATCGAAATACATAAATCCTGGGCGACACTCAATGGGTGAGAGTCAGTGGTCCCTATCAATGGACTTGTTGCTGCACTGTCATTTCCTAGCGGGGATTTCTGTCCAGACATTGAGGCAGGTGATGATGGCGTGGAGATATTGGACGATGACGATCCGGGCGCGTCCCTGGCGCTCTGGTACAGCCTCGATGAGTCCAAAAGCCCCAGACCGGCCGGAGAAGCCCTTTGTGCTTTCGAATTGGGCACAGCTAGTGAGGATCCATGCTTCGCGTTGCTAGAGGCGACTGAAGAAGAAGGTCGTGAAGTCTTTGAGTTGGAGACGATAGAAGAAGGCTCTTCGTCCGACCATTCCCACTCATCATCAGGCACGTTCCATGAATGCTGAGAGTCTTCGTCCTCTTCGGTTAATCCCTGTACAGATTTGTTTACATGATCTGCTGCCTCATGTTGAGATGTGTTGTGATCTTGTATCAAGGGACTCGTTCGCCGAGTCTCCTCGTCCTCGTCGTCATCCGACAGTCGATCGTCGTGAGTCGAGTACTGCCGCTCCCGTGCTTTCTCTTCTTGTCTTGGATCTACATTGAAGGATTCAAGTCAATACGGGAAGTATCGTCAAACTTTCTAGTTTCGTCTCTAGGGATAGCCCAAGGGGTATCTCTCTTCGTAAATGACAGCATGCATATGCACCGTCCTTGGCGACAACAAAACTGACCTGGCACTTTTGGAAGAGAGCCCAGGAGAATGGAAAGGACCTCGTGCGGAATACTTCCTAGCGAAAAGAGCTCCCAGCGATGGTATGACATTGAAGCGGATTAAGACTGAATGCGGCGAGGATGAACATTCGATGGCGCCAAGACGAGGCGAGTGATGGACACTTTCGCCCACAGTCAGGAGTGCACCACATTTGATGCTTACAGTCACGGTTTACAGTAATTCTTTATTTCATGTTTGTGCTACCGTTGCTTATAGGCTGATCCCTCAATGGCTCTGCAAGGTGGCCCTGCCACGCTGAACCCGGTCTGCAAGTGACATACCATTGTACGCAGACTCCTGTGTTGATCTCAGGAACGATGCCTGGCCATTTCTGGATGCACTCGCTCTCATTGCCTCTTCGTCGGCGTCCTGCTTGGCTTCCTCTTCCGCTATCTCTACCAGCCGTTTCCTGCGCTCCAGCACACTGATCGCAGCATTGTCTGTCATGGCTTGCAACCTTCTCTCGCGCTCCTCTGCAAGAGCTGCCTTGCGCTTCGCCTTCTCCTCGTCCAATGCCGCCTTACGTCTCGCCTCCTGCTCCGCAGAGAATTGAGGATTCTCGCCGCCAGGTGCTGGTCTGCGATTGGTGGTAGAGCTCCTTGGAGGTAAAGGCCGCGAAGTCCTATGTCTATCACGGCCCGGCGTAGGGGACTGAGTCAATGAGCGTCGAGGCGATCGTGACCTGGAGCGGTCTCGTCGCCGACTTGAACGGGAGTATGAATGCTTATAAGGCGAACGAGAACGGGGTTGTCGTCGGTGGTCGGATGGTGAAACGGATCTGGAATAGGAGCGTTGTCTGACGTCCCGAGAAGACCTTGAGCGGTCAGGCGATCGAGACCTTGACGGCGAAGAGCGTTGATAACGATGGCTGTGGCCACTATTGTGATGGCTCCTTGAGCTGTGAGTTTCCTCATGTCGCCTTGACGTCCTCTCCGGCGATTTGTTATCGGATGAAGCAGAAAGTCGCCGTTGTTTTCTGGAGGAGCGCCAGTTCTTTTCATCATTATCGCTAGAGTCACTCAACTGACCACGATCCCGTGAAGAACGGCGTTTGCTGCTGTGATGTCGAGATTTCATCTTTTGCTTTTCGTCTTTGCCCTCCTTTTCATCCCTGCTCTTTTTGGATTTTTTCCTCTTGGGCTCTTTGCTTTCCTTAAGTTGCCGCATTTTGATTGGGTTCTTCATCAACGCTTCCAAACTGGCCTGCTCCCGTCGCTTGATAGCTAGCAGGGGATCCTCGCGCACCTTAGCTTGAATGTCCTTGACAGAGTTGGCTTTCGACGCCTGGTTCATGAATGAGTTGGAGTCCTTGCTTAAAACCTGCATGCCGCTATCCTTCTTATTGAGTATCTCGTCCACTCGACGCTTTCCGAGAAGATAGTCCTCAAGAGCCTTCTCATCCTTGGCTGCTCCAGTCGGCGGTGCCTGGTACATCCAGTCCAAACGGTCGCTCCTCTTCTTGCCTCCTGCCTGCTCCTGAATGCGCTGAAGCTCCTGAATCTGCCTCTCCTCCTCCAGCTCCTTTCGTAACTGCTGCAACTTCTTCTCCTCATCCGCAGCCTTTCGCTCCTCCTTCCAGACCTTTTCCTGGTTGCGAAATGTACCTGGATGCCAGGATTTTTTTAAGTTCTAACAGAACACAACAAGAAAAAAGTGTTAATCTCAGCACAAAAACAGGAGAATACGCATATAATAGAAAGATGAGCATTAGAAATGCAACTTACAAGATCACCTCCACCCATGTCTGGTTATAGTATGCTTGGAATATAAGATAAAAGCAATGGATGAGAAAATGAGAAAGGGTCTGGATGGCGATGATGCTTTTGGGCACAAAATCAGCTCAATATACGTCACAAGATGTGTGTGCATAAGGTTTGATAAGTTACCATTTGATATGAGACATGTGGATTATTAAATACCATTTCTATAACAATCCTCGCAAATCCGCTGTCCTAAAAAAACAGGACGAAAGACGAGTAGCTTTCTTTTTCACTTTTCATCTACCCTAACGACATTACGTCTTCATCCCTCTTCGCCATATATAATATAATCAATAAAAAACTCTCATAACCAAATGTGTTCGATGTTATTTATTCGGTTTTGTCAGCTCTCTAATATCATCGAACATCTGCTTCATAGCTATCATATCTACACTCATTTCGGTTTGTCGGCGCTCGAGAACATTCGCTGTTGCATATTGTTGGAGGCCTTTTGTCACCTCATTCACACAACGATCATGTCGCGTGTATGGACTCCACGCACAAAGTTGTCAAGAACTTGCGCCGCCCGCCGGATGGCAATTCTTCATCATTCGCTTCCGTGTACTTGTTTACTCTTTTGTAAAGGACGCCCATTCGCAAAAAGGCATGCCTATCGTGTACATGATCCACAGCACGGAATCACAGTATGTCAATCGTCCATGTTGTTTCAAGGTATTATTCCTAGATTGTACGCACGATACTTAACTCTAACCTAAATACAGTCGTTTTCACTTTATTTTCCGTCTTTAAAACAGACAGATGCATATAAAAGTTACGAAAAAACATTAGTAAACCCCTTCCTCAGATCAGACTCCTATACATCAGATACCTTGCAAGGTGTGGTATGATATGAGCGTCGTTGAAGTTGAATATTAATGGGTTCGCTTGTTGTGCCAGTCATGGCCTGCAGCTTCCCCACTACTTCAATATGATTTTCTAGCATCAAACGCGAAAAATAAGTTAGCCCAACAGCACACCACCGGTCCCAACATGAATGGACAATTGAACAACAGAGCTTACTGTCGCAGTGAGCAAAGGTTGAGCTGCTGAGAGTATGTTTTCGAACTGATAGCGCGAGCTCACCAGATCAAACTCCCCCACATTAAGGACATGGCAAAAACTTGTACTCGTTGACGTAAAAGATTGAAGTAATAAAACGTTCAGATACTAAAAAACCAACCACAACGCATCGACCCCGGAACTCAGCAAACCGTCAATCGATAGCCTCATTTGGTCAAAGAACTTTCGACAGTCGTCTCTGTATCTACTCTCAGCTTTGTTCGGAGCCTTAACTTCCATGATGGCTACAGCATGTCCTTTAACGCAGAGGAAGAAGTCAGGGTACAACTTCTCTTCATTCCTGTAGCGAGGGTCACACTGCAACTCATCCTTTGTCCTGCAGCGTAGAATACCAAAAAAAAAAAAGTCAGCGAATGAGTAAGTAAAGAATTGTCAAGTGGGCGTCATGCAAGAGACTTAACCAAAAGCATACCAAATGCATGGTGTAGTAAGTCAGGTCCCCAAACAAACCATCCATCACCGGCTTCACAAAGTTATTGATGAATGTAATTTCATTAATAATGACGTTTCTCAGCTTGGATTTAACCATAATTCCAACTACAGAAAGAAGAAGAAAAAAATTTGAACCTGTGGTGCCTCTTCATTCCTCTCCTCTTTGCCTCGACTTCTCTTACCGACCCATCTTCCTCACATAAAGGCCTTACTCGTGCCCATCGTGATCCATCTCGCGTCTCTTCCTTTGCGCTGTCCCCATTTACCTAACTTCCCTCTTGTAAGTCTTTTTTTTGCTGATGAGCACCGTTTCTATTCATCTTGCTTTTCATACGTGCTGCAGCAGTGCGCATGGTACGATTTGCCTCTAAAAACAAATACGCACATCCCACTCACTAATCCTTTTCCCTTTCTAGTCCTTGCTTGCACTTTCAACCATCCGCAATGGACAAAATCCCTGAGCATCGCACGCAGAACTTCAAGGCCAAGAGTGCCTTCAAGCCCGAGGAACTGAGACGTAACCGTAACGAACTCAATGTCGAGCTCCGTAAACAGAAGCGTGAGGAGAACCTTTCCAAGCGCCGCAATCTTGCTATTGCTGCCGAGTCGGAGGAGTCCGAGGACGAGGGCGTTGCCGCTGCCAACATCCAGGTAAGCTTTTTTTGCTTCTTTTTGATTGCCAAGTGATCTTGTCCGCAAAGACGCGACCCACTTGCTCAGAAACAAAAGGATATCTGTACGATATCACCACACCTCAAGAGTGGCACGGTTACGTGGTTCTTTGTAGAGCTCGTATAAGCACTGCCACTCTTTTACACAAGGACAGCAGCTGACGATTAATGCATTGCTTTATAATATTTAGTTCCATGAGCAACTCCCTGCCATGATTCAGGGAGTCATGTCGGAAAACGTTGAAGACCAGCTTGGCGCCACCACCCGCTTCCGTAAGCTGCTCTCCAAGGAGCGTAACCCCCCTATCGATGAAGTTATCCGCTGCGGCGTCGTTCCTAGATTTGTTGAGTTCTTGCGCTCTCCTCATGCTGTCGTTCAGGTAAGCGTTGAACACGCAATGTATTCTTTTTTGCAACTGTTTACAACCATGCTTCTCTACGACCTATCGCTTCGTCATCTAATATCTATATTGCTCCTATCTTATAGTTTGAGGCTGCCTGGGCTTTGACCAATATCGCTTCTGGCTCCTCAGTCCAGACCCAGTACGTCATTGAGGCAGGAGCCGTCCCTCTCTTTGTCGAGTTGTTGAGCAGCCCTGTTGCTGATGTTAAGGAGCAGGTACGAACCGAAATTTGCGGTGTGGCCCTTACTCTCTGGGCTTAATACATGCATGCATGCATGCATTAACACGCCACTAACCTTTGTCTTTCTGTTAACCCTATTGTAGGCTGTTTGGGCTCTTGGAAATATTGCAGGAGATAGCCCCCGTTGCCGTGACATTGTTCTTCGTGAGAACGCATTGATGCCTCTGCTCGCCCTTCTTCACGAGAACAACAAACTGTCCATGCTTCGCAACGCAACCTGGACGCTTTCTAACTTTTGTCGTGGCAAGAACCCTCCCCCAGACTGGGGTCTGGTTAGTATCGCAAAATGGTCTTCGTACATGATGAGATAGTCTCATTTTGCTGCACAGTATTCAACATGATCTTTTTTACATTTACAAACATTTAGATCTCCCCTGCCCTCAGCGTTCTTGCCAAGCTGATTCATTCCACCGATGACGAGGTGTTGATCGATGCCTGCTGGGCCATGTCTTATCTATCGGACGGAACTAACGAGAAGATCCAGGCTGTTATTGAGTCTGGTGTCTGTCGCCGCCTTGTCGAGTTGCTCATGCACCAGATGGCGTCTGTCCAAACGCCTGCCCTTCGTTCGGTCGGAAACATTGTCACCGGTGACGATGTCCAGACCCAGGTTATTATCAACTGCGGTGCTCTTCAGGCCCTGCTCGCCCTTCTCTCTAGCCCCAAGGATAACATTCGCAAGGAGGCTTGCTGGACCATCTCCAACATCACTGCAGGAACCTGCGTCCAGATCCAGAGCGTCATTGATGCCAACATCATCCCTCCCCTGATCAATATTCTCCAGAACGCCGACTTCAAGACCAAAAAGGAGGCATGCTGGGCCATCTCCAACGCTACCTCTGGCGGTTTGAGCAAGCCCGATCAGATCAAGTATCTTGTCAGCCAGGGATGCATCAAGCCCCTGTGCGATATTCTGATTTGCATGGACAACAAAATCATCCAAGTTGCATTGGATGGATTGGAGAACATTCTGAAGGTCGGGGAGATGGAGAAGGAGGCGACCAACGGCGTGAATCAGTTCAGTCTGTATATTGAGGACTGCGGCGGCATGGAGAAGATTCATAATTTGCAGGCGCACGACAATACCGAGATCTACAAGAAAGCCTATACTATCATCGACAGGTATTTTGCCGAGGAGGACGATGAGGACACTGGCTTAGCTCCTCAGGTCGATGCACAGACCGGTGCTTTCGCTTTCCAGGCCGCCGGTGCTCCTCAGGGCGGCTTCAACTTCGATCCCAACAGCATGCAGTAAGCATGTTCCCTCCCTTTTTCGCCACATTTTTTCTTTGATTCACTCTTCACACTTTTGCTTAGTTTAATTCAATTTCCTTTTATCCCCCAATTGACAGCTATCGTTTACATTACATTCCACTTCCTTTACACCTTGCAGTTGCTTGGCTTCTTTCCATGTTCATTATATCTGTTGTTTTTTTATTTTTGCAGACATATCGTCAAACTTGTTTGTTCATTCAGCAGTACACTTGTACTATCCTATGTTTCTCTTGCCCCATTTTACGGCTGCCCTGAAATAAAGACGTTCAGCCATGAATTCAGCCTTGCATATGATAAAAACGCGCTCGTGACTCTTAAAATTGGTTGGACCATGAGAACATCGCTGTGGAGACTGTACTATGCTCTCTTCATCTCTTTTTTCACAAAGCACCATGGTACGATGAAGATGCATGCCTTTCAGACTTACATCCGAGCGAGGACCTTGAGAACATGCACTGATATCCACACTGTCATCGTTATCTATTATGAATAGTCAGAAGTCGAGGAAACGATTCGCAGACTGTCGTCCAAGAAGAATGTGGAAGGTGTTGTGGTGGTCAACCAGCTTGGACTGATGATCCGCTCCACATTGGACGCCTCATTGGGAAAGCAGTATGCAACATTGATGTCAGATCTCGTTCGTATGGCAAAAGACTCTGTGACCCAACTGGACGCTCAGGTACGATTGCCTATCAAGCTAGGCACTATCCGTATGGTCAAATTAGACGGCGTCCTAATATGAGGCTCGATTTCTCCCGGGATGTATAGAATGAGCTGAGTTTCCTCAGGATAAGGACCAAGAAGCACGAGATCATGATATGTCCTGGTAATGCATTCGTATCTAGCTTCTGAACCTTGGCAACACTTTTTTGTGGGAAATGATGCTGACCTTTATTTTCATTTTTACCTTTGTTTCTATCTCTTGGCTGCCTTGTCCTTTGCCACCAATTTTATCCTCAATTACGACATGGGCATGACAGAGCGCGAGTATCTGATGATTGTCATCCAAACACCAGAAAGTTCATAATGCGGGCGGCAATGTAGGCACCTTGGGTAGCGATCCATGAGAATATACGCACTGTTTAATTGTTCATACTTGAGAACCATGTACATGTACATGTACATATGTAGTGCATGCAGTAGGCTAGTTGAGTATTCCAATGTGAATTGGTGCCAGGCTGGAACAGGCGCGCGTTTCAGGCTACCTGTAATAAGGTCTGAACCACCGGAACCGTGGAAGCGTGACTTGTGGTGGTCACCGAATCGCTGAACCTGCACACAAACGCGATAAGCGAAGGAACTCGACTCTGACCTTGTCACTCACTGCTTAATACACAACTCCAACACAACGACAAGAACCAACTCGGACACAGACAACAAGGACAGAAAAGAGCAATTACGGTGGTGGTGAGTCCTTATGTGATTCTCTTACCTGGTTGATTTCTCTGCTCATTCTCTGCAAATATATTACACGCATACACAGCGCAAACACCGCCCAGAGCAGTAAACGCGACTACAACCCCGTTTCCACATCACAGCCAAGGAATACCATTGTCTACCTTCCTCTCACTCAAACAGCAAACATCAATCTGTATCCATGTCCTCTAAGCACCCGCCAACTTCACTGTAAGCGGTACCCGGTACTCATTATTGTGGTATTCATGGCTGATTAATCCATCAACACCACCTCTGCTCACCAAGCGCCACCAATTACGCCGCAGGCAGCTTTGTAGCCTTATCCAAGTCAAGCAACATCAAGTAGCAGTTCAACATCAAGGACGCTTGGAATAAGGACGAAAGCAGTCAGCAGAAACTACACAGGATCTCTATCTACATCGATCGATTGACCAGCGCCTTTGTCCTCACCATTCCCTTAACACCTTCATCATTCTGTGTAGAAACCATAATTCAGCAGTACAATGGAACGAATGGCCTCAACCGGCTCACTGAAGCGACCAACAAGCGTCCATACAACCGCAAGCACTGGGCCAACATCGCCAGTCGGCAGCCTGAGCACTTCATCTCTGCATCTCCCAGACGATTCCTTTTCAAATAACCCGGAGGACTATGACATTCGGCTACCAATCGGTATGTGGTTCACAAAGCATTTTGCAAATGGCTAAGAGTGTATACGCTATAACGCATGGATTTGTTTTGTTCTGCGCATATTTGATTAGGCTATGGGTCCTCGGCAGTTGTGTACAATGCCTATTACAAGCCGCTCAACAGGAGGGTCGCTATCAAAGTCATTGACTTGGACATGTTTGAGCGAAACCAGATTGATGAGCTCCGGCGGGAAACACAAGTCATGGCGTTGTGCAAACACCCTAACGTCTTGCGCGTCAATGGAGCGTTTGTGGCAGACAGCAAGCTCTACATCGTTACGCCATATCTTTCTGCTGGTAAGTCTAAACCCGGAATTTTTTCTCCATTTGAGACTTGAATAGTTCGTCCTGCCCACCAGACTCTACTCACATTGGGTCCTAACACTAATACTAAT